GTTATTCGTTGCTGGAAAGCCCTCCATTTGCCTATTGGCTGAGTGGCGAAGCGAATCGCACATCGACGAAGGTGAATGCATCACTTCAATAAATTGAAGTGCCCAACGCAACCAGCGACCTGAGCAGCAACGGCGGGGCAGCGAGTGCGTGCGATCGGAAATTGCGTTCGTTTGCTCGTGAGTAAGTGGCTGCGAGGAGCTCTGTCTCTCTCTCTCTCTCTCTCTCTCTCTCTCTCTCTAAGTGAAATTTAATCGCGGCAGATGCAATTACAATAGCGAACAAAGCCGCGCGCGACCATTCCGAAAGTACTAAGCCTCAAGATCGTTTTTCGCCGGCGCGCCACTCTCCATGCCCCGCACAGATTCTGCGGCGACCGAAGGAATTTAATCTCCGGCAGGCATTTTAATCTCGACCGGTTGGTGTGCTGCGAACTGGGCGAGCTTTTAATGACCCATCCTCGGTTTCCACGCGCCATTAAAGCGCCGCCTCGTGAAGAATCGAGGCTCGCGGGCAAACAAAAAAAACACCAACTCGCGCGTAATACTATTGACCGACGAGTCGCCGATCCAGCAGCCAACCTGACGGAGTGCACTCGAACGATCCCGCAGCGAAATAATCGAGAACGGATCGAGCTTTAATTGCACACCTATCAACCTCGAGAGCTAGTTCATGTACCGGTCAAAGGGTCAATCGAATTACTCTCGTCCTAGTAGGGAGCTTCCCCTTCGACCTCTCCATCGCGAACACTGTCTTGCCCCTCAACTGTCTCATTTCATTTGCCACCCCCCCTTCTTTTCACTGCCAACGCTTTCGGGCGCTATTTATCGACGCGATTGTTACGACGACGAAGAGTCTTGGTAGAAACAACGAAAGGCGCCGTTCGTTTTTCTTCGACTCCGGGCGGTTCTTTTTCCTCCTCAGTTGGTGCGGCTGCGAGGAGAAAAGAAAGTAACGATAACGATCAAAGGACTCGAACGTTTCAACGTGATCTGGGCCGCGCGTGGAATATTCAATTGTGTCGTGAATTTTAACGTTGGCAGCGGAAGACGAGAATCCGTCAGAGCTCGGCCAGCTTCACATTAATTATGAATTTCTCTTTAATTCTCGATTCTGTATAATGCCAGGTAATCTGAGGTTTCAAATTCAATGATATCTCCGCTGAATGATTTAGCTAGACAAAACGTCGAGCGTTCATTGACCACTGCATAATAACCGGATTTTCAGCTGCATTGTCAAATTATCCATAGTTTTCCGTCTATTTGCTTATCAGGCTGCGTGATTTAAATTATTAGCAACCTCCGAATAGACCTCTTAATAGGCGCATCTACGATCAATTCTTATACATGCAATATGTTATTCCGATAATTTGTCATTTTTGTTTCTCTATTATTAATTGGCACGCTCGTTTTATTCGGCCCGTGCACGTTGCGGACGTGCATTGATCAGCCATGAGCTTAGCAGTGCATTCCTGTAAATTAGTCGAGAACGATGGGAAAATCAGCCGCGACGAAGTTGGAGCGCACGGCAAATCGATGATCGAAACGGAACCGAAATAAGGTACAGAGGTAGACTGGGAGGACAGACAGGCGGGCGAATTGAAACGGCAGAAATAATGAAAGCAGCGAAAAATTGACGAGAATTCGCGCCCTCGCAGACCAATACTGGCAAGAGAGCGCGCGACAGACGCACCGGCTGTCAGCTGAGGAAACTCGCGCGGCCATCTGACTTTTTTCTCGCCGACCGTGTCCAACTGTTCTTCGCGCTTGATTATCCCGCGCTAAGCCATAAGCCGCTATACCGACTGGACTGCTCTCTTGTCGATTCGGCGCGAACGATTCACCGGCTTTAATGCATTATCCATGCCAAATTTTCATGAGACAGTGATTAATCGTGTTTCGAATCGCGGCTCGTCATACCCAGAACAAACAAGTCTGTTCGATCGATCGACATGTACAGCACGCGAGGTCTGATTTCTGCAACGAGAATTGCAATCTTTACGACACGAAAATAATCATTGCATGTTCTTTTGATATCTCGCCCTTTACGTAGACTAATTTATCAAACAAAATTAAAAAAAATAGCCACGAATATGCGCTATGGTTGAGCTTTGCATGCTTTGAATACTTGAAATCTTGTAAATTCCGTGCGCTCGTTATAATTTTATCTATTTAACATTTACTAAATTAGAACACGCATTTTATATTATTACTTTTCCCGTTAATTATCCCTGGATTATGAATTTCTCAATTACTATACTATGAGTGTGAATAATGGCACTAAATTATTCATCATCTCCAATTATGGATTCACGCATATAAATTCCGAATGAACGTTAACTTGCAATTGCGTTAATTGAAAACTCATTTATATCGTTTCAAAGTCAACATCGATCTTATAACAGCTTGATAATCAAAATCAGTCATCATCTGTGATAATTGTGAATCCAAATGCAAACTACTGCTATCGCCAAGGCTCCGGCTTTCCATGCTAAAAAGGCTAAGCAACTAGATTTCGCAGCTCCTCGCTGAAAGAAAGCGCGACAAAGCCAAGAGCTATAGCACTTATACTGTTTCGCTGAGCGTTTTAATCACGAGAAGACGCGGAAACGGACGAATTGAAGAAAGAATCGCTTGCATCTTTAGGAGAACCAGAGAGAAAGAGAAAGAGGTCCGGACATATCCAGTGATCGATGCGCTGCGAAGCCAAAAGCTCGCGAAGGATTTTCGACTTTAATTTGAAAAGAACGCGTTGCATTTTCAATAGATAGATTTACGTGGATTCTCGCCAGATATCTCATTTGAATATACATGTGTCAACAAGCCGACGGCGCACCAGCATTTCCGGGATCGAGCTGTTGTTTTTCTTCTCCTCGTAAATTTTATCTCGCGTTTACGGCCATCAAACTCGCGTCAGTGCAAGTGCCCGTGATTGATCGCGTGACATAAAGTCCGTTCGAAATTATGCCATTCCAAGGTGGAGCTCCTTCTCTCTCCTCTCTCTCCCCACTCTCTCTCTCTCTCTCCTCTGGCGCTCTCTTGCCGCGATATAAAACGGACATAAAAGACGACCATCCTGTCTCGAACTCGACTTTCTCCTTTTTCCCTCAGACTATACTGCGTAGAGAGGACCCTCAAGCTTTCACTGGTTTCGCTTGCGACCTCTAGACACTTTTTTTTCTACCCCGGATAATTTCCAAGTTTTAATTAAGATTTCATCAATTATCGCGTTGGATCGATTTCCAAAGAGACGCCGCCCTCTCTCTCTCTCTCTCTTTTCCAAAGCAAGTTAAATTTGAAAACTTTCGACTCGCTCGTGTTTACTTTTTTCCCTCCGACAAGCATCGACCTATTGGATAAATCGAGCGCACGCGCGACTGTTTTTAATCAGGGCTCGTTCACTCGCGCAGTGCAATCGTAAGCTATAATACTTTGGAATGCGGTATAAAATCTAAACTCGATTGAATGTTGGGCGCGCTTATAGCGCTCTCTCTTCCGTCCGTTCACCTTGAGCTTGCGGATAGTTGGCGTGGGCCATAAACGGAGCAGCCGCGAGGCTAACGCTCGCGAATAATAGTCGTCGGACGGGAGACGCGCGCCAGCTCCGATCGTTTGAATGTTTTCGCGCCTCTCGCGGAGCGAGGAGGTTCGTTTGTCAAAGCGACGGAAGTATCGATCCGACCGCCGGCATTATTTCCTTTGATTTATACGACGCTGCCCTGGCTCAAAGCACTCGCTCGCGTCGCTTCGCTCATACACGGATAAGCGGACACGTACACGTACACAGAGACGAGAAAAGCCCGATAGCGCCTTTTTCGTTTCTACAAATGCGACGAATAATCCGCTATGATATCACCAGATACGACTATTCATTCTCTTTCTTTCTCTCTTTCTCTCTTTGCTATATGCCAAGAGAGGACGGATATGAAAGAGACATCGCTACGACCTTTTTGAAGAATATATGATCGACTAGTTATCCTCGTTTGTCCCTCGCGCATTTCTCTTTCTTCTATTTGACAAATGCCAAACGCGTTTAGATCGCTAATAAAGTCAATATATTTCAATTAATCTGCATTAATATTTGATGGAGTCGTCAGCCGTGAATAGCAACCGAATTCATATGTCCACGGTACAATATATCAATAATTAATTACAAATTAAAATTGAATCAAAAACGAATTGTGAGCATTTTGAAAATGATTAAAGCTTTGGCAAGCTTTATTTTCTATGCGCGCATAAATAAACGTTAATCGAGCTTCGTTAATGATAGCACGCGCGCACATTTGCAAATTAATTACTGGCGTCGATGCATTCAAATCGCCAGCCAAAATTAAAAAAACAATAAATAAAAAGCGAAACACAAACGGAAATGCGCCGGCCGGTGAAATTGCAAAGGCCAGCATTGGCAGGTAGGCGCTCGCGCGCAGCACTCGGGAGGTAATTGAAAGCGAGTTAAATCCATTAAAATGGCAATATCGAAAAACGTCGGCGTTGAAAATTGAATCGCGGCCGATAATTGGCGAACAATGGGAGAAGGAGGGGGGGGGGCGCGTGGGTCAGAATGAATCGAGCCTTAATCCCTCGTCGCGCACCAGTGGCACCAGTTGACTAGATCGCAGACGAGAGCTCCTTCGTCCAGCTATCCGTCTGTGAAAAGGGAGCCTAGATAAATAGATAGATGAGATGAAAGGAGAGAATAAAAAGATGGGGCGAAAAGAAATTCCGAATTCCTGTCCTCCTGGCGGATGCATCCCATTACTCGGCTCCGCAATCGAGTGGCCAAAGCTTGCTGGCAAATTTGCTTTTTCTATTAGTTGAGTCAGATAAATCTCCGCGAATTACTTTGGCCCCCTTTCCCTTCCTTTCTCATTCTATTTTAAGGAGAATTCGCTCATGATTTATCTGTGAGGAGAGGACAGGGGAAATGGGGCAAATCTATAAGACTCCTCAACTGATCTGAGAATAAATGGCAATCAGTAAATTAAACAGCGCACAGCTCTAGTTTCAATTAAAAATTTATTATCTTTTTCGATACATTAATTACAGATTCCAATGCTAATCGCATCGGTAATAACAATACGTCGCTCATCGCAATAGTCACTTGGCGGCCTGATGGCATTAATACTATATAGCGAACATGACTTACAGCAAAAGCTCGAAATCGAGTTGCCTTGCATGGAATGGAATTTTTTCCATATGTACAACATGAAAAATTGTGTCTGTTGATTGGTCTGTCAGTCACGCCAACCTAGCGCCCTACGTTTTTTTTTGTTTTGCTTTTCTTGCAATTTTACTCAATAACAACAATAACATCTAAAAAGCCTTCTATCATTCTTTTAAACAATCTGTGCGGCTGAAATAAACGACCAATAAAAGTAATAGGCGCGAATCAATAATAGGATACTTCTTAAAAATACAGATTATATCACTTGTGTATCGATTCAGCATTTAATGCAACTGTTTTTCATAGATATAAATTCAATGAAATAATCGAAGAAATCATTCAAACATTAAAAAAAAACTTTTGAAATTCTTCAATTGGTTCTCAACTGATAGTCACCATTCTGTGTGATGTATCGAACCCATGGCAAGGCTTGGTATCCACTCTTTTCTATAATCTTGAGATACCTCACTTGAATTCCTGACGTAGTAAAATAAGGAATCTCAAACTTGACTTGGATAGGTGGTTTACCTTCGACATCTTCCCCAACGACAGATGGCAGGCCAAAGTGTGCTCTCATTAAGTATTCTTTACCACCAGGAAATGATTTTATGGACCATGTAATTGCACTCTGCTCTGGAGAATATTTGACACTACCAATGGTGGTTTTGAATTTTGGAGAATCAGCGTCATTTGGCACAGGAATGACAATTTCCACATTGTTAGCTGTTGATCTCCTCTTGAACTGAGACCTTGCTTTAACCATGTATTCGACTCTGCTGTGTGCATGTCTTTCAATTACTGACTCGATCCAGATAAGAGGTTTAACATGAGTATTTAGTCGATATGACATCAATTCAAATTCTCCATCAGGTGGAATAAATGATATAGTTCTATCATTCTCAAACCTAGAGAGCCTAACACATTGATGGAACTTGACATCTTCTAATTCAACAGACTTCGACTTGCCACGTCCAGTGGACTCAAACAAAACCTTATCGTTCAATCCTAATCGAAGCTCTGGCATACCAGATAGGTAAACTCTCATCTTTATAGCTCCCACAATCTCTGAGCTTAACACATTTCCATTTGCATTTGCTAATAAATTTACAGACTCAATAACATCCAAAAACACCTCATTTTTCCTATACTTTATACCCTCGGACCTCCATGACACAGCATTTGTTACTGCCATTGGAATTCTTGGTTGAATTTCCAGCTTGTGTCCTTCTTGTGTTATATATTCTTGCAATATCTTACTGTCTGTAGTCTGAGGGTACCCAAAATCAAGCAATTCATCCAGCAACTCATAAATTACAACAAAATTGTCTCTGATACTTTCTTCCTCAAGTTCCTTGAAGTATTCTTGCATAACGTGTACCACTTTGTGAAGAAACACAAACACCAGAGATATATTTGCATTCTTCTTGGTGATAGATACTAGGTATAAATTGTTGTATTTAATGTAAGAATAAGTACATTCAGGCGTTTGAATGATGGGTGTTAAATTGCCCTCCTCTTCCCTCTCCATCACCAGGGGCATAAATTTTTCTATGACTCCTGCCTCTATGTCTCCACGGTAGTTCCTGGAGATCAGTACTTTACCCTTCACATCCAAGATAAATATCGCCGAAGTTGACATATTTGCTTGAGTTTTTCACCTGCAACAGTCAAAGTACAACACATATCAGTCATTCGAATGATAGGTTATGTTGGCTATTAAAATGTTGCTATTTATCTAGATTTATCTCATAGATAAAAACCAATAGATGACACACGAGTCCACAATAGCATTAAAAAGGAACGTACAGCCCCGATGAGTTAGGGGTGATGAAACTTGTCAAAGGTCTATGACCGCTACGTCACGAACACCCACATGCACGCATTGCAGTGACGCACCTGCCACACCTTAGGAAATCAATGACAACGTACCTTTATACCGAACGAAAGCAGTTCAATGAAACATAAGCAGCGATGAGCAAGACCATCAAAACGAGAAATTACGCGACGTCCAGATGCCACAGCAGCATCAACAATCCAACTCCACACAGCAGCGACCGCGCCGACGGTCTGAAGTGATACGCGAGATGTGGGATGTGGGTGTTCGCTGGCTGCGTTGGTCGAGTGCAGCGCATGCGCGCAACTTGACTCGAGACTTATCGACCGCGAGGGCGCAACTTTAAAATTTTCGGAGTAGGGACGAGTGACGACCCGCGGGGAGACGGCGGCTCTGGCTCGCTCTGCTGTTGCTTTGCTTCATGTGTGTGTGCATATTGCACTACTCTTGGAACGAGCTTGGATGTACAGCAGTTTGAGTGGCTGCTCTGCTGTTACTCTGCTCTGCTGCGGGCTGACCTCAGACTACAGAATTGTCTACTTGCGACATATTTCGCTAAGCTCAGCTTCGCCGGCATTTTTAAGCAAACTTCTTGGCCTTTTATTGGATTTTCACAGTACTCTTATCAAAGCAAAATACTTTTGAAACTACTCCTCCAACTTCAAAATAATATAATACGTTTTTATTCAGTTCGTCTCGAATGAAAAACAACTGCGAGGAACAGTCTTATAAAAAAGCTCGGTTTTTTATTTCGAGCGATTGCAGAAAAGCACCGTTTCCGGCAAATTAGATATTACATGATTTTATATTGCGCTTCTAATATTTTTGAAATGCTCGTGAACTAGTCTTTCGTTCGCCTCCCGAATTTCACATTCTAAAAATGAATATTTATTTCGTTTCCACCGAAAAAAAAACCAACTATCGTAAATTCAATGTAACATGAATGTTCGTCAGCCGTCGCGAAATGTTATTCGTTGCTTTATTACAAAGGCAAACAAAGAGCATTGTCTAGTCCCTTAACATTGCAATTGGATAAAGTTTTGAATTTGATTCGATTGTTAGTCAGATTACTAGTTGGAAAATTCAAAGAAAAAAATATCGAAGTGCATACCAATTATTGACTAAACAAAAGAAGCAGCTATTAATTTGCTCTCCGTTGAACAAATAACGGTTAAATTTAGGATATAAAGTTCGGTTTAATTGTTGAGCGTAGAGCTTTCATTTCATAATGAGACTGCCGAGCTTTACGTTATTTATAAGATCGAGCGCGAGGGTGCCAGGACGAAAGAGAAAATAAACTATTACTCGGTTAAATTTAACGATGGGTAACGGAATTGATATGAAAGGCTGTCATCCCGTCTCATTCGGTTTAACATCGCGAGAAGCAACACTCGCTCGGAGAGCTAACAACTTTGCTCGAGCGCATGCGAGAAAAAGCGAGCGGTTCGGAGAAAGTCGCTCAAGTATGCAAGTTCTCTGAGCCGGCAACTATTAAATTGTCTGCATCCATTTGTCGGCTTGCCGACGTCGAAAGGAACCGCTGTTTTTTAAATATTCATCCACTCTCATTTCTCTCGCGCTCCTCTCCCTTTTTCTCTCTCTATTTCTCTCTCTTATCGTGTCCGCGACGAGAGGGGTTGCGAGGGCGAGGGAGAATTTCATTGGCACAGGGGCGGCAATTATCAGCGAGCGACGTCTCCACGAGTTTCGACAGTCGGGGAAAGTGCCACGCGCGCAAATTTATTTGCCGACAGGCCACTAATTAACTCGGCTGTGAAAGATCGCTACACTTCAGTTTTTCTTGCGCGTTGGCCGACAGCTTTTAGTCATAATTACGAGAACGGGGCTGTTTGTTCCGACGCTACGCAAGTGAATGTAAACATCATTACATTATGGCACTGCCAAGCCGAGCGTACTTGTCGTGTCTTTATATTCTAAAAATTTCGCGGCACTGGCGAGCACTTCTACTCAACGAAACGTAAATTTATCACTGAAATTCATTTTGCAAGGCTTTACAAATAAACTACACTCTGATATGCGGCTGTACTTTCAAAACATTCGAGTCGATGTGACTACAAATTGCACCACGGAAAACTGCTTTGACGAGTTTTTTTTCGCTCGCAAAGAAGCGACTAATTACAAGCTTTCCTTACCTTGGAAGTTTAAAAAAGGTCACTCAAATTAATACGAGAGTTGGCTACGCGGTCGATATAGTCTCATATGCCACTTAAAAAATTTGTCATTTTTATAGCAAACTTCATTTGCAGCAATTTGCTCGAGGTAAATCGATCGGATTTGCACGTTGCGTTAGATATAGTTAATTTCACAGCAATCCCGCAAGCTTATCTCGATGAATTATTGACACCATCTGATCTGCACGATTGCATATAAATAAACACACTGGGAACTCATTGAGGTGGTGGAATAATCGGCAGATGTACGCAACAAGCGTAATGCCCGCCAGTGGCGTAATTATCAGAAGTGCAGTGTGAAACTGTAAGGCAATCGGTCGAAAAACAGTGCAGACTCAAGCTGGGTGAAGTGAATGGAGATTAGCGCGCTCGATATTGCCGCAACCACATATCCATTTCAAACTATTATAAGAGCTCTCTCTCTCTCTCTCTCTCTCGCTCTATCTATCTATCAGCGTCATCATTCCGACATCTTGCTCTCCGCTGCTAGCTATCTCATCCGCGTGCTGCTGACGGCTTCCATCCAGCCAGCGATCGCGCTTCGATATCACTCGAATCTACTCGAATAACGCTCTCCAGCAAATTGTACGGGCTCTAGCGGCGCCGCGACCTTTACGATTTTCTTTTTACACCCTTTTTGCCCCTTCACTTCGACGCCGCAGTCGCGTTTTCTCCTCGTAGGCTCGGATCGTAATAATAATACACCAAGTATACGTTTGCGGGAATTGTCATCAGGTGCGGCCCGGCGAACGAGCGGCAAAGCGCGAGCGAGCGAACTAAGTTTACACCGACTTATACGCGAGCAGCCGCGACAGTTCTGACTCACTTTCGCCAAGTTGCGCGGCGGCGGCTGCCGCGTCGTCGACGACGCGAAGCTTTCTTCTCCGAGCCATCGCGGAACTGGATCCGAGAGAAGTTAGCCGAGACTCCGAGGATTAAAGCTGCCGCTCCACTGGATAATATTTTCTTCGTCCTATTTCACCGGGGGCAAGCTCTTCGCAATCTTTGCGCGCTTCGCCTGACAGCTGGATTCAGCTGTTTGTTTGTCGCGTCGCTGACGGCCGCGATGTTTTTCGCAAGCTGCCGCCGCGGCTGATCAAAGACGCGCGTCGTAGCTCGCGGAAAGCACTTCTTGCGTAGAGTTGATCAGCTCAGTGCTACTGAATCGTGGCTCGGAGAGAACGGTCCGGAAAAACAAGTAACGAATTAGGAAAGAAACACCGGGTACTATCGGAATTACTCGAAAGAGGTAGAGAGAGAGAGAGAAAAGTAGCGAGGTGGAATGACAAAAAGGACAGTTATAGCAGGCAGCAGTAGTGCGGAGAAGGGCGAGAATGGCACTAAAGGCGAAGAAACTCCTGTTTTTCTCGATTTGCATCGAGCGAGAATGACTGTTGGCACTTGCTTGCCGAGAGGAGCTCGCGGCCCCTCTATGATTATACGGGACGACGGCGAACTTTCTCCTTTGGCGCGCCGAAGTTTTATATACCCGGGCGCTCTCGCGAGAAAAGCAGTCGCGCGCGGCGGCCCCGTTCAGAAACGACCGGCGGCGGCGGCGGCGGCGGCGACGGCGCGCTCGCGAACGACTTCATCTTGGAAAAGCTCTTTTTCAGCCTTCGAATTAAAGCGTGCGCGCAGACTTACTAGCTGCGACTTTTGCCCCTACGTAGCTATAGTATACGCGCCGCAGCCGAGCTAAATTAGCTCTCGCACCGACTGATTAAAGACTCGCGCTTGTTACGCCCTTTTCGTCCGTCGGCGCGCCTATTATTATCGTTATTGTGCGCAGCTGTCCGACTCGCTTTCGCAAAGCGGCGACCCTTGGCTGGTTGCTGCTGATTTATTCGCCGGCTCTCCGCGATATACATATGCATATATATATATATACATCGCGAATGATTAATGCGCGCGTTTAGCGCTGCCAAATGATTAGCTCGCTTCGGCAACTCGATTCCAGCATTAGAGTCGACCTCTTCGATCGCGATATCGCACACTTCGAATGCTCCACACACGCGTACGTTGATTATTCTTCGCGCAACTCGCGAGCTGGCTCTCGACGAGTAAGTAGCTCTGCTAATGCGATGATCCCGACTAGCTAATTAGCTGACAATGTAGTTTGACAAAGTTGCCAAGAGATTAAGCAACTTGAGCGACGCGAGGATCTTCGCGAAAGATATATAAGCAGCTTTCTTCCTTGGGACTAGCGGGCTTGGGACTAGTACTTTAAGCGCAAATCCCGTCTGCCGGCAATCTCGCGAAGTGTCGAAGGAAATGCAACGTCCATCAGCAACAGCAGCAGCAGCAGCAGCAGCTTTCCGTCGACAAAGCAGTGACGCGCTTGTCTGTGCATTGCAGGTATCGGCGTCATCAGCGCCAGCGTCATCGCGGATATTAAAAGGCCGCGAGGCGAGCGCAGCGGCAATCAAGGCACGGAGGAAGAGACAGCCAGCGCAAAGAAGGAAGGGGCGAGCCAGGCAGAGGCGAGCGGGCGCGAGTGATGCAGCCGAGGTGAGGGCCGAGGGCTGGATCGATATGGTGTTGTCGCTGACCGGCGGATGCCGTGATGCCCTTGCGATGCCGCCGGCCTCCGCCCTGGGCGCAACTGCTCGTGCTCGCGCTCTCGTCGATCGTCGCCGCCGGCGCGCGGGCCGCCCAGCCGGCCTCGCCGCCGCCGCCACCGCCGCCCTCTGCGCAGCAGCCGGCCACGCGCTACGCCTCCAGGATCGTCGAGACCAAGCAAGGACAGATTCGCGGCATCCTCCAGGTAACTGCGCCGATCGGCATCGGTAGGCCCGATCTCTCTTGATCACGCCGGGCTCTCGGCACGTCGTGCGCTTCGGCTAGCGCGCTCTGCTCGCCGTTGGATACGAGCTCGTCGAACGATTGCTTGGCCGCGGGCCGCTTCTGTGTGTTGTTGTATTTCCATTAGCCATTCGGCAGACCACGAATGCGCTTTTAAACTTATTGAAAATCGACGGAATCCAAGAGTGTACTCGTATACTCGATGCGCGTATTTTTGAAATATCGTAGTAACCAGCGCACGGCGCGGAGCGAGAATGCATAAAAGCCGAGCGTGGCCGCGTATAAAATAGCGGACTGCAGCTCGGCCGTATCGCGTGTCAAACGAATCGAAAATGAAAATCGCATGATCGCGCGCATAATGCAGCCCGCTGACTGCGCCCGAGGAATCGATAGCGCGCGCCAGGTCGAGCGCCGGCATAAATGTTTACGGGTAGACGTGCGGCGCGGCGAGGAGTATTTATGAAAAGGGCTGCACAGAGATGCGCCCGGACGATGTTTGCAGGCTGCGGGCGCGCCTGTGGGCCGGAATCCCGCAAACGCCGATCAATTGTAAAATAGATTGATATTTCTGGGCGCAGCGCGTTAATCCCCCCCTTCCCCTTCCTCCTTCCCCTCACCTCCTCCCTCAACAGGCTCGCGGCGCACTCGCGTTCGACCATTCCACGATGACTATTGGAGTCCGACTTGGCGCGGACCACCTGGTTAGCCCCGGCATTCGCGCGCCCGCTCTCCCGTTCGCGTAATTGTCAGCGTTATTGCGATGTGACGAGTCGCTCGCTGGCTCGCCCGGCTTTCTTCTGTCCGCGAGCGCGCGCGTATCGATCAGCCCCTCGGCCGCCTGATCAATAGTTACGAGCGCGCGACCTCTCCGAGGGCAATTCGTGCGCGCCTCGACACGTGTACAGCGCGCCGCGATTCGCCGACGAACGCGCCTGTTTGAAGAAGACTCGCCGCGTAATTGCCAAACGAGCGCGGCCGCGCCATTAGTCGGCATTTTCCAGCTGGAGCCCCGATAATTTCCAGATAATGCCCATTGTGCGGGCGCGCGCACTGACAGAACTGATGCACGTTCTGACGATACATTTTTAACCGGCCAACAATGCCCGAATAATCTCTCTCTCTCTCCAAGTGCTGACAAACAGCGACGACTGGGCAATTTGATTAATGCGTCGACATCCGCTATCGATTGGCGCGCGCGTACGTGCACGCGCGGCCAAATGCCGCCACTCTTTTGACGCCGCGCGCGCTGCGGAATTATCGCCCCGCCGGCCCGGTAATTACGAAAGATGGATTTGCGCGCGCGCGCCGGATATAAACAGCCCTCCTCGTCGAGACAAATCAGGTGATTCACGCCCCGGCGATCAATCATGCATTAGGCTAAATTCAACTGTTCCCGCGCGCCCAAATGCTTCTCGCGCTTGCACCGCCGCGCCTTTGCCTCGGCTTCAAATATTCATCACAGTAATGTCGTTCTACAGTACAGTTTTAGGGTAACCCAATCCTGGATGTACTGCAATAGTGCGAAGTACAGTTTGCAATTATTGAAGAACTGCTTTCGTCGCCGTCACCGAAAGTTTTAATTCAAAGGGACACGCGTCGCAGTTGAGTAAAGTTCGATGATACGCCAACGGCTGACAATAATCCTCGCTGTTATAGTCAACACAAGTTTTTCGTTATGCATTCGAACATCCACTATGTTTGCGTTATTGTACGACCGAGTGATTCGGTCATTCATTCATACTGTTACATTCTGTACGTGATGCTCATCTCAATTGAACGCTATTTCTTACCACACGTGCAGCTTGTATTATTCGAGCGATACAGCCAAAAAACAAAGCGCAAGATTCGTTATTGAACGGCCATTTCGTAAGTCACAACACGAAGGCGAAAGGCGCGACAACCGTTTCGAGAAAGGTCGAAAGCATCGCCGGGGCTGGACAAGGGCGAAAAGTATAAGAGAGCGTGGACATTATTAAAACGGCATACTATCCGCTTAATAACATCCGATGCGCGGGAGGCAGGGTTGTGAACTGAGGGGGTGGCAGAAAGGAGGGGGACAGAGGGATATTGGATTAACGATGAAAAAGTTGAGTGTCGGTTGCATAATCTTGGCAGTCGGCCAGCGATGATTAACCGCGTCGCCTGTATAATTTTTCGCGCGCAGCCGGCATAATAAGAAGACCGAGGCGGTGACTGCGATCAATCGCGCGCGCGCGCGCGTCCGACGCGCCGAACATCAATTACACCTAATTGATATTCACGCGGCGAGCGGCCGCGCGGCCCATTGACGTTTCGGCCGCCTCGTCCGTCAGCCGTCGGCCAAATGGCTTCCGCTCTCGTGGCCCTCCCTCGCTGACGTTTCGTGCCAAGTGCGTGTGCGTATTACATGGGCCACGTCGCCTGCTAAATATTCCATACATTATTTGCGGGGCCGCCGTCGCCGGCTTTGCGCAGTGCTACGTGCCGCCGTCATCCGCGCCGCGACGAATTTATGGCTGACCAGATATTGAGCTTTTTATTGGCTCACTTTTCCAATGCCACATCGGAGCTTGATTCGCTCTCGAAAGGGCACGTACTTCGGCCCACATCCGATCGAACCCCGCGGCGACTTTTGCCCGGCCACGAATATATATTTACTCGATTTCAGTCGCACATTATATTTCCGAAATGAAACCGACGGGTATTATTTTTCAAAGCTCGACTCGGCTTCTCGAAGACCTCGCGGGATAAGGAAGGGACGCTCGAAAATGAGAATTGGAAAACTTGAGCTCTAGAGGAAATGATAAAATTTGTTGCTCAAGTTAAAGAAGTGCATGCTTCGGCAAGCCCCTGCACATCCGATTGAATTTTAAACGCGCGTTGAAGTTTGAAAGAAAGGTCATGAAAAATTTAAAGTCATTTGCGAAGCTAAGGCCGAAGCTTTACCTTGGCAAACTCCTCTAAAGACACGGCATTACTTTTGAAAGGTCTTCCCAGTAGAAGCACGGCCGACGACTGTCGTGGTAATAATCAGTCGAGCAAAAGTCAGTGCAGGCATTGGCAGGAGTAGCGCCAAGGTGGTATCGCAAGCCCATCCGGGCAGAAAACAGCAGCGAAGGGAGACAGAGCGAGCGACGATAATCTCTGTAAGCAAGGGGCTCGCGTGGCCGCTGCTGGCCACTGTCCGAAGCGTTTGTCGGTGACGTTCGTTCGCGCGCGCTGGCCGAAGCGTTTCGCCCCCGAACAAACGTTTGTCTCGCGCCGCGCGAGTTTCCAAACTGAATAAAAGCGGTCGACGCAGAGTCCCCAGCTCCGGTAAACTTTTAGCCAAACAATGTCCAACTTTGCCCGGTCGCACGTCCAATTTATAGATGTAGCAGTACTGATTAAGTAAGCAAACGGCGGAAGCGTACGCGGCGTCCATTGATGCCCGCCGAAGATTTCGCTCGATTTTTCAAAAGCGCGAACGTGGCACCGGTTCAAATGACCGATCACAGGCAAGCGAACAACGACCACAGGTCAGAGAACTGATTCGTTCGGCGAGCGCGATACTTGATTAAGCCGCTGCCTTGGCCCATTAGACAGCCAGCAGGTAGCCTTTGACGTTTGCTACGGCGGTAATACCCTTAATTATGTACTATTATCCGCGGACGCGAGCGCGCGCTTTGATTGGGGGCTTAGAGGGACGCAGCGGGCCGCAGCGGGCCGCAGCGGGCGTCCATTTGTCCGTAAGAATTCGCTCTGTGGGGTTTGGCGATGCCCTCGATGCGCGCTCGCGATCGATGGATCGCCAAAGCCAGCCGAACGCTCGAGACTGGTCGTCAATTTTAATTCGCAGCGGTGCGCGCTGGCGTTTATTAAAGCTCTCGGAATACTGCGCTCGACGGTCGACGGACGAGGCGGCGGCGCTAAGGGTCGCTCGCGATAAGGGATTACGGTCACGCGCGGCCCTTCGATTGATTCCCCGGATGAAATCGTCGGCGCATAAAGAGACGCCGCAGCAGCGCGCAGGGCGAAATTATAATAACTCCCAGCCGTCGTCGCCGCGCCTCTCGTCGCGCCACTCGTCGCGCATGCTCGGCACGTTTGTGCGCGCCGTATTATTTTATTTCGGAGCCTGGCTGCGCTCCTTGTCCGCCGATATTTATGCCGCGCGGTACTGCGTTTTATGCTGATGAGCGTCCTTTATGCTCGCGCTATCGCGGCCGCGCCTGTGAATGATGGCTCGGACGGCATTTCGGCGAGTCGCCGAATTGTCCGGCCCGAGCTTGATTTCTCAGGTCCGCGGCTAGAGCCGTTTGCGCCAGCGAGGGCCGAGCTCGCGCTCTTATCGGCGAGCTCTAGTCGGTGCGGTCGGCAAGCCGGCGCCGCGGCAAAAGTTTGCGCCGGGCAAACTCGCGCGCCCGCGCACTCCAGGCCCACTTGATTCGCCAAAATATAATCGCGTTTGGCCCGTTCTCGCGAATAATTTACCAGCTTGCACTGCGCACATCCGCGCACATTCGCGCGGTAATCAAATCAGCCGGCATTTGTGCAAACGGAGAATCGCGCGGCGCGCTAGCTTTGCGAGTTTCTCGTATTATCTACGTGGGAGCTCGGTCTTTTTTCTCCCTCGATTTTCCGTTGAGAGCCGGGCGCTGTCTCTCCGCTCTACATTATGTATAAACTCGACGGGCCGAATATTTTTACAACGCGAGCGAGAGCTGGATTCCAGGTTGGCGTGCGGTCGGACAATCCCTCGCCCTCCATCGGCAACTCGATATTTCGGCGTTCTCTCTCGTGCTATATTCCGCCGGTATAAAAATATGCATTAAAGCCAAATGTACGAGGGCTCTCGCAGTTAGTCTTTTCATAACGGATCTTTCGTGCGCTGCAAATACTTTCCTTTTTTCTGCGGCCTTCGCCGCTGAATGGTTATATTTAAGATCGCGCTGTAAAAAATGTATCCTGGCTTTTTCCTCCATTCAGAGTCACATTCAACGTGGCTATGAATTTTCGAAAAAGCTTTCTTTGTTCGATGCATTATATACGCGCGCATCGTTAAGAATTTACAATGACGTAAATTGGCGGCGCATGAAAAAGTTACAGCACTCGATGCAAACTTCGTGCCCGAGGTTTTGTTCGCTCCGATTCTGGACAACTTTTCTTTCTTTTCCTAACAAATAAATGTCTCTCTCGGTGCCAGTGCTTCGCTCGAATTTGACGACGTCGCCGAAAACGGAACACCGACGTAGCTACGGCGAAGAAAATCGGAAATGTAGGCGAGACAGTCGCCCCAGAGGCGAGTTTCGCGCGGCGTCGTCGGCGGATTGCTCGAAGCGGCACGCGAAGCCAGCAGCGGGCTCTGGATTACCGAACGATTGCAGGAGCTGAACAGCCAGCAGTTGGACCCGGTGGAGGTGTTCCGTGGGATCCCGTACGCGGCCGCCCCAGTGGGCGAGCTGCGCTTCCGGCCGGCCCAGGAGCCCGCGGAGTGGAAAGGCGTGAAGCGCGCCGACAGCTTCGGCCCGGCGTGCCCGCAAAAGCTGCCGGACATACGCAACGAGAGCGCCGCCCTGCAAGACATGCCGCTCGGCCGCTACAACCAGCTCGGCAGGCTCTTCAAGTTCCTCGGCCATCAGAGCGAGGACTGCCTCTACCTCAACCTCTACATTCCAGCCAGCGGTATGTTTCAGCTACTTCAAAGTCCGATCGGATTCGACCGAGCCGGCTCGACTCGATACTCGGGCTCCAGCGCCGGCTCGACTCGCTTACGTGCCTGGAATCCGCAAAGGCTCCTTTCTGCATCTCCGCCGCGCCACAATGACCCCTTCGCGCTTTCGCTCGCAGACCTCGTTGTACTCCTTACAACCGACTGTTTGCGCTTCTCTTTTCGCGCTCCCCGTCGCCTCCTCAATGGAGCTTTTCATAATTATACGCTGTAACTTCGTCCGCGACGAGCTAACGGCTGCGTTTGCCGCGCCTCAAAGCACCTCGAATTACGCTTGCTCGCGCATCATTGAAGAAAGCCGTGTGCGCAGGCAGGCGCTTTTTCACTTTGTGCCGAGGCGCACGGGCGACGAGCGTTGCGAGCGTTCAAGCTGATATTTACCCAGGCCGTGGGTGCAAAGTTGGCAGCCTCGGCCCACCAGCCTTCATAAAATCCAAAATCACATGCTCGAGCGGCTTGCGCCTTAACGAGTTTCTACAACAACTATCGTCCTGCGGGCGTGCGCGCAGCTGTTCGAGACGCAATATCAATCGAATATCACGCGGCGAACCTCTTCGTTCCACTGCTGCCATCGCCCCGCGCTGTACCACGTTAAGCCGAGCGGTCAGCTCTCGCTTTGAAAAAAGATCCACCCGGCCTTTGCGCAATTTTCGCCGCGCGCGACCATGTGCGTCGAGTTTTGCTTGGCAATTAGTTAATAACGGCTACTTTGTCGATGCTCGCGATCGCGGCTTTTAATTGCGCGGCTTTTTTCCCTTCTTTTCACCGCCGTCGTTCGAGGCTTTTTCACAGTAAACAGAGACTTCGTATTTGCATGTGTCATATATAGAGCGAGCGGAGAGTTTAATAGCTTCGCGAAGAACTTTGAGGATTCAAAACACTCGCGTGAAATCGTTCGGCTGACAGCCGCATATTTGGAATAACCGGCCTGTCTACAATGCACGTTCGGAAAAAGTAACGAAATTGAGGAGGCGACTCGGTGCAGCGCGATACACCCGCGCGAACGCGAATCGAATTCGGGCCGCGACCAATAAAACCCTCTCTAGCTGATGCGCTAATAGCTCCCTCCTCGAAAGAGCTTAAAGCGTTTGCGCATGCAGTGCGACGTCGCGAGTTACTGCGTGATTCGCTGCCTCTTTGCGCACTCGCAAATTCATCCGGGCTTTTTCTCTTTCCCCGAAAATTGTCGCGGCCTCTCTAGGATTAAACGAGTGATTTCGCTTTTTTACGTGAATTTACGCTTTTACCCGGCGATTGAATGTTTGCCACGAGTGAAATTCGGCGCTCAACGATTTTTTTGTTTTCAAATACGTTATCGTTGCACGAGCATTTAGCCAAACTTATTCCGCCGTATTCCATTGCTGCTCGCTGTCCAAGCTCGAATTTTTGTTGGCGTACAAGGCTATGTGAAACTCCACTTTTTTAGCGTGATCAATTATCTTCTACAATTTCATCACGGGCTCCAAAAGGTCAACATTTTATGGTTCGCGTTAAATAACATATGACCGTGAAGAATAATTCATTATCTGCGATTGATAGCCATGCTTTATAAGCCAAAGTCGAATAAGTAAAAACAGTCCGTATAAAAAATTAATCGATCGGTCGATGCTTTCAGCGCAACGAAATTCCAATCATTCAACGACTGGATGAATATTTGACGAGATGAAGGGTCAACGTTAATTAGATTTGGCAGCTAGCGACAGTGTTAAACGTCAATTACGAGCTTTGTGAATTTTATCTTTCCCGCGACAAGAATTTCTCTCCATCGAGCTCGTTCTTCGTTCGTTTTGCTTTGCACGTTACACACGGAGTTGCCACTGTGACGGCTTTGTGATCTGCGTCCATTAACAATGACGGCTTTTCAATAAAAGTCCGCGTAAACTTTGCCGAAATTGGGTGTAGCTATAGTAGTCGCCTTTTTCCGCAGCCGCGCTAACGAGAAACAACGTAGAGCAAGCTTCCAATTTATTTGGCAACACAGTGGATGGGAAGGTATTAGGTCTATAAATTACTTCGCTGCCTTTCATTCCCGCAATCGATGTTAACATTTTCCACCGGTGTCCATCAAGTCGAACGACGAATTGATTTATAAGCTTTTTTTTCCATATCACGCTGTTCACTCTTATTGTCAGCGTGCGCGCAGCATCTGCTGACCGCGCTGTATAATGAACAAATGTTTGGAATTCCAAAAAGTATTGAGATTGCCGCGAAGTCTAGGCTATGTCTCTTGATCGACTCCGCAGGGTATCAAATATCTAGCAGAAAAAGCCAATTATCGATAAAAAAAGAACACAGGAAAAGGCGCAATCGAGCGATGCATACATATATTGCTCTTTTTTCTCTGCAGCGTCGTTTCTTCGAGCTCTCCAAGCAGCAGCAAGATAAACTCGCGCTTTCGTTTCACATTGGCGTTTAATTGAATCAAAGCTGCCGTGGAAAAGGCGACCACCACGACGATCGGGCAAAAAGCAAGCGTCAGCTGGTGAAAGCCCCGCGTGGAGGAAAAGAGAAATAAGAGCGCAAGAAAAATCCTGGAGCTAAGCACCGGCGTTAACGCGAAAAATAGAAGGGCGCAGCTATACCGTTTGCCGCGAAACGTAAAATCTCATCGGTGAGCGGCGCGTTCGACTCGGCGGCGCGCGGTAATCCAGTGGCGCGCACTCGTGCACTGCGTTTCTTTTTTTCTCTCTTTTCGTTCGAGCGGCACCCATATTTCTTCGGTCTCGAAATTCGAGCGATCGCGCGCGAGAGAGAGAGAGAGAGAGAGACAGAGAGACAGAGAGAGAGTATCGTAACGAGGAAGTCGCTTAAGGGCTCGGCGCTTCGCACGCGCGTGTAAATTATCACCTTAATGAATTCTCGTATCGCTTGCAATTACGGCGGAGCAGCTCTCCCTCGGGCTAATTAAAAGGCCCAGCTGATTCGAAAGGGAGAGAAAGAGAGAGAGAGCCCCCCTCGGTGTTTTTCAGCCCGAAACTTTGGGAGGATATCGCTTATGAAGTAGTAATTAAAGGAGCATTCGCCGGAAGGATGACTAAGGCAAAGAGAGAAAGTAACAGGTCCTCTTTTCTTTCTTTTGTTTGGCTCCGTTAACGGACTTTTCTCCGTTTTCTTGCTGGAAATAATACTCTCCCTGGCTTGCTCTGCGATTGAAACTTTTCGGCGCTCTTGCGGCTTTCCTGCAATTATCCCTAATTGCTATCATTCAGATTTCTTCTCTCTTGCTCTTTTCCAGCCGCTTCTTCGCTCGCCATCGCATTCGACCATTTGGATGTTCTTCTAATAGCTCTCGAGTGAGGCTTATCAAATAACGCTCGACAACTCCCTTATCAAACTTATCAGTCGCTCGAAATAGAGATGCAATCGTCATCCGTAATTCTTTGCGATTAAGACCAGCGTTGATTCTTACGCAGTCGAAAGGAAATCTCGCGGTTGAAAACAGGACAGTTAAGTCGCGACTGAATCGAAACTTGTGCCTCGATTGATTTTCAAAGTTGCCGAGTGGTTTTTCGGCGCGTTTTCACTGGATCCCAACGATAGTCAAGAATGAGCACGAGGGAGGCCATGCCATAAATGCCATGAAAAGTGCTGCTCGCAGCAAGCTTGCGGCGAGTAGCAACAATCGCTAATTGCTCCCGGGTCCGCCAATAGCGCTCGTGCGCGTGTGCCGGTGGTCGGCTTAGCAAGTAGCGCCGGACGAAAAAGCCTTTCGCGCGAGCTGGCAACTACGTTACGCGTGTGCCGGCCAATCGGCCACTTAAAATTCCAGCTTGCGTTGCGAATGCAAAGTGGTTTTTTGCCGAGCGCGAAATAAGGGAGAGGGGGGTGTTTAATTTGAGAGGGCAGCCGGGGCCGGGCCGGGCATAACTAACGAGCTGCGCGCTGGCTCGGCAGGTTTTTCCAAGTTTCGGGCTCGCATGCATATTAAGCCGCAGCCGGGCTCCCGGCCGGCTAAGAATATCAAGCGCGATTTCCCGAAGGAGCGCGCGCGGCCCAAGTCGAGCGAGAGCTGTTGTGTTGGTTGCAGGTGCCCGTGGACTGGAGGCGCCCTACGCCGTGATGGTCTACGTGCACGGTGAGAGCTTCGAGTGGGGCAGCGGTGCCGTTTACGACGGCTCCGCACTCGCCAGCGCCGGGCACGTCATCGTCGCCACCCTCAACTATCGCCTTGGAATCCTCGGTACGTATGCGCGACCGCGCATCTCTTTACGATCGTCTAATTGCGCACGCGCAACTGGGCCGCGAGCGCGAGAATGGGAGTGCGAACGAGGGCGGAAGCCAACTCGCCCGCAACTCCTTTCCTCGCGATCGTTTCTTCGCGAGTATTGGTCGCGACCGAGCTCGGCTTGGCTCGGCTCGGCTCGGCTCGCACTTCCAACTTTTTATGCGTCTCAGCTCCGTTCTGCTCCAGCGATGGCCCCACCTTTTAATGCCTCTTTTAAATGTTCCGCCCAAGCACTTTCGTCATTTCCGCCAGTTTATCTTCCAATTTTTTCCAATTCTCCCTTACTTCTCTTTTCTCGCTTGTTCAATAGCGACTCGCTTCAGCTTACTCGACGGATGCCGCGCCAACATTTTATAAGTTTAAGCGTTGAATCAGGCGTTCAAGCAAATGCAGTTCCGCCACGACGCAACCTCACTTTGTTCCGTCAAATGCCCTAAAGAATTCCTGCACTGCAAGCGCAGGTCCGCTTAAGCCAGCGCGCGTTAATCGCGCCGTAACGAAATCCAAACTGCGCGAATCGACCGAGATCAGATGTCATTCGTCGAGCGCGAGTTTTCGAGTGCGAAACGAGGCGCGAGTGTAACCAGCTTTGCGAGGCGAAATAAACGAGGCGAACCGTGTGAACGGCAGGTTTCCTGAGGACGAGGCCGATAACGGAACATCCAGACTCGGCGTCGAGCGGCAATTGGGCGCTGTACGACATAGCGATGGGCCTGCGCTGGCTGCGGGAAAACATCGGCGCCTTCGGCGGCGACCCGACTCGCGTGACCATAGTCGGCCACGACACGGGCGCCGCCCTGGTGAATTACTTGCTGCTGGCGCCCTTCGGCAAAGGTAAGCCAAAACCCTTTTGTCTCTCGGCTACGGCTTTGCGCGACCCAGCGCTAGATGAGTTAATTATTCTCGGCCCCCGCGTAGCTAGAACCTGCCAACTGCTCCGCCGCTCTCTCAAAAGCGTACGTGCCACTAATTAAAAATTAGCCGGGGCTCTTTGTTCGCCGAAATGCTTTGTGAGAACCAACACACGGGAATTGAGACGCCGCTCGTTAGAGCTGTTTTGCCGGTCGGCGCTATTTGTTTGGCTTTCCGCTTTTCCTCCTTCCTTGCGCCATAGACAGCTCTCCTCTTCTTCTCTTTCTTCGCTGCTGTTGTTTTACCGGGGCTATCCGGCCTATCGCCAGCTTCCAAATGCCGCGATATTGATAATCCTAAAGAGTGCGCAAATATTTGGGATGGTAACAAATCGAATCCTTCCGATTCCCCTTGCTGTTGTCGTCTCGACGTATAGGAAAGTGCTGACGAGTCCGAAGGGCGAAAACAGCAGACGTTTCAATTATCAACGCTAACCATCAATCTCCGTTCTCATCTGCTTCGTCATCGCCCCAAAGAAATCAAACATTTCTTTTTGTTTAATCTTCATTAGAACTCGCAATATCGAGATGTGCAGGAGGAGAAAGAAAGAGAGAGAGAGAGAGAGAGAGAGAGAGAGAGAGAGAGAGAGACAGAGAGAGCCTGTCGTGGTCAATTCGTGATAAAGCGATCGCGCACGGAGCTTCCGCGGACTCGTTGAGCCGTCGCCGATTGACACGTACTTCCTTCCCATTCAGTAGCTATTTTTCCGCGGTGTTGACAAACATTTATACAGTACAGACGTTCCTCTCGGATCATTAACCGAAGCGACTAGCAGCTAGCGAGTTGAACTTTTTGCCGACTGATTAATTGCTTCAAGCCGTCAAATCAGAACGTCTAGCTTTCCGCCCTTGCTACGTGACAAATCGTTTCTTTACTCACAGCATGTTTTCTTGCCCGTGACCTCTTTACCAGTGCCACTCTATACCACGACTGTATCAGGCGCGGAGCGGCTTGCGGAGGAAAAAGAGCGCTCGCTCTTCAACCTCGGCATCTGTTCTTTTCGCTAAAAGCTCCTTCCGCGAGCGTCGAGATCAGCGTTATCCCCCGCCCTAGACGCGCTTTTCCCCACTCATTTGAATTACATGCGGCATAAGCCTGACGCTTCCCCGGCTATGAAACCATTATGAATAAGTCATCAATCTCCTTTTCAAATTGTATCAAGCGCTCGGTGCCCTTGTTGGAGCTTCTTCGTTACTTACGACGTCGAAACATTCGAACTCGATCAAAATACTCGATTGGCGGCGCTAGTCCACTTGTTGAAAGAACAGCGACAGCTTTTCGAATTTGCGCTTGTCGATTTGTTTTCCAGAGCCGTCGAAACCCAACCCCATAGGAATCGCGAGCTCCGTAAATGTTTGCGGCAGGCGTCGTTACAACAGACCTTTCAAAAATAAGACTGCAGGTGAAAGATCGCGGCTCGTAAGGCGTCAAATCCAGAAATAACTGGCGAACAGTGGCGCGCCCAAGCGAAAGAAAAGCTTCGTTCTCCGGGCTACGTAAGTGATAGATTGGGCTGCGAGTAAAAACCGGACAGAGAAGCCGCTTTGCGCATTGAAAAAAGCAAGTCTGAAATAGAAATAGGATTGGAAGACTCAAGCAGAGAGCAGCGGCGACGGGGATGGCGGCAACATGCGAACGCGATTCGATTTTGATCGTATCGCGCTCGGCATCGCCGACAAACGACATAAAGATTTCTATCGAATCGCGCTCTCGAAAGCGATAAGCCCGGCATAACGCTAATAGAAAGAGGCGAGGGTTGGAGCAGAGAAAAAGCGCAGCGCACCGACGGCCGGCCGATATCGGGCGCAGGTATACGAGCAAGAGAAAGGGGCGAGCCAGCGACGCGCGCAGCACAATAAAATCGCGAGCCAAGGAGCGTCGATGAGGCTCGGTCCACAGCCTCGAGGGATTCGAGCTTCCTATCTGCGAAGTTAGCCAGTGTTTGCCTTCGCGAAGATGCTTCCTGCCCGGGATGTTTGCCCAGCGGATCCGTCCAGCAGCTTAATGTGATTGTTCGCGAGGTTCGGTGCCTCGCGCGTTTTCGCGGCCGACAAATTTGCATCGACGGACAAGTGTCGGCAATAAACGTTGGCTGAATTCATTCGGGCGTTCAGCTCCAAGTGCAAACAAGTCCGGCATAATAGAGAGCGATATCGAATGTATTTCTCGACAGTTGACCTCGACGTTACGAGCATTGGAACTTAGCAAGCCTAACGTTTCCGTCAAATTACCGCTGGGACATTACCTCGCGAGCGAACGAGGTATGCGCGCGGCGTATCGTTCGGCAGAACTTCTGGCGTGTCCGTTTTTAAAATGCTTCCTTCGATTTCGACCGATTGCTCACGCCGACCAAGCAAAGTTTCAGTGAAAACCGTTGGCAGCGCGATTGCAGGCTATCACGTAAGATTGCCGAAGGCTCGGCGATGAATCATCGTTCTTATCGGGGCTGCGCGAGGTGGCTACGGGAAAAGCGGGCCTTGGCAGCGGCGAGCGCACGTAAGCCGCGGGGCGTCTTGGCGAGGACGCTCGGTTCGAGTCGCAGGTAATGCCCGTGAGCCCCCCGTGAGTTTCTTCCTCGTCGCGCGCGACGCTCCCAATCTTCCCAGTGATTGTGGTCAGCGTGCGCTCAGACCTTTCGGCTCGCTAAATACCCGGGACTTTTCACGTTGACTTGGCGTTACCATCGCGCGAACGCCAATATACTCACGGCTCCCTTTGAATTCGCGGAGCGAAACGCGTTACATTAAATGCGCTAGCAATGATCTCGGCGCTAATCCTGTAAAAGCGGCAATCCGCGCGGTTGCAATTCGATTAATAATTGAATTGTCGGAAGGAACAGGCAGTGCCGGTGCTGCCGCTTTAAATCTCGCTCCAAGCGATATAATCGCGTAAACGGTGCACTCGCGAGAAATTGAAAGCTCGGTTTGCGTTGAAAGGCTCGCGTGGCCCTGAAAAGGAAAAGGCAGCCGCGGCGGGTCGTTCGCGCGCGCGCGCGCGCGCGGGGACGTTATTAAAACGCGCGGAAACATTAAAGTAAATAGAACGAGCAAGATGTCGCGAGCGCGGCGGCAGACGAAGAAGAAGAAGAAGACGAAGGAGGGGGAAGAGGAGGAGTAAATACCGCGACCACGACGCAGGCGTCTCTGGTAATTAGAGAAAAGTAGCCTGGGCGCGGCAATTAGGGGCATGCATGCCCGAGCGAGCGTCTTTTATAATTGGCCGCGAAATTGCGCCGAGCGACGACAAGAGAGAAGAGAAAGGGGCGGGGAAGGGGGGGGGGGGGAGAGACGAAAAATGCCTTTGCACAATTGAGGCTCAAAGGGATAAAAAAAGCCGCAAGCGTGCTTTGTCGGAGAGCGAGTTCTTTGTCGCGCGAGAGCTCGCCGCGAAGACGCGCTGTACAAGTTGTAAAGTGCTTTACGGCGCGCCGTAAAATCTGCGTTACAGCTGCGTTTTCAAATCCGATAAAGCCGACCTGCCCGTTCTTCGTATTAAGCAAACGCGCTGAAAACACACACGCGCGCGCGCGCGCGAACGCTTCAAGGAATCTTAATTGCCGAGAACCAAAGACAATAAATTTCCTTGGCAGCCTTTCAAACTTTGATTTACTTTCGATCCCTCCCGCATACGTATATATACGTGCACCCTCGGCGAAAATTGCCAAGTTACAGCGGCTGAGGCCTTTGTGCGAGAGAACTCTAGCGGGCCATTCTTCCCCGAGTGTTATCACTTCGCCTCATTGTGTTTCCTGTTTGCTTTTAATCTTTGTGCCACCGAAAGCCACCCGCCCATTTTCGTTGGCTCGCACCTGCGTGCGAGAGAGCCGTTCTCAGGGATCGAACGTCGCCGCCGCCACCGTCGTAGCTTTTCTTTTTTCTCGACTCTTTCTCTCCTCGACGGTCGCGTCGGAAATTCGGTTAGCGAGAGTGGCTGCAACTTCGGTATGTAAATGGCTCGCTGAATTGGATTAAGCCGGCAAAATGTTCGCTGATTGACGAGAACTTTAATTGAATTTATGAACATTGAATTGGAATTTTTCACCTCCTCGCTTGGTACTTTTTTTCCCCCCGTCGCTTCTTCTCGAGGATTACGACTGTCAATGAATGCCGATTGAATACTCGCGAAAGAATTAATTGCTTAACATCGCTCCGAAAAGGACTGAAGCGCATTTACATCGCTGCCATACGGACGGCAATGCCATCGGAAAAAGCAACTAGCGTCGAGGCAAAAAAATGAATAAATAAAAAAAAAAGAACGAAACATCTACAAAAGAAAAAAAAAGAAGTTCGATCCCTTGGAAAACTCAATCAACAAAATCCCGTGGTGCGAGAATAATAGGCTCGTGATTTTTTTTTTCGTTGCGCGCTGCTCAGCCAAATTGAAAAACTAATTGAATGGATTTACGCTCCGTTGGTGGCGTACACTTGCTTGGCGTTTTCCGCGTGTGTTATTTTTCGGGCCCAACGCAACGCGCTCGACTGGAGCGCCTGGATGCCGATGAATAATGCTAATCCGCGCGCGGGCGTGCTCCTCGTTATCCGTCGTTTAACGCGTCCGCGCTCATTATTTTCGCCGTCGCGGCGCCGTATCCCTAGCGGCTATTGGCATTTTTCATGCGAGCGACGCAGTGTTGTAAATAACAGCCGCTTGGTTGCGGCCAGCGAGAGGAGTAGCGCTAATAAACCGTCGGCATAATTAGACACTTTTGCGACAACGATCTGTCGCGTTAGCCAAATGTAATCAGGCCGGGACGCGTATAATTGAGATATCAGCATTGGCATGACTCCAGGTCTGTCTCTTTCGGCGCACTACATAGACATCGACTCGTCTTTTAATAGCTGCAATAAAGCTTCATTCCGCCCGAATGAATCCGTCATCCCCGCGCGTATCGCCTGCCTCGACGGCGTCGATTGCGCTCCTTATCTATCGGCTGTGCAGCTGCACTGACACTCGCTTGCTGTCGAACGTAACGAATCGTTGACTCTGTCTGCTCTTTCCAAACGCAAACAAACAAACGGACCTACGAGGAGAGCCGTATTTTCAGCCGTGTCGCATACTGCGGAATCAGGTTTAAAAAGAAACGGTAAAGCCGGAACTTTGTTCGAGTGCTTTTGCGCCGTGTTTCCATTCAACGCCTCTAACAACAATATTCGCCGGTTTCGGATAGCCTCCGTAAAAAGAGAGCGCGCGAGAGAAACGATAAAGCTCGGCTTGAAAACATTTGCTCGGACGCTCTCGACATCTTTTTCTGCTCGGACATGACTGGCGTGTGAGTTCGTTTGATCGAACTGCGCGCCGGTCGGGCAAACTAATCAACGCCTGCGCGTCAAACGTGAAATTGCAAGCGACGAAAACGAAAGGTCGCATAACGTATGTACATTTAAAATGCGCTGGCACACAGGTCTGTTCCACAACGTGGTCCTGCTGAGCGGCTCGGCGCTGAGCCCCTGGGCTGCGGTTCACGACCCGAACGAACTGCGGACGCAGGTCGCCAAGCAGCTCGACTGCCGCTACGAGAACGACGAGGATATCGCTGAGTGTCTGCGCGCCTCATCCCTCGAGGCCATCCTCGGCGTCGAGCTCAACGAGATTAAGTATGCTATTGGCGCACAGATCACTGATGCAAACAACGTCGCCGCGATTGCCAACGGGACCCTACTCGCAAAGGCCGTTTTCGAATTTTGGATGACCGCGACTGGACGCTCGAGTGCATGTTTCGTGCGCGCCATTATTTTAGCCGATAAACGGATTCGGAGCAGTGCTAACGGTTTTACGAAGATGGGATGAGTCGATTGAACGAAGCGGGCGAAAGAGCCGCGAGGGGGTTGAAAGCGAGCCGGCATAATCGACGGGCTCGGCAACTCGGTAACTCGGCAACTCGACGACACAAGTGCGAGCGATAAGGAAGAACGGGCGACGTTGTCCGAGGACTAAAGACCCGAAGGATAGCGGGACGAATCTAACGCTAACTTGCACTGAGCGGAAACCGGCGATGGCCCGCAGATTCATGCCGTCGATCGGACCGAGCGTGCCGGTGGACGGCTCCCACCCGGAACCGGGCCTCGACATGGAGCGGCTGAGCGATGCGTTCATCAAGGTGCCGCTGGTGCTGGGCTGCAGCACCGCCGAGTCCTATCTGGACTTCAACGCCAACGACATCCAATACGGCTTCGAGGAGGACCAGCGCAATCGGGTGCTGCGCACCTTCATCCGCAACGCCTACGTGTATCATCTTAACGAGATCTTTAGCGCGGTGAGGAACGAGTACACCGACTGGGACAAACCGGTGCTGCACCCCATCAACATCCGCGAGTCGACCATGGAAGCGCTCAGCGACGGCCACACGGTTGCGCCCCTCATGCGAATCGCCTTCTACCACGCCAGGCGCGGGGCCAACACCTACTTCTTCCACTTCAATTACCAGACTAAGGACAGCGACTATCCGCAGGTCAGCCCTTTGCGCTTCTTCGCCCCTCTTTCCCTGCCCTATACGGCGACCTTCGCTCGGCTTCCCTTTACCGTGCTCGCCACTCGTCTGCTCAAAGTCTACTCGCGCTCATTAGACATTAGAAATTTTCAATGGCAAAATTCAGGCCTGCTGAGCGCCAGTCGTAGAGTGGAACTCCGATATCCAGCTACGGATCGTGCAGTGGCCCTCTCCGCTTCTCTTACTTTCTCCACTAGAAACAACTGTTTTCACTCGATGACGATTTCATCCCCGTTGCCAAGTCCCCAGCCACTGTTTCAGCATCACAGCGTGCTCTTAAAGCAGATATTCATCGCTAACGAACATCGAAACGGAAATTATTGCCTTTCAATTCGGTTCATCCGATAGCTGGACGTTGCGAAGGAGCAATCAACACTCGAGATGTCGGATAAGGCGATTTCGCGTTCAATCGACGCGAGCCTTGTGCTTTTTCGGGCTTTATTTTATGCGCGACGTGGAGGAAGAAGAAGAAGAAGAAGAAGAAGAAGCGGGAGGTCTTCTGTCGGGGGGTAAGCAAGCGGAGCACGCGATAAAAAGGCCGAGTTTTCGGGCGGCGGAAGCAATGAGCGAGCGCGGTCCTTTGTGCGCGCGCCTCAAAGTTCCTTTCATGCGGCCCGCGCGCGTTCGTGTGCGAGGGAGTGTACACGTTGCGCCCAGGTGGATGAAAATCGATGGCCAAGCTCATCTCGCGCTGGAAGAATACCACGGCTCCCATCCTCTTCCAAAGAGAGAGAGAGAGAGAGAGAGAGAGAGAGAGAGAGAGAGCGGGGGACGGGGGGGGCGGTACTATTTTTTAGGACGAGCTTTGTGCGTTAAATATACTGGCGCAAGGGAATTTATGCGTCTGGACGTGTTTTCGCGGTTTTTTCGTTCTCCTTTTCGCGGTGCCTCAGCTGGCGTATCAGAGATGTATGATTTAATAAATTTGTAAGCTTCGCCGGGCTTTGCGAGCGGACGGCCGGTGGCTCGATGCAGCTGAGAGTCGCTTGTACGAGATCTTTTGAGCTTTATGGGCCATAAAAGTGCGAGCTTTTTTCGTTCAAACAAAAGGCGATCGGCGAGGTTTTGCGGAATTGAGCCGGCGCCGGACCTTTTACTCGGCCGCGGCTCGTCGATCGTTCGGCCGTCGAATTGCGATCGTTGCGCCGATTTTATTGTCAATTTTCTCGGGATCGTTAATTGCGTCGTGAGAGCTGCAGCCAAGCGTTTCGCCGGCACGACGCCGAGGTAACTGGATGAGCGTCAGATTGAAAAGCTGCTGAAAACAAGAAAGTTGATTATTGAATTGAAAGGTTTCTCGGGAGGAGCATTATAAAATGTATAGGTATAAGTGGTGCTGCCGAGCCAGCCGGCAACTCGGTCGTTGCTGCAATTTCGAACAATATTTGAAGTTTGAAAAGTTAGTCCGCAATTTTGATAATACCCGAGGAAGACTAACGAAATTAGAAAGCCAGAAGACCCGTTAACAGAGACTTGAGGAGCGCGCTCGAAAAATCAGGCAAAGCCGCGGCAGCGAGTCGTCGCAAACTCGCGCTATATAGCCATCCGCCGAGCAATAGCGAACTCTTCGCCGGAACAAGTTGGCCCGTCGACTGCGAGCGGCCCGGAATATAAGCGTCGACGCGATAACTCGGCCGTAATGCAGAGCTACGCGCGGTCCAAATTAAAATCACTCGGCATATCGCTTTCCATTCAATTTTTTCGGCGTTCGGCGGCAAGTTGGCGATTCAAGATTCAATTAGTGACGGGCGCGCGTCTCCAAGTGAATTCCTCAGTGCGGCAATTACGCGCGAGGCAAGCGAGGCAGCAGGCGAGGCAACGGCCGGCAGCAGATCTCCTCTGTAATTAAAAGCGAGCTCGTTGCAGCTCTTCATTTCGTAATAATATTTTCCATTCTCCCCGCGCTCCTCCAGCGTTTTTCTCCCTCGTTACACCTTTTCCTGCGCTATTTCCGGGCTTTTTCCCTCGCACCGGCTCCGCGGGACGAGGCAAAGCGTATTTCAGACCTCGCGTTTGTTTTGTGCCAGATTCGCTCGCATTATGCATTATAAAACACTTTTTATAATACTACGCTAGCTCTCGAGTGAACTCTCGCGTTGCCCTTTTTGCGCCCACCTTTTCTTGCTGCTTTTCTAAGCCGCGCGCGGCGCTTTCGGATCTTTTTGTTGGCGAGTGAAGCGAGAAAATGCTTTTTCATGCGGTCGTTCGCGCGATAGAAGTAGTGCCGTGCGTCGTACTGTTCCCAAGCTATTAAAGCCGACGAGGCGCTCCGGCCGAGGCCGAGCAGGTGCGCCCCGTCGGTCGTCGACGAGTAGAGGCTCAAGTTGCACTCCGAAACAGAGGCTGGGCAGCGTACGAGGCGAGGCGATCCCGTACGTGTTCGGCTTGCCGCTGATCGCAGGCGGCCGCTTCTTCCCGCAAAACTACTCGCGCGCCGACCAGGGCGTCGCCGAGGCGGTGCTCACCTTCTTCACCAACTTCGCCAAGACGGGCAACCCCAACGAGCCGCACCACATCGAGACCGTGGACTACGGCACCGTCAAGGAGAAGACTCGCTATCGGGGCCTCACTTGGGACAAGTACGAGACCGGCAGCCAGCAGTACCTTATGATCGGTGAGTTTCCACGGCCACGAATGGCGAGCCGCTGAGCGCCGTCTGACCTGCGAACGATCAATGCCGCGCAGCCCTCAAGCCGAAGATGAAGAACCACTACCGGGGACACAAGATGGCGGTGTGGCTGAACCTTATCCCGCAGTTGCACCAGCCAGGCGACGATGTCTCGATGAAGCACCACCACTTCCGGGAGAAGGAGGACGCCTTCTACGCGGGTGAGTGAGGGAGCCGAGGGGAGCCGAGGGGAGCCGAGAGGAGCGGCAACTGAGCTGAAGGCGCGCTCGACAGGGCCGGTGCGCGACGAGTGGTACACGCCGGTGCCACTGCCGGGCGGCGGCGGCGACGGCGGCAGCGGCGGCCGAGCGAGCAGCTCGTCGTCGACGACCTCGTGCGCGACGCCGAGCCGTGAGGACGCCGAGGAGGGCCAGGAGGGCGCACAACGGCGCGGCACGCCGGCCACGCAGAGCGCCAACGCCATACTGGACGACAACAAGGACGACGCGGAGCTGCTGCAGCGGCTGGCCTCGCGCCACTACTACAGCACCACCACCGCGCTGGCCATCACCGTCGGCGTCGGCTGCATCCTGCTCGTGCTCAACATGCTCATCTTCGCCGGCATCTACTACCAGCGCGACCGCGACAAGAAGCGCGCACGGGTGGCGCTGGGCGCCTCCGCCGGCAACGGCCACGACAGCCTGCCTATGAGCAGCCGCTGCGGCAAGGAGGGCGCCGAGCGCAGGGCCTCCTCCGCCCAGGAGGCGCCGCCCAGCTACACCAGCCTACCCAAGAGCCCGACCTCCGTGCAGGTGCGCGCTCGGCGCCTCGCGCCTCGGGCTCTCGGGGCCTCCTCACAGCTGCGCTCCTCTCTGTGTTGCAGGACCAGGCGCAGGACTCGCAGCGCTGTCACGATCGCGTGAGCACGCTCAGCCGGCAGAAGGACCCGCATCCGCCGCGGCCGCCGCAGCGCACCTCCAGCTCACTGAGCGCCGGAGCGGCCGTCGGCACCGTCAAGAAACGCGTCCAGATCCAGGAGATCACCGTATAGCATTAGTGCTCGGCCCCTGAGGGCACCGTCGCGCGCGCGAAACGCGTCACCTTCGTCGACTCGGACGACGCCATCGTCGCCGCCGAGTCGCAGTTCTGATCGGCCGAGAGACCGGGTGACGCGGGCCTGCACTCATTTCGCCGAGCGCCACGGCCATCCTGCTTATTGCCCGCGCCCGCTCCGCACGACAGCCAGCGGCGTGCGCGCCACTTGTCAGTCGCTTGGCCGCTGTCGGCGAAACGGGCAGCGTCATTCCAGACGTCGGGCCTGTTGCGAGCGGATTATGTATCTTTGTATTGTGTATAAAAACGATCGACCTAATCGCCAAGCACACGTCGCTCCCATTGCTGCTTGTACAATTGCTTTTCCCTTTCGTTTTGTCGTATAAGTATTTATGCCAACTATTCGACACACTGTTGCTCTCTCAGTATAGTCTGTAACATATTTAACTCGTTGATTAGTTATACACTTAATTACTATGTACGTTACGATATACTCGGCAGATATGTAGCTATAGGACAACACAAATGACAAGTCAGTTTACAGTCAACGCGCACAATGAACATTTGTACATTTCTTCGTAGATTGACAACAACAGGACGTATATTATGTAGCTCAGCAATTTTTCTACGGCTTCGGCCCTTCGATAAAACGACGCAATTTCGTCTTTCGCTACGTCCTTCAAGCTGTACAAATCGATAGCTAAATTGTGTAGTAAGCATCGTCGTATGAGTATTCTACGGGAATCGCGCCGATCTTACGGTATGCTGAAAATTGTATGTTACGGTGTGGCGAAATACAAAGTATGTTATTTTGACTGAAATGTTCACACTGACAGCTTGAGAAAACATTGAAACATCCTTCTTTATAGCTTCCTTTCAGAAGTGATTATGTAGGTATGCGTGGAAATGTCGGCAACAAGACATTGAAAGAAACTTTTTGAAATAATTTTTTTGCCAATAAATAAAAAAAGACCAACCAAAGAGACTTTGCACTTTTCACTTAGATTTAAGATATGCGTAATACACAACTTACTATAGGACTTTAGAACGTAAAAATTGCAAAATAACTTCAAGAGTAATTCAAGAGGGAAAATCATGGAAAAAATACCATAAATAACATTGTTGCCGGTTCTTCCATGAAAATATTGTAAAACGAAAGATGAATTATTCATCTCTTCCAACTTATTAGTTAACTAGTTTCATTCATTTGTATATTTCATTGTAAAACAATAAAATCAATTTATATAAGTATCAAAAATTTTCAAAAAAACTGTTTTTCCGAAATATCGACGCTCGATTTGCGTGCATCTCAATCATAACATTTACGATATTCTGTATATAAATAGAATTGAGTGTTTTTATTGATTAAACATGATTGTATCTATATTAAAAATTTTAAAAACTCAACAGCTTTTACTTTCTCTCTTATAAAATAGTTTATAAAATAATTTTTGAACTCAATTTAGAAACTTAATTACATTCATCACTTTTTAAAGCTAAATATTGAAATATCTTGCTAATGAAGCTGGGAGAGTTGATTTTAGCTTATTATCTAAATTATTTCTTATCTTCCATAGAATTGTTGGAGAGTACTTGAAATGCCAAATACCATTTCTTTTCCTTTCTGCCCATTTTTGAGCAAGTTGCAGAGATCTCTGATAACCTTTTACATCTTTATCTGTTGGTAAAAAAGGTTTGATGTCTGCGACAGTACCAAATCCTACTTTTAGCAATTCTTTTCCAATAGATGCTGGTTCCTTTACAAATAAAAATTCATCATAATAATTGTTTTCAACTGATAAGAATCAAATATCTTGTAAACATCTTACATTATCTTTTTGTGCCAGCATCACTATACATGTCAAAAATTCATTATCCTTAGCTATTGGCAAAAATTTTACTTTTTGTCCCTTAACTATTGCTTGCAACCAACTCATACCTGTGAAAAATAAAATCTATAGGAGAGCCTTGGAAAATATAATGAAAAAAATCAATATTATAAGTTACTTACCATTTCCAGTAATATTTACACCAGCTATTTTTACAGGTAAGTATTTTTGAATGCCCAGTCTAGGTAAAGGAACTAACGGCTTATGATCTATCAAAAGATATGGCTGTTCAGATGGTGCTACATTTTTCACTGTACCCTCAAGTAAGACTTTTTTGGTAAAAAAGTGTTTAGGCACATCAGATGGACTGGTAAACCTAGCAAACTATTATAATTTGTTTAACTTTATTGCAGAGAATATCAGTGTAAATAAATGTTATATAAGACACATACTGGTCTGATCTTGTACAATGCAGCTAAAAAGCCAATACCTGCTACTCCATAAGTTATTATCTAAAAAAGAATGAATGTTAAAATCAGTAGATCACAAAATAAATTACAGATATCATAGCATACCTGTACTCCCCTAGTATCATGTTCCATAAAGTTGGAAAATCGCTCAAAAAAATCCATTTTTTCTTCTTTATCCATGCTTTAACTTATTTTTCAAACTATTTACAATAAATCAGCTATTTCTTACATTAAAAAGTAAAACTAAATTTTAAATAGTTTCATAATATTTTACAGTGACAATCGGCTGCGTTACATGCTATGTTTATTCGTTATCGTCAGCGGTTGGAAGACTAACTTGCGACTCTTTCTATTTTAGCTAACATAACATAACCTCTATAGATAGAATATTATTGCAACAAAGTTGACACTCGTAAGATATAAGTGCCAAGCAAGGTCAAGATTCAAGAGCAACAGTATATTTTTCCGAAATGCATTTTTTCGGCCAAGTCACTAGAATTTATCACTGGAAATATCACGAAAAAGTTATGAAATATCTTATTTAAACATCTTTTCGAAAACGTAGTAGTGTAAAAATGTATTATTCAACATAAATAGTTTTCACTCGCTATTTGTATTTACTGTTACTGAAAATATCAAAAGATCATATAACAGTTGATATCAATAAAATTAGTTTTTTCCTTTTATTTAAAAACTAAAATGAATTGACATCGTAATAGTGGGATTTTCATTTAAATTGATAGGCCATCGAGTAATCGAAATGTTAAAAGCAGAATTTTGATGCGGTACTCACTTCAGTCCAAGCTTCAAGCGAAATTGAAAACACGAATAGGGTCAAGAGTCGGTTTTTGTGTGATTTGCAGTTAACAAATTAAACAATTTTACGAAAATTTTCGATGATTATTTAGTGTTAACAAAAAGCGTAATAATGAAAACTTTGGCACACCATTACGTCGTCACGGCTCACAAGCCGACAGCAGTCACAGCATGCGTGACCGGTAAGTTAACCTGATTTTTTTTCACGCTATCAGGTAGCGCGCAATTTTGGGTCTAATAATTTGTCTCTAATTTTGTGTTTTCTATGTCAAGGCAATTTTACGTCACCTACCGACTTAAATTTGATTTTGGCGAAAAACATGCGACTTGAGATCTATCTTGTTACTCCAGAGGGTCTTAGACCACTTAAAGAAGTTGGCATCTATGGGAAAATTGCTGTCATAAAATTTTTCAGACCACAAGTAAGTATATGATTAACACTAAATTACATTCAATTATCTCTTATTCATGATCCTTCATACGTCCTCTTTCAAATAGCACGAAAAGAAAGACTTACTTTTCCTATTAACTACACGATACAATGCAATGATTTTGGAGTGCATTGGAGAAGGAGAAGATATAGAAATCATCACAAAAGCACATGGTAATGTGTCTGATAGAATTGGCAAAGCATCTGAAACTGGAATCAAGGCTGTCATTGATCCTAAAGCAAGGGTCATTGGTTTACGACTCTATGATGGTTTATTTAAAATCATTCCACTTGACAAAGATAATTCAGAGCTAAAAGCTTCTTCTATTCGTATGGATGAACAAAATGTAAAATTATAATGATTTCAATATTTGCTTATGTATATTTGAAAAATACTCACTATTGATTATCAATTTTTAGGTTCAAGATGTTAATTTCTTACATGGTTGTGCTAATCCTACTTTGATATTAATTCATCAAGACATAAACGGTCGACATGTCAAGACTCATGAAATTTCATTGAGGGACAAAGAATTTGTAAAAATTCCTTGGAGACAAGATAATGTTGAGCGTGAAGCTATGATGGTTATACCTGTACCCTCTCCAATTTGTGGAGCAATTATTATAGGCCAAGAAAGCATTTTATACCATGATGGTACTACATATGTCACAGTAGTTCCACCAATTATAAAACAAAGCACCATCACATGCTATGCAAAAGTAGACAATCAAGGTCTTCGATATCTTTTAGGTGATATGGCAGGTCACTTATTTATGTTATTTTTAGAGCAGGATAAAAAGCCAGATGGCTCTATGGTTGTCAAAGATTTGAAAGTGGAGTTACTTGGAGAAGTTAGTATTCCAGAATGCATTACATATCTGGATAATGGTGTGATTTTTGTTGGTAGCCGTTTAGGTGATTCACAATTAATTAAATTAATCACCAAAGCTGATGAAAACGGATCCTACTGTGTTCCTATGGAAACTTTTACTAATCTTGCTCCCATTGTTGACATGGCTGTTGTTGATCTTGAGAGACAAGGGCAAGGGCAAATTGTCACTTGCTCAGGTGCTTTCAAAGAAGGTTCACTGAGAATAATCAGAAATGGAATTGGCATTCAAGAACATGCAAGTATAGACTTACCTGGAATTAAAGGAATGTGGGCTCTGAAAGTTGGAGGAGGCAATTTTGACAATACTTTAGTATTGTCTTTTGTGGGTCAAACAAGAGTGTTGGTATTGAATGGTGAAGAAGTAGAAGAAACAGAAATACCAGGATTCGTTGCGGATGAACAGACTTTCCATACAGGAAATGTTACCAATGATATAATTATTCAGATTACGCCAACATCAACAAGACTTGTATCCTCTGAAACTAAATCCGTCATTTCTGAATGGGAACCAGATAACAAAAGAAATATCAGTGTTGTTGCTTGCAATGGTACTCAGGTACTTTGTGCCACTGGAAATGATCTGTTCTATTTGGAAATAAATGGCAATCAAATAGTATCAAAAGGCTTTACAACTCTTCAACATGAAGTTGCCTGTCTTGACATTTCCCTATTGGATGGAAGCAATGAAGCAAAACTTGTTGCTGTTGGTTTGTGGACAGATATATCAGTTCGCATTTTAACTCTACCAAAATTAGAAGAAATAAACAAAGAGTTGCTTGGTGGAGAAATAATCCCTAGGTCCATACTTATGACTTGCTTTGAAGGCAACACATACTTGTTATGTGCTTTGGGAGATGGAAGCATGTACTATTTCACTCTAAACAAGCAAAATGGAATGCTAGCTGATAAAAAGAAAGTTACTTTAGGCACCCAACCAACAGTTTTGAGGACATTCAGATCTCTTTCGACCACCAACGTTTTTGCCTGCTCAGATCGTCCTACAGTCATTTACAGTTCCAATCACAAGCTCGTGTTCAGTAATGTGAACTTGAAAGAAGTTAATCACATGTGCTCACTGAATGCAGAATCATACCCAGATAGTTTGGCTCTTGCAACTGATAGTACTGGTAAATAATCCTGAAACTTTTAGAAAATTAATTTTTATTTGGAGTTTTTTTTAAATACTTTTTGTTGCACTTCGATTCTTTTTTCAGTTACCATTGGAACAATTGATGAAATTCAAAAACTTCACATCAGAACAGTACCCTTAGGCGAGTCACCCAGAAGAATTGCTTATCAAGAAATTACTCAAACTTTTGGTGTGATAACAATGCGTGTAGATGTTCAAGAAACCAACGGCATCAATATTGTCCGGCCATCTGCATCAACGCAGGCTGCTGCTGTGTCAAACAGCAATCCTATTGCCAGTCACAATAAGCCGAGTAACACGGCTAACGACATAGGTCAAGAAGTTGAAGTTCACAATCTCTTAATTGTTGATCAACATACCTTTGAAGTACTTCATGCTCATACTCTTATGCCAAGTGAATATGCAATGTCGCTCATTTCTACGAGATTAGGCGAAGATCCAACCCCATACTTTGTTGTTGGTACAGCTTTAATCAACCCTGACGAGTCTGAACCTAAAATGGGTAGAATTTTACTCTATCAATGGAATGACGGTAAACTAACACAGGTATATTGTAATTAAAAAAAGGAAAGTAACGACATTGTCCTTGATTTTATAACTAATCCTGTGCTTCTTTTAGGTAGCAGAGAAAGAAATCAAGGGTTCATGCTATTCACTTATCGAGTTTAATGGTAAACTTTTAGCAAGTATCAACAGTACTGTCAGGTTATTTGAATGGACTGCTGAAAAAGAGTTAAGATTGGAATGTAGTCATTTCAATAACATTATAGCTTTGTACTTGAAAACAAAAGGCGATTTTGTACTTGTTGGTGATTTGATGAGATCAGTAACTTTACTACAATATAAGACTATGGAAGGTAGCTTCGAGGAAATAGCTAGAGATTACAATCCTAATTGGATGACGGCTATTGAAATATTGGATGATGACACCTTCTTAGGATCAGAAAATTGTTTCAATCTTTTTGTTTGTCAAAAAGACAGGTGCGTTCAATAAATCATCAAATCGTTTTTATATTTATTATATTCGTGTCTATTTCTTACAGCGCCGCAACTTCAGAAGAAGAAAGGCAACAAATGCAAGAAGTTGGACAATTTCATTTAGGAGATATGGTTAACGTGTTTCGACATGGATCTCTAGTAATGCAGCATTTAGGTGAATCGAGTACCCCTACTCATGGTTGTGTTCTTTTTGGTACAGTAAGCGGTGCAATTGGTCTCGTCACACAAATTCCATCATCTTTCTACGAATTTCTACGTAATTTAGAAGATAGATTAACATCTGTTATTAAGAGCGTTGGTAAAATTGAACATCATTTCTGGAGAAGTTTCAACACCGATTTGAAGATCGAACAATGTGAAGGTTTCATTGATGGAGATTTAATCGAAAGTTTCTTGGATTTAAGTCACGAAAAAATGGCTGAAGTTGCCATGGGTTTAGTGGTGAGTTTCCAGTTTTGTTTCGGTTAATTTAATTAATACATTGTTCAAAAATATATTCATTATATTTTAGATTGACGACGGTAGTGGTATGAAGAAAGAAGCAACAGTTGATGATTTAGTGAAGATAGTTGAAGATCTTACGAGGATACACTAAATTCTTTTTTCTTATTATTTTTATTAATTTTACAGTAATTGTGTGACAAGTGACAAGGTTATTTATTTTAATCTAATACCCAAGCGCGATTACAAGGAAATGAAACGATGAGTGTAGTTATCTCGTAATAATGAGTACACCGTGAGTTATGTAAATATGTAAGAGTCAAACTCAAATTCATGGCATTCGTTAATTATATATAATTCATCAGATTCATGAATCAACTGCCCGTGAAAGTAACATTTACAGTTTGTAAAATATAGGAAAATTCATATCTTTATAAGTTTGATGTAGATTATGATCTCATTATATAGAGATTTTTCCTTTGATTCAATCTAAAGCAAATTTTATAATTTTATTAATGTAGTTTCCAAAACAAAAACAATGGTTCAACAGAAAAATATAGATTTTCAAAAACACCAATAGTTTAACATTTATAAATGTTCACCGACGACTTGCGTTCGCCAAGGTTACTGGATCAAATATCCATTCTCTCAATTTCTCGACACCTAGTCCTGTAACTCCACTGGCCTCGATAACCGTGATTTCTTGACGAACTTCTCTTTGGAGACGAGAAAAATGTAGCATGAGAAGAGCCTCATTTCTCATTTGGCGATAGGATAAGTCCATTTTTGTGAGTATTAAAGCAAATTTTGCTCGTTCCAGTTGTGGTTCGACCAATAATGAATAAAGTAATACACCTGCAGCACTTATTTGACATAAGTTACTTGTATCAACTACGTAGATCACCTTATACACCTGTATGTAGTAAAATATCAGAAATTACGTTTAAATAAGACTTGTATAATTTTTTTTTATTTCATATTTTACATTAAACGTTTCGTATAATTGACGTAAATTTGAAGCAAATGAAATATTTTTGAATATATTATTATTGAAAAAATAATTTATATAAATACCCTGTCTAGATGATGTTTCCAGATAGGTGCCATACTACCACCGATTTCCCGGATTTCCAACTCAAATTGTTTATCATTACTTCGTATCATAAAAAGATTGATACCATTAGTTTGTACCACGGACGTAGCATCGTCAATATCATCTCCGCGAAGTTTTCTTAAAAGTAAAGTTTTTCCAGATTTCATAGGTCCAATACACAAACACATTGCTACCACTTAATGTTCACTGAAATATTGATTAACGAATGAGTTTGCTATGCCAACAAGCTTTAGTGAAACCGGAACAACACGACAGAAGGAATATATGTATCAGTTCAACAGAAGTTCAATTTTTGTTGTTAAGTAGATTGATGGAATTTCTAAAATTTTTCTGAATAGCATGCATTTAATTGTCAAATAAAGTAGAAAATTGTATATAATACAAGAAAAATAATTAAATATTAAGTCTTTTGATTTAATACTAAAATAATACTAAAATAAAGTTGAATAAACAATTGTTTTTTCAGGAGAAAAATTAGTCTTGGAGGTGTACATAAATTTTTCATTATCGTTGTAATACGTCTGTTGAAATCAGAATACATATTATTCCAACTTTAAAAATCCACACATTTTTCAAGTCAATATAAACATTAATAAAAAAATACGTAAGAGGTTCTGAATTTAACATGATTTTTTATGTTACTTTTGCGCATGTCTTTATAATAGTTTAACTCAGATTCAGTCGATTTCGATGACGATGGGCTTATTTGAAAGAATATGCTAGCGAGTTAGTCGTTCATTTTATATTGGCTTGATTGAAGCATGACTTTGCGAGTAATTACAAAGATCTAAGATTGAAAACAGCCTGTTTTAGAAAAATTAATTGTATTTAACTTAATGAACGTTTTTCCTTGTAATCATTCCAACGCTTGTATTAATGTTATATACATAAAATGTATTTCGTACAGAATGGTTTTTTATTTCGATAAAATTTCAAAGTAAGTTCTTTATTTTCACGCGGTGCCAATAAATTCAAGCAATATGCATACTTTGTTTTTAGCTACACATTTACTTTTCAACCATTATTTTGCGATTGTAAATAGAATATTAATAAGAAAAACTAATACAATGCTTATGAACATAGAGATCTTTAAATTACTGCACATATTTTGTAACCAATGCCGCTACGATATAATAAGTATACACCGTAAAAAACCTATATACATGAAATAATTATGTTTAAAATTATCAAAAAAAAAAACTTTTTGTTAAATTAAATTTTAACATAAAACTTATACTAACTTAAAGAAAAGTATTAGAATTCATTCAGTGCTCAAAACTCAATAATTGCCACAGTACTTTTTTGCTAAACTGTATAGAAATGCAAGAATGCCTATAAACGCCGTAATTTAAAATTTATTTATTCTAAAAACTATTATTAATATCGTAACTTTTTAAATATCACTTTCAACAATTGAATAGAATAATATTCATTTTTTATCGTATTTGTATAATAAAGTTTCCAAAAAGTTCCCTGTTTGCGTAAATTAGATTTGGTTACTTAAATGTATTTCGACAATATAAATATATATGTATATAGATGGTAAAACTACCGTTTTCTTTTAACTCATTTTGTAATGATAATAGATATTTGCTTAATTTGACAAACATTGTGGGTATAAATGTGATCTCATCCCAAATATAGATTTACCCCAAAAATGATAAATGTAATCAACTAAAGGTATAAGGTATAAATTTAGGTAAAAAGGAAAATATAAATTGATAGCTTCCGGGAAAAACTAGAACGTCCGATTTTTATGGAAATTGAACTAATACCAGATCCTTAATGTTGAAATAACCTCATTTCAAAATATCTCATACAAAAAATTCCAAATCCAATAAAAATTCCTTCAAATATCCACATGCTATCCCGTAGTCTTACTCTCTACCTCGAGGTCTACTTCGTTAAAATGATCAATTTTCTACACGTACGCCATATTTACAATTTTGTGGTCATGGGAGAGTTCAGTAACCAATGAAATGTTCACAAAATAGTACATTACGATACAAGTGCCGGAAAGTGTATTCTTGTCTCGTGTGGCGTTTACGCCCGAGCGAAGCGAGGATGGAAAGGTACACGAGATGAGAAACTCTTTCCCGCACTTGTATCGTAATATACTATTAACGAAACATTTTTGCAATACGTTTTGGATATATTACATGAAACATTTTAATAGAACCTTCATAATTTATTTCACAAACATTTTTACAATATCTTTGCAAGGTTTTTCTGAAATATTTCAGTGAAATTTTCAGTGCAATATTTCATGTTATGTCGAGTATTTATCAAAGTGAGTAATGCATATTGTATATCGACGTCCCAAATCTCAACTCAACTCTTAGTTTGAGACTTATCCCTGACCACCACCATCTACAAAACGACAAAACCTGAACAGTCTAAACAGTCGGTTTTAAAAGTCGAAATGTCGAAGTTAACTTCAAATATAGCTGTATAAAAAATATCTATGGCGTTATATATACATCATAATTATTTAGTTTTTTATTTATTGTAACATTCAATATTTTTATAATGTAGAAACAAAGATGGCTTATAGATTTTTTTTTTGTAATTTAAAAATGATTATTAAATTAGAAAAACCTAGTGATTGTACATTATTTTGCAAGTTGTTATTACGATGTTTATCTAGAAATATGCATACAAGTTAAGTATGTTTCATAAAAAATAAAAAATCTTATCTTAACAATTAGCCCAATGATTTTTGCTCAAAAACTAGACGATATTTGTGAAAATAAATCAAAAACACATAAAATCTATCAAAATAGTTTTAAAGATCAGATTGAAGATCATATATCCATCAATTAAATTTAAATTGAAGTATAGTAATTATTTGTTACAGAAATATAATATTGATACTAGTGCTGATTTTTCGTAACACCATGGGAGTAGAAAAAAAATTATGCTATTACAAGAATTAGGAACTTCTAATATCACAACTAAATTTATATCATTGTAAGTTGAAAGATATCTTTGGTATTACAACAAACGTTGATAACTTTAGCTAAAATACAAATTTTTAAATTAAATTGCCAATCTTATATTCGTTTAAATTTTAATTTGAATATTTCCGAAATCACAATAAATCGAGTTATCTGCGATTCTGCTGAAAAACTACAAAAATATCATTTGAGAAGGAAATTTTTAAAAAATAGGTAGATTCTTTATTTATTTATTAATACAATGAGTATTTACACGTTGAACTCACAATAACAAAGTACAAAGATCATAAAAATGGATGAGCAGCATAATAATTTCTATGAAGACCAACACTGTTTTTTCTCTAGTTGAAAAATTTCTCCTATGTAAATATAGATATTGAATAACGAATCGTTTCACGAACGTTCAGCTTTTTGAATAAAACATTGATTATTTTTATAGTACTTGTTACATGTTAATCTTAGACGGAAGAAAATATAAAATGATAATAATTATGAACCACAGTTTAAAAGCAAATGAACAAGTGTCGTAGTAAAAAAATATAAATATAATCATACTCTTTTCTCAACAATCAGACGCAGTTTCAAGTCTTTTAATTACTTTTTTATACTCTTTTTCCAAATTATGATATTCCTTTTCAAGAAATTTAATACGATCTTGCAAAGGAATATTGACTTTACTTTTGTCGATAGTTTTAAATACCGCTTCTACTTTCTTTATATCATTATCTCCTTTTTTATATGGAATATTTAATCTTCTCTTCACATCGAGACGATATTCAAGATAATCCTTTTCATCTGACATATCTGTAGCATACAGTCTTAAAATTTCATAGACTCTGCGAGCTTGTTTCTAAACATAAAACAAGTACATCATGTTTTTAAAACTAGAAAAAACACATTTTACTCAAATATATTTTAAGGATATCTTACCTTATTAATTTTGAATTTCTCAGCAGCTTCCAATGCCATGTTCTTATTGAAACCTTTCTTGAGTTTTTCTTTTGAAAAACTAGGAAGAGTACTGCAGTTTAAACAGTCTACATAATCTCTTAAGCGTTGGAAATCTTCAGATGGGTCTTCCACTGTAACATGTATTAAAAAATTAGTAAAATATTATAATGGTAAATGTATTGTTGAATCCCTATTAATAGTTTATTTAGTAATACCTGTTATATCTTTGACTTCGTCACGATTAATATACTCGCGATAAATTGCTCTTAGTAAGTGACTTCCAAGTCCCATCTTCTGAAAAGGTGGCAAAATTAAAACTTGAGAAATTCGTGGCCTTGTATGAGTAGGGTAAGCATAATACTGATAAATAGTTGCAAAACCAATTGTAGCATAATGCACAGAATCATCTTCATTTTTATACCTTTCAAACCTAAAATTTTTTGCTTCCTATTACTCATTATTTTCTAATTATTAAAGAATAAGTGATTATGAATTACATATGAACTTACATGTTAAAATAATGCCATTGATCATCATCAATGTCAATGAAGCTGGCTGCATCAACATACCACAATAGGAATGTTTGTAAATGCTGATGATATTCTTTAAACTTTTTATAGCTCATGTCAGCTTTGTAAACTTCAAAATTTCTTGTTTTACCCTGATCTAAAAAAGTGATTGAAAACAATATCAAATAATCGAATGCGTTTTATAAAAATTATAATTTCCTACCATCAATAGTAAATGAATAAATTAATTCTCCAGCAGGTTCAAAAGTATCGTCTTTTGAAAGAGCTTTTACAAAGGAATCAATGTTATCGTGAACTTTTGGTGCAAGAAACTTGGATATTTTTTTCAGAACTTCATCTGGCTCAACATCTTCACATATCTTTTTATTAATTTTTTCTCCGTAAGTCATTCCCAAATATGTTTCTAAAGAGCCAGCTGAATAATATAGTTTAATTTTGAGATCCTTATATCCAAATATTTGTTCACTGTAAAATATTTGAGGAAAAATTCAAAATCACTCCATTTATTCAGTTTGGAATTTTACCTTTCTCCAAATACTTGGTGAGACATTTCAGGTTTGAATGTTGTACTGTCATCATCTAGATCGTGTATTTTGCGAACCAACTTGAATTCAAGTGCATCATTGCTGTCAATTAAATATGGTTTTAGACGATTTTCAATTGGGTCTTCCATATTGCTGTAAATGAAAAGTAGTACATTGTTTTGATGAGATTACCTCACCATATAATAGTTCAAGTACAAAATTCATTTTGAGGGTTTGACCTTGGATTTGTTATTGTTACAAGCCAACCATTGAAATGATATTTACTTTGTATTCAAAATTGTCAGTTGTATTTTAATTATTCAAAAATGTACGACATTCTGATAATTATATGACAAAAAAAATTGAAAGTAGTGCTACGTTCTTCAATAATGTGCCAATTATAACCTGACAGACATAATAATAAAGCTACGTCAAAATATTCCATGTCAGAATGCTGAATGATAGAAAAATGAGTTCTTTAATAGTATATCTATTAAAATAATTACTGAAATTATACTTGCCGACAGTTAACGGTCTCCAGCAAAGCCTATTCACAACGTGATCAACGAAAGTCCGACTTTGCAAACTCGTTCGCGCCAAATGTGACTCCACAATTAAATGAGAATTCGAAGAGGGAAATTTCATTATAAAGCATTTTCATGAATACGTTTGCAAATGTGATTGGTTAAGCACGGACAAATATTGCTTCGTAACAACATTATGGATGATCCACAACAATACGCGCAGTGCGCAATGACGCTTATAACCTGTATTTTATATTTACGGTTAATTTCCAGGTTTTAAAAATGTTTGTAACTGTTATAATTTTATGATATTTCTGATTTTGAATAACTATTCATAGTGTTCATTATATAGAAAATATTTTATACATCGGAGTACAATTAAAATTGATCAACAAAAATGGCAAATCGAACAGTAAAAGATGCAAAGTCGGTTAGGGGCACTAACCCTCAGTATCTTGTAGAAAAAATTATAAGATCTAGAATTTATGACAGTAAATATTGGAAAGAAGAATGCTTTGCTTTAACCGCAGAGCTTCTAGTTGATAAAGCTATGGAATTAAGGTAATGTATTAACTGTATTGAATATCATTTACTAATTTGATAGAATTAACAATCAAATGTTACATTTGGCTACCTTTCACTTGTAGATACATTGGTGGTGTTTTTGGTGGTAACGTAAAACCTACACCATTTCTATGTTTGATTCTGAAAATGTTACAAATTCAACCTGAAAAAGACATTATAGTTGAATTTATCAAGAATGAAGAATTTAAATATGTGCGTGCATTAGGAGCATTTTACATGCGTCTCACAGGAACATCTCTTGACTGTTATCGATACCTTGAACCTCTTCTCAATGACTTTAGAAAATTGAGAAAACAAAATCGAGAAGGCCAATTTGAGTTAGTACATATGGATGAATTTGTTGACTATCTTTTGAGAGAGGAAAGGTACTGTGATATTATCTTACCCAGAATACAGAAGAGGCATGTTCTGGAAGAAACTAATGAATTAGGTAAAATAATACTTCCTATTTTATTTTTAAACCACCTTAATTGTTGGTTGACATAAAAATTATAATCTTTTAAAATTTTATTTTTATTTTAGAACAAAGAGTATCTGCATTAGAAGATGATATGGATGATAATCTTGAAAGTTCAGAAGAAGAAGTGCCTATTATTAATGATCGCAAAAGGATAGACGATGACAGAGATAGAGACAGATATCGTGATCGCGAAAAGCGACACTCCCGCTCGGATAAAAAGGACAGAGGTCGATCAAGAAGCAGATCCAGATCGCGAGAGCGTGATAGACGAGAAAGAGAAAGAAGAAGAGATAAAGATAGATACAAAGACCGTCGTGATAGAGATCGAAGTAGGGACAGACGAAGGGATCGTGATAGACGTTAATGCATTTCATACAAGTTGTAATTACCCTAAAAATAAGTATAATTCTAATTTATAGATTTTTACACAAGTCGACTTTAAATAAACAAAAGTATAAATGTAATTTCATTCTTTTGGAATAATAACATGTACAGAAGTATAAAGGTACTTTTTGTATTTAATGGATACAGTTACACTTATTTACAATACAAGTGGCTATATATTACATCAAATGATAAATAGTTTAAAAAAAAATCATTCTTATACTCTTATTTATATATTTCATTTTTTTACAATACGTTTTCACAAGTAATCTTCTTCAACATTATAAACAACGTTTCTAGAGAACAGTAGGTTCCATAAAGGAATGCAGTCTGATCAATATTCTTAAAATATATTTGTACACTATATGCAATATCAAATCGAAACATATTGTACAGATGAAAAAAGATTCCATTGTATGATAAAAAAATATCTTTTAGTACTATTTAGATTCATTTTTTAATTTAAAAAGTAGGCGAATTCAAAATAAATAGCCTTTCTTCTTCTTTTTTAATCCATTTTAGTAATTTTGTTATTGAATTAATTGCATCAGTTTTTGTCACCAATGGTTCAAATGTTACATATAATTCAAATCCTGATGTAACCTGCAAATAATGATTTTTTTACATTTTCAATAAAAACATGATTTGATATATTATCATACCCATGCTAGCATTGTTTCCTGATCTAATTGTTGAAAAATTAATTTTAATGGTCTGCTAGGTGAATGAAGTCTATGATGCAAACACTGATAGCAGCCAAGTAATCTACAAAATGAATATTCAAACATTATAACAAAAGTAACCATAATCTTTACTATTCACTTCCTTACAGACCTCTGAACTTGTTCATCTGTATTATAAGGTACTTGAAAACCTGGACTCCAAAACTGTGCAGTACTTTTGCACTTGTACAAAACATGCCTCATCTCAGGTAATCCAATTTCAGTAGTTGTAATGGAAGTCTTATTCATGGATTCATTTATCGCTTCTAAACAATTAGTACGTCGAAGTTTTTCTACAATTTTCTGAAAATATTTTATATTTAATACAAATTTACTAAAATGTTCTGTTCTAAAATTAAATTCACATTAATTTAATATTTTCGGATTACCTGCTTGGCCTCAGAAAGTGTAAAAAATACATCCCTATCTACAGTCAGTAACAACAAACATGCTTGACAATCTTCCGCTAAATATGATACATGTCCATGCATAAATCCATTAGAATCAAATTTTGGTAAACATATAGGTGTCCAACTTTCAGCTGTTTTAAAGGACTCTGAGCTGTCTACTAAATTCAATATCAAATGGAGATCAGCTGGATGTATATAAAATTTTTTCATTCTTACTAATGTTATTAACTGATTATTTGCAAGGAGTATTGCAAAGACTAAATTCTGCAAATTTAAAATTTCTTGTAAGTTATTTCAGAAAAAAATTAAAACAACTTAAAATTATCACCTTAATTTTACCACACGTTTGTACAATTGTCTGTGTTATTGCATCCCTCATTGAAGGCAATAATGGTAGACATTTAACAGCACCAAGGAAAAAAGCTGGTTCTTTATCCATGAAATTCAATAAATGATCTATTAGTCTTTCACTACCAGTCAATAGTCTCCTCAGATCAAAATTTCTTCTCTGTTCATACACTCTAGTCAATTGAGATTGTGTCAGAACAGATAATATTTGATTATAAACGTACCTAAAAATGGAATGAAAAAGAATTATAGAAATAATGCTTTATTATGCAATTTTAAAGTTTTATGAGCTTACGATAACTGCAATACAAGTTGAGGTACACTTTCAAGAGTTTTGGATACACAAACCAAAATTAGTGGTCCCCTTACAATGAAAACAAAGTTTGTATCATCAGCATGAACAGATCTAATCATATCGTTATTAGCTTGCACAAATGATACAAGAGCTTGCATGACCCCCATGACAGTGACTAGTTTATCTTCAGAACTGTATCTAGAGTATATTGGTTTCCCAGCTTGGCTCAGTACAAAGATGTGTTTCTTCTGTGCAAGCCAGACCTTATTTCTCAATGGATCAACATCTAAATTATTTTGTTCAAACTGTTGCGATAACTCATACTGTAAATAAGATAATTTAATGTTTTTTCAAGCAAAACTTCTTTTATAGCTTATTTAGTTGTAATGAAAAAGAGTGAAATATTATATTGAAAACATGAACAAGCGTGTGAAAATGGAACGTAATGAATTTTTTCATTTACAAATAAAATATTCAACGTTCATCATCAAAGCATTAAACATTAAGTATATTTCACTTTCTTAAAAACATGACTCATTTCTATAAATTTGCTGTATTTTTGCCAAAGAGCTAATGAAAGTTCAATCATTAAGAAAACAACTTGGCAAATAATGTTATACCATATCACTGCCCTCGACGGACGTAGATTTATCGAGATCAGTAAACGATGCCTTAGCTTCGGACGATTCACGAGGAATTTGATCCTGCTGTATCTCGATGTTATGACTGACAGCGGAGGAGGCGGTTTCATTGGAAAGCTTGGCCTTGTCTAAATTGTTGCTGACTTCATGTTCGAACTCTTCGAAGCTGCTCTCCGTGGTGACGAGCATCGTTTCGGCGGATGCTCCGGGCTCCACTCCTGGCTCTACAACTATCATGTCTTCCAGCGTCCTGTTGGACGTTGCACTAGCCATTGCTTTATTCTTCCGGACGGACTTGTGATGTGTACGTTATTATCGTTACTTTAGGAAATCTTGGTTGGACACGGACTCGCGGTCGTCATGACGTGCCTCGGGGAGGTGACGGTTCAACGTCCGAGGTGCAGTATTATATTATTTTTTGATGATGAATTGCCATCGAGGACTGGACTGAGCTACTGAGGCAACTTTTTGCGATTCGTGATTATCAAGATGGAGCTTAAGGGCATCATCGCGCATGCGCCTCGCGAGTTTGAAAAGTTTCTGATCGCAAACAGCTGTCAAATGGTAAAAACCAACATTGTTGTCGAAGGATGAATCTGATCGTCTGTCAAGCGTGAAATTCCAAAGTAAAAGTAGAAGAAAAAATTGGATATTGTTTATTGAATTCTGTGAGAATGGCCGCGCAGGCGAGAAAATTGTAATGACTTGGAGCATAATCGATATCCAATGCCCAAATAAGCATAGATTTGGAGGCGAAGAGAGCAACGAACTTGCGACGATCGCGAGGAGCGAGACGAAGGGGCGTCTTACAGCCATTGGTCTGGAACGCTGCTCGGCGTGTAAAATAAGCTGGCCCCGGCTGCGCGCGTGCACGAGACAGGGCGGAGAAAGGGAGCGGGAATCAGGCATCACGGCTCTCTCCGTCTCCCGTAAAAATATATTCGGTCTTGTCCCACGCAAGCTCGCGCCGAGCACCAACGGTACACCTGCGTCCGCGCCGAGTTGAGTTTTTCCGCCGAGAGCGCGCGGTTATTTTTACGGGAGAAAGGAAAGCGCGACGCCAGAAGCTCCGAGGCGCGTCCGCTGCTGGATAAGCCGTCAGTACGCAGCGGGGACCTCGTGGGAACGCACACAGCGGGCACTGGTGTGCGCGCCGAGATCAAAGAAGCTGATTTCCGGGCGGAAAACCAATCGGGCCGAAAATAGACGAGCGCCCGAACTAGAAGCGAACAAACGCGCCAGTGCGAGGGAGGAGGAGGAGGAGGAAAACAAGAGAGCTCGCGACGAAGGCGCGACGATGGACGACTGAGCGCGTCCAGAGCACGCGTCCACGCGGGCCCCGCCAGGGTGAGTAGCATCCACGCGCAGGCCGGCCACGACCAAGGATCGCTTCGGCACCTCGCTCCTGAGCCTCCTTCGTTCCCACGGCCATTGCCTGCGGCCCCTGCGGCCCTCGTACGTTCACTGCTCTGCAAATTGGTAATTGCGTCGCCTTCGCTAAACAAAAGACGCGTTATTGTGGACGCGCGCTAGCCAAGTCGTCGCGGGACGTGGGTGTCGTTCTGCTTTCGTGCTTTATTGTGACGCTCTTCGTCAAACGCTCGGCTTTGGACGCAGCGCTCCGCAAGAATAGATTGTCCATAGATGAAAGCTCCCGTTTGCACCGCGTCGCTCTTCGCTTCGACCGATTCTCTGGCAAACTCAATCCCCATAAGTGTTTCGTAAGCATATCGTGGCAGATTCGGGACCAAGCTCTATTTTAAAACGAATCGTCAGCGGAAAAACGGCAGCCGATCGTTAATCGCCCGTTGGTTTTATACCCTCAATTCGCAGGAATACGTACGACGAGCGCTTTGCCGACAACAAGAGCTTCGGTGTTGCGTGCCGAGAGACGAAAAAGACTCGGCAATATAATAATATCCTCGGCTGCGGCGAGAAAACACAGAAGCGCCGCGGCTTACTCATCGAGCTTACAAATGGGCCGCGGACCGAGCTACGGCTCGGAGACCACCGAGTTCGTCACCAAGCGCATGTGCTTCGTTTCCGTCATGTCCATCAGCTTCCTGTGCTTGCTCACCGGATTCATTGTCGGCCGATTCGTGTCCGATCAGGTAATCAGTATGCGCGACGCCCGCATGCTGCGAGTCCTGGACGCCAATGGACTGGCCAAAACGTTGCAACTGAGGGACGAATTATTGAAGTTACTCAACCAATCTTCTTTCCACGACAATCCTCAAATGTAAGTTTCGCGTCCACGTCAATTTTTATTTTATTTAGTTTTAGTAAACGAGCGGATACATCAATCGTGCAATCAATATTCAAGTTTTCATTGGATATCCGATCGATCGGTTACTTCTACGCCTAAACGTAAACCAAATGATTTTTTTAATCTTTATTTTCCGAGTAAATTGAAATTTTTTATCGATAAATTTGTCATTTTGGCTGGACATGTGCATTACAATAAAAATATTCGAAAAAATACTTAGTTTTCGGTACGATATCGTGCGATTAGTGGTCCTAGGAACCACTACCAGTCATAGTATTAATGTCATTTCGAAAGTAAGCCAAAAACGATATTCATTCAGGTAACAGCACATGTCCGGCAAGTCGATAAAGTAACGATGTGCACGCGAGTTATAATGTCCAAGAGCTATGAAATATAGTTCGATTTCTAGGATTCCAGAGTTGCAACATCTGAAAAAGCTCGAGGTGAATCGAACGGAGGATCTGTTCAAGGATTTGAGCCTTTTCAAGTTGAATGTCGAAGAAACTTCGGACTGCACGATCGCGACGATTTGTGGCGTAGAAGAGCCAGGTAAAGGCCCCGCCAACAATGATGATAGCATATCGCGGATTTATAATGATAATGATCTTGCCTCGCTGATTTATGGTAAATGTATTTGAAAACCGTGCAGATAGATACATCGTTCTATCGGCGAGTTATCATGGCTACGACGTCGCTTACAAAGTGGCCAAATCCTTCGATCACTTGTATAGAGATCACGAGAAGCTTTGGCAGCCAAAGAGGACCATAATTTTTTGCGTGTTTATTGGCAAAGAAGACAGTTGCAAAGACATGATTCTTGAGCGTATTAAGCCGAAAATCGTTGCTTACATAGCTATTCATGGAACAGCAGCGCTAGGTAATCTTCTGCTTCTAACTCAATTCATGTTAAAACTCTTCTCGTTGGCTATGCTTTATTGTGATGTAGGTAAAGACATTGCTGTATCTGGATCTGGCATGGTGCAAGCTACGATGCTGGATGCAGTGGACGAGGTGAGATCGTTCAACGGTGATGAATTAACTGTCGCAGACTCGCCGATAGCCTTACAAAAGCTCAATATCGACGTACCTCACGTCGTTTTATCTTTCATTGTAATAGAAATTGCTTGTTCTTTAAACGACACCTATCATTCAAATATGTCATTGATCAATGGAATATATATCAATTTTAGGGCGAAAATCGCTCCAATCAAAATAGTTCTGAAAATCAGAAAACTTTAGCTCAAATTGCCGGAATAACAATATTTCGATTATCAGAAGGAATATTTTTCAGATGGAATCCAAAATACTTTGGTGATATTATGAATAAAACTGTAAAAAATATGATAGTGAAACCAAGCATTCAAGGATCCGTTGGTAAATTAAATCACTATGTGCTGCTAGTAAGTGCTAAAATATTAATTAATTATTATTTCAGATAATTTCACTGAGACCATCAATAATTTAATAAGGGATATAAAAAAATTCAATTTGATATTAGATAAAACCAACATGTTAAAGTAAGTAAACCATAAAAAATGTCCATATAGTCAATTTGACTGAAAATTTATTTTTGCTTTAGATTATTAGATGTACGAATGATGAATGATAAATTGATGGATCTAGATCGAGCTATGCTCTGCCACTCATCTCCAAAAGTAGACTTTGAAATTTTCAGTCAGCAATCTTCAATTAATGAGCATTTTATCATGAACGAATCAAACAAAATTAAAAAATGTTATGAAACAGCTAATAGGATTATTCTTGATCAAGCACAGTGTAGGCAAATAACAAAGGATCAGTCTGATCTTTCAAACCATAATTGAATCATTGATTTGGAATTTTATATAAAATACTTTTATTATACAATATTATTTTAAAAAATACTTTCTAATTATTAACATTCACAGCATCAAATTAAATTAACACTATAAAATAAATATATACTTATATACAATGCATTTCAGATAAGTTGGATACAATTCACAAAATTCAATTTAATTGTATAATAAAAAATGTCCAACTTATTTTTTATGATATATCTTACAATTCTACAGCATGTGCATAGATGATATGTATCTCAAGTTTAAAAGATCAATGTACACTAGCAGCTCCAAATCTGATTTCTTGCTCAAACTGTTCTGCTTTTAAAGTACCATCAATAGATTGGCACTCTGGATTAAATACCGAATAAGCACTAAGTTCCCCTCTCTTCTTTGGTCCAGATCGAGTATTGAAATAGATAAATACCAGAGCAGACACCACAAAGTAAACGGCTCCAAACTCCACTTTGATGGCAATTATATACAAGGTGAGCCACAGTAAAAAGTACAGAATACACATGGTCCTGGTAAAAAATGGATTTGGGGGAGGACTAAAATCTATGCTGTCCTCTGAAATGATGCTTTCCAAGTCGTCTTTATCCTGCAATTATTTATAAATATTTATACATATATAAGTACGACAAGCAAGTTGAATTGTGATTGAATGTTTTTTAAGATAACAACAATAAATAAACTCGGCATGTCTATTATCTTAAGGAATAACATTTTTAAAAAAACATAGTGAGTGTTAACAAAAGTAACCTTACGTCAGGAATGTTGACGGCTGGACTTCGTTGCCAAGACAAAGCCTCCTTTATTGTGTTTTTAGCCGCGTCGACCATAGCCTCTCGTCGTTTCTTATTGCGATAAGCAGCGAGTTTAGCATCCATTGAAACTAGTCTTGGCAATTAAAACCGTGCCATAATGTTTTATTATTGCACATTTACTGTTTGGCACGCATACTCATTGACGTATGTATGTACAACTACAACACCTGTTGAAAGCAAACAGCTGTACGGTCGCAAAATAACTCCGGAAAGCTGCGAGCGATGGCGCTGCCAATTGGTTTTTTTGAATTTCAATCGATCATATTATCATTAATTCAGTTATATATAAAGAAAAGCACACAGAGCTGTGTAGTGATTATTAATCGAAAGAATGCCGATGCAATTGATAGAGCAATATGAAGAGTTGGTCGAGCGTAACCCATCGAAAATTTCGTATGCGTGGAAAGGAGCTGCTATCGTCGCCTATTTGTTGAGCACCCTGTCGGCCTACACCAGTGCAATACTATTCAGTATATTCTGGGTAACTCGCTACTTTACGTGTATATATATTTCAATAGTTTTCCGTTGACAACTATGCACTTTGACGACGGCACTCAGACTCAGATTTGCGGAGGCCACTGTTACTTCTGGGCAGAGATTCGCTACGACAAAGAGCTAATCCACATACCAAATGTGACCGCAAGAGCTGAAAATTTGGAATACGACTGGAGCGAAGACATTGTCGTGTTTCATCAGAGCAATTTTTACTGCAACTGGTTTCATTTCACGTGCCTAAGCTCGGGCGCCCTCGGCGTGATTTTCCTGGCAATGTTTATGATTTGCGGCAAAGGCGGCTACGATACCAGCTTGCAAGCCTTTTTCACCTACCAATTTACCGAGCATCAAAGGATCAGTGGAAAACATTAGGTTTCCAATTGAAGGTTCATCGCTCCATGGAGGTTAGTGCTGCCGGCATTGTTCATCAGCTTGGTGATGATGGTGACGACGATGGCCGCGGTAAGCTCCTTCACCAGCGGATATTTTCACTTCAGCGAACAGCTCTATCAGGCGGCTCACGCGATCACGAGGCGCGTTAAGGCTCCGTTCAAATACAATCGGTTAGTTCCGAGTGTCGTTTATACTTGCCGACATCGTGTAAAAACACGCAGGCCTTTCGTGCCTTGCAGGACATGCCAAGTCTTTGAGACATTTACGCAGAGCCACAATAACGCTGAGCTCGATTGCTGCCTAACTCACTGGATGATTCAAGTAAGACTCGGTCGCTGCGTGATTTTACCGATAACCCGGCGAGGCGCCCCGCTTGCAGATCTCCTCGTGGACGATGACTTGGAGTTGGATCGGGAGCTTCTTCATTCTGCTGGTGCGCGTGCTGATGTCGGTGGACTTCAATTTGCTGGAAGTAAAAATTTACGCACTGCCGGAAGCTGGTCCCGAAAGGGACGCCGCGTTGAAGATGATCAGCGACGGCAAGCACAGCCTGACAGACGCGCACTTGCCGGACGGCCTTCTGGAGACAGCCCCCGAGCGAAGGAGCGCGCGCAAAGCTTAAGCACGGCCAACTGTCGAAGTGCTATTGTTTATTGGCAAAGGCAAATACACGGGGCTACAGGCGGCATTTGGCTATTTTCTCCGCGTCCGCGATCATTCTCGCGTGCAGGCTGTCGCCGCGCTTTCTCAGCTCGGCTATTTCTCGTAGGTCGCGCTCCATTTTCCGAAACGAAAACGGATAGTTGAGCAGACCAATCTGTTCCCTCAGCTTGCCCATGGCCTTGCTCAGCGACACCTTAGTCTTGGCCAAGTCGACGGCCTTAGACCGTTCGCGTTTGTTTCCGTCGACGAGTGCGTCCAAGCGATCCGAATTCTCGACGACTTTCTCGTTGTACATGTCGGCCTCCTCGTCGACGTGTCGGATTATCTGTCGAGGAGAATAACTCAATTGGTTTATCGTAGGCGGAAATGTGACGAGGCGCTCTTAGCTGCGTTCAGCTAAACGCACCGCGGCTGAAATCAAGTTTCTCTCGTTGAGCTTGACGATGTGCTCGCGTTGCTCGTCGCGCCTCTCGCTGTAGACACTGTTTCGCTTGAGCAGATACTCGTAGTCCATGATGGAGAATCCTGGACCCAACGAATCAAATCCCTTCAGTCTGGCCGTTACTTTGGCCAGTTTACCTTGCAGGTGCACCTGAGCCAATCGGATCTTGGTCACTTCCGCGGCTCTTTGCCGCTGATTATTGAGCAGCTGCTCGACCCGCGCCAGCCACAGCTCTTTGGTGTACTTTGGCGGCTTTGTTTTTTTGGCGAGCGCCAGTTGCTGCGATAGCAGATCTTCGAAAGTCCGCGCGTACTCGGACTCTGCGCCAGCGCGCCAGTTTTCCAGATCACCCAAGTCCACCGTGAGGGATGCCGTTCTTCCGTCGACGTAGAGACGCGTTTGCGCAAACTTTTCCAATGCCGCTTGGTACCTACGTTCGCGAGTGCCGACCTTTACGACTCGTCGATATCGGATCGAGCTGTCCCGAAAAGCTGCATTACCGGCTGTCCTCGAAGATCAAACTTTCGTCGAACTTGTCGAGCGCGTTGGCCATCGAAGGCGACTTGCGATTCGCGTCGATGTAGCTTTTCTGAAGAAACTTGTTGACGACCATCAGCACCTTAGTCTCGCTAAACAAATCTTTGATTTTCTGCACGATTTCCCGGCGTTGTTGCTCGCTCAAAGTCACGTGTCCGACAGGCGAGAAACCATGGTCCTCGTAAGCTCGAGTTGTCTCCTCTTCTCCCTCCTCCTCATCCTCTTCCTGCTGCTTTTCCACGTAAACAAGGTCAAACAGATAACTCTTCGAGTAGCTATGTAAATCCGGTGCCTGCACTTCGCCGTCTTCGGCCGTGCGATCGACAAATTCAGCCTCGACCTCCCCTTCGTGCTCTCCATCCTCGGTGCAAAGCGCATCGACGTACGCGTAGAAGCTGCCTTCAGCGAAGAATTGATAAGTTTTCGGATAGCGCGATCAAATAATGCAAGCTCACTTTCGTGCCGGAGGTCATCCGACGACACCTCCTTATCAAAATCCGAGCTCATTACAGTAATATTGATAATGGATTATTCGAACGACTTGTGAATTGGTGTTGTGTCATTTTCAGCCCGTGCAAGCTTCCACGGATTTCGGGTTGATCGATAGAGGTTAGAGCGATGAAATTTCGGCTGGCATATACATATATATATATATATAATTAGAGTGGATTTACGCAGGAACTTGCGATAAACAATTCAACTGTTTGCCCATCAGGAAAACTGTTCCGCGGATCCACGGATGAAATCAAATGGAAACAAGGATCGATTTTAAGACAAGTTTATATTGAAAAGACGACAGCCACAGAGATAAAAGGGCTCTATAATTAATCGTGGCGAGGCGGACGCAAAAAAATTCACTGATTCTTGGTGGAGTCGACGAAGCGAGTAGCCATGGTGGCACGCATGAAAGGATTCTTGCCCCGGAGCACGAGGTCCTGGCAGTGCGAGTGGTGCACGCTCTTGGCGGGCTCGTCGTCAGCCGAGCGCAGCTGGGCGAGGAACATGCGCCTGGGCCGGTCGGACAAGTTGAGGTAGGAGCCGTGCAACAGTAAGTAAGAGAAGACGATGATGTCTCCCCGGCGGGCGGTCAGAGGCGTGGCGCCCGAAATGGGGAAGCGTTCGGGATCGACGTAGCGGTACTTCTCGCCGTGCTCGTCGATGAGCTCGCGCTCGGGCAATGGGCCGAGCTTGTGGCTTCCGGGGTAGACGCAGAGACCGCCGTTCTCCGGGCTCGTGTCGTCCAGGTGTACGAACACCGCGCACATGCTGTGCTTCTTGAAGGGGAAGTACGGGTAGTCCTGGTGCATCAGGTAAGGCGCGCCCTTCTCCGGAGGCTTGATGTGCGCCTTCGTGTGGTGTAGCAGCACGTTCGGCCCCACGATATCCTCCATCGCGTCCAGCAGCCGCCGCTGCAGCAGCAGTCGCGTGAATACCGCGCTGTGCATCTGCAGGTTGTGGATCGACTTCACCTGTAATCAAGCGCAACGAAACCGGGTTAGCGCGGCTCGTCGCTCCGGCTCGCCGCTCGCCACCCTCGTCGTACTCACTGTGTAGCTGATGTTACGCGCGGCTCTCTTCATGTCGTCTCCTTTCCAGGCAGCTTCCAGGCCGCCCGCGTCCTCCTTCTGCTTGCGCTCGAACAAATCATCGTACTCCTTTGAGATCTCGTCCAGCTCCTCGTTGCTGAACACGTCGCTCAACTTTATGAAACCGTTTTCGTCCCAGAACTTCTTCTGCTCGACCGTCAGGAACTTCAGTTTACCAGACATGCTGGCGGTACACTTACGGCAGCGATCTGACCAGAAGCGCTAGTTGGCCGAACGTTTTATCAGTTGCTCCCTCAATAAAAATCTGCAAACGTTAGGCCGATTATAAAAAGACAGTCATCCTGACGTAAGAGTAGATTTCCTACCAAAAATCGCAGCCGATACTTTCGACGTATTTCCGTATAACTTCACTCACGAACACTACTGGTATTTGGATCGTTGTAAAAATATCATATTACGTCAACTTCGAGATAGTACACTTAGTCTTGTGATCATGCCGAATGGAAAGTTTGTATTTGATTACGTTTTTAAAATTATTGGCACTCGCATATCTATACTTGCGTAAGGGTTTCAAGTCGCAATCATGAAAATAAATATAACTTATCATTGCCTTACAGATTTGACGATTTCTTTTGTCAAACCAATGCCCAAAATCAGCGCAACAAGAAAATCAAAATAACAAGTCAAATTCTATATTATACCTATAGTCAACAAACTGCTCAATATATTGGTCCTTGATTTTTCTGTCAGATAAATTAAGATTATTTAACAATAAATTAAATTACATTAATATTTTAGATGCGGAATATAAGACCAATTTGCATTCGCGAATCGAGGATGATTTTGAGCTAAGAAAAAATATTAAAAACCATCTACTTCATATTTTGTTATAAACAGTGTATAACATATTTTAGATTATCAAAAATTATAACATATGTAAGATTAATTTACATAATTTATTTCTTTTAAAAAAGTACAAATGTTATTTCGACCATAATACACGTTGGATTTCATTCAATTCAATTGTTAGTCAGTCAGTGTCAATAGCGAATATAGACGCTTACTATATTCGTTGGTGTCAACAAGTTACGCGGATTTGTCGGCTTTACTTTTCATATTTGTATGTTAAAGCTCTGGATCTTGGCAATATAAGAATTGCATAGGTTTGGCAGCTTCGTTGTCAGCAGAAAGAAATTGCTTTCGGAAAGCATAGATCAAACGATGTATCATGTGAACAGGACCGGCGGTAACAGAGTTGAAGAATTCCAAGACGACCGAGTTATAACTGCCAAGGTAGACACTGAGGCTGTCGTTTTTAAGAGTAGTAAAGATCTTTTTACGGCAAATAAAATAAAGTGCATTCATCCACAACGACTTTATGCGAACCTTAGTGTAGTGCAGCGGGAGGTTCAGACCCATGATATCTCTATACTCTCTCTTCTTACAGCATTCTAAACCACCATCGGGTTTGTTGTGAATTGATCTCAACTGCGATTGTATATACAAAAATATTTTTTTGCGTTACTTTTCAACTACAAACAGTCAAATTACAAAGATGCCACAAAAAGTTTAATATGTTTGCAAAATGGAACTTCTTAAATGTTAACTTCGGGAAAGCTTCCTGTTAATAATAGTGTAATTGATGTTATTAACTGCTTTTTTCGCAACATCGTCCATCGCTACACTTCATGATGCTCTCGATTTTTCTGTGATATTTCAACAAAAATATAATCATACTCGTCTTAAATTTCTGTTCCAATAACTTGCCAGTAATATCGCCAAGCCGATTATCGAATAGTTAAAAAAATAGGTTTTGTGCCCAACATTGTCAGCAACTTGAAATTTTATGCAGATCTTAAGCGGAATGAATATTGGCTAAACATAATCATTGTAATTACAACTAATCTAAATCAAAAGAAGCGACTTCCATCTGGTCACATGTCATAGCTATAATAAAATGCTTTATAATTAACAAGGAATTGCGATCTTTTGATGCTGTCATGATTTGTTTATAATCACAAAATAATTTAATTATAGAAAAGTAAAGTATTTTCATAAAGAAAATCTGTCTTTGTATTCTAAATCTTATAATTACTAATTTTCTGCTTAAAATAATTAAGTACTTTTTACAAAAGTATATTACACTAAATTATGTTATAGTTAATTGTATAAATCTTCTGAACTACCTTTTCACATGATAAATCTAACTTGTACTAGAGCTTTCTACATAATCAATTACTATTAATTACTATTTATTATTATCTTAAAAATTTGAATCCTTTAAAAATTTCTCTTGACTGATACCATTGGTAAGAAACATTAGAGTCACATTTTTTTAATTTTTCTACAATATTGTTCTCATCCGAATCATGATAAATATGTACAAGTCTATCACAATTACAATTCAACTGATTATTTTTAATATAGTTGAATTTTATGTGAAACGATGCAGTTTTCTGAGTAGATAAATCAAATTGTGGTTTAGGTACAAAAAATTCAGAAATTTTATAAGGATCTTTCTTGTTGACCAATATAAATGTATTAGTAGGTTCTAGTGGAATAGCTAGTTCATCTTGAAATTCACTACATTCACAAAAAGATCTGAAAAAAGTAGATTTTGTGTTTGAAAAATTGAAAAATATTAAAATTAATAATAAAAAATACTTTACTTCATTACGCTTAATAATGCCTTACGAACAGAGTGCTGATGTCTTAGATGCATCTTACTGTTCAAAATACTGTCTGGTAGTTCTAGTCTGATGCTAATTTTTGGGGAAACAATAGTAGCCCCAATAACAATAAGAATTTCTTTAACAGTACAGTCTTCAATGTTAAATTGTGAAGATAGGTGACTGGATACATTGTACATTGAACTAACTAAATTTTGCATTAATGAAAAGTTCCTGTCTGTAGGCTTGGAGTTGGCATGAAGCTTCATCAAGGAATCACAAGATAACGGAATTTGTTGCTTTTGGTACATTATGTACTTTATAATTTCAATAACCATCTCTGTACAAGCTTGACCTGTCAGTGGTTCCTCTAAGTCAACTGGAATAAAAGATTCTCTAACTATATTATGCCGAAACATTTTTAATAAAAAAAACACTTGAAGTTGAGTTGAATAAAATAACCGTAAACATGAAAATTCAAGAAAGTTTAAGAAATCTCAACTATTTCAAGAGTATATTATAGTATATTTTAATAATATGTAGAGGCACCTTAACCTCAATTACGTTGTAAACTTTAGTCACGTGATCATTTAAAATCAACGATACGATAAATCGAATAAAAAGAATGTTCGATTTATATCGAACTTTTTAAGTCTTACGTCAACATAACCTACATAACTTTTTGCTCCGCTTGTTTGTATACAGATCGACAAGTGGGTTGACATCTCGGAGCACGTATAATACAACTTGGTTTATATATAGGATGTTCGTCTTATTGGGCGAATTAAATTTTTGGACTTTTGATAATGACGTCAGTATTAAGGAAACCGATTTTGGAGCATTCAGGTAAAACTCGAATTTTTTTTCGTCCATCTTTTATAGTAAGGTATAATTAACATTCCAGCATAAAACGGTACTCAATTATTATATGGATGAGAAAAAAAACTTAAATGATTTGTTTGCTCAATACATGTGTATATATTTAATGTATTATATTTGATAAAATTTACTTTTACCTTTTATTGTAGCCACCAGAAAGAGTCAAATAGTAAACATATTTCATATTGTAAAAATATTTTTATCTAACGTAAGATCAAAATTTTGTTATTTACAGTTATCATGACAAAAAAATCGAAAATGTATATGAAGAGGGAAAAATGTCTTACGCTAAAAAGCGTGGAATGGTCTATATTCCACAGAATAAAAAAGGAAATAAAATGAAAGATTCTATAAAATATTTAGAAGAACAATTGAATGAGTACTCTACTGTATATTGTCAATGGTTTGATTATTGCACAATGCAACTTATGTTGAGTTCTGGTCTTTTAGTATATATTCAAGTAAATCTCACCTCTGGTGATATTCAAAAAATTGTATTTGATAAATATTTAGTTGGAAAATTGTCTGATCGCTTATCTGATGGTAACATTTTTTGTCTATACAATTACTGTAAAACTATTGCACTAAATGCTAACAGTTTTATATCTTACAGCTGTTATAACTAAAAATTATTTAATTTGCACATATAATGACTGTCAAGTGACTTTGGTAAACTTTTTGAAACCAAAGAAAAATATTTTTGAAAAAATTAGTCATCTGGATCCAAAGCTATCAACATTTGATTTATGTGGACCTAGTGGACGCCGCTTGGGAAAAAAAATAGAACATAATAAAACAGAAGATTTGGTAAAATAACTGGAAATAACTGCTAATCAAAACAAAATTATATTGATCATGATTATTTTTGTAGATCTTGATCTGGTGGAAATCTACAATGAATGAAGTGTATCCATGGAGTCCAACAGTAAAAGAACATGATCGGGCTAATGTCCACCTTTATAGACTCACTGGGTTGGTGCATATTAATTCAAGTCAAACACGCTGCTTTGATTGTACATTTATCTTCAGATGTAGGCCCATTGTTATTTGACTTCTCTGATAAAGCATTCGGATTATCTTTCTCGTCAGTGTTGTCACTGTCAAATTTGCCTTTTTCACTCTTAATTTTTACTACTTGTTCCTTATCTATTTTTGTATCATTATATTTTGCTGTAGAAAAGAAAAGTCAAATGTCAAATTATTTACAGCTGATTAGTTCTTGGAATTTCAAATACCTTTGCATTTGTTTCTTTGACAAATTTGCTGATTTTTTGCTTTATGAGCATCCCAAAAAGCTTTTCTATATTCCGTAGCTTTAGAAAGTTCTTCCGCAGTTTTCCTATCTATTTTTAGTGGTAATTCCCATGTTCCCTGAATTTACATATACTTAAAAACAGTTTTTTAATTTAAAAATTAGACATAAATACCTTAAAGTTGCTCCAAGGATTATCAGATCTTTTCACACTAGTAAATAGTCTACCATTTGTGTGTGCTTGAAACTTTGTTGTTGTACAATGCATGTCAGGCCACTGAGCATGCCACCTAGGAACTTCCCAATTTCCTAATCTTTTTGGTTTAAAACCATCTTCAACCCAATGTGCATGCCAAAATTGTGACATTTTATCATAAATTAATTTTTTTGTTCCCTCGATCGTAAAATGAAAATTAATTTAATAAATTACAGTAAAAAAATTTTGCATGATAGTCTTACTATACAGATTGGAAAACTGCTTGTTTATTTCCATGGATACCACCTAATATGAAGCAGGTGGTGGAGTAACTGTGAATGTGAATACATTTTTTATTTTTCATTTTAGTAAAAATTTGGAATTGCTCTGCTATCTTAGAACAGAGTTTGATCCTTTATGTTTGCTATTCAATACCATTTACAACAATGTCATCCATTCTTTGGAACAGAAAGTATCTCGCAAAGTAAGAAAAAAATGGTCCATTTTCTTAACTCATTTATTTTTGTATTTATATCTTTTAATGTTACAGGGAGAAGTTACAGTTGAGTGGAGAACATATGAAGTCTCACAAAATGATAAACTACAAAGAATAGCAGTAGTATCTATACCACTACCAACACATACCAGTTGCGTGAGATTTTCACCTAATCAAGACATACTGTTATTATGTTGTATTGACGGATCTATCACGCTTCATGATCAAGTAAAAGGCACAAATAATAGTATAAAAGCAGCTTTCGTAAGTATTATTAATTATTATTATTAATTCATGATAATATTTTATAGATTTGAATGAATATTCAACTTATGTAATATTTTTTTAGATACCTACTTTGGCATGTTGGCACACTGATGGAAATATATTTGCTATTGGCAACGAACGCGGACAGATTCAAAATTTTGATTTAGCATTAAATTCTATAAAAATACAAATGTTAAGTGAGGATATTGCACCTGCTAACATTGTAGACTTATCTTCATATTTTAGGTAATATTTTATACCATTTTTTTGCCTTGTATGAAAATCTTGTTTTAGTTTATCATTAATCAATTTAAATATTTATGAATCAGGACGCAACCGGCTCTTATGCGACTGGAGTGGTGTAAAAAAAATGAACCAAATGCTTTCGTAGATTACTACAACCACGGAGATGCGCTATTCTTATTACTATTTGAAAGGTATCTTTAGTAAAGTATATTGTTGAGTGCAATGAGACATTCTTAACTATTAGCAAGGCTGTTAATTTTAGAGGCCCTGTTGCCATTATTAGAGTGGTTGAAGGAGCTAACTTTTCTGGAGATATCTTGGTGCAAAGATACTTGACTTTATCTCAAGTACAACAAGCAACTTGCCTCCTTCTTGCAATGAACTGGGATATGAGCCCACGTGTTTGCATGCACTCTTTGAATCAAATAGTTAATTATTTATTTAAACAACCTTTAACGCCAGATCGAGAGAGTAAGGTCCTTTTTCAATAATTAATGTCATTTTTATTACATTATTATTTTTATAATGTTCTTAATTTTACAGATCTTATTCAAAATGCATTGGGAAGTTTTCATGTCCCAGTAAAACCTTTGAACCAATTAGTTATCGATGAATATGGCGATGAAGTAAGAGATTTGACTAGAAGATTTTTTCATCACCTTTTAAGGTAAAATTTAATTGAAAAACACTGTGTAAATATTTGATCTTATTTCTAAAAATGATTCCATGCTTATAGATACAGAATGTTTGAAAAAGCATTTCGTTTGGCAATTGACTTGAACGATCATGATCTTTTTATGGACATACATTTTTATGCAGTAGTACTAAAAGATACACAAATGGCAGTAGCTGCCAAAGAAAAAGCACAAGAAATAATAAGTAGATGTAACAGTTGTAGCAGTTCACGTAAGTATTATACAAATGTAATTAACAGTGAACAATCCATATCAACAGATTTGTAATTTTAATTATTATCTGTTAGATTCTATTTGCTCCCGACCTTCATGCTCACTTTGTTCAGATTCTGGGAGTGAAAAAGATGAGTCTTATTCTGAAGATTCTGAAAGTGAAGATATATCAAAAAAGGAAAAGATTCACTTTAAGGGTCCTTCAAAACATAAGTATTCTAGAAATTCTCACATTCGAGCTCCACCACTTCCTATTCTTTATCCTTCTATTTACGATAATAGCGGTCTAATGTCCACGCCTTGTCATGAGCTTTGTAAGACTGAAACTAATTTAATGTCCACATCTTTCAATGTATCAAACTACAATAATCCTCCAACTTCTTACAACTACTCTATACCTAATGTCATTCCGAACACCTACTTGACCACAGTGCCTCATGAAAAGCCAACTGCCTTCAGGTCATTAACAAATCCAGGATACACACAGGCAATGAGAAGTTATGACAGTTTGCTATCTCCGTTTAAAAGTCTTTCGATTGCTAATCAATTGACCCCCAGTGAAGCCCAATCATCACTGAATAGCATGTCTTTAGAAAATATTGCAAATTCGTATCAAGTCGACAATGTTACAGCTGATATTTATACTAGTGCAGAAATGGAACCGAGACCTTTGGATGTCCAATTGATCTTAACGTCTTCCATAGACAGTATAAGTACTAATGTAATGACCACGTCTTTTAGTAATAGGTTGTCAAACGTAATTCCTACTTCGCACAACAATTCTCACCTTAATGCAAATTTGGATAAAAATGATGCAAAGTTAAGTGGAATATTAATGCCGAGAAGTTCAAAATCTTTTCATTCTCAATTGTCCAGTTCTGTGCAATCAATTAATATGGGAATACAAACGAAACCCGTCATATCATTAGCTGAACCATTAGCCCTTTTTAATTCGGGTAGTAATCTCATGTCGACTTCATTTAATGGACCTGACGATCCTAATGATGACACTAACTCAAATTCATGTGAAAGTAGTACAAATAGTAATTCAACCTCTAACCAAATACATTCCATAGGGATACCGCCACCACCACCATTAATAACTGATTCTTTAGCTAATTACATCCATAATTTGCCAAAAAAAAATTATGGAATATCTAAGAGTAGTCCTGGTTTATCAGACATTGATAATTCACTTTCAAAACTCCAGTATACTAAACCAGTAAATACAATCCCTAACTTTTTACATCAACAAAATTCAATTACAAATATTTTACAAAACCATAAAAAAAATATTAATTTACAATCAACTCGTAAATATCGACTAGATTACGATCTCGATTATGTATCTTTCCATAATAGTTGCGATAATCTCAGTACTCCACATTCCAGTGTAAATCACACAAAATCAAACAGTTATAACAATACATCGAAATATGAAAGTAGGTCGTTTAAATTAGCTTTTACGCATAGTAATATAAATGGTATCCCCAATCGGGAACATAAGTTGTCTTCCAACATACCACCACTACCTATTATAAATGACACTCCTTGTCCAGCTGAAATCAACCCCTCCTCATCTATCACAACCGAAGTTTCATCAGTTATTACAGAGAAGCCAAAAGTTAAATTTTCTGATACCGTTACACATATATTAGTACCTAATTCCGTAAGTATTTAATGAAAGTTTACCAAAAAATTAAAAATATTTACCTTTTTTAAATTTATAAAAACATTTATAGTGCTCAACAAATCGTCCTATTCAGAAAAAATCTGTAACTCAAGCGCATTCAATGGATCCAAAACGTGAGTTGGCTGAAAGCTTACCACTTTGTTTAGGCAATGAAGATTATTTGAAGGATTTCCAACCACTGTCAAGTAAGTTATAATTATATTTATAATATTACTTATGTAGCTAAACTTATTTGCCTTTATTCTTCAGAAGATGGATGTGGTGAAACGAAAAATTCTCTTAAAAAACCGGAACCTGCCAAAATCAAAGTAGTTCATTTTGGTCTTCTATAGTATTAAACTGGTGCAAAGCAATTACTATTACAATAAAGTAAAGCAGAACTTTCGTTACGTAATAACAGAGTATTATTATAGCAATATATGCATATTTTTATACATAATATATTGTAAATATATACCATTATTTACTTTTATAAAAAAGGAATAAAATTTTTTTATTATATAAAAGTTTTGAATTTTATGGCTTGAAAAATATCTGTTATTTTTTAGGTTTTTGCATTTCTTCTAATTCGCCTTTTAAGTCTAATAATTCTTTATCTGGTATGAATCTAGTTTTTTCTTTATCATAAGACCATTCTTCAATATCTAACATCACTCCAGGAGGTATAGCCTTTTGAATAGCCCTGATGAATATTTTTAGTCTCACAGAAGGTACATCACATATTTTTATATCCCTTTCATGCACTCTTAGAAAATATTCTGTTTCTATTACTGTTGATTTAGGTTTGTATTTTAAAATTTTCAACTCTCTAGCAGGGACAGCATAGCTAAAAATATAATTTAAAAAAGTATAATGAACATTTACTGTAAATAAAATATACTTTAAGTAAGCATTTTTCAAAGAATTTTACCTGTCCTCAATATCAAAATCCATCAAGTTTGCTACCTTATGAACATAACTTTGATATTTTTCCAAAATAGGAAAATCATAGCCTCGTAGTCTTACAAGCAAAGGGGGATATAAAGGGTATTTCGGTTTTAATGCCTATAAGATATTATTTATAATGCATAATTTCAAAGTGTCTATATTAATTAAAAAATGTAAAATATAACCTCCAAATAATCCGGTTCGTAAATGCTAAAACGTCTTGATATTGGCTTATTTAAAGTCCTCAATTGTCCTAAATATCGTAACTAAAAATATCACATTAATATATTTATATTTATAATAAATAATACGATTGCCATTAAAACCTTCACTAGATTACATTAAATATTTTTTATGAAATGATTCTAGGTTATAAAATTTAATTTAGATGCATGATAAAAGTAGTCAGTAATTAAACATACCCTTTTTAAAATATTAACTGCCATTATTATTGACGTATACTAACAGATATGTTAGTACATGAATCTTAAATTATCAATCAATCTATTTATCATTATAATTAGAATTACAATTACTATAAAAACAAAGATTACGTTCAAACTCAGCTCAACTTTAGCAGAAGTGAATTTTCTACTAACATGAGTGTGTGTGTGTGTGTATGGCGTGTGTACATACATACATACATCGTGCTGTTTTGTGTACGACCTCTTTCGTTGCATTTAATTACTACAGTCTGCCTGTCTGAAATTCAAAATTACTAATGATAAAATATATAGATTTATTTGATAATTTTCACCTCTAAATTTGTTTTATATAAAAAAATATATATATCAAATATAAATTTTGTCAGGATATTGTATCTACTTTAGGTAAAAATTTTAAGTAAATAAACAACATGAACGCTTTAATTCAATAAAAATATCTTGATTTTGAAAATTTGTTTGCATCAATACTGCAAAGTAAGTTTATATATGGTTTGTAAATCAAATTTATAATATTAAATTTTAAAAAAGTTAGGTTATTGGGTTATATGGATTATATAAAATTTTTTTATATCAAAAATTTATGTTACAAAAAAAGTTTGTTGTTCAATAGGATCAACTGAAAAATTTTTAAATTTAAAAATATAAAATTTTTTAATTTTTAAAAAGTTGGGTTATAGGTTTGCTATCTCGCTCGCAAAAATCTAAAAGATTATGTATAAAGTTGGGTTATGGTAACAATAATAATTTAAGTTAATTTAAATGCATGTTAAATTGTATTATATTGTTATATTTCAAGGGATCGCTAAAATGAAATGACTACATATGATGACCTGAACAAAAGCGGTTCACTTTAGTGGGCATAAATAGAAAATAAAGTTTTTTGAAATATATTGTTTGATCATATTATAAATGTTTGACATCAATTTTACAAGGAGTTGTAAAATAACATCACAGTAAAAAAAGTTCTTAACTTTATTACAAATTAAAAACACTATCCTCCAATTAATAATTATTGTCTCTGAAGTCAAGAACAATGTTTTCATAATTAACAAGAAATTTATGAACTTGTTCTCTTATGACATAAAGGTGTTCAATAAATTTCTTGAAAAATTTATCCTTGTATTACCCATTAGTCGGTTCGTAATAAGTATTTTCATTGTTACAATGTAAAATACAAATGGATAGTTAATTCATACTAGAAATATAAATCCTCTACAATTTCATAGTGCGTAATTTTATCCGGTGTAATTTTAATTGAATAAACAATCTAAAAAAATTAATGCTTTTATTCTATCATTAAAAACTTTGCCATCACATATCAGTCACATTTCAACAGAAATGGCCCAATCAGTTTTTCGTGAAATGATCAGTTAACGTTTAAACGAATATGTATAAGATCAGCAAAATTATTATTAAAAATTGGTATTGACATAAACATATCTATGAGAAACTTCAAAATGGTGTATATTTCACTTTTATATAAAAGTAGATTAAAAAACTGAATTAATTACTTGATTATAAGGAATTGACCGATTATACATTTTGATCGATTTAACACAGCTATCAGATTATTTTTGTGTGCTTAACTGAAACGAGAATATTCAATAGGGCACATCTTGGCACTGGATGAGCATATAACAATTATTATATAAAAAATACAGTTAAACATTTACTTACTGTCGGTTGAAAAATGATGTACTTTACAAGCATGTAGCTCTGCGAAAAGAAATTACACAATGGCATGGAAAAATAGCTTTAAAGCTTTTCATTTTCTGCGTCAATTGGTTTATCAACGGTCGATGTAGCTCAATTAGCAAAGTTGTAAGAGTGATTAGAAGGAAAAAAAACACGAAATTTTGAACAACTTTTTACGAGGGCAACTTCTGAGACCTGCGCCGTTCTATTTAAAATCAATAGAACATCGCGAAAAAAATTCTTCATGTAGTTTAAAGCTTCTTCGATACAAATACAGTAGAATTTTGTAAAAAAAATATATTGGTTTATTTATTAAGGTTGATCTTAAAAAAAATTATCTCTTCAATGGCTTATTCGATTGACGTCGGACTTGATACAAATTATTAAGTAACGATTAAACATTATCATTTTCAATGATTTTATAAATAACTTTTTTAAAAATTTAAATGTCAATCTACTAAAGTTTTCAACTAATTTTAATAGAAATCGCGTTTTAGATGTTTGAGTTATTATAAAATAAACAAAAAGCTTGAGTAGAACGTAATACAAACAGTAGCTCATCCTATTCGATAGCAATCATTCGAAATACTATTTTTGAAGAGATAGTGTAATGCGAATACAATTATATATACGTCATTTAAAAAATGGTAATTTTTCGTTAATTATTGTAGTGTAAATTTGATGAAATCATTAACTGCCAAGTAACCCCGTTAGTATAATAACGCTATTATACTAGGACCAGGCAGGAGATATTTATTTTACTGGAGGATGACTCACCCTCCAATGAAACATTCACTCACCACGTGGGGCGTAAGTTAGCTAAACGAATAGTAGTTTTGCTTTGATGGGACAAAGGCATGGTTTTAACAGCACATATTTGTGTCAGTAGGTGTAATGAATCCTCTCTCCTGCCTTCTTCTAGTATAATAGTGCTATTACACTATAGGACGAGCTGCTCGCGGGTAGGACCCATTTACCGACCGAGTGTGCTCTGCATGTAAAATCCCAAATACGGCCGCCTGCAGTGAAAAATATATTTTTCGACACTCCGTGCGCAAAGTGCGTCTTTCCCGCACGCTCGGCAGAAAACGTGCGTTGAAAATCGCACTTTCCACACGTCGTATCAAAAAATACGGTACGGCACATGTTCGGGAAAGAGTTTCTCGTCTCGTGTCCCCTTCCACCCTCGCTTCGCTCGGGTGTAAACGCCACACGAGACCAGAATCTACTTTCCCGCACTTGTATCGTAATGTACTATTTCGATACTCCGTGCACAAAGTGCATCTTTCCCGCATGCTCGGCAGAAAACGTGCGTTGAAAATCGCTTCGCTCGGGCATAAACGCCACACGAGACAAGAATCTACTTTCCCGCACTTGTATCGTAATGTACTATTTCACTGCAGCCGGCCGTATTCGGGTTTTTGGAAGATGGAACTTTCCAGTGAAACTTTCACTCACCTCATGGAGCTTAAGTTAGCTAAACGAATAGTAGTTTTCCTTTGACGCGACAAAGACATGGTTTTGACAGCACATGTTTGTGCCAGCCGGTTCAATGATATTGATGTTCTACTGACGCATAAATAACTATTACATGAAAATCGATTATGTAAAAGTTGATATTACGTCGAGTTACACTAAATTTTAAAAAAATGATGAATTTATATACATTAGTTGTGGAGAAAATTAAAAAATTTCGCTGGGTTTCAATTTTGAGGTGTGCGGGGACTTTTCTCTAAACTCGGCTATAGCTTGCAATCTCTCTCGTCCCACCATTTGACAGCGTGCTATAATACAAAGCCGTTAATTAATTATTCACTCTTGTGTTTGACGATGAATTATTGCGATGTGCAGACTAACGGCATTTTGATTCGGCAACACGCGGTAAAAGAATTAGGAACGTATTTGACAATATTGTTAAAAAGAAAAAATTTTTGTGCGTGTTTGTCGTATCGTAGAAATTTGGTGACGCGGTCGGAGGAGTTGGAAAGATGGAGAAGTCGTATATTTTTAATAAAAAAGACTTCGAATTTTAGAGAAGGTATTCTTAGAGCGACTTTCAACTCTGGATAAAAATTATGACCGATCCATCTATATAGTCGCTGTAGCTCTCGCATAACCGCCAATACTCGTAAGTACTGGTAGAAATGATAGAGGGACAAAAAAGTTTTCCGCGTCATTAGTAGTGAGCAAATGAATACACTTTCACCCTTAACGGACACACAGTGCTAGGTTTTATGGTTTTATGAAGGTCGTGTTAGGATTTATGAAAGTAATAAAATAGGTATATAAAATATGCCATATTAAAATAGATAAATAATCAAGTATCATTGGCGAATTGGTAGTACCGTCTCCGTGAGCCGACAAAAAATTAAACGGGGTTTCTTGGCAGTATCAAATTTACACTACAATAATTAACTAACGAAAACTTACAATTTTTGAATTGTCATACACGTAATTGTATTCGAATTACAGTATTTCTTAAAAAAAATATTTTAAATGATTGCTACCAAATGGGATAAACTAATGTTGGTATCACGTTGCACTCGAGCTTGTTTTTTTGTTTGTATTATAATAAATCAGACATCTTCAACGCGACTTCTATTGAAATTAGTTGGAAACTTTAGCACATTGGATTCATTACATCGACTGACACAAATATGTGCTGTTAAAACCATGCCTTTGTCCCATCAAAGCAAAACTACTATTCGTTTAGCTAACTTACGCCCCACGTGGTGAGTGACTGTTTCACTGGAGGGTGAGTCATCCTCCAGTGTAATAAATCTCTCCTGCCTGGTCCTAGTATAATAGCGTTATTATACTAACGGGGTTACTTGGCAGTTAATGATTTCATCAAATTTACACTACAATAATTAACGAAAAATTACCATTTTTTAAATGACGTATATATAATTGTATTCGCATTACACTATCTCTTCAAAAATAGTATTTCGAATGATTGCTATCGAATAGGATGAGCTACTGTTTGTATTACGTTCCACTCAAGCTTTTTTTATTTTATAATAACTCAAACATCTAAAACGCGATTTCTATTAAAATTAGTTGAAAACTTTAGTAGATTGACATTTAAATTTTTAAAAAAGTTATTTATAAAATCATTGAAAATGATAATGTTTAATCGTTACTTAATAATTTGTATCAAGTCCTACGTCAATCGAATAAGCCATTGAAGAGATAATTTTTTTAAAGATCAACCTTAATAAATATACTAATATATTTTTTTTACAAAATTCTACTGTATTTGTATCGAAGAAGCTTTAAACTACATGAAGAATTTTTTTTCGTAATGTTCTATTGATTTTTAATAAAACGGCAGGTCTCGGAAGTTGCCCTTGTAAAAAGTTTCTTAATATTTCGTGTTTTTTTTCCTTCTGATCGCTCTTACAAATTTGTTAATTAACCTCGATCGACCGATGACAAACCAAATGACGCACAAAACAAAAAACTTTAACGCTATTTTTCAATATCATCGTGTAATTTCTTTTCGCAGAGCTACACGCTCGGAAAGTATGAAGCCTATCATTTTTTAACCGACAGTTAGATGATTGGTTCTGTTAGGCAGGATTTACCGCGATTATGCATTGGAGTTTTATTAGTTTTAATTAAATTTTGAACTTTTCACATGTGAAAGGTATACTCAAACGCTAAGAATCCACAGTTAATTCAATTTTTATGAAATTCAGACTTAATCAGTTCTGCCGGGATGCTGCTAATGTAACCCGAGTTACGGTCTGAGTAAATATTATATAATAATCGGTATATTAACAACTGACGCACAGTGTTTATAGTAATCGAGGTGTACTCTTGCAATATGAGGGAGCGCGCAAAAAACATATAATTAACTGCAAAAGTATTATCAATCTGTTACTTTTAATAATATAGCAAGTATGTCTTTTAATTCTTTTGCTTTGAAAGAAACAGCTCTCGATAATATGTAGATGATTATATAAAATTTTAAGACAGTAAAGAAGGATTTCATTTCAACTGAACTGTGTTATTATTATATAACTAAAGTATACATCGCATGAAATTATATATTAACAATTTTTTTACTTTGAAAGTTTTCTAAAATTTAAATATATTCCGCCAGGGGAATGAGTAAGTACATCTGTTCTATCAAACTTCATTGGTATTAGTGTTTGTTTACAAGTACTAATTTCGTACCTAGTGATAAAGTTGACTAAACCAAGTTTTGTTTGCAAAAGGCCTAATCTTTCTCCTGCAATCAGAAATTAATTGATAATTAATATATTATTGATGTGTACGTTTAATATCTTCAATTTGTTCAGCTTTTTTCTAATGTGAATAGCTATAACAAATAATAAATAACGTTGAAGATATACGAAGACGTAGTATTGTTTATATAATTTGTACGTCATAAACCACAAGTTTCAGGAAAAATGCAAAACATTTTGATGTGTTCCTTGAAAAAAAGTTAGAATTTAAATAAAATATTCACCTATGCAGTTTCGAGGACCTTGTCCAAATGGAAAATACGTGAATGGAACGATGTTGTTTTTATTTTCATTAGAAAAACGTTCTGGATCAAATTTTTCTGGATTAGGAAAATAATTCGCATCCATATGTAATGCCCGCATTGGTAAGATAAAAGGTGTATTTTTCTTCACAGTTATGTCGGTCCCAGGAAAAGTGTAATCATTTTCTGGAAGTCGATCCAACCATGCTAATACTGGATATAATCTTAGAATTTCTTGTACCACCATGTTCAAATATGGCAGTGTCGACACCTAAACAGAATCCATAAATTATTATCGAGAAACCACACATTTACGCACACACATACACAAAACTTTTGCTAACTTATTAAAATGAAATCAACTATACAATTTTCGATGGGAAATATACATTTCATTAAAAGCTTTAATGCTCAGATAATAACTTACCCAATCATAAGTTATTTTTCCACCTTCTTTTTCCATTGCAGTAAAGATATCCTTTCGCAATCTATTTTGCATATCTGGATTTCTTGCTAATTCATACAGTGCATAAGACATTGTTGTCGAAGAAGTTTCAAACCCGCCAGTAAAAAATATTGCAGCTTGAGCAACCAAAGCATCTCCTTCTAACTCTTATTGTGGTGCAGAAAACAAGAATATGTTGAATATCATTAAGAATGAAATTGAAATTATTAGAATTTGAATTCAGTTAGCTTTTTCATAAATGTACGTATACCGTGTCAAATATTGTGCACAAATAAAATAGTACTTGTTAGTGAACAAATATTAATTGTTAATTGACTTATCAGCATCATTATTTCCAAAACATAAAAATTAAAGTAAAAATGAAAAACCACATATTTAAGTAATACGTACTGTATGTGTCAGAGTTATTGTTTTCTTGATTTTTCCTTATCTCAATCAGAAGATCAATCAAATCGTTTCGTTTATTTCCGGTTTTTACCCTCTCGTTGATCACGTACCAGAAAGTATTTTTTAGAAATTCAGATCCTTTGTCGTCGAAAAACTTTGGATTGGTGTAACGCCGCAATGCCGGGACGAAGAAAATAGCTAGCATTTGCAAATAGCGCACATAACTACTTCGGAACATAGCTCTTCCATGTGATCGAAACTCGGCGTTTGGGTTTATTAATGAATTCAATTTCAAACCGAAAGCTGTTATACCAATGATATCAGTAGTAAGATTCGCACAAGCCTCTTTGACTTCGACGGGTTTCCCAATTTTGTCTAGATAAAAACAATGCAGCATATAAATATTACATGAAAAAAGGAAAACGTGTAAAAGTTTTACAAATTCTCACCGTCAATTTTCAAATTATCACAGTAAATTTGAAAATCTTCGCAAATTTCCAGCATTAAATCAAACATCTTTTTAAGTTTGCCCGAAGTAAATATAGGAGTTAACTTTTGTCTTATATGTTGCCAAGGTGGATTTTTAACGAGAAAAAGGCTGTTCTTTCCTAAAACATCGTTTTCGTTTGTTGAGAGCATTTTGTTACTAAAGTTATGAAAATCCTTGACAAAAATATGTCGTATGAATTCTGGATCACGGACTATTAAATAGGGTTGATCGATAGCATAGAAGCCCAATAGCCTTTCCCCTTCGCCAGCTTGGTACGCTTCCTGAAGAAAGTCTAAGGGAGGTTTCCTCGCAAGAATACACGGTCCAAGATTTCCAAAGAAAATACTCGGAGTAAGTTCTTTAACGCCCAATTTTTTCCAGTAATTGAAATTTCTTGTCAAGTATAAATAAAATCCTAAGAAAAGTAAAATTACACATAAAAATAAATCTTGAGTCCAGTCTGTTGTTACGATGGCCATTGTAGAATAGCACCAAATATCCAACAAATTATCTGTACAAAATATAACGCGAATGTAGTTCGAAATCTGATCAAATTTACTTCTTCCTCCGACAAGTAGTTTATTGCAACTGGCGCCGGATTTGCAATGTTCATGACTCTCGTATTCTAGAACGGCGCGTGGCTTATTACAAGTTTAAGCGCCAAGGTCATAAATAAACTCGCGAAAAGACGTCTAATTCGCTTAAATATTCACTTTTTATACAAATAATCTATGTTCTATTTGAAAGAGTACAATGGAAAATATTAGAAAAGCCCCAGAGAGCTGCATTTTTCGGCGAAGATCCTGATTTTTCTAATACAATTTAAAAATTTGAGATGACGTGCATGAATAATTTACAAAGTAAATGCATATATTTGACTGACGTAAGGCTCGAATAAAAAATGAAACGTGGCAAAACACACGCAAATGTTCATAATCATTTATATGAAAGATCGTTTATCTTCATTGCAACAGCTTGTTACTTTATGTAATTTGAAATTTCAATATTCAATTAACAAGAGAAATATTCCAATTGTCTGTGAAGTGTGGGGCCCATCAGAACGAGACTGATCAACAGATCATGAATAAAACCAAGTTTTTTCCCATCACAATCAGAGATATACAAAAAATAAAGTTGGAAACTTCCATTTATTAATGCATGAAGAAATTATACTTTTTCTTGAAATGTATGTTTTGTCGTGAAGTTTTATGTTTGTTGAGCAGATTTTTCTAGAGTTAGCCTCAGTACCGAGAGAAAAGAAAAGGAAGTTTTTAATAGGACGACAATGGTATTTCGCGTGACGTAGAAAAATTTTCCAGCAGTGATGCTTAGAGGCACTTCTGCCCGCATCATGACGAAGATCAAGTCTTTTTTAAGACTGTTATGCAGCTGATACCATTTGTTAGCATAAGCAGCTTCGATGATACTTTGGCTTTGCGTGTCAAGATACTCGCTTGCATAGCCGTAAATGAAAGATTCCGTCATCATGAAGCATATGCAGTTCGTACTCACGATCATCGTGATATAGTCACTGCTCATTAGCGAGACCAGCACGCTGCATCCTAGAATTAATCGGACGAAAGCAACATTGTATTGCGACTCCTAAGATACAAAGTGCGACTTACCACTCACACAGACGAGAATTATACTTGTCATTAGTTGTATCAACACGGTATTGTTGAAGCTTGCCTCCAAGTTTTCACCGAGCTTTATAAGTTGTTTATGTCTCTTAATCAACTCTATGACCTTGGCTCTTTGATCTTCGACAGGCTCCTCGCCTATCTCTAATGTTTGCCACTTGACTTTTAAAATTTTAAATTGAGCGCTCAAGTGATATACGAGGCAAAAGAAGAAGCAATCTGTGCAAGCCCCACTGGTACAGCAGTAAATTAGCTGGACGAATTGTACTGCCAAAATTGGTATGTAATAATAAGCTATAATTTGCGACGATAAAAATGATGTCTGACAGGCAAGTACGTATTCGAAGTCATCGTCGACGCCCAGTTGACGTTTTGCCAACAAATTAGCAACGATCGTTCGCACTACGAACATTGTCGTGCCAATGTAGCCGCACGAGTTGTACAGTATGAATTGATATCTGTATACCTTAGAAGGGATTTCCGATCAATTGCGATTTATCAACGATACAACAATCAAGGATGACGGCAAAAAGTCGCAAGATTTCTTTACAACGCGCTGCGTATAGCTTATCATTGAGCTGATTGATGGATGATTAGATATTCTACCTTAAGGTGATCTCTCATTATTCTTAATGAGTTCTCATCTTTGGTATCCGCCCAGTCATTGCGATAAGACTCGAGATTTTCAGCAATTTTGTCCCGGTAAACATGGAGACCAATCATTTTCGCAAGCGTTAGATAAGCCGAAGAACAAAAAAGGACGACGTCGACCATTGCAGCTATTTCGCCGTTGTTCAGATAAAGTTCCGCAGTAGTGTGTACTGCAAAGGTCGCCTAATTGATCGTAAATAAGTTTTATGTAGGTATAACATTTTCAAGTTATGTCGACTAAGCTACAATGTAAGCGCAAAAACTGCTAATGTAAATATATATGCTTGACTTCAGAACAATAGGCAAGTGCGTAATTTTACTTAAAAATCAGTTACGGCGAATATGAAAGATTACCTGAGCAATCGTAGCAATCGTCAAACGAGAAATTTTGAAGAGACTGTGTTTTTCAAGTGGCCAGACACCGAGAGTCCACAGGAAAATGCGATACATTGCAAAAGCATCGTCTGCTTTTGCTTTCGGTTTCATGGCGAATAAACTTTCAACTTTGTTCAATTAAAAGCACTTGATAGCGCAAGCTCAGCCCTCCCTTCATTACTATGACGAATTCGCGACGGCTACAGAAGCAAGAAGGTGTATTATGGCCCGATCGCATAAAATATTTGGCGTTTCATTAAAAAATTATAGTTGCAGTAGGCGTTTCTTGCTGCCTACGAATTCGTAATTTCAGCTCTTCTTTCCAACGATGAAATGACAATGAACGTTTATCGATTATACAATATTTCGACGAGCGCTTGAGATATAAATACTTACATTACGCGTTAGTAAAGGGGAACGTCGCTGCTATCCTAGTTATTTTCGTTCGCAGCTATAAAACTTTCATAAAATAGAACATCTTTACGCTATTATTATTATCGCATGCAGACTTCAATAAAAGAATATACCGCTGTACCCTTTACATTCGCAGAATTCAACGTATATTTCCGTTCACATTTTTATAATGAAAGCATCATAGCAATGAGCGAATTTTTTTCCGAATGTAATAATAAATTACGTTAAGTGAATCAATTCACAATAACTTATCAATTGCAATGAAACTTTATTAATATTTATTTTACATTACAGGTTCTGGTGAATGATAATAAGCTACCATACAAACTTGGACAATCTGCGATTTTTACTATTTGGTGGTAATCTTGTGAATTAATCTTGATAAAAATAAAATATATAAATCCATTTTTTCGTGATTGTGCAAGTAAGCTGAATATTTTTTTACAATGCAATGACACACTGAGAAAAAATTTATTACATTTGTAAGTTGTATCGCTTAATTTTTACAATTGAGGTAATTATTTATAATCGCAGACGATTTTCGCTCGCAAGGGGAACTGAACCCTGGACGCATGGGGTAATACGCGTACACTTAATCAACTAACGCAACATTTGTACATTAAAATGATTTTGATTAGAAATTAATTTTTAAATCATTTATTAAGAAGTATTCCACTGTAATGCAGAACTGTTCTTTCAATCGAATATTTTTTCAAATTAATTCGGGTTTAAGAAATATCAAATTTCATTCAAGAAATAAGTTTTGTAAATATAAAGGATGAATAATGAACTTGAAAGCTAAAATGCTCTATTCAATCAAATATTTATTTGAATTAACAAAGTTCATGAAAAATTGAGTAAAATTTTTAAAACTGAATTTTTAAAATAATTGAAATGGTATTTTTGACATATCTTTCTAGATTGATTTTAACATGCAAAAGAATAATTGTTTTTATTTTAGAAGAATTCTTCCAAAATCGAGATTTAAATCATTGGGCGGCAGAAATTCATTAATTATTTAAAAAAAATAATATAGCATTATAAAAAAAAAGCATTATAAAAGAGCAGCTTCATAAAAAAAAATTTTATAATTCAAAATAAATAAATGAATTGATAAAAACTTATAAATTTAATAAAATAATCCTAACAACTTAAGAAATTCATAATAAGAAATGATTTGCAAAATCAAGAAAAGGATTTGATTTTGTTTAAATATTAACTTCGCATAACAAATAATTTTAGTTAGATAGTATTAATATTAAGTTGAATTGGTTTTTTAGTTTAAAAAAATTTCATCTATTGTAATTTAATAAATTCATTTATAATTTCGAATAAATTGTTGTTTCTAAGAAATGTTATTTTAATTCAAAACCAAGACTTATCGAGAAAATAGCATTCTAAATTAAAAAAAAATATTTCTTTGAATAGGCAAAATTTATTCAATATTGATTAATGCAGTGAAATAGAAAATGACAATGATAATTATGAATATTATAATGAAGATGTATAATTGTACGTCATATGAATGCTAAAAATCATTGACTATTACGATGCTGAGAATGATGAGTGAGTGAACCGAGTGATCCAAAAGGCGAATCAACAAAACCAATCAACAAAAGTTCACCAACATGAAAAAAATGTATTTGCATTTCTAATTATTCTTAAATACTCTATAAATATTTATAACAGTATCACTTTTTACATTTAATGGAAAAGGAAAAAGAGGCGAGGAATGATAATGAAGAAGTAATTGTTAAGTCAGATCTGTATCAAAATAAGATTTTGATAAGTAAAAATCTGAATCAGAAAAAAAATATGGACCAGTATCTGTTAGTTTAACAGAAGAATAGGCAAAAAGACGAAGATTCATATAGCAAAAGAAAAGAGTGCTAATAGGCCTTATTACCATCAAGCTTTCACTTTTAACTTTCAAGAAAAACAATGACAAAATGATGACCACTCACACAGTACCATTGGCAATAATTTAGAGATGGTAAGTGTGTCTTCCGCACATTAAATCCTTTAAGAAAAATGAGATTTCTTGCTTCTTTTAAATTTTCTATTCTTTTAACCGGATATGAAATCTGAAAATGAAAAAGTTATATTACACAGCATTTGAAGTTTTCATTAAATAGTACAATTCCAAAATGATCAAATGAATAACCCGACTAAAGAATTTTTTAAATTTGTTATTACTTAATGTTAATTGGTAAATTAACTTATCTAATAATTCCACTCCAGTAAGCCGCATAAACACTATTTAAGTTTTTTCCTTATTTTTTCATTTACGGCTAAGAACTGTTTTAAAATATGCAAGTAGCTTGGTAAATGTTTTGTTTCACTATATATAACTACTAGTGTTATTTAGCGCACTTCGTTATATATTTTTATATTTTGCTCTTTGTTTTATATTTTTTGTTTTTTATTACATTATTTGAATCTTTTACACAACAACTTTGATATTCTAATGATATGAGCTCATGAGCAAATGATGTTTAAAATACACTACATTCTTCGGTATTTATTGATAAATAAAAATAAAATTTGCATCTATTTCTTCACAAAAAGCAATGAATTTTTATTCATTTCATGAAGTTTTGGAAAAATTATGCAAAATATTAATAAAACTTGGGATTAATGAAATGTACTAAGCTATTATACAATACTAAACCTTACTTACTTAATAGTAGTGGTTACGACGTTATACAAACGTACGTATTTTGTTCAAATTTAATAGGTTTAATATTCTGATAATTAGTTTCCGTTGCTTTCGTACCTCTATATTTACAATTTACAAAAAATAAAAATGTATTTTTCTCCATTTTATTCTGTTCACCTTCTCTTTTTTCCAAATAAATTTTAAGATAATATATATTAATTTTAATGTCACAGATGGTTGTAGAATTCTTGATTTGTGCATATAATTTCAAAAATAACTTCGTGTTCTTAATCTATATAAATTATTTATATATTGAATTTATTATTGAAACCTTACATTGCTATAGATATATAATATTTAAAAGTATATGAAATTTCAAAATTTCATGCTCTTTTTTGCACCAACCAATCACAAAGCTCGATGTCGGCGATTCATCATATTTTTTTAAGATATAATAATATAATATAATATAATAAAAAGAGAAGAGGAAGGAGAGAATTTCTTTCCAAATTAAATTTAACCATTAGATATAAACATCGTCTGCTATTACATGTTACTGCACTCGTAACTATAATGTAAAGTAGGTTTCCTTCGAGAGAAATGGATCTATTGATATTACCGAAAGCGCAATCAAATATAAAATAAAAATTTGCTTTCAGGAAAATAATCAGAATGGAGTTAGAATACTATAAAAACAAGACAACTTATTTGAAACAAAGAATGCAAAGTAGGTACTTTACTGCGGATCGAGAAATAATCAACAACTAACGCAATTATGTATCTTATATAAAGGCTTACATACAATTTTACAAGTGCATACCGCAATATCGCATAACAGATTAGCTTCGACCAATATTTTAATAAATATTATGGAATTTTAATGAATTTCGATTGATTTCTATAGATTCTTAAATCATTCAATGACTTTTTTATGAATTACGATAATTATTGGACCGCATTTTAATCGTACGGGCAGAGGTAACATTTAATAATTTTTTCAATTTTACGTCTATCAAAAATATTAAAAAATATCTTATAAATCAAAATTTTATCTATAAATAACATTTTTTTAGATATTGAATGTGGAGAATCAGAGGACGAAAATTTTGTATTTTAGACAAAAAAAATGATCACAGATGAAGGATTGCCTATAGATGTCGTCTATGATTCTCTAGCCCTTTTAGCAATCAAGATTAGCCTTAAAGCGTTGAAAAGTAATACGATGCCAAATTTTCGAAAAGAAACTATTGTAGTTTCATAAACTAATGGACAAAAATATAAAGCTATATTATCGTTGTTATTCGATACTATCAAATTTTATACATTTATCAGTTGTAAACCGTGGACAAGATAGAAATCTGTACTATAAGAGACAAAATTGTTTACGATGCTATAAATCGTGTGACCAAATTTATCTTTCTGTTGAGCTGCATTCAATTGATATGATTTATTTAGGTGACTGACATACAAATAATACATTTTTTAAAGCTATCTTAATATACCTTAATGTTCAACTTTACAGTTCTTTAAATCTTCACAGAAACGAGATTTAATAAGCTTTGCTGAGATATAAATAAATGTAAAAGCTATAGAGCTATGGAGCGTTATAAATATAACTGTATATTTTTAATTCTTATTTAAAAATCAGACATAGCAACACTTATAAGGAATGAAAGTGCGTTGTAATTTCGAGAAAACATTTTTTAACGGTCTGATAAATATTAGTATTACCAGTAATAAAATAATTAGGTATATTGTATTTTATAATGAAGAAGCTTTGAAGCAAGCGTTTATGCAAATTATACTGTATGGAAATAGCAACATTATTGTAAATATATATGTATGTATATCTATCTAATGCGCGCTATATGTATATATATGCACGCGCGTGTGTGTGTAATATACATAAGGCTGATTGCGCCTGCGACACGTTTACCAGAACGTCATAACTGGATATTATGCACGATGTGCGATTACTTGTGAAACTGAGAATATCAATAAAAAAAATCTATAAATCCTTTCAACGTTAAAAACGAGATTCAATGTATCGTTTGTTAACAACGTAACAATAGCATCCAAATGAATGCACAAATTCAAAAAATTTAGATAGACACAAGCACTTAATTATATGACCATATATTGATCTAATGTAAGCCCCGTCACATAAACTAAAAATCAATGATTACCTTGTCAGAGAGCATGTTGACCGATGGGTCAACGACAGGTGTTTAAAGGTGCTGAGTGTTTAACACTAAAGTGCACTATCGCAAGATGTCGCTAGTAGTGAGAATAGGTCGGTGTACGGGTAACACGCGACTATTCGAGTGCAAATGTACTCGCTTTCTCGGTAGAAACTGTAGATACCTTCAGTGCACGGTTGCACTGAACTGGACGAGTGTGAGAGAGAGAGAGAGAGGGAGGGAGAAAGAAGAGGGAGAGAGAGAAGAGAGAGTAAGAGTAAGGTTGTATATACAGTCTTGTGGGAGGCTTTGACGCGCGTGCCGTGTACAGCCAACTCTCTCAGTTTAGTTCGTTCAGTGGTCTCGTCGCGCGTTATGCATGTTTAAGTTGTAAACAATATGGCTGGTGCATTTGGCGATGCTGTTGGTTAAGTGCAACCTCGCTAGCAAGGCGTCCGGTGCAGCGTCATCGGCCTCTATTCGCCATTCACGGTGAGTAACACTTGAAACTGATTTCGCAACTGCCGTCTTTAGGTTACCGTGGCTGTAGTCGCGACGATGTTGCATCGTCGTCCACGTTACCTCTCCTCACTTGCTTTCGCGAGGCAGATAGAAAGAGAGAATCGGTGCGCGCGCGAATACATTATCCGAAGCAACAGGTTTTTTCGGCGTGCGGTGAGTGCTCGCTCTGCTCACTGAGCGCTGTCTCTGCTGTGCGCGTCACATCCTCGCTACTGTTGCTTTACTTGCTCTTCTCGAGCCTGCCTATCGTTGAATTTTCCCGTTTCGCCTGCAGTTTCGCGCTCTTGGCAATTGGCACCTAGTCGCTGGAAAAAAATTGTTCTCCGCATCGCGTCGCTCCTTGGTCTGTACAAGTGTCCAGTCATACGTATCTTCTTCATTTCCTTCTGCAATATTTATCTAGCATTTCTGTAACTCGAACAGCTGGCAATATGACGAGTGTCGGGAAAAGACATTTATTATGGTAACGATGGCTTATAATTCGTATTTCAACAATCTAATTAACATTAGATTTTTTGGCCAACTTCAATCGCCTATAACACAAATTATATTACATCATACAAGTAAAACTAAGTCGGAAGTTTTCGCCAACGCTGCCAAGCGGAAACGTCGATGTGATTGACCGGCGATAGCGAATTGAATAATAGAAATATAAGTTGCGAACGTATGTACATAACAATGAGAATCGCTCGCGTTTTTTCTTCTGCATCCCTGCCTTTTATTGACAGTTTTCCTATCGAGTACTGAGAAATTCAAATACGATATGCACCGTCAAGTCAAATTTCTTCTTGTTTTGACGATTCAAACTTTTTATCAGCCAGAGTGTAAAATATCGTCTACTATTTAATTTGGATAAGGCGTTAGTGCGTGATACGATAACTATTTGCACACGTTGCGATATCTCATGCAGGAGTTCACACGACTTTTCCCTACCCGACAGAGGTAATTTGAGTTTTGAATCAATATAATGCCATTGATATAAATAACATTCGAAACTATTTGTTCAAATAACTGGCATTTTTGTCAATGGGTTGAGTATTTTTTTCGAACTGTTTGAAATACCAAGTGCGCGACCTTTATACAGACTAGAGATCTTTGAATTATATTAGTACTCGTTGTTGATACATAACGCCTTTGACTTACCCTCGATCGAGCAGGCTTAAAAAACAAGGAACATACAGCAAACGAAAACCGGAAGGTCATCGGCAATGAGAGTCCTGTGCGATTTATCGGGGTGAACCCCGAAAATATGCCTATTTTCACGGAACTGCCTACTTTTATTGGCTTTAGACGGTACGTATGAAACGGCCAGTTGTTTGTCCAAGCGTGTAGCGGATCTGAGTTTGCTTTTGCTCGATAAACGCTGACGTTTATATTAAGAACTGACACATTCATGGGTTGAGCAAAAGGAGGTTTTCAGAACAAAACTTTGAAAACGATGCAAAGGCTTCGAAAATGTAACTGCTATTCGACGATTGTGGAAGACAGCGGAAAGCTTGCCCGTGAAAGTGAAAGAAAAACAAATGCTCGATGCCGACGTACGAAAAAAAAATCACGAACGATTTGTTTTCTACGAAGGTCGGTGTAATACAGGGCGTATAGATACCAAACTTTTCAAGTACACAAACGACAGAATTAACTTGAAAAAGGAATATTCTCGAAACCAAAACCGGCACTAAACATTCAAGGTTCCCGAGACGGTCATCGTAAAATGCTTAGCATATAAAACTCTCGAAAGCAAAAGTCAGCTCGTTCTCGGGCCGCGGCAACGGCCGAAAGAGTTGTGTCGCGTTGCCAAGCAAAGCCCCGTCGGCTCGATTGTTCGCGCTCGCGCGGCTAATTAGCTTTCGCGCCGACTTTTCGACCGATCCGCCGGCGAACGCGCAGTTCAAAGGCGCGCCGTTGTCAAAGAAGGCGGCAAGCGGGCTTTTTTCTCGGTGGTGCTCGTGGCGAGCAGCGAGCAGCGGCGATGACGCAAAGGCCTGCATGAATGGGCAGGGCGTATGTAATCAGCGTTTCCTCGGGAAAGCCAGCTCTCGGCCGGAGACGTACGCGCGCGCGATCACTCATTTGCAAATTGCGCGAGAAGCGTGAGCCGCTGAATGCGCGCCTCGCGTCGTCTATGCCGGCCGAGCCTTGCGAGATCGACGGCTCGCCTTATCGATCCGCAATCTCGCGAGTTTAGCACTCGGGCGCTCCAGCGATCGATCGGCCGCTAAATAATTGATCGTGAGACGTATCGCGCGGCGGTGCGCGACGGAGGGGAAAGCGGAAGACGCGTCGAGAGAGTCGTTAGTGGCTTTCGCGCACACGACGGCCTAATGAAACTTCCATTAGCTCCTATTAGCCGCTCAAGTCGGGCGTGCACGGGGCCGCAGCCGATGGTCTGGAGAACGAATTGGCCCGGCTCTCGGTGGCGCGTCGCGGGAAGCGCTCGGCTCGGTGAGCAGCCCGCCGCGGACGCGGCCTTGACAGTGCTCGTGAAACTGCGCGAACGCGAATAAACGAGCCTTTCTATAGACTCAAGGCGGAAGTGCCGCGACTCGATCCACTAACGAGCCTCTGAGCCGCCGAGCCGCTAATACATCATTTACCGCGCGTCGCCGACTTTGTAAGTTTCGCCCCCGACTATAGCCGGTTGCAGTGCGGCCGAAACCTTGAGCCTCGATATCGCGGATGGAGCTCGCATGCATCTCTTCCCGCCATTCGGCGATCGCTACGTGGCTGTGCGGCTTCTATGCACGAGATTCGTTAACGCCGCGGCTTATGGACTGCGCCGCAACCTCGAGAATCTGCCGGCAATCGTATAGCCGCAGTCTGAATTAAACATCCAGCGTTTACGCGTGTCCGGCAATTAACGAGCGGCTCGCCGATTCTTTCCAACGATTCTCTCTCGCGGAACGGTCGACCAGGCGAAAGTTGCTCAATGTCAGCCCTGCCCCCTCGCCACCGCGGTACAAGTAGCCTCGAGCGAACCTTTCGGCTTGGCGTTCAATTGGCAGCGAGGGAAAACTGCAGAGCTCCGACGAGCGGCTCGCGGTCAACGGCGGCGCTGCCACGGGATCGAGTCCTCGCGAGAAAAGGCCGCTACCGACGGGGCGTCACGGGGAAACGAGCGCGCAGGCAGGCGTAAGCGGCGACAAGTCGGAAGTTCGGCGGCATGCCTATCCTGACGACACACGTCGCTCGTTTGACTCGAGGCTCCGGGCGTGCATAAGCAAGGTTGCACCCCCTCAATCATTCATGCAAGGTCGCCCCGCGGCGGCGCTCGCTTTCATTTCTATATGCGTGCTCTCCGCCGCGTTTGCTCTCACCTTTTCGCCTTTGCTCGCGTATACGCCTTGCCTCGTATCGATCACGCCTATATGCTCGTCTCTTGCGATCGACGATCGTCCGATGTTCTGCTCGTTCGACGACTAATTGCCCCCCACGTGGACGTTCGAGCTTTTGCGCTCGATTGCGAGCGCCTTTGCTGGCCCTCCCGGCGATCGATGCGTCGATTGGAACTGCTCAAATTCCCTGCACTCTCTCTCTCTCTCCACGGCAACTGGCATTCTAACTTTTCGCCAATCACAGCTTAACGTCGCGGCAGTCGTGCAAACGAACCTTTATTCGGCTTCCATCTTATCCATCGTTACGTTTGTGACAATCACTACCATAAAGGTCCAACGCCATTTTTCCCTCGACAAATTATGAGTTTCCACTCAGAAATGAGAAATTGTTCATCTAAACGAGAAACTACAAAGAAAAGTACACACCCTAGAGTGGCCTTGACTTGATGCCTCACTCGACATTATCAAATGTGACATTCAAAATGAATATGTGGTTCCGTAATTTTTCATTTAGCAAACGATTTTGCCATCGCTACAACTATTGCTCAGATTTTAATGCTTCATAAATATTCTAAAGAGTCGTAAATATCGCATTGCAGATATGAAAAAGTGGCCATTTGGAAGGTCTAAACAAGTAGTTAGCAGAGCACTCGTTCGCAATTGGCATTAAAATAACGTGACGCGTTGGTAGGAAAGGAACTTGTTAAATGTCATATTGGATGGGAAATGGACAGCGAGTATCGAATTGACGAGTGGAACGGAAGCAATTAAAACCGTCGAAATCTTGTATCGGCACGAGGAAACAGACAAGCCTCGCGTAGCTGGCTCTTGAAAAAAAGTGATTTTTGTAATTTGTAGTTGTGCCATCGCAGCGGCGATAGGCGGCGATCCGATACAAAATCATCAAGGTTGCAGAGAATCGCAGGCGTTCACGCGAGGCGAAAAAAGGACGTGGCAGAGGGAACGGGGACTAGACGGGTAACTGACGCGTGTTTTATTAAGCTGACAAACGAGCGTGACTATTGATTTATCGTTTGTACAAGTGTCTTGCCAATATTCCTCGTAGAAGCTTTCGGCTTGGTAAGTAACTGTCCGTAATATTGTCGCTACACACGTAACACGCGACGCCGAGGGAGGCGGAAAGAAATACAGCGATGGGAGCCGACGGGCGTGATGTCCGCGGGCGTGGCCACGCAAATGGATCGAAGGAGCGACTCGCTCTGCCGCCTGATCGCGCTCGCCGATCGTTTCACCGCGATTATCGCGTCTTCGAAGCGGATCGCCGGCCGATCTCCCCGCGAGATCCCGGGCGAACGATCGAACCCGCCGGGCTTTTCCGGTCGGAGACGCGGAGTCGGCTTCCACGGCCGCGCAGCAGTCGTGCCTCCGACTGGCGCCGCAGCTAATTAGATTGCCGACCCACGCCCCGCCTGGCGATTCCATTAGCGAAATGCATTCGGCCCGATCGCGGCGCCTGCTTATCGGCGGCCAATATCGACGGGGCCGCGCGGGAGGAGGCGGAAAGAGCCAAGCCACCGCGAGCGCCGCCACCGGTCAGTTGGACGGAACAGCTGCACCCGTCCCCGGCCTCACCCTTTCCACGAGCAATGCTCGAGCCTCTTTTTAGGTCGCTCCGGCTGCGCTCGCGATTCGCCCGGTCGCTCGCTAATTGACAGAGGAGCCGCGAGCCTCGCGTCGCGCCGTTCGATCGCGACGCGCGTGCCGCGCTCACCAGTTGACGCGCGGCCAATCGAATTGCCATTTCCCGGGCGGCTTGATTGGCGCGCGATCGATCCCCCGCGCCGCCCAGCCGGAAGATGCCAGCGAGGCAACGCGAGCCGATCCGACCGGCCGAACTCGAGGCGCGAACGGCTCGGCGACGAGAGCAATTATTGGCGCGAATTGAGGATCTCGGAGCCGTGCGCTCGCGTCCACTGATTGGTCAAGGTGGCGCGCGCACGTGTCGGGATCTCGTCGCAGCGACTGGAAATCCAAGTTTACCAGCCACGCGGCGGAGACTTGTACCGCAGACCGACGCCGGACGAAGAAGAATAGTCGATCTCATCGTCGCGGTCGGCGTCCAAGGGCGAGCTCGTCCCCGCCGCGCCGCCGCTAAATTAATATCCTCCAGTCGACGCCCAAACAAGTGGACTCTGGCCATCGGCTAATTGCTTCTTTCTCGCTTCTAATCAAGGCAGACCGCGGGCGTCATCGTCGCTGAGCAGTAGGCTGCGGCGTTTTCCGCGATGCTCGCGGCAGCCGTGGACGAGCGATTAATTCGCACGTCGCTCGAGCGTTCGTTGCCGTCAATTGGTTTCGATGAGATCGACAGTAATCGTAGTCGCGAGCCAATAGATGCCGATGCTCGAGAGCGATGCGCAGAGCGAGAGTCGTCGTACGCGGTGTCGCCAACGAATTGGCCCGGCGGGCAGAGTGCTGGGCAGAGCGCTGGGCAGAGCTTGCAGCGCACTTCGGAGCCCAGAGAAACAACGCCACCAAATTTCGGTTGCGGAACGGAAAGGGTGAGCGGCGGAGCAATGGTCGTTCAACGCGATGGAATCGCGAGACGTGTAACTAGGTCCGCTGGCTTTATTAACCATTTGACGGTGCTCTTCTGCGCGCTATGGATCTTGTCGTCGAACGTGACGTAAACAGAGAGCGAGCCGGCCTAACAGGAACATCCCGTGGCACGTTTATACGTCTGACGCTGCTTTGATTACGCTCGCGACAAAAGCTCGCGGCCAGTGAGCGAGCGCCTAACACGCATCTACGCCAGCTCCTCTTCTCGCTCGCTTCTTCTCGAAAACTTGGCTCGGAAACGTCCAAGCTTCTCATTGGTTAGCACGACGATTCTGTAGAATGGGAGGCTGCTTTTCGATTACCGCGCCAGTAGTCCAAGGTCAGAGCGTCCGACGCGTCGTTCGCCTGCTCGCGACTGACACTTGGCGTGTGCGTGACCAGGGTCAACGATCGCCGAAATTCGTACGGCCGTATCCTCGCTCTGGGCTTGCAGAGGGAAGACGAATCAATTCAACGGCGCCGACTGGCAGCTCACAGTTCCAGGCATTGTCATTCTTATTTTTAGCCGCGCGCGTCTGCGTGGCTCGCGAAAATTCGCCGCGATTCTCGGGGCTTGCCGCGAATGCCGCAAGCCCGCCGCCGCGGCATTCGCGAGCGCTTCTTTCAGGCCAGATCGACCGACTGCGCCCGCCTGCGCGAACCTGCGCTCTGCTCTTGGCGAGCGCGACGCGTCTCTCGAGTGACCGTTGAAAGGGCGAGTCGGGAAGGGCGCAGGAAACAAAGCGACGCTCGCGGAGTCACGTGCGCGCGCGGCTGTCAAAAGCGACGGCGAAAATTGAAAGTGAAACGAGCCGGCGCAAGTGGGTTACGGTAACGGCCCGTAACGCGCGCCTTTCATTATTCGGCCAATCGTTCGCGGCCCGAGCTGTGCATGCCCGTACGACCGGCGCGCAAAGGACGGACGGTCGACAGATCGCAGTGGCAGCTGGAAGGCTATAGTCGGGCAGGAGGAGTGCGCGAGCACTCGCCGCCGACGACACGCAGCCTCGCGAGAATCTATTAATGAGCCGACGGCTGATTGCGTCTCCGTATATTTTTAACCGGCCGCGCCCATCGCCATCGGCATCGGCGCGGCGCTCGAGCTGGCGACGCGCGCGCATCGATCCGCATCCATCCGCCGACGCTGCCGATTGGCGCCGCACTGGGATCTCGGAGTGCAACGCGCGTCCCGCGGGTGTCGTGCCGGTGCCGCTCTCTGCCCGGCCTCGCGCTCGAGCTTATTCGCACGAGTCGACGCGAGTGCTGCCCCATGGATCGATCCGCCCCGCAGTGGCGAACTGCGATCCGGCCGATCGACGGCGATGGGACGCGACCGGGCGGCCGTCGCCGATACGATTGTCGCGGGAGACGGTCGCAGTCGTCGTTCGCCCTCGAGTTATCAGGCTCCGATCTCGCGACTTTGCACGCGTCCTTTTTATCGGCGCCCACTGCGCTTTCATTAATTGCACATCGGCGCGAGGTCGCGACGGCCGACTGTCACGCCAGGCTTTCTGCTCTCAACGATACGGAGCGGCAATATTTCACAGTCGGCGACTCGTTGACGGTTCGCGCGACAGTGGAATGCGATCGATCCTCTAGTACAGGTCCGGCGCAACAGTGAGCGCGAGCCCGAAAAAGCGCGACGGCAATAGTCTACGTGCGCGCTCGGATTTACAATCGTGACTCGGCCGCTCGCTCGCCTGCTCGCTTGCGCGCACACTCGTACGCGCGCGTCGCGTCAGTACATCCACTACCTGTCTACTATACCTTACTACTGCCGACCGGCGCGGCGAGCCGAGTCAGTCAGTCAGTCAGTCAGTCGGTCGCTCGGTCAGTCAGTCGGCCGCGAGCGGAGCGTTACGTCGTGCGCACGCTCGCAGTGGAACTTGACTGGCGCGTACCGCGACACAGTGTGCATGTGGTGCTCCTTTGCTTTGGTTTGAACAGTGCCAAGACCGTCGCAGCTCGTTTATGCCAGCGTGCTGCAGCCACCAAGTGCGTATACACTTTGACGTTTGCGCGGCTGAGCTTGGCGGGGCGGCAAGACTAGTTTCGTCGACCTTCGCGAAAGTCGCCACGAGCAGTCCGAATGTGAAAAATTTGAGCGGCAAGCGCGCGTGTCGCGGCAATCGATGCGAAAAACTCGCTTGTTTTCCTTTTTCGTCGTACGTTTAATAACCTTCGGGCACTCGAAGGATCTCGCATGGCGTGGTCGGCTCGCTTGTCCCCTAATTACTCCCCGATGCTCTTAATTTCTCATCGATTTTATATTTCCCTCGCGGCCGCAATAGCTCCGCTCGATTACTCGCAGCTCGCACTCCGTAATGTTCCGTGAAAGTGTTGTCTGCGTTTTTCTCGAAAGCGCGCGGCGAATGTGAAATCCTTTGCTTTGGTAACTTTCGCTGGGTGAACGTCCGGCCGTGAATTGGCCCCCTCGCTCGTGGTGGTAACGTCCGACCGAGTGCCCGAGGGGAACGTTGTTCTACTCAATTGAAAACGCAAGCGCCGGCGCCGAAGACGACGAGGCAGCGCGCGACTTTGGTCAGCGCGACGGTCGCGATCGGCGAAGCAGTCGGTCGGCCGAGCGCCATGTTCCACACCGCAGTCCAGAGGCGGGCAGTCGTCGTCGGCACTGCTGGCGTACGGACCGAACGCGGACGACTGGTGCTCGTCTCGACCGGCATTATCGGACGTTGGCCGCGATGGTCGCTGAACCCAAGCCGCTCGTGTGCTACAAATGCTCAAGCGCGCGCGCGAGTCCCTCTGGCAAGTGCATTCCTACGGCGGCCGGCTTTGACGAAGCGGCGGCCCGATTCGGAGGTCGCGTCGACGCCGCGGGCGATCGATAACTCTCGCTCTCGGTACGCTTCAATGTCGCTCGCCGCTCGAGCCGTGGGATCCGGCGAGACGATTAGGCGACCGCGACGGCTGCGTTTCGGCAGGGCGCGAAAGTGCACGCGCGCCGCCGCGGAGACGGAGCTCATTACACAACTGACGCTCGCTCTTTCTCGCGACCCAATTATTATTCCGAAAGGGCTCAAGGTCGTCGCGCTCGCTCACGTGACCTCGTACGCGCACGCGTGGACGCCTCGATCGAGAGAAAAAGGGAGAGAGATCTTTATCTTTTGGCGCGTGTGCGCCTCGGCCATCGATCTCGCGCGGCGAAAACATTCGGGTCAACGCGCCGCCGGATCCTCACCTTTACCCGATCGCCGAACTATCGGCTCGGCCCCTCATCGTCGCGGATTCTCACCTGGACGCGAAGCCGTTGGTTGCCTTAGATGCTACGTTTGGGATCGTTATCTTATCGTCGCTCCGTCGGATATAGCGTCAGGCGCTCTGCTACCTCGATAGCGCTTTAAATTTTTTTTCCTTTGCGCCTAGCGAGCATTTTAATTTGTTTTTAATGTCTTCGAGTCCGTAGAACACCCGGATAAATATCAAGTGACACTTGGAGCCCCGTTGATAAGATTTCGTTCGCGGCAGACTCGTTGGCGCTGGAAAAGCGTCCGCGTAACACAGCTCGGTCGCGGAGAAGAGCAAGCTCCTTGCACCAGGTCCGAGCGACGAGCCGAGGACTGGCCTACCCTTTCTTCCTGCTCGTCACCTCGTTCTCAGAGAGCAGAGAAAGAGAGAGAAAGCTGCTTATCGCGGCGTGACTCGGATGAAGCGCGAGCGGGCGCCACCGCGATAAGCGCGTTAATTCGTCGAGCGTACAACCGTGCGCGAAGAATCCAACGCTGGCCGAGCGCGCGTTCGACGAGGATTGGCGGGCCTCGCCTGATCCCAGCGATAGCGCGAGACTTAGCAGCGGAAAACGCGGACCTAACGAGACGTAATAGCGGACGGGTAATGTCTCGGCGGCCGTTTGCAGGATTGCGCGGTATGTGATATTGCGACCGACCGCATTGTTGCAGAGACCGTCATTAGGAGCGGCGCCCGTTGCGCAACGAGCGGCGCCGACAAAAAAGAGAGAGAGAAAGAGAAAGAAAATATTTATGCCGGCGGCGCTGCCGCTTCAGGAGAGACGTGCACAGCCATTAACTGGCGTAGTCCGCACGCACGTGACGCGAGAGCAGTCCTCGTTTTATAACTGGCGCGACGCCTCTCCGCGTGTCAAAGCCTCGTAGAAAGTACCGTGCGTATCGGGCATCGAACGCGCCCGCTGCGATAGCCCGCTCCTTTCTCATCTCTGCAGCGCGTTATGCAACTGCATGCCATGCGCGAGCGATCGAGAGCTCGATTGCACGTCTCGATGGACGGCGAATTAATCTCGTCTACGCTCTCGGCCAATTGCTTTCTCATTTCCATGCGAACAAAAGGGCCTTGCCGAGCGTTGTTTTCCCGCGGCCAAACTCAGCTGAACTCTCGTCCTCTCTCTCTCTCTCTCTCTCTCTCTCTCTCTCTCTCTCTCTCTTGGGAGCGCGGACTGGCGAAAACGCGTTATGACTGTTGTTCGAACGCTTCATCCACTATTTATCCACGACAAATAAGCCCATCCCTATTGCCAACGATTATTCCTTATCGCCACATCGTTTATTCGTACACCGAGAGTAAATACTAATATCATCGGCTAGGTCTTGCTGTTTCTGAATCATAATTGTACTGTCGAGCGTCTTAAGCGCCGAATGCTTTTCATTTGAACCGATTACGAAGCACTGGATACGACAGTACCTCGCATAGCGACAGTTTCAAAGTGCCAGTTGGCTGCGTCACGCAACCAACAAGCATCGGTGTCCGAAGGAATTGAAGAAAATGAAAAAGTTTTTGGCTCGCCGCGTGGCGTCTTGCATCCGACGAGGTCGTTCCAGTTTTGAAATGGGCGTTGAGCAACATTAATAACAGCGCTTGCCGCTGAGAAATCCACTCGCCTTCCGGCCGTGACACGCGTCAGATGTATTATCTGCGAGAAAGAGGTTCGGCCGTTAATTTAGTGCATAAACACGGAAAGTCGCTTTCAATCATCTGTTGTGCGCCGTCAATAAAGGAGAGCCACCATTACGCGAAGCCGGCCACACGCGAAGCTTTTCCTCGGCTGCCCAGTTGAATTTCCAAATGATATCCACGGATATTCGTTTGCGGACGCACGCCCTGTGCGAGAGGCCTCGAAGCACCTTCGAACTTGATCACGGCTTTGCCTCAAATTCAATTATCACGGCTGGGGCACCAAGTGACAACGGTGGAAGGCTTCGAACAGTTCGTCGAAAAAAAGTCGCACGCGATTTATTGCTCGGGCTAATTAAACCGAGGGGTGTCGATCGCGCCGAAATCCGGCCCATCGCGTAGTGTCCGCCCCTTGCTTCCACGATCGTCCGCGCATACGACTGTCGTACAACTGTCGTGCAAATTCCAAATTCACGAATTGGCTACGCGTTTATGATAAACTTGCGCGATGCCTCGTCGATACGGGACTGCACAAGTTTATACCGCGATACCGGACTACAAACTTGTAGTCCGATATTGTGCAAGCCATCAACAAGTCATCTGATAAACCGAGTAAGATATTGCGCTTGCGGATGTCTGCAGGATCATTACGCTTAATACGCCATTTCATCGCCTTGACTTTTATTGACAATGCATCTTTTCAACAAGTTTACGTTGAAAATCCAAATAGGCTTGTTCTTTGAATTCGTAATCAACGGGAGATGCGTGTCTATATTGTTCGCGTTTATTGTTGGCGAAATTGCCGGGAGCTAAATGCTTTCTTATGCAACGCCTCGATGTAATCGCTCTGCACGCAATTAACGAAACATTAAAGCCCGACTTGATAAACTGGCTAAAGGATCGCGCTGTTATGTGCAGTGGTCGTATCGGATAAATTTTTGCATGCTGCAAGTTGAGGCGGTACATCGATGGTCGAACAAGACTCCAACCAACTCTACTACCGATGCTTTTCGACTGCACTAGGCCCGCGTCTTTCTCGCGCCGCACAAGCTTCTCCAGATGCGTGCGTGCACGTCACTTTGTCCTGGCAAAATGTGAATAAGTTGAGTCAGAAAAAGCCGAGAAGCCGAGTCTTTAACAATTCAAAGCGGCGATGTAAAGTAACGAGCTTGACACAGAAATGATTTCTGAATTAGCTTAGCCAAGGCAGCGCATCGAATGTACCAGCGAGGAGTGATTAGTGCGTTTGATTTGCAGGCGGCTCGGAACGGTGACGTAAAATTTATTGAATATGCAAAATAAACAGCTTTAATTAGCGAGCGGCCGGTTGCGAGATAATCGGAATAGCGCGCGCACGACTGTCGCAACGGTTCGCGTGAGAAAGCTCCAAGTTTGCGCGTGCCCTCAAGAGCGTCGCTTGCGTAACGAGCGTCGATTGCGGTGCATTGTCATCTCGAGCGCGGACGCGGGACTCGTCGGCAAATTGCCGACGACGATGACGCTGCGCCCCCCCCCCCCCCGGATGGAAGCCGCAGAACGACGAGCCAGCTCGCTCTTTTTCACGGCGACGCGCTCCTAATCGCCGAGCGCGTTGTCGAAATCGGCCGCGAGCGCTGTACCTGTCGCGAAGGACGCAGCCCGAGCAACGGCGCGCGCGCTGTTCCCACGGCGCGCGAGTAACGCGCGCGCTTTTTCAGCGGCGCTTCTTTAAAAGGAATAAGAAAAAGAAGCGCTCATTGTTGGGAGGACAGAAAAAAAACGAGAAGAAAAAAGGATGGAGCGAGTCATCGCGATAGCTCTAGTCAAGTGTATTCAAGGAGGATCTCATTATCCGCGTCATTTCTATAACTTGCTGTGAAAAACAACGTGATTATTGTTCGTTCATGACGATTGTTGCTATCTTCGAGCTCGCATGTGCTATTCCAACTTGGATATTTGAGGAGCGCGGTGATCACTGGGAAGATATGTTTCTGTCGATCGCAGGCGGCTATCCTCGGACCGAGCTACATGCCGATTTATCAACGAAAGCTTCTCGGGTCTCGTCCCGCCGAGTTTATATTGCGCGTAATTTCGTGGGAATTCATCGCATAAATGTGCAAGATCGGCCTTACGTAAGGTGCTCATACAAGGCTGCGCTATCAGAATCGAGCGAGCAGAGACGCAAGAGTCAGGCAACGATTGATACGTAGATGATTGAACGCGCAGCCGTGAACTAGAACCAGAATTGACTGGAGTTACATTCGTATTCGTTTGAGTTTGGGTGTGCAGCGCGACGCAGGGTGAAAAGGGAAAGATAGGGAAGGAAGGGAACCTAAATACGCTACAGCAAGACTGACGAGGGCAAGCAAGCGATCGGGCAGGCAAAAGTGAGACCGGTGGCGATGGGTCAGCGCACGGCAGGCCGCGGCAACCGATGCAAATGGCCAGGCGTGCGTGCGCTATCTCGCGCGGAGATAAGTCCGAGGACTCGGTTGTCGCGAGCCGTCGGCTCATTCATGCACCGGACACCTTGGCTCGCCTCGCGCGCTCCGCACGCGATCGCTGCGATTATTGCTGTCCGCGAGGGCCGTTACGCAAGAGTTTGCCGTGGTTCCGCCGCGCGCGATAGTCGGCTCGGCGAGCGCCCCGCGAACAGCCGATAAGTCCAATCGATGTTGCTGCGATCGCCCACCTGCAACTACGCCCACCTTGCAGCTGGGGCTCTATACCGCGCTCTCCGAACGACGAAGGCTCGGAAGGCTGCTCGTAGCGTGACGCTTCTGTGGGCGGTCGTCGGGCAAACCTCGATGTGCATGAATTGGATTAGTCAACAGCGCCGTGCAGTCGGTTCAAAGTCACAAGTGCAGTTGGGCAAATTGTTTCCGCAAAACAAAGTGTCGGCGCAGAAAGGCAGCTTGCGGCTGGCCTGTCTGCCGACCAATGCCAAAGGCATTAACGCCAAACCGCTAAGCGATCGTCCATCGTCCGTGGGCTCGGAGCTCTCGTAATAAGCGCCGTCGCCGGAGCGAGCCACCGAAATTAAGTCCTGAATAATTCCGGCGTTGTGCCGCTGATCCACGTCGAGCGGACGGAAGTAGAAGTAGAGGTAGAGCCATGTAAAGCACGCTTAACCAGTCGATTCGGCGCCAATTAATAATGATACCAGCTCACGGCCGCGGAACCGAAGCGCGAAGAACAAGAAAACTTTTAGCCGCTCAAGGATGGCCTGGCCGCTCGATAAGTTATGGCCGGCTGACTCGCCGCCTGCGCCTGGACGAAAAAAAGTCACCGACGAGTCGACGGATCAGTCGGAAACGTCGGACGGACGGAGCTTCTCTTTGTACGCCGCCCTCGTTGACCGTCGCACACTGTGCCGTACGAGCGTAGAGCCAACAGTTGTAGCTGTCTCCAGACGTAACAGGCAGCTCTTCGGAAGGCTGTCGAGGTAGAACATCGCGTCGTCGGGGCTGCTCGTCGAGAGGAGGAGCCCTTCGCGGGAAAACTCATTGGCGGGCGTCGTCCCCGAAGAGTCCACTCGATCGTCGGCGGCTCTCGGCGCGAAGCAAATCACGGTCGCGCGGCCGACAGGGCCGGAGGGTCGGGTAGAGGGGGGAGGCGCAGCGAGCACATACGCGCTTACGACCGTGACACTGTCCTTGTCCAAGACCGGGCATACATTGACCGCCGCCGGCGCGTACCCACGACCACGTGTCTAGCCCACGTGGCCGATCGATCGCGCTGTGTCGCGCTCTCGGCCTCGGCGCGGCGTTGTCGCGGACGCGTTATCATCGGGGCTTTTCGGCCGCGGCGCCGTGCGCGAGCGGAGTGCGTGAGCCAAGCGTACCGGCCATTGGCGACGCGTCGCATCGACCCGCGTAACCCGTAGCCAGGCGCGCCTCGTCGACCGAGTCGAGAGCTGCGCCAGCGAGGACAGGGAAAGGCTTCGCCCGGCGCAGTTGCGCGAGCCAACGAACGACTTCGGCGGCTTCGATGACAGGCGTAAACGCACGAGTGCGCGTCGCCAATACAGCCCTATCGTCGAACATTTGACGGCAGGCACGAAAGAGCTGACAGGGCGACATTGTGGTGTTTCAGTGGGGCGGCGGCGGAGGTGCGTCGGCTAACAAGTTGTCGCCTTGGCGGGCCTGAGGAGGTGTCGTCGGCGGCGCGAGTCAGCGGGCGCCGAGCAGCCAGGCCGAGCAGCGAGAGAGTCGACCAGGACGACGGCGGCGGCCCGCTGCTGCTGCCCGGCTAGTCGTGACCACATGGACGCCGACCTCGGCAGCTCGCACGCCCAGCCGCAGCAGCAGCCGCAGTCCCGCCTCAGCAGCGATCGCCGGCGCGAGCAGGCAGGCCGCACCGGCCACTGGGGCCCGCTCCGTCCAGGCACGCGGCGACCATGTCGCGCAGCGCCGCCACCCGTCCGCAGCAAGGTATTTCCTCCCCCGGGCGCGCGCGAGCAAGCTGATCTCAGGTGTGCGCGAGGCGGGTCGCCGGCGATCGGCGGGAGCCGGCACCGACCAAGGCGCGCGGCCAGTCTCGGGCTGCGAGGCGGGCCGGCAAGACAGATTCCGCGGCGCCGGTGCGAGCGCACCGAGGCGCGAGCCGTGGCGCGGTGCGCGCGTACCGCGAGGGCCCGTCGTCTGGTCGTCGCGGCGCCGGGCAGCGCGTGGCGCCTCCGCGGCCCCTGGTGGCCGAGCGCCGAACGGCTCTGGCTGCGCGCTCGCGGCCAGTCAGTGTACGAGCTGCGGAGCCGCCAGGCTCGTCGATAGACGCGTTCTCTATCTCTCTCTCTCACTCTTTCTCACCCACTCTGCACAAGTTCCTCGCACACCTTCTCCTCGCCTCCCTTCGCTTTCCTCGTGGCCGTTTTCCGCTGTCCGCGGTGTTGACCTGTGCTAGCCAGTGCGTGCTGCTGCGTCGAGTCTGCAAGTGCAAAGAGCGGCCAGCCAACTGTGCCGCCGAGTCGCAACGTTCCGAACAACCCCTTTTCTCGGTGAGTTTCGTTCTCTCTTTCTCTCTCTCTTTCTCTGTCAGTCCGTCGTCTGCATTGCGTTTGCCATGGCTCGTCCTTCGACGGCGTTGTGTAACTACTCGGGAACTCGCGCGACGAGTGCAACACAGCTAGCGGACGACAGCGAGCTCAAGGAAGAAGGGCGCCCACCAGAGAAAGAGAGAGAGAGATGGAGAGAGCTTGGTTGTGAAAGCAAAGAAGCGCCCTATCGATTGCCGCCTCGCGAGCTTTCTCTCTCTCTCTCGCTCTCTCGCTCTCTCGCTCAGTTGCACAGGCGCGTCACCGCGACGACATCGCGATACTCGACGTCGTCCGCCTGCCTATAGGCCTTTAATTATTCAGCTCGATTCTTTTATTCTCAGTCTCTCCCTCTTTCCCCCCTCGACGACGCACTCAAACAGTCGCATCGAGTTGGCGTTTGTCGGCGAATACAAGGATAGAGGGAGGGGTAGGGGGAGAGAGAGAGAGAGAGGAAAACGGGCACGAGGCTCTCACTCGCCTCAACTGGATTGGAATAATGCCGTGAACTTATTTTTCGATAAAGCGAGCGAACGAGCGTGCGTGCTCGTGGCTCGGCTAGCGCGCGCGTTTATCCAAAGGCGCGTCAACAGTAATCTGGCGGTCGCTAACGCGAGCAACCGCACCGTCGCGCTAACCTCAAAGCCGCTCTGGCATGGCGCGCATTCGAGTTCGAGCTCCGCTGCCTTCTCCCTTTCTGCATTTGCGCGACGCTGCCGCCCGTCCAACGAACCGCGCGCGGACACTTTGAGGTCCGGGACCGAGGCGAAAGACCTGTACTCGCACTTCGCAGCTGCGGCAGTGAGGCCGAGTTGTTTTGCGCTCTGCACACAGTATCGCGTTCCCGGGAGCACGGCGCGATTGACGGGGCGCGACGTGTTGATTTTGCCATCGGAGCTTGCACTTTCCTCGCGGGTTTCGCTGTGCAATTAACGCTGACGTCTTTCGCCGCGGCGAACGGAGACGACGTTTTTATTTTGTTTTTTATTTTGCTTTGTTTCTCTTCTTTTCAACACTTTGCCGTTTCTTTCAAGAGTTCAATGATGTCTCGGAGCTCTCGAGGAAACTGTTTGTGTATGGAAGCAGTCGCTGCGTATCTTTCGATAAAAATACTAAAAATACGATCTTAAAAAAAAGATGAAAATGTGGCAAAAGATCTACGTGTATTTTTCCATTTTACACGTATCGACATCTAAATTGGGTTATTCGTATGCGCGTAGGAATGCCTCGAGCGAAAAATAAATTATAAAACGAAAATGACGGCTAATTGTAACTTTGAAAGTGAGATTCACGATGGAAAAGTGCCTAAAATTTCTATTCAAAAGTAAAAAAGTTATCGTAGAACTAGAGTAGCTATGAAAGTTGCTGAGAAGTACTCGAAAGCAGACTCTATAAAACGTTTCTCGAGCCCGTCGAATTTTCTTCGAAATCAAGAAAAAAGAGAACCGTTTCGTTTTACCCTTACATTCTGTCTGTGAAACGAGGAACATGAAACAAAGAGAGCGAGAGAGGGTAGGGTAAGGGGAATGAATCCCAAGGGATATAAACAGGAAGCGACGCCGTGGCGCCACCAAAGAGAGATGAGAGCCTCTCTCTCTTTCTCTCAAAGCTGTCTACTGCGTTTAGCTGATTGAAGTGCGAAAAAGGTTGCATGTCTTAATTGGACGATAGTTACAACTCGAGCGCATACTTTTCGGCGCCAGTGACGGGACAAGGAGTTACGAAGATGCGAAACAATCCCAGGCCCGAGAGCGTTACCGTGAGATCTCGTGTGAAATGTCACCAGTCGAATCATAGCGAGAGGAGGCGACGTGGCGCTAAATCAAAGAGCAGAAACGATTGCTTGGCTACGCGCGAGTGCTAGCCTCGTTGACGATACCGTCCACTTGACCCGCCCCTGAACTGAACACTGAATTGAAAGCCACTCGTCGGAGCTCGCGCCGCGTATTCGTACACAATTGGCCCTGATAACGACGCACGCCAATCGCTCGGCTCGCGCCTACACTCCTTCTCGTTCCGATTGAAAAAACACCCGTCTCTGCCGCTAATTAATATGTGCGAGGTCTTTGTGTTCGGCAACGAGAATAGCCACGCGCGCACGAATCGTTTCAGCGGAGTGAACAGCCCGACAAGTCGCTCCTCGTTTTGCTTCGAGTCTCCCGTGGATCTCGTCGGATCCTTCGCTACCGGTCTCCTGTCCGCCACGCGTACGCTGGAATTTGCCCGACTGCCGGCACGAAAATCGCGCTCGCTCGCTCGCTTGGCTTTTCGCGCGGCCGAGTGAATCGAAGTTCCATTCGCCGGGCGCCGATAAAGCCAGCCGCGCTTATCTCTGCGCGATTTCCTCGCCTCGTCCCATCACCGCAACACTCGCGCCAGCTCATGGCAGCGCGTAAACGTTTGGTTTCTCTCGCTCTTTGCTCTATACTTATCGCGGTGCCATGCGCGACCCAACTTTTTCCGATAAGCGCGCTGCCCCTCTATCTTGGAGTTTATGGTTGCCATTGGATTCCTTAACCTACTTCCACTCTTCTATCTACGTGCGCGCGCAAACTCCTGGTGGACAGCAAGAAAAATGCGACGAAGCCAAGTCGGCCGGAGAGCCAACGTTAGACGCGTGTCGACGGCGTGAGATGAGACGCGCCGACGTTGCGCGGCGCGCGGCGGCAAGTCACGTCGGCAATCCGGCGTCGTCCACAACTCGCACGACCGTCGATCGATGCGACGCTCGACAATATATGCTTGGCCAAGGCTCGTGGATAAGTTTTGGCGGGCGGACCGTTGGAGAGGCGAATCAAGCCGAGAGCCAATGCGTGAGCTGCCTTCATCGGACTTTTCACCATTGCCACGAATGCTTCTTAATGTCCCCGCGTATCCTTCGATACGCCAAGACTGCAGCGCGAAATGTGGCTCGAGATGCATAACGGAAATACGAAATAATGAATAAAAAGTAAAGGGTTCGCGAGTTTAGCTTCGTGGCAGCGGCCGCGAATCAATTGTTGGGCTCGGTGGTGCACGTAGAACAAACTGGAACAACGTGATCCCTCTGGCCCCGCTTCGTCTCGTGTACGTACGCGCGCATTCAAATTGTCGGTGCGCCGACATGGGAAAACAATCGTTCCGGACAAGCAGCTGGGATCCACGAGTCATCCATGCGTCCCATTTCACCCCCCCCCCCCATCTCTCTCTCTCTCTCTCTCTCATCTCTACCTCGAATTGAGAAGTCGAGAAGCAGTAGCGTTGGAAGGTAATCTCGAGAAACATCCTTTGCTCAGCAATGAAAAATAAAGACGCGGCGTCTGATGGCCGGCTTATAGGACTTTACCGTAGATTCGCGCGTAGTCGATTGCATCTGGCGCATACTCCGACTGCCATGCTGGGTCTTACAAATTGAATAGCGGCAGCTATGCCGCATTGAAGCCTATATCCGCAGTTACCAAAAGCAATGCCTGGTTGTCTGAAACGAAAAACGGGCGAATTTCGTTTACCATCATTGGCGCTGCAATGTCGTAACTTTACATTAGCAGCCTTGACGTAACATCCGACTCGAGCGAATACGCGTTTTCTTCGGCCACGAAACCGCAACGCCTAATAGCCGCTCCGTCAAAGCTTTTAGCAGGCGCACCAAACGTAAACATCGCGTCTGACTGTCAATTACGAGTAGTGATCGCAGTCGCGCCAAAAATCAGGAGACAGAGGCGACCGAGAGCGCGGAGCGTTTTCAATTTCGCGCCTCGGCACGTATCGACAGCGAGGGCCTTGAGAGCGCTCGGATAAGGAGGTATGCTTACTTTTCCATGCGAAATTCAAATGCTGGACGCGTCACGCCTCGTTCGTCGAGCCTACACTCGCTGCTCCCGCGGCGCACTCGACATCGCGACAATGCTCAGCGGCGAGCCGTCGGGAGGTCTTTCCTTTGCTCGCCTCACGGGCGGGTGATTCGCTGCGCGAGCCGCCATCACCGCCGCGGCGCAAATTCTATTTGGCCGAGTCGCCCTTCGCGCGCGAAAGCTCGCCTTGACTCTGTTGTGCGGGTGCGCGACGTATCGAGCCGCCTGTTTCCGCCTTATCCTTTAGCTTGGCCGCCTTCGGCGCCGCTTCACGCATCGATCGCCCCGGCGCGTTTCATTTTGCATCGCGCGACTCAACCGTCAAAACTCTCACTCTCTCTCTCTCTCTCTCTCGCAAACACGCCCGCCTTTGGCGGCTTCGAAGCAAAGATTTCCCATGGCGATGCCTGCCAAGCTATGACGGACCGCTGACACGATTTGCACTGCTGCGACTGGCGAGTCAAGGTCGCCAAGTTGCTCGCGTACGACCATCTACGCTGTGGCTTGCGAGCTTGCGAACTCCCCCCCCCCCCCCCCCCCCGTCGATAGCCGTGCACGTTTCGAGCGCGAACGAGGATTTCCAGGAGAAAATCACGCTCGCTGCCATTCGCTCGTCTCTTATCGCGCGCTTTTGTTCGCGCTAATTATCGATCGATCGCGCTCCATTGTCGCTCTCTGTTCTCGCGTCCGACTGCTTCTGCTCAATAATCGTTGCCGCGCGCGTCAGCTGTATTTGTCGCGCGCGGCGCTATCCAGCCGTGTCCCATTGTTCTAATAACCTTGCGACAACTTCATCGTGGAGAATTGCCGTCGTAAAGTGGCCGCGCGCGGTAGCGCCTGTCGCGGAAAATCTCGAGCGCGCCAAATTGGCATCGTCTTGCCGAGCCGAACGGTTTATCTTCATCAAGAGCAATTTTCCCACTTCGAATCTCAGTGGCGGCAGCGCCGGCAGCAACGGCCTTTCCGACTCCAATTGTCTGGCCGTTAAAATGTCATTAATCGCGACTATCGAGCTCTCACGGCCTTAGCTTTCGTTCGACAGTTTTTCTCCTGGCCGCTGCTCCATTCCATAATTCTCATTTGCAAATAGCGAGCGAGCAGCGAGATCGACCTCGATACACGAGCATGCGGCTCGCGCTCAGCAAGGGAGATCGTCCGGAATCGCGGACAATGGCTTTGCGATTCATGCCTCGCTGCCGATATGCTATGGCGCCGCGAACGCGCGAGCGAGGCTGGGCACTTGCTCTCCTCGAAACCGACCGACAAATCGGAGCATCGAGAGGGGCGTACGCAAGGCATTCCTCGTAGAGGCCCAGCTGGAGCGCAGTCGCGCGTACCAACAACGATCCGGGCACACGCGTTCAGAAGAGCCGCAGCGGTCGCTAGTGGCTGCTTCTCCGAGGCAGACGGGAGATTCGGAAAAGCGAGACATGGCAAACGCAAGTGCGCGTACGGCGAACGCAACGCCAAGGCGAGACTGAAATGTGGTGTGCGAAGCCGGAGGCAGGGGCGCGCTGGGATGAGCGTGCGAATGGTGTCGGCGAGACTGACGAAGCTCAAGAAGAAGCGCGGCACGAGGGTGGCCGGCAGCGCAGCGGAGCGGGCGTCAGCGGCGGGCTGCCGGCGCGAGGGCAGCTAGGCCGCGGCGGGTAGCGTAACAGCAGTAGCAGCAGTAGCAGCAGCAGCAGCCACGAGGACGGGACGAGCGGCGGAGCGGCTGGGAGAATGAGGCGGCCCCCCCTGCAGCCGCCGCCGCGGGCCTGCCCCCGAGCCGCAGCTGAGCAATGAGCGCGCTGCAGGCCGCGCATCACAACCAGTACACCCACGACACCCTGGAGCTCGAGGTCTTTGAGGTCCGTACGGTCCTCCCTCCCTCCTCCCCCCTTTACGCCCGAGCGACGCCCGAACCCCTTGAGCCTGCTTCAGGTGCGATGCGACAGCGACGAGTCAGCGAGGCGTCAGCGTCAGCAGCAGCAGCAGCAGCAGCAACAGCAGCTACAGCAGCCACAACAGCAACAATCGTCGGACGCAAATGGGGGCGCGACTGCGGCCGGAGGCAGTTGCGGCAAGGAGCGCATGATCGCTCGAGTGGAGGACTTCGAGGACGACGACGACGACGACGACGACGACGACGACGACGAAGATGAAAACGGGCACGAGTTCGACGAGGACGACGACGACGACGACGAGGACGGAGTCAAGGGCGGCCTGGCTGGCTGCGCTGCCAGACGCCGCAGGCGCAGGAAGCTCCAGCATGGCCGCAAAGCCAGCACGAGGCGTCGGCGCCGCCAGACAAAGCACAAGCCGAGGCAGCAGGACGCGTCTGTATGCTGCCTCGCGCTCTCCACCTCGTCCAATACTTTCAATGCTGAGCTCGCCGCCACGGTATAGCCCATTTGCCTTTTCCCGCTTCTTGCGACTGCGACTAGTGACTCGTCAACTCTCGCCAGCTATAACGACGTTGCTGCCCCTCGACATAAGCAACGCGTCCGCTACCGGGCAGCCGAACACTCGCGAATCGTGCACAGAGCAAGCGATATACGTGATTTCTAGCTGCGGCGAGTTGACGAGTAGACGGCAGGCAGTCGAGACAAAGCGACAGAGAGAGAGAGAGAGAGAGGGAGAGAGAAAGAGAGAGAGGGAGAGGGAGGCAGGCTGAGCGCACTGTGTCTTCGACAGAGCACCCGTTCGAGCCACAATCGGCAGAGCCAGCAGCTGATAACGGATGGCGCCACGTCGTCGCGCGACGGCCTAGAGGAGGGCGGCGTGGCCGGCGGTGCCCAGGGCTCCGAGGCGGCGGGCCTATGCTCGTCGAAGCGCGACTCGTCGAGCAGCCTGGGCGCGGCGAGCGCGCGCCACGCGACCTTCCGCGAGAACCTGCTCACGGTCCTCGGCAAGCTGGTCGTCTGGAAGGGCGGCCGCTACAGACCCACCCCCACCTCGTCCAGCAGCATACCACCCGGATCGCCGCCCGCCACCGAGTGCATAGGCCGCGGTGGTGGCTTCTTCTCCTCCTCCTCCGAGGACTCGCGCAGTAAGCTCCCATCCTCTCGGCGCTCCTCGCCTCGGCTCGCACTCGCCACTCTCACCTCGCACCTGCTCCTCCCTCACCGCCTTATCTTCTCCTAATGATTGTCAACTCTGTTTTAGGAATAAATTTGCCCTCGCTAATCGAGGAACCTCTCGTTTGGCGAAACGGCTCGGCGAATCGCCCACTGGCCCGCGACCTCCGGTCACCTCCGGGCACCTCCGGGCTCGGAGCCTGCAGCGAACTCGCGTCGGCTCTCGATAGGCAGTGGGGGGAAAGTGCGTTGGGAAGCTTGCGCGCCGATAGCGATTCGATATTCCGCGAGCCGACTTTGCGAGCGCCGCGTGCGTCGCTCGTAAGCGAAACGTATGGCGAATCGTGGCGGTCGATCGACGCGAGATCCCACGCGCGAACCTCGGCCGACTCTATTTTTAAGGCACACCGAAGGCGCTCGATTGCGCCAACTCGCCACTTGGCGGCACTTGGATCACGTTCAAGTCTTGAGATCAGCTTGCCTTGCCGCATCACGCATGGGGGATCCTCGTGCTTGTAGTTTCCATTTGGCGACTCGCGAACGAAGCCCAATCTAACCACTGATCCATGCCCGTTTGCTCGTTACTCTTGCAGAGACGGAGAGGCGGATTCGCGCCAACAATCGCGAATACAACCTGCAGTTTAATTATGCGGTAAGCAGCGTTCGAGCGAGAGACGAACGAGTGGTCGACACGAGGCGACAATACTAACTGGTTGCGGCTTTCAGAACAACTACATCAAAACGTCCAAGTACTCGGTTCTGACGTTCCTGCCGTTGAATCTGTTCGAGCAGTTCCAGAGGCTCGCCAACTTCTACTTCCTGTGCCTGCTGGTGCTGCAGCTGATCCCCGCGATATCCTCTCTGACCCCCGTGACCACGGCTATACCCCTGATCGGGGTACTCACGCTCACTGCCGTCAAAGATGCCTACGATGACTTTGTAAGTATGCCAGAACGTGCCGGCTCGTGTCAGCGAGCGATCTCACTCACGCTCGCTTCCGCTCGCGCAGCAACGACACAGCAGCGACTCGCAGGTCAACAACCGCAAGTCGCACTGCCTGCGTGGTACCACGCTGCGCGAGGAGAAATGGTCGCAGGTGCAGGTCGGCGACGTCATCCGCATGGAGAACGACCAGTTCGTGGCCGCGGACGTGCTGCTGTTGTCGACCAGCGAACCCAACGGGCTCTGTTATATCGAGACAGCCGAGTTGGACGGGTAAGCGCGACTCTCGGCGCGGCTCTCGGCGCGGCTCTCGGCGCGGCTCTCGGCGCGGCTCTTGACGCGGGCAATAACGAGACAAGAGTACTTTACAGGGAGACGAACCTCAAGTGTCGCCAGTGCCTGCCGGAGACCGCGGACATGATGAGCAACCACGAGCTGATCGGCAACTTCGACGGCGAGATCATCTGCGAGACGCCCAACAACCTGCTCAATAAGTTCGACGGGATACTGACGTGGCGTGGCAAGAAGTACATCCTCGACAACGACAAGGTGATCCTGCGCGGCTGTATCCTGCGCAACACCGCCTGGTGTTACGGCATCGTCATCTTCGCCGGCAAGGACACCAAGCTCATGCAGAACTCAGGCAAGAGCAAGTTCAAGCGGACCTCCATCGACCGGCTGCTCAACCTGCTCATCATCGGCATCGTGCTATTCCTGCTATCGCTCTGCCTCTTCTGTATGATCGGCTGCGGCATTTGGGAGAGCCTGGTGGGCCGTTACTTCCAGGTCTACCTGCCCTGGGACTCGCTGGTGCCTACCGAACCGATTGCCGGCGCCACGGTCATCGCGCTGCTTGTCTTCTTCTCCTACGCCATCGTACTCAACACCGTCGTGCCCATCAGCCTGTACGTGAGCGTCGAGGTCATCCGCTTCGTCCAGTCGTTCCTCATCAACTGGGACGAGGAGATGTATCACGCGCCGACCAACACGCACGCGCGTGCCCGCACCACCACGCTTAACGAGGAGCTCGGCCAGATACAGTACATCTTCTCCGACAAGACCGGCACCCTCACCCAGAACATCATGACTTTCAATAAGTGCTCGGTCGCCGGCCAGTGCTACGGGGACATCATCGACGAGGCTACCGGCGAAGTGATCGACCTCACCGATGTAAGCCCACCAAGCTCTTTTCGTCTTCTTACTATCTAGACTAGTCGATGTTTGAGTGTGTTGTTCGAATTTTTTCCCGAGTTTTTCTTGTTCATACTGTTTTTTTCTCCTCTTTCTTCATCCCGCCCCTTCCTCTCCCTCTCTCGTCTACCACACACACACACACACACACACACACACACACACACACACACACACACACAAAATACATAACATTCTCACATAAACACACACGCACATGCTTACACTCACCGCGTGTACGTTCGCACGCGCGGCAATTACCCACCTCAATCTTGCGTCGACACTGCTTTATTTGTATTGTTTGTGCAACAGCGATAACTCGCCCGAATCTGCGCGGTACACTATACATACCCAACGACTTACGAATATTGCCAACATTCTGACTAATCATTTTTATAGATTACTTTTATTTAAGCGCTGTTTTCCCTTCGAATGCAACGATGATTTGAACTTACCAGTCTGGTGCAGATCATTGGCATATTCGCATGTAACGAGAGAAAATTGCATGACCTTACTCTTGACCATTGACCCGACCACCAGTAGGATTTCTTGCGTATATTACGTTTGTGGTGCATTTTTTCTGGGTTGAGAGGGGAGTGGGCAAACAAGCCAAAACGTGTAAAAACAAGTAGGGAAGAGAGTGCAAGGAGCCTTAGATAACAAAAGCGCATGTGTGTCCTGCATGCCACGCAGACAGGTAAAGCAGCAAGTGGGAAGGCTGCGCCAACGGTAAAGTGGAAAAATGGCCAAGACTTCGTGCACTCGGTTTATCATCCGCTGAGCGGGGCGAGCGTGCGGCTTCTGGAGCAGCAAGACCAACAGTCAAGACTGACAACTCCCGAGCCTGGCATCAACGGCGCCTCGAGACTGCCACTCGATTATTCAGTACGCATGCTTCTGTCTCAGAATCTTCGCATTTGATCTTCCATTTTTTGCCGCCAACAAACTCTCTCTCTCTCTCTTTCTTTCTCTCTCTCTCTTTCTCTACTCGCTTACTAAATTATTACTTCACACCCTGGCTGTGCTTGCCTAACTTTTCTTACATCCGCGATGGCATTAGGAAGCTTTTTGCATGCACATCTAACGCGAGGTGATTTGGCTGTGTGCTTTGAGTTACGACTTTTGCGTTTTTGCACTTGTAATGGTTTTGGACGTCCACGTGTACCTTACATCTACGGCTCTCGCCTTCCGCTGACTTGTACATAATATATATATATATATATATATATATATATATGTACGTGTACATATGTATATAGAGTCGTGTAACTGTGGCAATGGATTATGTCGATATTACGAGCTAATTTTAATAATGACTGCATATTAATCTGCTGACTTTGCCGGGCATAATCTTTGCATCTAATTGCGTTGGCATTCCTCTATGGAAAGAACTGCTGCGTTGGCTTGGCAATGACTACCAAACATCGCAGGGATAAATGTGTCTCGTCACTCCGTTATTCTTCACTGTAGACTATCATCTAACATTTAACGTAAAATCCTTGTGCTCGGCTCGATCTCGTAATCAACTGTCGTCATCATGCCTACGTCTACACACCTACATAACGGAATCGCCAAGAGAGATGCGCATTACGAAAATAGCAGGCTCAATGTCTACATGTAAAATGCTCGCGAGCAAAGAACGTGCCTAAAAAAATAAGCCGGCGTCGAGTGTGCACATTGGCGGAGGGCGCGTCACTTAATCGGCTCAATTTTATATTCCAACAGAGCACCCAGCAGCCGCTGGACTTCTCCTTCAACAAGGACTACGAACCGGAATTCAAGTTCTACGACGCCACGCTGCTGGAGGCAGTGCGCCACCACAACGAAGACGTGCACAGCTTCTTTAGGCTGCTGGCGCTCTGCCACACGGTCATGGCAGAGGAGAAGAACGGCAGTCTCGAGTATCAGGCCCAGTCGCCGGACGAGGCGGCTCTGGTCTCCGCCGCGCGTAACTTTGGCTTCATCTTCAGAGAGCGATCGCCTAATAGCATCACCATCGACGTGATGGGCAAGCGCGAGATCTACGAGCTGCTTTGCATCCTGGACTTCAATAATGTGAGAAAGAGAATGTCGGTGATTTTGAGGAGGGACGGCAAGCTCAAGCTCTACTGCAAGGGTGCCGACAACGTCATATACGAGAGGGTAAAACAGGGCAGCGAGGACATCATGGCCAAGACGCAGGAGCATCTCAACAAATTCGCGGGCGAAGGTACACAGGGCAAAGTAGCGCGCCACTCGGTCGAGCGACCACTGCGTCGTGCCCGCAGCCGATCGATCCAACGATTCTTGTGTCGCAGGTTTGCGGACGCTCTGCTTGTCTACCAAAGACCTAGACGAGGCCTTCTTCAACGACTGGAAGCATCGGCATCAGGAGGCGGCGATGAGCCATGAGAACAAAGAAGATAAGCTCGACGCCATCTACGAGGAGATCGAAAAAGACATGACCTTGCTGGGAGCCACTGCCATCGAGGACAAGCTCCAAGACGGCGTTCCTCAGACTATCGCCAATCTCGGCCTCGCGGGTATCAAGCTTTGGGTCTTGACAGGCGACAAGCAGGGTTAGTCCTCCCGCTTTTTTGCCCATTCCTTCTCGAGCCACGATCAATTCATTGTCCAATCTTTCAGAAACGGCCATCAACATTGGCTACTCCTGTCAATTACTGACGGACGAGTTGACGGACGTCTTCATAGTGGACGCGACTACGTACGATGGCGTGCAAACGCAATTGACACGGTATCTAGAAACAATAAAGGCTACCTCGAGCCAGCAGAAGAGGCCGACACTCTCCATCGTCACATTCAGGTGGGACAAGGAAAGGTCAGGCAAAACGAAAGAGACGGAGTACGATTAGTTCATTTCTACCAATTTTTTCTACTATACTGCATATTTCTCATTATAACTGACGATGCAATATTAAAGTAAGACCATGGAAATAATATGCTACTGATCCTCGGCCCCACCCTCTTTATTCACAATGAATGTTGCACCATATTCTCTTGTCTGGTTATGCTTATTCCTATCGAATAAAGAATTTTAAAGTCAGAATTAGCAAACAAGTAGATTCCCTCTAGTCATTGACATTACTTCCAATATGGCTTTCAATTTGGACATGTGGATTGGTTTCGGTTAAAGTATCGATCATTATAATCTTCAAATAAGCTTCGATGTTTGTTCATGTATATACTGATTCATTCTGGAAAATTGCTTAGAATAGTGAGTGTTTGCTTGAACTATTTATCAGTTCATAACAAAGTTTTAATTATCACTTTACTAGCCTCTGTCACAATTTATACCACAAGTACACAGTTCAAAACATTTTTCGCACGTACTTCAATCGAGAAGATCAAACCTTCTATACTATTACCACACTTTTCTTTAGTAATACAATTTTATCTTAAGGTTTCTTTACATATTGTTCATTTTAGAATAGACAAATACTTGAATCACTCGGAAATACATGGAATCTAAGATGTTTATTAAACAATAATTATTATTATTCTATGCTTGATACTCACTCCTTCTCTTTCTGTCTGCTTATAATTAATCTTATCGATAATAACAAAATCAAATACTGTTTTGTTGCTCGTGTCACGTTATGATATTCATAATATGTGCTGTCGCAGCATTTTGTGTATCATAATCGCTACAACAGTTTGTAAACATTGACGAGTGTATAGCTTTTGAAAAAGAAGAAACGAAATCAGCTTACATCTATGAATGCTTGCAACCACATTTATGAATTTCACAGACGTGGCAAAACGCTTGAAGTGCATATTTAAAGAATATCATATATTTTCTCTGTTGCTTCGACCTAATAGTGATACAGAGTATAATCCGACGAGAGAGGAAAGCGACGAGCATGAGCAAGATTCGCAGGTCGATTTTGCAGTGGTTATTAATGGACATTCCCTAGTTCACGCATTGCATCCTCAAATGGAACAGCTATTTTTGGACGTTTCCTGCCAGTGTAAGAAAATATCATAATCGACCTTGGGTAGTTGAAAATTTTGATGTTTAATTACGTACATGTCACTTTTCCAGGTAAATCCGTAATTTGTTGCCGAGTGACTCCCCTTCAGAAAGCCATGGTAGTAGAGCTGGTGAAGAAAAGTAAAGGAGCCGTGACATTGGCGATTGGGGACGGAGCGAATGATGTGTCTATGATAAAAACTGCCCACATTGGCGTAGGAATAAGTGGGCAAGAGGGTCTGCAAGCTGTGTTAGCCTCGGACTACTCGATCGGACAATTTCGTTTTCTCGAAAGGCTTCTTATGGTCCATGGCAGATGGTCGTACTACAGAATGTCCAAGTTCCTTCGTTATTTCTTTTACAAAAATTTTGCATTCACTTTATGTCACATTTGGTTCGCCTTCTTTTGTGGATTTAGCGCACAGGTAACATTTCTTGCTGCTTATCCGATTTACGTATGTAGTATGATCACACGAGATGAGTATAAGGCGAATATGATTCTAAGGTCTCCCACATTGAGTTCATTCTGTGGTCGAGACTTTCGAGCCTGAATGTTAAATTCTGTCTGATGTGGTGCATTAAGCTAGCAACTTTTTTCCTGGTCTTTACGTAAACTCGTGGAAAACATTATTCTGTTATTCGTTTGTTTCAGACCGTTTTCGATCCTATGTACATTTCCGTCTACAATTTATTTTACACGTCCCTGCCGGTACTGGCTGTCGGTGTATTCGATCAAGATGTTAACGACAAGAACAGCTTGATGTATCCGAAGCTTTATACTCCGGGCCATCAGAATTTACTTTTTAATAAAAAAGAGTTCTGCTGGAGCGCCCTACACGGCTTCTTTGCTAGTTGTGTACTTTTCTTAGTGCCCTATGGTGAGTAGACTTACAATATCAGTGTGATTATCGTGTAAACCGATGAATATCAACTTGTACTTCGTTGCAGGGACATACAATAATGGCGTTTCGCCGAAAGGTTACGTACTTTCGGATCATATGCTGCTAGGCACAGTAGTTGCCACTATATTAGTCATAGTTGTAACAGTTCAAATAGCTCTCGACACCTCGTACTGGACGGTCGTCAACCATTTCATGGTGTGGGGCTCGCTCCTTTGGTATTTCGTTATGGATTATTTTTACAATTTCGTCATAGGCGGTAGTTACGTGGGAAGTCTGACGATGGTAATGCCCGACTATACACGTTTAACGAGAAATATCAGTGAGAAAGCATTCGACGCTGATGGACGTTTACACTTTTTCTAGGCAATGTCAGAAGCGACGTTCTGGTTCACGGCGGTGATATCAGTGATAATGCTGGTGATCCCGGTGACGGCTTGGCGCTTTTTCTTCATTGATGTCAAGCCCACGTTGTCGGACCGCGTGAGGCTGAAGCAGCGACTTGTACAGATACGCTCTCGGCAGAGTCAAGACATTTTGCGCACACCATCGACTAGGCGAACGAGACGCTCGTTACGCTCCGGATACGCCTTCGCTCACCAAGAGGGCTTTGGCCGTCTCATCACCTCTGGCAAAATCATGCGCAAACTACCCAATGGCTCAGACTTCAAGTTTCCTTTTGCTTCGAACAACGTCTCGAAACAAGTCAGCGCCATGGCTACGACCTCACCAAAGGACAATACGTCCGCCAGAAACTCGCACACTCCCGACAACTTCACTCTCTGAAAGGGACTACTTTGTCATGTACGCCTGCTTTATGTGCCGAGAAAGACTATGTTGTGCTTTGCATATGTGTATTCTTTCGTGATACGAAGAAAAAGTCAAGAGAAAGAGAGACAAAGAGAGGAAGAATTACCGGTATTTGTTTCTCTTCTTCCTTTTGTCTTTCAATCGCAGAACATGAGCTTTAAATTTTTAAATGATTTTGATCAGATACATAATTTACGATATCAAATGAAACATATTTAGAAGTCAATGTTCGAATGATTAAGTCCAACGTATTTTATTTTTACGTTTTTTGTTGAGGCTTGAGCGTAAGGGATATGTGTGAGCTATGGTTTACGGACTAAATACAATGTTTATGCACAGTGATTTATGTCGTACGTTAAGTTTATTCGTTTATAGAATTTTCTTTAATTGATTCGGACTATTGTAATGAAATAATAAAATTCTTAACAGACGTTGTAGTCGATCAAGGCGACTAATTTTCCTCCCTCGAGAGCTTCGTGAATTGTTTATCTCTGATGAGACAAAAAAAGAACAATTAATTCATATAAATTATATGTAGAAAATCAAGAACAGAACGTGTCCATCGAAGCTTTATTATTTAAGAAAAAAAACATATTCATCATAGTCTTATACGTGTAATATAAAAATGATCTACCATGAAGAATTATTATATTCTAAAGGAATTTACATTAGGCGTTAACGTAACAAAATAATGATAATGATTATATTAAATATTGCCTTTGTAAACATTAATACGACAAATGATAAAAACTGTACAATAGTATTGATTGTAAATATTTTAAAGAGATATATTAAATGTTAAGTATACATTTTTTAAAAAGAAAGTAATATATAGGTAGAAAAACAATCTATAAAAGAAAATCTACGAAAATAGTAATTAAATTATATTATTACAGATAATGTTTGCCTTGGACTGACTACTGAATACGATGTGTGTGTGTGTGTGTGTGTGTGTGTGTGTGTGTGTGTATAAATTATATATATATATATATATATATATATATATATATATATATATATATATATATATATATATACATATACATATATACATATATATGTATAAAATTAAAACATAAATTAAACAAATGAAGCAGTAGTAAAACAATAAAGTATGGTATTTCTACTTTCAATACTGTAAAACAAAAGAAGTGAAGTGTAAGCCGAAACTAAATTATATCGGAAGAGTGTGTTCTACAATCAAACTATCATTTAAACATCGAGTCTCTGGGAATCATTATTCTTTAACATCGTGCCTGACTATGTTACACCAAGATCCTCCGCGGTCATTAACGTAGCATCTCTCAATCAATCGTATGTACTGCGTACAATTTTCATTTTTAAACATCGAACATTTCTTACGACAAAAAAACAATTATAAAATCGCTGCGTTCCTGTAATTTACGCAAAACGATTGAGAAATAAAGTTGTAATTATCACAAGACTGCAAAGATTGTTTATGAAATTGTTTGCTGAGGCAATTTAAAAGTACAGGATAATTGCGCGGCTCCAAAACTACTTAGGGCATATTTTTAAAAAATTAAGGAAAATCAATGTTAAGTTACCATTAATTATGCAAAAGTTGCAATGTCACAAGTATTTGTTCAGTTTAGTATTAATGAAGTCTGATAAATAGTTCATTGAAACTTATTGGCAAATGACAGGAAAACAAGAGAAAAATTATTGAAGCGAAAAAAATTTTATACGGTCAAGGAGATAGAATTATAGAAATTAATAGAGATGGTTGAGATAAAAAGGTACCGACAAATATTCCACGGTGTAAAATATGAGTTATCAAGAAGTATTTTCTCTAGTAGATACCGGCACAATGAAATAAGTATTTCATGCAGGTAAAACTGAGAGTTCATCTTTTTGTACGAAAAATATAAACATTGAAGTGAAAAAAATCGCGTGATTGTAAATACAGAAAAAGAAAGAAAAATGCACAGCCTATACATGTATACATATATATATATATATATTTTTATTGCAAAATGGTTTGTACACATTATTTTACGTTACTTGTTGTAACAATTTCGGTATGTGATTTAGTTGATTAGTTATACCAACTGCATATAAGTTACGTCTATGTATATGCTTACAATGTACTTGGTTGTCAAAGTACTGCAATGCGTAGAAGTCAATCACTGTAATTCTTGGTGCAAATATGTTTAAAATTTGTGTATGTTACGAAGGGTAATCAGATGCATTTTTAAACATATGCAAATTAATCCTTGGAAACAAAATCTACTTGCTTACACAGTGCAGAAATCTTTTATTACTATGTATAGATATTATTTAATTTTTATTCTTTGTTGATTAGTTAAATCGTTATTTACGAAAAAACTTGATATGTTTGCCTGTCGAGTTAGCGATATTTGTCTATTGCACATATAATTGTCATTATTTCGTTAACGTATTTACATAAATTTGTATTTATCAACTCTAAGCATTATTTTGACTTTTTTGAACTTGAAAAATAATTTAATTTTTTTCTAAATGTAAAGTATTTTATTTTTGCAAATGAAACGTTTTGAATAATATGCGAAAAATTATCGTATTCCTCAAGTATTATTTAATTTTTGTTGCATCGGTTATAACTTGCAATTTGTTTATTTATAAATTATAATCAAACGTTTTGTATAAAAATAAAACCACTTAGTGATGCTGAAGCGATTATAAAAATGTTACGATAAAATGTTCCTTATGTAAAAAAGCACACGTGGCTAAAAAAATTAAAAAATGGCTTATTAAAATGTACATACGTTACGTACTGTACAGAAATATTATACGACTTCTGGCTTATGAAGAAAGGGTTTGTATACATGCAAAATACATCGTCATGTAAAATATTTAATGACTTAATTTTTATGGTCAAAAAGCGGTCGTAACTTACCAACTGTAGTCAAAATTAAATTTTCAAAAGGATTTGTTACTAAATCCGTGAAATGGAAATGGTGTATAATTTATGCAAATAAACATATGAATAATAAAGGCAGTTAAAACTAACTAATGTTTTTAAGTACTACGTTTTTCCGATTGATAGACATGCAGTAGTAGGTAACTTTATATTATCAGAACATGTCAAAATGAGTAAGAATGTTAAATTTTATACTTTGAGTATGATCTATACATGAAATAAGCTTTTTACTATAAATTTTGTTTTAAATTGATTGAATGATGTACTTTTTTAACAATGTTCTCGTGGTAAGTCCGACTACACTTTTTGACTCAAGTGAAATGAAACAGAAAACGTTGTACAGTGATAAAGCACGGCCTTATTTAGCAATAGTATAACATTTCTTTAAAATAAATGTAAATTTTATTAAATTTCATTAAGATTAATGAAATTACAATAATTTATCATTTAGAAGCACATAATTAAAATAATACATTTGATCGAAATCTACGTTATTATTTCCAAGATTTATATTTATTAAGTTAAAAGCAATTTATAATATCTAACTTTAAGCACGGGACATCAAGTTAAAAAAAAATGTACAAAACATGTCTAGTTTTCATTTGCCCGTCCTGTCTTAACTCGAGCCATAACACTTGAAAGAATGTAATTACGATAACTGTCTGTAATACACTCACATTCTAATCACTTCTGATAATAAATATATCTTTTTTATATAATACAATTTTTTCCGATGTATTTTACTACTTATGCTTGAGAACGCCTCCTAGATAAAATCTATAGTTACTTGCGGCTTTACTTGAATATTTTTTATCTGAACCATAAGAAGTCAAGTCTCGTATATAGAACTCAGAAAATGATTTGACATCGTGATATTTAAATTTATCGCTGGTTTTAGATTTCTCATATCAGAGAAAATTTTCCCATTTTTATCACGGCATATTTTTAACAGAGAACTTTCTATTTAATAATAACATGTTAATTCGTGATATATAAAAAAATCTTGTTAAGCTGTTACTGTGAATCGTTTTACAATTTATAAAACAGTTTCTTTTATTTGTATTGAATCAATTTTGTCACATAAACTTAACTTTTACAAATTTTATTTATCTTATTAATACAATTAAATAAGTAAAAAGTACAAGGACCAGTAATAGCTGAAAAATTAGACTATTAGAAATCTTATATAAGATATTTACAAAAATTTCTACACACTCACACATTTTCCAAGGGATTTCAAATAAGTTACACTCAATTTGTTCACTATTAACTTAGAATTGCAGTCTTTTAGCTAATGAAGCACCATCAATTGCTTCCAGTAATTTCCTTTTCAAGTTTGGTTTATCATCAGATAATCTTCTGATTGACTGAGGTAGAGGTAATCTGGCATTTGGTGTGGGTGGAGGACTATTACTAAAATAAGGCATTTGTAATGCTTGATCACAGCTACATCTTTCAAGAGGATTTAAATTTAAAAGACTAGCCAAAAGATCTAGAAGATCATCACTCGCAGCTATAAATATATCCTTCAGAGGTACAGGTGGAAACGGCTTAAATTGAATGAAATCTGGTAATTGTGTCATTCCAGGCCATGTCTCTTCAGTTGGTGTACCCAGAGCCTGAAATTTTAATAGAATATTATTTTCTGAACTATATAATTAGGAAGAGTTTTGAAAACATGTTACTCACAGTAAATATTTTTGTTAGCTGATCCAAATCTGAATCTCCAGGAAATATTGGAGTCCTCAACAACAATTCACCTAATATACATCCAATGGCCCACATATCTACTCCAGTGCCATAGAGTCTTGCTCCATACAAAAGTTCTGGCGATCGATACCATCTTGTTACTACTTGATGAGTATTTATTCGATTTGGGGAGCCATAAAATTTAGCTAAACCAAAGTCTCCTATTTTAACTACACCTTCGCTACTTATCAATAAATTGTTAGGTTTTAAGTCCCTATGAAGAATCCAATTGAAATGTAAATAATCTAAGCCCTGCAGAGTTTGCACTAAATAAGCCTTAATGTTGGCTGGTGTGAGTACAATACCAGAGTCCTTTATAACAACTTCCAAATCAGTATCCATGAAATCAAAAACTAATGAAACATTAGATTTATATCCAAAGACATCTGAAAAAAAGAATTTTAAGATTAGAAGAATTTTTCCTATTAATAAATCACAATGTTTAATATACCTAATAAGCCTATGACATTTTCATGCTCCAATTCCTGTAATAATTTAATTTCTCTTAACGCCGTCCTGTTGATACCATCTCTTGCTTCTGCTCGAGTTCCTACTTTGATCTAGAACACAGTCAACGTTTCGCAAAATTATTTATTTAACACGTTTGCGGGCGTTTTATACGATTATAAACTGAAGCAAACCTTTTTCACGGCCACAATTCTTCCAGTTTCCGAGTCCTTAGCTTTGTAAACAGTAGCAAACTAAAAATGAATCAATGTTTTTAATTAGATAATTTAAATTATTAGAATTATAACTTAATATTTACCAAAACATAAAATTAATGAAGTAAAAAATCTAACCTGTCCTTCGCCAAGAAAGTCGATTTTCTCGTATCGCCTTAACTTATCAACCATTTTAATTAATTAATAAACTTTGCCACTTCTTTTAGTGTATTTGTAAAATAAATGTTTTAAACTTGTTCAAAAAAAACTAACTTTATTTTAAATAATATTAAGAAATGTGCGCAAATCGAGCATGCCGAATGTGCTCACAACACAACAGAAGCATGCGCTAACTTGCGATGCTACGACCGAAATGCCAGTCAACCACCACGTACATACTATTTATGTGTCAAGCATAGAGACTAGAGCATCAAGACTGTCAGGAGCGTACAGAAGTCGAATGCGGCTGGGGAGTGGGGAGAATATTTGTAACGCGGGCGCTCACTGCCTCAACTTCCCGCGCTATTTAAAATTTTTTTAGACGCTTTTGACTTTTGTTTACTCCTGACGCTTACAAAATTTTACAGTTTAAGCAGAGGATGTATGAAGGTATTTGCGTGCCAGTGATACTTAATTCATAAACAGCGGCGTACGACGCAGCAATTCACAGATTTTTTTATAGATTAATTTATTTTTTTGAAATAATAAATTTATAGTACTCTTTTTAAGCTTAAACTACATTTGAACACATATTTGAACTATGTTCAACAACTATGCACAGATCGATTAAAACTGACAGCTTGTGCAGGCATAGACATGCTATTCTACTAGTATGTCTTATAGATTCCATCGTTTTCAAAAATTCAACGTCCCAAAATAACCGAGCCTATTACTATAAATACTAAATATTGCCAACAATAATTATATTTTTTTAATAGATATTGGTAATTCTGCAAAATAAATTACTTTTTTTTTTAATTTATAATTTATTCTTATAGTATTTATAATTACAAATAACATTTACAACATTTGACTCATTGATTCAAATGCAATTCTTATAAAATTGACTATACTTCAACATTAGACATTTAATAGTTCAAAAATATTTTTTCAATAATAATTTACAGTACTTTGTACGATAATAATACATTTTGATACTAGTATGAGAAAGTAATTTGAACCTCGTGTGGACGTTTGCGCCTGAGCGCAGCGAGAGTGAGAAGACCACACGAGGCTGAAATTATTTCTCATACATATATCTAACTTTACTTTTCAATACGACATATGCAAGACGAAATTTAAAGTACGTTTGCTTTCCCGAGTATGCGGAAGTCGAGTCTTGGCACGCGATGCCGAAAAATTACTTTCACACATGTCGCACGTGAAAACAAATTATGTAATCAGTATTGTTATTACTTGCACGTTGTACTGATATTGCAAATGGATCAGTTGGATGAAAAGTAAAAACAACTTTTCTTAGATCTCTTTCTCTTGGTTGGTGGGGATATCGCGGTATAGGAGGTGGTCTTCCAAAAATTCCTGCATGCATTCGAAATTTCAAGAGTCCTGAGTCCCTCGCATAAAATCTGTAAAATTAAAGTTAGCAGTCAATAAATAAATAAGTAAATAAATTACTCGTTCAACAAAAATGTTTTTCATTATATTTAAAGAAATATTTTACCTTTATATTTAAAGAAATATTTTACCTGATTGGATGTTCTCCACAGGGCTTTGGTCTTTCCATCATAGAAACCCATTTATCATCATAACAAAATAATGAATAATCTAGGTATGGAGAACTCGAGTAAGATTGGGCACAAATTGGCAGTTGAGCGAGCAATCTTTTGGTTGCTTCTGTGATACCTCCAAATCGAGCACTTGTCAAAGTTTGTTTGCATCTTTGCTGTATTAATCTGTAACAACTTTGGTAAATTTAATTGATCATTTTAGAGTGAAATATGTCAATACATTATTTTTATTGATGCACACCTTGCATAAATATTATTCGAAGGGGAACACATATATTGACAGTCAGTACTCATTCTAGCATTTCTAAAAAAATCTGTAAAATTTTCGAATTGCGTCAATAGCTGTGTAGACGCATTGTCATAGGCTGCCAAGATTTTTGCTGAAACCATATTATATACAACTAATAAAGCTGGTAGCTGGTAGACATTAACTTCTTTTTCTTGCAGTGTGGCAACTTCTTCACTCGCATATCGAATTAAAATATGATCTGTATCTAACAACTGCATTTTCCACATTCTTAAAGATCTAAACTGTAGTAATGAAAAAAAAATTAGGTAATATAAAAATATAACTTGCAAGAAAATAAAATTCTCACTTGATCAAAATACTTATAAAAACGTCTAAGTTCGAGTGGATTTCCTGTAATATCACTAATATATGCTGCTCGTTTGTATAAATATACAAGAAGTTTATGTTTAAGATTATTAATTGAAGCTTCTATAAAAGGTCTGGAAGTAGGATAAGTCGAGGCACTTACAATTAAGTATCTTTCATCTTCCAAACAAAACCTTAAATATATTTAATGATATATTATCTAATTTCAAATCAATATTTATTTATCTACTTATTGCTAATAAATTTACCTTCCTATTGATCTCACATTTATAAACATTCCATCTAATAATTGAAAAATATGTATAGTTTGATGTTGCACTGATAAAACTGCCAGTATATCTTTGTACAAATACAGACCTGTCAAATTAAGCTTAATATATTGGAATATCATATTTTTACATAAATAATTACAAACTTTCACCTTGATTTTGAGATAAATAAATTTTATCTATTTTGAAGTGTCGCGTATCACAGAGTCGTCCATTTCTAATATCAACTAAATGAATACTATAGTCTTCTAAAGGATATTTAGGATTCGGAGTTAATGCTTCATTGTTTGAGTAAATCTACAAAATTGTAAGATTATATAAACTATTAAAATACAATTTGATTAATACTATTAATTTACTACTGAATCAATAACTGAATTAAACATAAATAGTACTTGATAAAAATGTGGTCTCAAATCATCTGGGATATGAGCAGCTGATCCAACAATGACATATCGTCCATCATCAGTAAATAAGCTACATTCCCTATTGAGATGCTCATTACTTTGTACTAAATTAACAGTCCATTTTATCTGCAATATATAATTTAAATGAACATAGAATACTATCCATTATTAGCTGTTACAGTAGTATTGTTAATAATTGATATACTCAAAGTGCAAACATACCTTAAAAAATTTTTTAAAAATATTATTCCTAATGTTAAACGATCTTTCATCATTTTTGAGTCCAATACATTCTCCTTTACAGCCAATTAATAAATCCGCTGCAGCAGCTGGTCCTTGATATTTATAAATTTCAATAGAAGTTTGATCTGCGCTAAATGCTACTAAATACTTTCCATCTGGACTGAATTTTCTGAGGAAACAATGAGGTTTTTCTATATTTACCACTGTATAATTTGGAAATACATTTTGGTAAAATTGTCTTGCTACATGAACTTGTGTTCCTGGAAATAAACAGCCTATAGTTTCTCTTTGTCTTAACCTTATAATTATGTTTTGTGGTCTAATTTTTCTTAGTTTTATAGGACATGGCTCGGTAACAATTTCCAGTTTAGGTTCTTCTTCTGTCATCGTTTTTTTCCACAATGATTACTATGAAAAAATTCGATTTTTTATGGTCCAATATAACATTAACATTACATCTAACTCAAATTGGAACCAATGCGTTTACACAATAACAAATGTTCATTGTATAACCTAATAACTAAATGAATTACTACTAAAAATATTAATGTATTGACATATGAACTTCATCTTGATCAAATTAATTTATCATTGAATAAACACAATAATGGAAATATAAATATATAACGCGAATGACATGAAGAAATATAACATATTGCATGCGCAACCAGCAACGCTGGGCCAAATCATAACTAGTCATAAAATAACTAAACAGAACAAGCAACTGTATCTCATAGAGACTATATATATATATATATAATTTTAGACATTGTGGCTTATGTGTATAGTATATCGTGATAATGGAGACTATCATCAACGAATATATAGTAGACTGCTATATGATCATGGCAATGTAGTTTCCTTGTGAACCAATAAAATTACTATATCAATCTATATAAGAGTTTTATAAGATGGTCGACTCAGTTATCAATGTGGCCCTAAAGCGGTAAGTTTTAACGTAGATGTGCAGGTTACTCCCGTCAAAAAGTCGTCTAATACAAGTAATTTTTATAAAAAACAAAACACGTATAAAAAAGTTTAGTTTGCTGGATAAGAATTTTTCCATTCAAACAATATACTCGTACGCTTGTTAAGTCAAATAACCAACCTCCTTTATTTGTAATATTATATTTCGTGCCATGTAAATTTTTATGTAAATAGATTGAAATAATAACGAAGTCTACCCAATTATCTATGAAAAATGAAAAAATATAATATATTAAATGATTAATGTGTAATATTTTAAAAAGCTTGAAGAGTCGAATATAATTATCAACTAATTTAACTTTCAAAATTTTTAGTGCAAGCTTATCTTACTAATTGTTATTAAAGAAAAACCTTAGAATAAGGATAATTCATGTCCGTCGCCTGAAAAATGATATTATAGTATGGACATTAGTTGGATGTACATAATGACATCAAATCAGTCAATAAATGTCAGCCTGTAACAATTAAAAAAAATAAAACGCTCCAAAATCTTAATCAATTTCTTACTAACAGCAAAGCTGTGACAATGTTCATCCATAAAAATAAATTTTTTCGCTTTCCTCATTTACTATACCAGCGTTATATAACGTGCTCTTTTTTTGTTTTTCTATTATTTATTACATAGTTTGCATCGTACAGTAATAATTTTACTCAATAGCAGTAGTTTTTTACGGCCCCAGTGTTATATTAGTATAAGTACATTTGAACATCCGATGTCTTTTTTGTGAAAATGCTTCAAATTTAATATTCTGATAGTTTCCTGTGTCCGTATGTCTATCACTCCACAATGTAAAAAAATAAAAATTTAATTCCCTATATTTTATTTGTTCACTTTTTCTCTCATCCAATTATATTTAAAACGACACTTTTTATTTCATAGATAATAATCAAATTTTCAATTCATACTAGAATTATTCCATCGTAATTTAAAAACATAACCTCTCATTTTCTTAAAACATTTTGCAGATATATCTATATTAATTATTTGTAAATTGAATTCACTACTAAAATATCTCATACTCTTACCTCATATAATATCTCATAATAAAAATATTTCGAAGTATACGAAAATTCAAAACTTTGCGCTCTCTTTTAGCATCAACCAATCACAATGCCGGATGTTGGCGACTCATTTTTTTACTGTAAGAAAACTAGAACTATATTAATTATTTGTAAATTGAATTTACTGCTGAAATGTAAATCTCACATTCCTAGATATATAATAAAAATATTTCGATATACGAAAATTATAAATATTTAAAAATATTTTTGAAATATAACTTTTTTAGGATAAAAATTACTATCTCCTTACAATATTCGGGGAATACAAGCATTTCTTCAATTGTTTTAGAACTGAGTAGAAAATAAACATATATTGAATGTTATTCAGCGCAGCTAAATTAAGAAATATGCTACATAATTTGATAAAAAAGATCAAATATTTACTGCCGCGTCCTTTGTCTGAGTATAGTAGCTCTTCAACATTCTTTAATGTTTCCGTAACTTGCAATACATATAATTTTATTTTAAACTGGTAAATCTATATACATATATATGTATGTATGTGTGTGCGTGTGTGTATGTATATATGTATACACACAGAATTCATGACTTATTTATTCTGCATAGCTCGTTTTATTTTCAATGTTTAGCTGTGGGCGATTGTCAATTTTTCAAAACTGAATATCAAAGAAATAATTTTTCGGAATAAATATACGATTTATTAAGTTATACTAATTTACACATTCATATAGACTATTAAAACAACTGCAGCATCACTTAGTAATTTTATGGCTGATAGTAATGAAAAACAAGTATTTAATTATCGGTTTACCTAAAACTTGAAATAAAAATAGTAAAAACGCTAAAATGAATGCTATATCAGCCTTACAAAAAATGTGCAAATCGCTGAATTTTCCACAATATTTTTCATACAAAAGCTCTTACAAATGGTAAAATTATTGTTTTGTGAATTTTGAGGAACAGACATTAAATCCACCCTCTTTATACTGAAATTGATTTTATTTTTCCATTCATTGCATCACACTTGTAAAATTCTTGTAATTTGTTTATCAATTGAAAATTAGTATACTTCGGCAAGATGAAGTACACTTTACAATTTCGTGAATATTATTTATTGCATTATGAATTTATACAATGTAAATTCTTTACTAGTCGTTTTTATATTTGAGATGTTAACATTTTATTTATCTTGTTCACATTATTATCAAACCGAAGCCATTGTAGTACGTCACTTCGTCGAGTGTCCTGAATTTTATTTAACATGGTATTAACTTTATATTCTATACAAACAAGCATCGAGATACCAAAATGTACCCGAAGTGTTACCTTTTACAGAAATGTTTACTAGCAAATCTATTCTGCTTTGCCACCAGCAAGCATGAATCTCCATAACTGTACTGTTAAATCTTTATTTAAGATGTAAATTAGAATAGAATAAAAATATGTACAGGTTTTTACGTTGCCGCAAAAAAATATTAACATTCGTTCTTAACACACGAAATATACACAAATCGCACCTTTTTCACACTTTACCATTTCTCAAAATGTTATTCAAAGTTTTTATGGTAAGAGCTTTCCAAATGAATTTTCTCGAGCTTTTACAGAGTATTTTCTGTATAAAAGCTTTTTACTATTTTTTCTAAATGTTTACTTTGATGCTTTACTTTAACTTCCTCCCAAAGTGTTATTGATTTTTCAAAAACAACAATCGTGAAATATTAGGGATTCAATTGCAATATTTATACATCTGGAAAGAGATAAAAAGAACTTTTCAGAATATTCTGCTGGCAAAGCAGTTAAATTAAGAAAAGTACCTGTAAATAATTTTCATGAAAAGGAATTAATATAGAAATATAATTTTCTTACAATATTTCATAAAAAATTATTTTGACCAATTATTCATAAGGATTGATTACGTTATTGAAAAACCGCTAATATTTTACTGTTATAAATACGTTATTTAATTAAGAAGTTAGCTCAGAAAAACTGTTATTTGCCAAAAGTCTAGACTTCCCATATCAATTAACATTTTTTTTAATAAAATCAAATCATGTTTGATTATTTTCTATAAAATCAATTGAAAATATTTCGTTCTATGAAAATAAATAATCGAGAAAATTCGGTTTGCACAGTATTGTATGAAAAGATCAATCATTATGAAAATAGCAAATTAATTTCACATTTCGTTGGGTGAATCATTTCGAGAACTGCTACCCAAAGACGTTGAAGATGTTCTGCTGCTATTTGACTCATTAGCAGCTCTGAAAATATTACATATTTCGATATCTGTAAAAATTTGTAATAAATTGAAAATATTTTATTGAAATTATGCCACATACCTAAATAGTGCTGCCAAACTTGGGCTAACTGTGTCTTGATTTGCTTCAATAGTTGTTGTATCACCTAAACTTTGTCGACATATAGGACAAGTCCCATGCTGTATTTGAAAAGATACAATCAAAGGTATCAAGTTATGAAAAGAAAATTACTTATTTAATCAACTTACTAATTCTAGCCATGGAACAATGCAAGGAGCATGGTAAAAATGTTGACAAGGCAGTTGCCTTACAGGTTCTTCAAGAATAAAATCTTCCCAACAAACTGAACACTGAAGTTTCAAATCTGAAAATATAATATTATTTATTAGAAATAAGATATTCAGATATGCATTAGAATATTTACTAACATACGTTACTTACCAACTTGTATTTGTGATACAGATGTGGTTGGTATTTCATCAATTTGCCTTCTAGGTAATGGTGGTGGGCCGGTTCCATCCATTTGATTTAACAATTGTGTGACAATAGAATCCAAGCCTTGTTGGCCCCAAACATAATCTCCAGGATTTCCCAAGAACAATCTACTATCATAAGTATAAAGTTAATCAATATATTTAAATCAAGCAGAATTCACCTAAATCTTGAGTTAACACGGATTTTTTTGATACATTAATCTTAAATTAAAATTAAATATCTCCAAAACAATTTAGAATAACTTCGAAAAGAAAAATATATTATAAAGACAATTATACATACACCGGTGCTTGACCTCCTTGTCCTTGTGCAAAACCAAATCCTATTCCAGAAAGATTGAAAAAAATTTCTTGAATTAAACTATCTAATGGTACTCGTGATGCAATGTCTATTCCAGCTTGTTGATGTTGTTGATTTCTGGAGCTATTACATCAAAATATATATTAAAATATCCGTAATAAAATTGTTTAAAAAAGCAGAAAAAACTTATAATTATATTTTTATTTGTACATTTTTAGACATTTTTTTTTATATATAGATGCATGTACATAAAATGCATATACTATAAAAGTTCCAATTTTTATTGAAAATGAAACAAGTTTTAATTTTAATGAATATTATGAAACCTGGTATTTCGAGTTGATGTTTGATCTCCAGCTGAACTTAACCTGTGTGATCTCCTCCAGCCATCTCTATAGTTGGCTCCACTTCTTGCTGAGGCTTCTGCAGCTGCTCTGATTATAGGCAGAATATCATATTCAGAGTCCTAAGTAACAAAAACAAATCAATGAAATTTCGAAACATAGCTATTTTGTAAATGAAAAATTCTTGGTAGTTACATATGTCTATCATAAATTAACGTTTTTTTTATACTTGATTGTGAAATATGATATAATGATGACAATACCTGATGAACTTAACGTTCCCTATTTTGTTTTATGTGCAATTGGTAATAATACAAGATAGAATAATAATCAATTATACTATATTGACTACTATGTGGAAATCATGAATTGGAATGAAAAAACTACTTAATAAATAAAAGATCTAAAAATTTTATACCATAGACTACAATTTGAGTGTAGCATGTTCAATGTGTAACAAACCAATATTGATTGAGAGAAAATAAGGTAAGAGCAACGTACATCATCAAAGCCAGTGACATCCACATCGATGTCACCATAATCCTGGTTATCCATATCCATCTGACCAGCAGCATCTTCGTTGTTTCTCTCTAGCTCCTCTATAAATCCTGTAGAACATCTTGGGCATGTGAAGTCCTATTTTGAAACAATAAAAACCAATGTTGAGTAACTTCCTCGTCTTTGTCCAGATACACCAACATCATAGAAAGCAGTCCGAGACGGCAGAATCTCGACAAGTTATTCAAGAAAATAGTGCTAGAAGATGTAGCAAAAGCTCCACAATAAGTAATCCTCCTGTTGAATCTCACGGACTCTGGAATTCCCAAGACCTGCCTAAAATTGGATCTGTCCCGTTTCGCAAGATAACGTCGAAAGCAGATTAAGGACAGAAAATAAACGGCTATATTCACCGGTAGCAGATGCTCAATCTCGACGCTGCAACGGTGACAAAAAAATCGGCGCATCGACGAAGTTCCGTCCACAATGGCTTCGGCCATGTTTTCTTCTACGTCTTCCCCACGGCCAGCACTCTCTTGCTTTCGCCTCGCTGTAAGCTCTCGCACACTACTACAGAGCACTAATACACTGGTCGTTGCTGCCGCCACTCACCGTCTCTAACCAACTCGTAGCGCCGCTATCTCGTAGTCGTGCGCCGCGCAGGCCGAACTTCAAAGCCAAAATACAGACTTATCTGTAGGTAGATATTGGTACACGTACGCTCATGTTGAATGCTATGTTCTCGAGGCCCAAGAGAAAGATTGCACTGCTGCTTCCCAGAATTCGTCCTCTAAAACACGTCTCCTTATTACGTGCCCAGGAACAGACGCTTTCTATTGGACGATACTGATGTTCTAAGTCAATGTTTTGAATTTTCATTTCACGTAAGCGACTTCTTGATTCTTCGCTGTAAATAGGATCGATACGAGATTCAAATTTATCATGTGACGTGTAGTTAGTTATTATTAAATTACTTAAATTGAAACAACCGAATAATATCAAGTTTGCAATAATTTGTGTGAAATCTACTAATAAATTTTTATCCAAACTATTTTTACATTTACTTTTTCAATTTTCAATTTACATTATGTTATCAATTTATCATTTAATTAAAAATTTAATGGTAAAAAATATTTCGTATGCTAGGATGTGGCGCCTCCCGCGGTGGTTTCCAGAGGAAACCGCAATCACACATGTGATAGATTCGAGGTTCAATATATGAATTTTCGCGCGATCCTGTTTTGACTTGACTCCTGCTGCATCAGCTCTAATAATTATTATTCTTTTGTTTGTTTTCATAGTTAATCTTGAAAATTAACAATGTCTGTAGCAAAAGAAACCGACGATGTGCAACTGCTTCCCTGTAGTTTTCAGTTTCATGATTTTCATGATCAAGTTGGCGAGGTTAGACTAGTATGTCAAATGATGAAAATGGATAACAGTCTATATATGTGGATCAGTGATTATAACGAGCCAAATATGAAGGATTTGTCGCTCGCTTTTACGATAGATAATGAGCCAAACAAACCTGTTGTATCGACAAAAATCATGGGGCCTGTTGTAGACGAAACCTCCATCAATATTGCAAATAAACTATCCAAGAAAACGGGAAAACCTATTTATGTCAGCTTCAATGCTAATGCTGATAATCTCACGTTACCAAACATCGAAAGAAGAATTTACGAGGAGTTTAAAAATCATCCAGAACTTTTAGAACTGTAATATTGTTCAGCAGTAATGAGCTTGTGAAGTGAGATGTGGTAACAGTAACAAATATTTTTATTGAATATGTAAAAATTCTTCGATTTAATTTTTTATAAATGAGTATAGAAATAAAAACACAAAATACATATTTTCAAGATTTCTAATTTAACATTTGCTTTTTTGTTTTTTTTTTGTTTTATCATACATCCTCATCAGCAATTAAAATCACACATGCACAAAACGCAACAGAGAATCATTCAATATTTGTATCAGGAAGAGCCTAATGATGAGTATTAATGCTCTGTGTTACTCTTAATAGTAATAATTATAATAATAGTAATATAAGTACAAATCTATTTAAGAAAAATGCATTCTCAGCTCAATGTCACAAGTCTTCATTGGTTCCTCAGTGATTTTAATTAGAAAAAAGATGCAGAGTGCGATTCTTGGAATCGATAAGTTCAGAAAAAATTTATTTCTGCTCTCTCTCGGCACTGTAATTATCAAGAGTTGCAGAGCCAGTGCCTTTGGCATCTCCGAGCCAAGGGTATTTGTTTGGACACTCTGTGCATGTCTCCATATACCTGGAGGATTAAATTGAACGATCAAATAATTAGTGAAAAAGAATTGGTAGACAGATACGGGTGAAATGGATAAATGACCTGGTGGTTGTAAAATTAGCATCACCAGGCTTGAAATCAAGGGCACACTTGTTTGGGTTATTGCAGGGTGGTTCAGGAACGTTTTCCCTCTTTTTGCATGACCAACCGTCGTAGTTGTTGAGAGCATTGAGGGGCTTGGGGTCTGTGATCCAAGTGAGAGCCTGGGTTGCCGTAACGTAGTAGACGTCAGGCCTGCACAAAAGGCAGGTTTTCGGTGAGCTAGCGCTTCGCTCGAAAATGTGGAAAATGTGGCCAGAGGAGAGTGAGGGGGCAAGGAACGTACAGAGAGGTGGTCCAGTCGAGAAACTTGTGGAGGCCGCGTTCGAGCTCCTTGATCTGGAACCAGTTGGTATGGAAGGGCATCATGTAGGGGGCGCGATTCTGGTCGTAGTAGCGGCTGAAGTCCTCCTGCAGCCACTGGAACACCTCCTCGGCGTCGTGGCTGTGCAGTACGCATTGGTCCAGATAGGGGCAGTGACCGCCCTCGTAGCTCTCGACGTAGTGGGCGTTCAGCGGGATCTCCCACAGCCCTGTAGACAGAAGCGCACGCGCGACGTGAGAATCGCTGGGACTCGAAGGCGGAGCGGGCTCGAGGGAGCCGTGCGAGCACCTGGAAAGGACTTGGTGGGGCAGGTGCCGGCCTTGCACTCGTGCGGTATCTTATAGTCGAGCGTGTACGGCCAGATGGGGATCTTGCTCGGCGATATGCCGATGCTGCTGTCGTAGATGTAGCCGAAGTCCTCCATCACCTTGTACTGCGTATTACGGCCGGGCTTCAGGTATGGCGCACGCATGCCCACCACCTCGCTGCTCGACACGTTGCTGAATCTCTTGACGATCTCGCGCATGCCGATCATCTCACTCGCCCACTCGTCGTAGCTCTTGTCCTCCAAGCCCTTTTGCAGCCTGCAAGCGTGTCGCTCGTTAGCTAGCCTACCACCCGTGAGCCCGCGCGGCGACAGACGCAGTCCGCGCGCACCCGTCAACGGTTCTGGAAAAACGAGAGACGGAAGCGCGCGCTGCCAGCAACTCACGAGATGGTTTCCGTGGCGATCTCGTGACCGTCGTGGGCGAGGCTCTGCACCATGTTGTAGTTGCAGTACTCGTGCGACAGGAAGAAGGTGCCCTTGAGCGGACAGTTGTTGGGGTTGAGCCGGTCGGAACTGAAGATCTTGCGATAGTGGTCGAAGTTGTTGTGGTTGACGGCGCCGTCGAACGTCAGCAGTATCATCTGCGGCGTCTGCAAAGAGGAGGAGGCGTAGCCTGTGAGCAGGTGCAGGTCGCGCGCCTGCGGTCGCCGAACTCACGTCTTGGGGCTTGAGGCCGCCGGGAATGATGGTCCCGTCCTTGGAGCAGAAGCAGTAGGGCAGCTGGCATTCGGCGGTGTCGCAGCGCTCCGCCAGATCGGTAGGCGCTTCCGTCGACGGGGCGGGTGCTACATTGGCAATGGCATTACATCGACATGGCATTTTGCACGCGTCATCCGCGCGGCGAAAATGTCGCATATCGAGTCGTCAGCTTACGCACGAATATGCTTATAGTATTTCGTACGTACTTGTCGGTATCGGTCCGCAGCGCGCCTCGTTCTTGAACGTGCAGAACTTGCTGATGTCGTCAAAGTACAGTCCCGACGGGCACCTGTTCAAGTACGGGTAGTTGTCGACGCACTGGTAGAATCTGCGGCAAGTGGCGGGATCGGCGAAATTACCGTTGCCTTGGCCCTCGGGGCACCGGAACTCCTCGTCCTTTTTCTGCTCCGACTGGCTCTTGCCGCTCTGGCCGAGCACTGCCGACCCAAACGAACGGCTTGCAGTGAAAATGCCGAGAAAGCGCTCACGTGCCGCCGCGGGAACGGCGTCGCAGTGGCCGTGCGTTCGCCAAGGCCGTCGACGACGATGTTGGTCGGGGAAACCGGTAGGTGGTCGTGCGTTGCGCGGACTCCGCGGAATCCGCGGACTACTCGAGCGAGGAGGCGCCCACGAATATTGAAAAACGAATAAAAATGGAAAGCAGCCACGACGAAATCAGCATGGCTAATGAGCCGATTTATGATTGGCCTCGAGGTTTCGCAAGTGTCAGCCGCTGTGGCGATCGAGCCAGAAGAACCGACGAGCGGCGCCTCGTTGATGCCAAAACATCCCGACCTTGGCAAGCGAGTGAAAGTGCGCGCGTGTATCGCCTCCGGTCGACGTCCAGATGCAATTTACATACGGAAAAGCGACATTTCACCTGCGACGTCGCCGTGGCGCGCCGAGCTGTAGGCGGCAATAAAAGAAAGTCTCTCTCTCGCGCGACGCACTTTCATGCGGAGCGCGCGCGCTCGCACGCTCGGATCAGCATCCCGAAAAACGGACGAGGCCTGGCCGCAGCTGCAGGCGCGCAGCCGAGCGGAAAGTGAAGGTGCGCGCGGGGAGGCCAAGCGGGGCCGACTTACCGGAGGCGACGGCCAGGGCAGCGACGAGGGCGGCCGCGGCGTGGCTTCGGTGGCTGGACATCGTCGACGGGACGGCAGAGCTACTCGAGTGGCGTGGACTGGGGCAGGGCTACGGGCCGCGCCGACGGTACACTCGCGGTGCACTGCCAGCCGAGGCAGCAGCTTGTCGCGAGCGGCCCGCAGTCGCGCTTCCTCCACTCCCGCGAGCACCGCGGGCGCGCGCGCGCCTCATTGGCTGACCGCTTTCTATAGCGGACTGACTGACTGACTAGCTCGTGCGACTGCGGCCCGCGCGCGACCCGCGGGCCCGACTCTGCGCTCTCGCGTCGCGTGCAACAACTCGTCAGTGTCCATTTCCAATGTGCATACGTATGTATTTGTGTATTTTGGCAAGTGCGTACATTGTATCGTTACAGTCGAAAACACGAGCGGTCACAGCTCCACGTTGACGAGCCGCGGGCCCCTCTTGCGCTTCTCTTTCCGGGCCATCTGCGCGCTTTTTGGCTGGTTCGTCGGCCTCGCGCTCGGAATCCTGTTTGGCTGCAAGTGGCTGGCCTCGCGCTTGGAGCCGTTCAGCTCTCGCATCGCCAGCGCTATCATCTCGAGGGTCGGCTTATCGAGCAGATCTCGGGTCCTGTTCAGAAACCCGAACGACCACCTGATCGTCTCGTTCCATTTGGGCTGCTTGCGCACAACTCTCCGAGTGACGTCCGGCAGGCTCAGCAGCACGTCGCCGAAGAGGGCAACGTTCTCCAAAACATTCGATACGGCTGCGCGAGACGACAAACCCAACACATTACACATTCGCTCGCGCGGGTAAAGTTCTTGCGCCCGTGCTCATTGGCTGCTCTTACCATCCGCGACGTCCGTGTTGCTGTTAGATTGTGGTGCGAACGACACATTCTTCAGCTCCAAATCCGTCAAATTTTCCAGAAGAACTTTTTTCGAGTCGATCACGTCGAACATCTTCTCCGCCAGCATGTCGATCATCTTGTATTGGCGCTCGTAGCTGTCCATTTTTTGCAGCGTCTTCACGGCCTGCAAATGCTCCTTCCTTCGCTTCGCGAAAAGTCGTTTGACTGGCTTGGACCGATCGTTAAGGAACTAATGTCACATTCAGCCGGCAAACTACTGATTCACAATCAAAACGTTAGATTATCTTAGCTTCTGATTCAACGCTTACACATACAACGCTTATATTTTGTCCGTTACATCAAGTAAAAGTTCAATGAAGCTCAAAACAAATTGCTCGCCCATGTGTTTTTAACAAAACAACTTGACTTTTTAGTAGGTTTTCATAAATCAGTATTCATAGATCAGTAGAATTAGACACTAAAAGATGTGCGATTGTATTTCACATAAGCAGAAATTGTGAAATAAGTTGGAGCATATACGTATATATATTTAAGAATATTTGAAAATTCAACATCAATTTGAAAAAAAAATAAAAGGATACACAACTCTTTATCAAGAGTTTTCAAATTCAGCTCGGTTTGGCTCGTCTCCTTCTTCGCCTCATTGATTGGCTGCTGCTGGGAGTCAGCTTGTGCAGTAGTAGAATTGGTATTCACAGCGGCGGCAAGTGCCACGACAATAACGACGAGGCAGCCCAACCTCCCAAACGTGGTCCTGACCATTATTTAAACCACTTTCACGCTTCACAGCTCCGCTTCGTCGTATTGTTGACGTCAATCGCGATCGATTTGCTCGAGCTCCTTAACAAGCCGGTTCCTTGCTATTTTTCAATTTCTGTGCCATCTGGAAATTAGCGGCTATATATACAACACCACTTTCAAAGTTGGACTACTGCTGGAGTGTTGATATATATATTTTAAAACGCATGTGCACACACACACACATACACACGCTCTCAAACTACTATATAGACTCACGCCCCAGTGGAGCGCCCCAACCACAAAGTCAACTAGTTTGTCAACTATATAGTATCGTGGAGGTTAACTGGAGTAAGCATACTTCGCACTGGAGTAGCCTCAAAACCTTTGTAATTTGTCGATAATATGAGGATTCGCGTCAAAAAAAAAATGCTCTGGACGTGACGACTAGTTGAGTGACGTATATTTAGTGCGACTCTGCATCCGATTATTTACTCATAAAGGACAGTCAGCTTTTTCAAACATATTTATCAATTGCTTTCCAAATTTAAGTTACTGAACTTGGAAATAATCGGAATTTGTCGCTTGGAATAACAGATTTTTTTTTAAATATAAGTGAGAAGAAACATAAATATACTATCATGGCTATGAATGATGCAAGACTTGATGTAAGCACAACATATTTCTATTACTATCAATACTTTTTTGTTCAGATATAACATTGTAACACCACTGATTGGTTTTAGATGTATGACGATGGGATATCTGCTGTTGACCCCACCTACGTACAGGGAGAAATGACTGTAGGTCCAAATACAAGGAGTCAAGCTAGTCTTGGAGATGCTGATTTCAGTACACTGGATGAACCTATTAGGGAAACTATTGTATGTAAATTGTATAATTTCATAGCTATGAACCAACATTATACTTTATTTGTGTATTTATCTAATCTTATATTTTTATTTTGTAGCTCAGGGATGTGAGAGCAGTAGGAAAAAAATTCCTTCATGTTTTGTATCCCAAAGAGAAAAAGAGTTTATTAAAAGAGTGTAAGAATTAGGCAAATAAGTCAATGATACATATTAAAAGCTAACTTGTTAAATATAAAGAAATGTAGTCTTCTAACATTAACTGAAAATTGATTACTTTTCATTACTATTTTATAGGGGACTTATGGGGACCTTTAGTACTTTGTACATTTATAGCAATGTAAGTATTTTCAAATTAAAACTTATTATTATTAACGTTCCAAGTATTCCAATTATATAACCTTTTTGCATTAAAGTTTATAATAAAATTATTGAAGGGTTTTGCAAGGCTCATCTGATACTGCAAATGACTCCAATGATGGTGGGCCAGAGTTTGCAGAAGTCTTTGTAATTGTTTGGATTGGTTCTATGGTAGTGACTTTGAACAGTAAACTCCTTGGTGGTAACATGTAAGTTCTGACAAGATATTTACAATTATACCTAATTTATCAAAATTAATTGATGATTACAATACTTTTAGATCTTTCTTCCAAAGTGTTTGTGTTCTTGGCTACTGCTTACTACCAACAGCAATAGCACTGATTATCTGCAGAATTATATTGTTAGTTGAACAAACTACGTTCTTATTTGTTTTGAGATTTATAATTACAGTGATTGGATTTGCATGGGCAACTTATGGTAATTAAATATTTATTTCATGATAATACAAGAACATACTGAATAAATGTATTCATTTTTTATTTTATTTACAGCTTCAATGGCATTTCTTGGAGATAGTCAACCACCTAACAGAAAAGCTTTGGCTGTCTATCCAATGTGTTTCTTTTATTTTATAATATCGTGGCTAGTTATATCGCATACTGTGTAAATTCTAATGAAGTGATGATGAACTGTATAATGGTTGAGCACAAAATTGTAAAAACAGTATGGATAAGAGTAAAGTCAGCACAGTGCCCTCACAGGGATTCATGAAACATTATACTTAACTCAACAGATAATTCAATTATATAAAAGAAAACGGTGGCGTTTGTCTACTGGTCAATTCGTAATGTTGCTGTATGACTGATTTGTATTGTGTGAGCATTTTGCAGTGAAATGTGATAACAGATTTTTTATTGTATTTTTATGCTCCAGATTAGTGACAGTATTTATTTTTTCTTACAAGAAGAATATGAGACTTGCAGTGATTTCAATATTGGAATATAAACGCAATCCATATATATTTGAATTATAAATCTAATTACACACTTGCCTTTGACTATTTGTACATATTAATTCATAAGAAAGGTGATAATTTCTCGGTGACAAAACGTTATAACAATCGAGCAACCGTAAAAAAGTTTTATTTACAATTAATGATTAATTGTCATCTTACATGAATGTAAAGTACTGTTGTAGTTTTCTGAGAAGCTCTTGGCTGTCTTGATGCGAAGGATAGGCGTTGAGAGCTTTTTGTACCGATATGTAGCTAGTCTGCAAGTCTCCAGTCTAGAATCATGTGAGAAAAGTATGAGAATTAATTTGAATCAATAAGCTTGTAGATGTTCTTACGTTATATGCCAAATATGAACTATTGAAGTGCGGCTCATAAATGTAGTGGGCAATACTAGCAGCAGCATGGAAATATATGCGAGCAGAAGTAACATTTCCGTTTTTCATTTCTATAACACCTAAGTTATTGTAGGACGGAGCGTGACGATTGTCCGCATCAATGGCCAACTTCAGGCATTCGCTAGCCATGATCCAGTCTCCCAAGCACTAGAACAACAGCGAAAAAAAATAATAAAAATTGGACTTTCCTCTCTCGGAATGATGATGTTATATCTACTAACGATAGCGATGTGCGAAATATTGTACCACACGTCTGCGACGCTTTCGTCAGTGGCCAGACTCAAGGCTCTCTCGAAGCATGAGACAGTGAAGTCATAGTGCTGCGCGTAAAAGCAACATAGACCCAAGTTGTTGAACAATTCAGCATTGCAGACTCCCATCTGTAGCAGTCGCCTGAAAAGATGGAAGGAAGGAATAAAGCAAAGCTTAAGAAAGAAACGACGGCTATTAGGACGCGCAGTTTCACGGTGGTCACCTGTAATATCTGAGTGCGATTTCCGGTTGGTCGTTGTAAAAGTGATGTAAGCCTATGCTAGCAATGGCCTCGCTATTCGAGGCATCCTCGTGGGCAATCATCTTGTAGTATTTGATGGACATGGCGACGTTGTTCGTGCCCTCGAAGATGCGCGCCATCTCCGTCAAGATGGACACGTCGTTGGCGAAGGACTCCAAGCCCTTCTTGCAGAGCTCCAAGGCGGCGAGAGGCTGGTCAAGCTTGATATAGACCCGCACGAGTCTTAGCACCAGCTCGATGGTCTTGAAGTCGCGTAGCGCCGAGCGGAATTGCTGCTCAGCGTCGCGCACGAGGCCCAGCACGTAGTAGCACTTGCCCAGCTGCACCTTCCACCACCAGTCTTTGTACTGACAGGCCTGTGTCGCCTGCACCGCTAGATCCAGCGCCTGGGTAGCAAACGCAAAGGGCAAGTGATCGCTGCAGGCACTGATCGATCGCTCGTCCAGCCGTTCCGACTTACGTAGCGGGGATCGTGCTCGTGGTAGTAGATATACTCGAAGAGAGCTTTGGCGATTGCCGGCTGCGCGGCGTACTTGGAGATATTGAGTCGCGACAGCTGGATGAAGGGACCCCCGGGTTCGGTCAGCATCGACGCAGTGCCAAGCCTGTGGGACAGTCAGCCCGAGGATTAGCCAGAGCGTGTCCAGCGGCGTTCGAAGCGCGCGGGCCGGTTGATTACCGGACGCTCCTGCCGCTGCTGGCGGTGAGGGGTCGCGCGGTCGCGGCCGTCCGCGGGGTGCGCAACGTTTGCTCCAAGCCCTGTGATGAGTCGAGCGCCGACTGCGTGGCCGGCCTCACCACTCCGGTCAGCGGCCTTCCTGTCGTAGTTCCACCGAGTCAGTGCCCGGCGGCCGAGCTCCGCTTCTTCCGCGCGCGGCGAGCGCGCAGTTATCGCGAACGGACAGAAGAGAAGCTCGGCGGCGGGTATCGTTCGGAATCGCTCGCGAGAAGTGAATCGATCGACGCACCTGATTGCGTGCGCGGCCGGAATCCCTGGCCTGGCATGGTAGTGCCGGGATGGCGCAGCGAAGTGCCGGGTCTGGGCATCGCCGCGATGGTGTCGTTGTCCAGGAGAGTCTCGGCCAGGCCCTCCTCCTCGGCCTCGATGTCGTCTACGTAGACCTGTAGCGTGAGCGCCCGCATCTTCAGCACCCAGACCGCCTGCGCAGTTGCGTTTCGATGACGCGACACGCTGACCGACGCTCGAGCGCGACTGCACTTCGCGATCGAACGACGGTCGAGGCGCCAACGGGAAGTTGTTGACTTTGGGAGAAATTGTACCTGGTCGAGGGGGCTCTTGCGGAGGAGCTCCGTGCAGGCGGCGGCGCACGCCTCGTACTTCCTGCGCCGGAACAGGCTCAGCGCGACGAACAGCTCCATGTTGTACGGCGCGGTGTACTGACCGGCGCCCCCGATCGCCACATTATTCAGCATCTATCGAGGCCCTTGCTCACCCCTGCACACCGCCCACCTGTCTTTATGCTCGGCTTATCGATCGCTGCTCGCCCGTCGGCGACTTGCTACGCGCCGGGCGCTTCTGTTGTACACAGTGCACGCCGTCCCCATCGATTGCTCGGCCGCTTGGCGCACACGTGCCTCTCGCACTCCCTAGCGCCGCACGCTCCGCTCCCTTTGCACTCGCGAACGGTCGCTCCACGAGAGTACGAGGAAGCCGTTTGGCCGTCGCGCTCAGCCGACCGAATGGCAATGACATTGACGTCGTCGCGGCCTACGGCACGAGCGACGTGGCTGCTATACAGCGACAACGAAGCGACATTATCCATTGCTGTTGTCGATTAGACGAGGGTCAGCGCGAACTCCGGCGGAGGGTCGCGTTTGGCCGTGGACCGGTGGCCAGCCAACCGCGCGCGTCGACAGCGTCCCCGCGGGCGGCAGGCCGCGAAGGCGACTCGCGAAGCGAGCGTCCCTCGGGAGCGGCGAGGCCGGCGACAACTCGAGAGCGCGAGCGCATGTAGGAGCGAGAGGCTCGGCGAGAGGCTCGGCGAGCTATCAGACTAATCAGTGCCATCACGCTCTATTCGGACGGGAGGCGAGAGAGGCTGCGATTACGATGGGGAGAGATTCAGCGTTTTACTGCCGCCGCGGGCGCGCGGCGAGCTCCAGTCGGCGATCGTCCTCCACCTCGCGGCAAGTTCTCGAGGGGCCGGCTACGAGACGCTGCGCCTGTTCACTAGCCGCTCGCCCCGAGGAGCATGGCCGACTAGGCTGACAGCGCGAGCAGGCCACATCTCGACCGTCCGCGAGGTACGTAGCTGCGCTCCTCGGCCTCCGTTCCTCGGCCGCGCTGGAAGGCGTCGATTAACGCTCGCTCGATTACCGCATTGTTTACGCAACGAGCTGCCGGATTAACGGTCGCGCGCTTCCTTCCTTCGTCGCAGCCTTCTCGTTCATTCGACGTTGCACCGATCGAATCGGATCTGACGACGAGGATGAGCTACTCTGCGCTCTGTTCGATTAACGAAAATGTCGACGATTCACGAGCAAAACAGTCAGAGTGAGGCGCCTTCGCCGCATCGGCGCAGGCGCAAATGGATGCAATACGCGTCAAATTTTAAATGGGCTGCGTTTACTTTAACAACGTGAATTAAGTTGTCAGTGAGCACTTCGAAAGGGCAATTGTCACGTTGCGCCGTGCGATCAGTCGCTTGTCAATACTTTGATGGGATCCGGCCAATTCGCGGGCCAGCTAAATCCGGGAGCTGCAGGAACGCGTGGTAAACGGCGTGGAAAGCGAGCTAACAAAAAGTTCCACTGAGCGATTGGCTGGTCGGGCGCGAGCGGAAAGTCCGTAGAGACCGACGGCGATTGCCGAACAGTGAGTTGGTATTGTTGCGCGTGACGCTCATAGCTGATGTTGGCCGCGTGTCGCTGAGCAAACATTCGGGGCAGGAAGTAGAATTAGAATTGGACAAAGCCGGGCGGCGCAGGCCCTACCTATCATCCAGTGCTATTTACGCACACGGCGGCCAACTGTAACTCGAGTGGGCGCACGTACACCCGAGCTAAATATAGACCGCAGCACGCGCGCAACTTTCAGGGGTGCGATTTGCCACTGCAATCGCGCTTGATTGGACTCTGAAACAACCAATTGCCCATTGGTCGTATCCAGCGGTCAACACCCTTACGAGTCGCTCCCTTCGTGCGCTTTTTATCGTTAAATTAGCTACGTTTCACTTTCTGCCACAGCTTCTTACTCTCCGCCTTGCTATAAATACAACTTTCAGAAATCGATATCGTCGAGCACACTTCTTATTGGAATTGCATTGATATCCATTTACGGCCGATTTCGCAGAACGAACGCATCGATTCGGCGCCGTTCTTTCGAACGTTCGGATTGTGCTCTTGTCAAAGTTTCCGAGGACGCACGTTCTCAATTTTTCGATTTCATTATTCGATGTAGTGTGATTTCTCCTGTCATCGCGTGTGCTCGTGAAAATCTTGTTTGTCCATATTTCATAATTTTGTCATAATTTAAAAAAATTTTTTTAAATAAGAAAACATTGGTACCTTATTGACTTGAAACTCGAATTTTACAAGTATAACCGTAGTTCCATATATGCCCTGCCCAAAATATTGACTCACATGTGTGAACGTGTTTTTGTCGCAGTTCCGTTACACTAATGAGTTATTCGAACATAAAGACGAAATATTGAGAAAAATATGAGAGCAGATACGGGTTCTGGTGTATTTTCAGCCGTAGATTTGAAGTTGAAAATGAGAGCGACGCTGTCGTTTATCCTTTTTCATTGAATGACCTTCCAAAAAACAGTCGATCCACGCGAGAATAGGCGTAGTTTTTTCGGTCGACAGTGGTACTTGTAAAAGAGCAAAACTAGAGTGCAATGAGGATGCGCGGCGAGGGACGCAAGTGCGGTCTATTAATAGCACAGATTGATCAGATCGGAAGATCAGGGGCGCGCAGCGAAGGCGAGCGAAAAGGCGAAATTGAGGGATTTTCGGTGGCATCGGCCGGAAGTAAATACGGGAGCGCTGAAAGGACGCGTGGCTTGCAGCGAGCGGCAGCAGCTGGTGAAATGACGACGAAGCTGGAGCAAGTATCCGCGGAGCCGGAGGCAAGAGCTCAGCCGCCGGCGGAAGGCGAGGAGAGGAGCGAGCCGGCTCGGGGCTCGTGGGCCAGCAAAACCGAGTTTCTGCTGTCGTGCGCCGGATACGCTATCGGGATCGGCAACGTCTGGAGATTTCCCTATCTGTGCTACAGGAACGGCGGCGGTGAGTATGGAGCGCGCGGAGAGCGCTTGCCCGTTCGACGTGGTCCGGCTCGCGGCGGAAAGACACCCGTGCGGCGCGTGGCATCGGCAGCCCCGGTCATCCTTTCGAAAGCGAAGGAGTCGGCCTCCGATCGCGCGCGCCTGCGTGCGGCTACCGTATCTCCGTCTGACAATTGACGCGGAGGTCTCTGATTAGATGATTCGGCGCAAGTGCCTCGCGCCGCTCGCTCGCTCGTTACGCAGGCAAATTGCGCTCGCTCTGGCCTTGGAGCTGTTCCGGCGCGTTTGCCGCCGCCGACGCCGCGGGTCGTGCACGCGCGGCCCTTTTACGACGCCAATTAGCAGTCGGTTTGCCACCAGCGAAAAAAGGAAGGAGCGCGTGGCTTTCTTCGACCTCCTTTCTCGCGCTCGGGATTGTTTGATTAGGTCCGCCGGTTATCAGCGTGCTGCGGCACCTCGCTCGCTCGATTCTCTTTCCGAGAGAGAGTATGTTCTCTAACAGAATCGCGGAATGGTCCTAAGATGAGCGAAAACGCGCCTCTTCGATTGTCGGACGAGCACGCGACTGGCCGTGAATTTACGTTGAAGCTCAAGCGTTGCGAAAGGCCGCGTATAGACGTGCGGAGAGGCGGTCTAATGAATATCGCGCGACCCAATTGACGCAGGGGCCTTCCTAGTGCCGTATCTGCTGATGCTGTTTCTCTGCGGCATCCCCCTGTTCTTCATGGAGTCGTCCATGGGCCAGTTCGGCGGCACTGGCTGTATAACCATGTTCCGCATGAGTCCCCTGTTCAAAGGTATGCACCCATATCCGACATGCGTTTGTTCAACGACGAGCTGACGGCCTCCGACGAGGATGTTGCGTAGGCGCGGGATTCGCCATCGTCATAGTCAATGTCATCTGCACGATGTACTACAACGTGGTGATAGCCTATCCGCTGATGTTCCTGGCGATGTCCTTCAGGCAGACTCTGCCCTGGGAGGGCTGCGACAATCCCTGGAACACCTACAACTGCTTGAAGGTGAGGGGCGATAACGAGCGGGGCAGGACGCGGCTCGATCGCTAATCGCGTGCGCGTGTGCTGTAGTTGGGCGGAGAGGTGTTCGCGGAGAAGAACGAGACCGATCAGATCAGGTTGATCGAGAAGACGAAGACGCCGGCCGACGAGTTTTTTCAGTGAGTATATCGCGCGCGCGCCCCCGGACCGGGGCGGTCAATCGACTGACGCGACGGCCTGCTGCTTCAGCAACCACATCCTCGAGATATCGGGCAGCATTAACGAGCTGGGCGGCATCGTCTGGCCGCTGTTCGCCTGCAACGTTGTCTCGTGGATCATCGTCTACCTGTGCATCTGCAACGGAGTGAAGACCGTCGGCAAGGTGAGTGAGCGGCGCTCGCCAGCGAGGCGGCCGAGTATAATTGTCGTGCCAACGATGCAGGTGGTCTACTTCACCGCCACTTTTCCGTTCGTCATCCTGTTCATTCTGTTCGTGCGGGGTGTGACGCTTCCCGGAGCCACGGACGGCATTCTGTTCTACATCATGCCCAAGTGGGAGGAGCTGCTCAACTTGAAAGTAAAGAACGCGTCACTCGATCCGCGACACGCGCTTATTGCGTGGGAATTTCGCAGGTGTGGGCCGACGCAGCCATCCAGATATTCTTCTCGCTGGGCCCCGGCTGGGGCGGCATCGTCAACATGGCCAGCTACAATCCGTTTCGCAACAACAATCGGCTGTGAGTGAGCGGAGGAGCTCGGCGGGTGGCGCGCCTCGCAATGAATCGAGCTTGGATTGTTCGCAGAGACTCGATCCTGGTGCCGATACTGAACTGTGGGACGAGCATTTTCGCGGGATTCGTGGTGTTCTCGGTGCTCGGCTTCATGTCCTTTAAGACGGGTCTGCCGATATCGACCGTCGCCACTGGAGGTGAGCGCTGCTGGAGGGAGCGAAGCAGCGCGAGCGCTAACGGACACGGCTGCTTGTCTGTTGTTGTTCAGGGCCCGGACTGGCCTTCGTCACCTATCCAGAGGCGATAACGATGCTCCCGTTCCCGCAGCTCTGGGCGGTCCTCTTTTTCACGATGCTCTACCTCTTGGGAATGGATAGTTGTGTAATTACTTAACGCTCTGACTAATATCCGACGTTCGGGGCGATTGATCGTGATCAGTGTGCGCTGCTCGACAGTTCGTGCAAATCGAGGCCATCATATCGAGCGTGACCGACGCTTATCCGGAGCTGAGGCGGCGCAAGTCACTGGTCACCTTCGGCTCCCTAGTCATCTTGTTCATCGGCTCGACCATCTTCGTGACGAACGTAAGTCCGCGGCGGCGAATCTCCGCGCACCAGCCCGCGAATGCGCAGCATTCGCCGCAGCCGATACAAATCGCACACGCAATTGTCTGTTCAGGGCGGCATGTACGTTCTGCAAATGTTCGACTGGTACGCCGCATCGATTTCCGTGATATCCATCTGCCTGGTCGAGGTCATAGTCGTCGGTTGGACGTACGGTAAGGCGAGGGCGCACGCTTTGTCGTGTCGCGCGTGCACTCGTTCACGTAGCTGGTGCTGCTTGTGTTGAAGGCTGCGAAAACTTCGTGCGAGACGTGGAGTTCATGATCGGCGAGAAGCTGCACTGGTGGTGGCCGTTCTGCTGGAAGTACATGACGCCCGTCATACTATCCGTGAGCCTCCTCTCTGTCAATCATCCGCGCCCCGATCCGACCAAAACGAACTCGAGTCGTGCCGGCACGAATAGCGACGCGCTACTTTCCACGTGTACGAAAACGTGCACACGCAACGCCGGCGCCGATTCACCGGCTGCCTCGCTTCTTATTTCTTTCAGTTTATCTTTGTGACAACCGTTCTGTTCAACACGCGAATTACTTACAACGGAGTCGACTATCCCGAGTGGGCCGTCGCCGTAGGCTGGTGCTCCTGCCTCGTCAGCATGCTCTGCATTCCCGGCTACATCATCTGCTACTTGGTCTTCGGAAAGGTAACTACTAGCGAGCGCCGTTATACAAACAACGGCGTTGCGCGTTTCTTTATTCATTCCTTCGCGACATTGCAAATGAAAACTTTTCCTGGGCAAACTGCTCCGAGCACGTTAGTGAACAATTTCCATCGTCAACTCATACATTCACATTCCGATCGAACAAATGCATATTTTCTCTACTTCCTCCCAGGGAACGCTAGCGGAGAAGATTGCCCACGGTACTAATCCAACGAGCGAGTGGGGACCGACACAGGCAGAAGACAGAGAAGCCTGGGAGAAATTCGTCAAGAGCACGCGGAGGCTGTCGAATCACCCGCTCGTAAATGGCGTCAAAGTAACCGGATGTTGACCAGCACCTGGACTAAGGTTCGGGCGCTCGAGTCACGGTGATACATTCGCGGGCCACAATGCTCGATCAACGGCGTCTTGCCAGGCATCGATCACTGACGCGCTGTTAGAGAGCCTATACATTTTTGTAAAGTTCAATAAACATCTGCTACACAAAGAGGCGGCTGCGATTGTTGCGCGCCTTCGGTCGTTCGTTGTTTCTGTCGAAATTAGCCGGTGACATAACCACACTCTCGCGATCCTTTCGCTGCGCTCTATCGAAAAATGGCCGAGTCAAAGTCGAGGCGCAAGATGAGGAAGCCGGGCGTCCAGAAGCCGAAGCGCGGAGGCAAAGGGAAGAAGAAAGTCGCGTTTGGCGCAGGAGCGGCCCGAGCGCTCCACGAGCCCCGAGAGCCAACGGCGAGCCAAAGGAAAGCCGCCAAGGCGAGGGCTCGTTCGCGCGGAGAGGAGGACCGGCTGAAGATGATGTTCAGCTCGTCCAGCGACCCGTACGACAAGCCCCTGCGCTGGTGGGAGCCGCCCGTGGTCAGATACGCGTAAGTGCGTGCCAGGAGGCAGCCGGATAAGCGAGCGGCTGGCACAGGTAGAGAGCGACCGAGGTCGCGCGGGGGAGCGATCACATCGCGTGCTGCGCGTTGCTAATGTGTCAGCTAACTCTCGGCAGGAGTTTTAACGCTTTTCGGTTTTCGAAACTGGCACGATTGGCTGTCTGGCTGGCAGCTTACGATGTAACACGCGTACGCGCGCTCGGCGCCCGTTCTTCCCGCGCGCCCGCCAGGGCGATCTCTCGCTCTCGCGGCCGCGCCGAGTGAGTGTTCGCCATGAGCCTCGGGAGCTTCTGGGCGACGGTCGAGCTGCTGACGGCCCTGGAGCCCAGCAGCAAAGCCAATCCCTTCGAGGAGACGGACGTCGACGACTGGCTGGAAGATGTCTCGCGGAAGATCAGGATGCAGCTGCAGCTCAAGAGGGCCAATCTCGGGCCAGCTCTCGTCGGCCGGCTTGACGACCACGACCACGATCACGACCACGACCACGACCACGACGACGCTACGGATTACGCCAATTTGCTCGACTGCAGGTACAGCGCCTGCAGCCTCGTTGTTTCCGCAGCGGCGACTGGCGCGTTTCCTCGTTGACATTGGCGTTTCGTCGGAGTCGTGCAGCTAGCTGAAATCCGATCGGAGCCACGCCGCGCCGACTATTGTCTTTCCTCTTTCCCTGTAGCAACAGATACGAGAATCGAAAGCAAACATACGAGCGGCAGCCACAGTACAAACAGAATATCCCCTTGGACCGTTGCTATTATTGCGCCCTTCTGTGCGTTTTCTTTCATTAGTCGGACCTTGATTATTATCCGCAGCTCTCTCTCTCTCTCTCTCTCTCTCTCGGTAAACGTGTCCAACTCCCAGCCAAGCCAACGGCGCGTCACCATTTCAGACGGCGCATAGCAAACAGACCGACAATAGCGCCACGACCACTACCGGCCACGCGCAAATGGACAACTACGTGGGATTCGTTTCGCATCCTCGCATCGACGGTTAATTTTCCACTGGATCGCCGCCGCGCGAAAGCTTTCCGCGAAGGACCAACGAATACGCGAGAATCTCGCGTTACTTGCGTGGCTTATTTACGCGCTCGCGCCCAAGGCAGCTTGTAAGCGGACCCGCGCTTCGCAGCCCTCGCCGACAAATTACGCGACTCGAAGCCTCGGACGCTTAATCCCGCGGAGATGCAACGAGGCTTTCGCGCCCTACGATCAACGTCCATGGAGGGGGGGGGGGCGCATATTGCGCGAAACACCGCTCTCGCTCGCGCTCGTCACATCGTCGTTAGAGCCGAAACTTAGTCGCAACCGCCGTCCGATCGTTAGCTAATAAGCTTCACTGATTAATTCGCTGCTCGGCGGCTTGTTGCGAGCTGGCCCAACTCGCAGCAGCCGTGTGCTCATTGCGGCTAATGCAGCCGTCGACGAGAGAGTGAGAGACAGACAGGCAGACTGCCAGGTAGCGTCCGCTTACCAATAAAAAATCCACTTTCGCCCTCGAGTTTGCAGTCGAGTTTGCGTGAAGGCTGCGGATCGATCGACTTGGGGCTGCGTCGTGGCCAGTAGTGCGGGGCGCGCTCGTTCGCACCCACAATAGAACTGATATTTCGTCTGCGAAGCGAACTCGCTGACGTCAGAGATCACTAGGCGCGACTACGCGGATAGGTGTGCAGGCGCGCGGAGAGAGGCTGGAAAAGCGCTTGGGGAGGGACAGTGCCGTCGTTCAGTTGGTCGTTTATTTTTGGACGATGATCATCTTGAAGGGGAGCCGCTCCACAAACAGATCAGAATTTCATCGGTCGCCCCAGCGAGAAAACAATTAAATCGACACCTGTTGGCGCTCTCCGCCTGTCCGGACAACCAGCTCTCCTCGCGACAGGCCGCAATGTCAGGCGCCAGTCGCCGTACAGCGAGAACAAAAGAAGTATTGAAATCGATAAGCAGTCGATTGGTTTTGGCTTTCCCCGGCACGGCAAGACGCGCGACATAGTTACGATGCGCCGCGGAGCACTGCTTTTTTGCCTTTCTCTTCTTTCTACTCTCTTTTGTTTTTTCTCGTGTTTGCTTTTCTCCGCTCCGACAGCCGCGTGCCACTTAAGCATCCGCCAACGCCGCCAGCGTCATGGTCGAGCTTCGCGAACGGGAAAGGGCGCGAGCCCTCCCCCTCCCCTCCTCCACGCGCCGCGGCTTTCCGATGGCTCTGGCCGTCGGACGGTGAATTAGATCGAACCTTCATTGTCACGCGATTATGCTGTTTGTTTTTTTTTTAGACGACCACGTTCGATTTTGCGCTCGTTCCGTGCGTGCGACTCGGAAATCTCGTCCATTCTGGAAAGCACTGGCCCGTCCGTAAAACGATACTCGACAGACGACGCGTCGTAGCGACTGAAACGGGGTGCTTGCTCGAGCCGCGTGTCGCAGTCGTGAACGCTAGTGTCGGGCCGTCTTATAAATCATCGTCGACGTCTGGCGATCGATCGAGAAAAAAGTCAAGCCGAGCGCGCACATCAGCCGAGGCCGCGAACGCTTTGGCAACCAACAGCGGGTGAAAGAAGCACTCGGCGAGGCGCGCTAAACAAGCGTGCAATCAGAGGCGCGATCGGGCCCTGCCCACACGACACTCGCATCGGTGTCATCCGCATTCCAGTGCGCTGCCGACGTTCGAGATCGCGCTGATCGAGTGAAATAGAAAAGGCGAGGCTCGCTCGGTAGACGCGAAAATGGCGAGGTCGGTGCGACGAGGCAAACGAGAGGTAAAGGCATTGGTACGGCTGAACTTGCGCGTCGAGCAGAGAGGAATGTGGCCGAGGGACAGCGTCCATTGTCGTACGGCGTGCAAGTGACGTTCGATTAATTGAAGCGCGCGTATGCGAGATAAAACGAACGAACAAAAACAAAACAGCCGGCGTGACGTTGAGCACCGTCGGCCTGTCGATCAGCAAATAAGACTAGCGGCAACAAAAGATGCACCGTCGACGAGAAAATGAGCTTTCATCATTATGTGGCCCCCCTTCTCATGCTCGCCTTGCGGCCGGCAACTAAACGGCAACCGTCGCAGCCAGTCACGAAGCTGCAGTCGTGCACATGAGCCGCCTCCGAAGGCACATCGGGAAGTGCGCTCCGCTCCGCTCCGACGACTCTGGCGGCCGACAAAGTCTCGGGCTTGCCTCAGTGCTGCGACTGCGTCCTTCTCGGTCGAGTACGTAGGATCTATCGCGATTTGCGCACGCACGAGCTCGGTTTAGTGAATGGGCGCACACCGAGCGGCTGCATTCCGAGAGAGCGAATCGATATTACAGCTCGCTCATCGAAGCGCGCGCGCAAGGACACGCAATCGAAGCGTTGCCTTTTTCGTTTCTCGCCTCTATGTCGACGTCGAGACGAGAAATGAGCGCACAGCGCGACGAAAATTGGCCGACAGCTCGCTGAAAGATGAATGCCTCGTTGGCACATTGCAGCTTCGCCTACTCGCCGGTGCGCTCACGCCTGGAGCAGCTGATGGGCAGCCGCGTGGTGCGACTGACCGAGCGCAAGTACATGCTGAAGCTGATGTCGCGCATACGCCAGGAGCACGAGGCGCAGCAGCAAGCTCGGATACAGGAGCGCAAGGTCAGCCAGGTGACGCAATATCCGGGCGCCACGTGGGCCGCCGAAACTCGCGGATTCTGCCTTTCGCGTCGCCCAGTCAATGGACGCACTCCGGATCGGCCGGCAGCTCTCGCGATAGCTTCGCCACTGAGATCGCCACGGTATTTTTTCGTTCAGCGTTGCATTGCACATCACATCGATCCTCGTGGCTATTATGATATTCCGCAAATAAAGTGTGTCCCGCCCAACCTTCTTATCGATTTAGCGATTCGCTTTGAAGCAGCCGAGTACAATTGGTTGACATGGCCCAGACAAGTCGAGTCGGAGGTTGCATGCACCCGCCTCGTTTGTTCGCATCAGCGATGCCGCCGGCGCGCGATCATTATTTAGGGACGCTAATTATCCGGCGACCTCCTGAACCACCATTCACGACTGGTTTTACCGTCCGCCTAATTCGTTGCCAGTCAACGGGTGCTCGGGTGCTCGGGTGCTCGGGTGCTCGGGCGCCCAGGCCCCCGGGCGTACGACTACGTGCCACGTCGGCTATACGTTTCAACGTTCGGAAATCAATTGATCGCGGGGGTGGGGGTTAGCCGATCGCAGATGAACAGAGCAAACGAGAGAAAGCAGGCGAGCGACGGAGCTAGCCTCGAGGAGGCAAACAAAGGGGCGTGTCGGGCGAAATGGAGAAAAAGTGGAGGAGCACGCAAATACGGCTGGCGAGAAAGCAAAGCGGAGGACCGGACGGCGGCTAAGCAAACAGCGCGCGGATTTAGCTGTATTGTTGCAGACTCGCGAGCTGATGCGTACCAAGCGGCTCATCCTGAACCGCTTGATTCCGGTCGACGAGGCGCCCGCTGAGATCCGCGAGTACCCGCTGTTCCAGCTCTATCTCTACTGCGACGCGATCATGGAGAGGCGCCGCAAGAAGGTAGGTTGTCGCGAGGGCCTACGCGCGCGCCAAGTGTCCCATACTCCGTTCGCGTGCGCCGCAGAGGGCCTCCAAGGAGGTGAAGATGCCGAGGTCGCTGTTCAAGCTGCTCTATCCGGAGCGTCCGCCCGAATCGGCTGAGCCGTGCGACAGCGAGGCCGGCGAGGAGGAAGCCGTGCCCACCAAGGAGATCCTCATCGACGGAGTGCCCACGCTGGTAGGCTGTCGCGGCCGCCCGAGCCCGGCTTTTGTACGGCCTCGTCCGTTCCCAGGTGCCCATGTCCAAGGAGGAGATCGAGCAGCAGGCCAGGGACCGTGAGCTGGCCGAGGAGGTGCGCAACGGCTACATGCTCACCAAGGAGGAGTACGAGAGCCTGCACTACGAGGCTGAGTCCGTGAAGAAACTGAAGGAGGCCAAGGTGAGTCGCCAGCAATGGTGACGCTGCGGTCGGGAACGCAGTCGTCGTTGCGGGCGTCGAACCCCGCGTTGGCACGCGCGATCGCTTGAATCGCGAGACTGAGCACGCCGGCCATCGGCGCAACGTCTCAAGCGGGACGACGGAAGACGATGCGCCAGCGCGACCCAGCTACGCCGACGATTAATGGAGCTCGCTCGTTCGTTTCACAGACCGTCGACGAGATGTACGCCAAGGCACACGAGATAGTCGGCCTGCTGTACAGTCTGGCCAGCCGCGGTGCCGACAAGCGCAAGCGCTGCACCATTAACCAGCAGAGCACCGACGACCGAGGCTCTCACGCTTGAACTGTCGTCCTGTGCAAAGGACGACTTGTAAGCTGCGCCAAAGCAGCTATATGTATATCATCTAATTTTTCTAGCTATATTGTATCTGTATGTTCTATTTCCGCGGAGGCGCAGCGCACGGCGAGACACAAATAAATACTATTTTTTTCAATGGGACATCCTCGCAGGCGGTCTGTACACCCAACACTCAAATGATCGCCGTGCAGACGCGTCGGCAGCTGCGCGCGCGCATTGTCAAGCAGAGTCGGCATTCAATTCGTAATAGCACCCATTGTGCGCGAAATATTTGCTCGGATAATTTCACGCGAGCGCGATAATTGTGAATCGCAGATGCTCGCGGAGCTGTGAAAATATTCTCTCTCGGAGGTTCGCGAAATGCGTAGCGCCCAACAAAAGCTTTTTTCCCGCCGAGCTGCCAACGAGAAGAACGAGGAACAATCCGATCGTAACTTTCTACGGTCGACGCAACGTATCACGGTATCCAGAATGAAACTTCCAGACGGAAGAAAGTTCGTAAAAAGCGTCCCTTCCGAAACATTTATAGCCGGCTCATCGAAGCGCGCACTGAGCTCGTTCTCGGGCCGACTGGCGAAAAGGCCGAATGATCGCGGCATAGCGGGCAATCCAGTGACTGCGATGGTCGAATGAGAAAAGCGACGCGAACGCGTTCGCAGCTGCAAGCGCGCACGAGGCAATAAGTTTCCGGTTCGACCTGCTGTTGGCCTGAGGTTATCGAATGCGTAAATCGTAAATCGCGCCCTACTCGCGGCGACCTGCCAGTCTGACGCCTAACCCATCAGTTTCGTTAGCCGTGCTGTGGCAAGCCGCGCGCGTTCGATCTAGCACACGTAGGGCGTAACCGGACCGGAACCCGCGAGCAACAGCGAGGACACGAGCGAGGAGCCAGGTAAAAGCGCGATGCCGTTCGACGGCAACGCGAACGCGAGCTCAGGTGTAATTCTGTCGTGCAGGCCAGCCTCGGTGGAGGAGGCGGCTCTCCTCCCCCGGGCAGCCTGCAGCCGCAGCAGCAGCGAACGCGGCAGCCTATATAAAGCGCGGAGGCGCACGCATGACACCAGAAGCTCGTGGACCCCCGGCGCTCTCGTGCGTCGCGCGTGCCCTGTCTCTCGCTCTCAGTCCGCCCCCGACCGACGAGCAGTCAGTGCAAGTGTCGCGAATCGATCTCGAGTGACGAGTGCTTGGCGCGCGTTTGCCAAGGAACTGCTTCTCGTGGAGCACGAGACCCCACCAGGTAAGCTATCTCGTTCAGTTCGACTTCGCTGTGCTTCCTGTTGCTTTGCTGTGCTTGCTTGTTTGTTTGCTTGCTTGCTTGCTTGCTTGCTTGCTTGCCGGACGAGTGTTCGTACGCCGAGCGAGTTCCAGCGACTGGATAATCGGCCGGCCATTCTCGCTCCAACCGCATGAGTATTCGTTAGGATTTTAGAGAACGCGATCGTTCGCTTCCCGACTGGCATTATTTCGCGAAAACGAGCCCGCGGCGCTCGAGCACCGTTCGCCGCAGCTCACCATCGATGCGCGCATCGCCCGACGATCTCTTCGAAGAACTATAAGAAAAAAACCGATTGGGTGCTTCGGTTTTTTGCTCTGCATCGGTCGCCACGCGAGCATTCGCGACTTTTCAATGGCTCCAATTGTCGTGGAATACCGAATGAAATCGAGCAAGACGGCGTGCCCGGACAAAATACAGCGGCGGAGGGTTTCAGTGGTACGTCTCGATCACTGGTCAGCCGCGCCGCAGCCGGGAAGCGAGCGAGCAACAAGTAGTGCGCTCCGCCGGTGGCAGCTCTGCAGCTGTAAACTGCGCGTGCCATTTCAACGGAGACTCGAGCGAGTTGCATTTCTTCGTCTGCCTCGGCCGACTGCAGCTGGTTCGCAAATGCAAGTCCGCTAGTGTAAAAAGACATTAGCGCGCTAGTTAAGCATCGAAATGGCCGCGTGTGCGCTAAAGCAGAGTGCTAGCCGAGCGGATGCATCGATGCACGGTCGCGGGCGCGCGAGGCACGTGCTCATGCGAATTGAAACCGCAGCATCGCGACATGCGCTGCGCCTTGCTGATCCTCGTGGCGCTGCTCGAAGCCCGGGCACTGAGGACGGAGCGACTGGAGGAGCCAACCAAGGACAAGGGCGCTGCGACACAGCTGCAAGGCTGGGCCAGACTGACGCCTCCAGCTGCGCACGACGCCTTCGACGCGAGGACTTTCCGCTTGGACGCCGTTGATCTCGAGGACGAACGCAACGATTATGGTTCGTATGCACTTGCACGCGTGCTCTTTCGCTGCTCGCTCCTATGGTCTTTCTTTGGTTTTCGCGCTCGTCTGCATCGATCTTTAGACTGCCTAATAACTGTTCAAACGATCGCTTTAACACGCTAAGCCGGTATTCGAATCCGTCGAGATGTAGCGCGATTTTCTTGGAAAAATTGTTTTGAATCGAAAAAAATTTTCGCGGAACGAGCTGGCTTTGACGATCGTTTAAAATTAAATTCAAGGCACGTTGCTCAGTCAGGCTCTTCCCTGTCGATTCGCACTTCGCGTTCGCGCTACAGATCAGAGCCAAGAGCAACTGCAAACTGTTATCGGCAGCTGGACGATTTAAAATTGATATAAAGGCCGGGGACGCGAGAACGAGAGAGCGACGAGTACGGGAGTACGGCTAATCGACGCCTATGCTTATCCAAAAATCACAAATGGCCGACGAACGAGTCGATTCGACGCGTAAGTATCGCGTGGGGGTCCGGTGCGGCTCGGTTGGGAGTACGCGATCGGCGAGCGTTCCTCACAGGCAGAGCTCTGCCAACTGCGCCCCGATTCATCGGCGAAATCTCCCAGAGTACCCGGACCAGCGGCTGAAGTCGATCGACCAGTTGGACGAGCCACAACTGCAGCGCATGGCCAATTACTTGGTGAAGGTGCTGCAGCGGCCGGACGTCTACGAGGCCCCCGTGCTGCTCGCGAGGGAGCCCGTCGACGAGTTGGACGACAGCAGACCATATCCCTTGGAGCTGGACGATCCGAGGAGCGTCACCAAGAGGACGCGCTACTACAGGCCATACCCCTGGAAACGCCAGAATTCAAGGCACGTTGCTCAGTCACGCTCTTCCCTGTCGATTCGCACCTCGCGTTCACGCCACAGATCGGAGCCAAGTGCAACTGCAAACTGCTATCGGCAGCTTGACGCTGGATGTGGCGACAACTCGCGCGTTGCCGTCGCTCGCGGAGCGCGGCGAGAATGATCCTCAGCTCGGTTTGTTTTCGTTGCAGAAGCTACCAGTCGGATTATGAGCCGTACAACGCCTGCACCTTAACTCGGAAAGACGTGTTCAATCTGCTGGTCGCGCTGCACGACGCCCGCCAAGGAAACAAGTCGCGAATCGTTAATTTCTGCAACCGAAAGCGACCCGCCAGTGCAATATACACGAACATCCGATTTCTCGGGCGGAGAAGAAAGTAAATTCATCTCGCGATCATCCACAGCTTCGCCCGCGGCTGATGAATGCCAAGTAGCAGCCCTGTCTCCCTTTACCCGTTACGAGCATTTCACTCTGATTATCCAGTCGACTTTACTCTTTCAAGCATTACACGTCATTTTTATTTATATTCTATTCAAGCGCCAACCGCGGCTCAATCATATTTCCAATTAACACTTCTTTCGTTGCCAGTTCGATATTTAATCAGACTGCGCTCAATATATGCGTGCTTGTATCATTAAGAATATATATATGTATAAAAAACAGATTCATTTACCATATATATCTTATTGTCTATATGTAAATTAAAAATAGTAATCGTCTGTAATATATAAATGATTGAGAACAAGAGTCAATAAACAGGCATGCCCCTTCACGATACGTTTCTGATTCAGCTATATCCGTTCGAATTTAAGACATCTGTAAAAGTTTCGAGTGCACATCTAGAGTAGCCGATAAAAATTCGATTCTGTGAAGAAATATCACATTGTCACGCCTCTTATCAGCTCAGCCAGGTTAAGTTAACATAAGAAAATACATTTATTTCGAGAAATATTATACTGTACAAAATAAATATGAAGTATGTATGTGCACATATCGAAGAGCGTAGTAGCAGTGTCATCGAGCAGGAATTTAAAGAGCCGGTTCGCACGGCAGTTGCGAGAAGCTAATGTCGAAACCTCTTCCTGCGCCGCGAGCGTTGCTCGCAAAGTCAATTCGCAGACTGTCGGTCCGCGTCAGATCAAACACCGCTGCAAACATTACGGAACGAGCGATTAGGATGTGCCGGAACAGAAGAAAGAGCGCAGCAAACAGCTAAAGAAAAAGGCGCAAGCTTACTCACTCTTAAAGTCGTTCAAGGATCTGCCGCAGTATTTCTCCCGCTCGACGCCGAACGACAAGTAGTCGCTGGCGCAGTCTTGGCTCGGCTCCAAGTCGAAGTCTCGCACGTGAAGCTCGAGCTTGCAGAAGTTGGCCACCCTGTGAAGTCTATAGGCGGGGTCAACGCGACAAAGGTCACCCGGGGGGCGCGGCGAGCATTCGGTCGACTGACTCACCGGTAGCACTCGTCGAGGTTGGCGGGGTAGGCGTCCGGGTAGAGCGGCGACTCGATCCGGCCTTGAACCTCGCGGATCTGCCGGCAGTGGTCGCCGAAGGGCGCCGCCTCCTCTCCCCGCGACGAGTCGCTGCGCGCGAGCCTTGCGCCGGGGGGTGCTGCTGCGCTGCAGGTGGCGCGCTCGAAGAATGCCTCCTTCGCGGCGAGCGTCCAGTCGAGTAGGAGGCGGCTCTGGCAGCTGCCGGCGAAGAGGCGCGCGCGCGTCTGCTCGCCACCGTCGGCGAAACCCGGTCTGGCTCGGGGGTAGGAGTAGCCGAGGTCCCGCTCGACCCTCGACGGGGGCTCGGGCTCCGTGGCCGAGCGCCTGCGCGCGTAGTCGCCGGAGTAGGCCGGGCCGTAAACGAGCGGCGAGCACGCCTCCTGTTGGACTTCGATAAGGAAGCCGACGAGGCTACCCCTGGGGTGGCCGGTGCTCACCAAGCTCATGCTCTTAGCCAGCCGATCGCCGAACGACAGCTGCAGGCTCTGGCCGGTCCTGCAGCCGCACAAGCGCTGGCCGTCGACGTCGAGGTAGTGCAACGAGCAGTAGGGCTCGGCGGCGCCCAAGTTGAAGAAGCGCAGGTTCAGCCGCAGCCAACAGACGTCCGGCGAGGACTTGACGATGGTGTAGCGGCAGGATAGTCGCGCGCCGGCGCCGAGTCCTCCGGGGAAGCCGGGACTGACGATGGAGAACCTCCGGGTGGTCGGGACTCGGCAGCACTCACCGAGCCGCCCCGCGGGTGGGTAGCCGGGATAATAGCCGGGGTAGTAGCCGGAATCGTAGCCGGAATCGTAGCCGGGCTCGACACCTCCGGGATAGACTGCCAATTCCGGAGGGTAATAGGCCGAGACGGCCTGGTTGCCCGAGCCGACGAAGCCGAGCCTCGGGTCGTATGCGAGGCCCGGAGCATCGTTGGTTCTCTCGTTGGACTGCGGCGGCCGTCCGGCCCCGTCGCAGCCGCCCGACTCGGCGTAATTGCTCGCGGGCGCGTTCGTGCACTGGACGTTCGATACGCCCAGCCGGTCCGATCGCGGAGGCGCCACACCCGTTGGGGCGCGGCTCGGGCTCCTGTCGCCGCTCGAGGACGGCCCGAGAACGTAGCGCAGCGTGATGCTCGCGTCGGTCTCCTTGGGCGGCAGAAACAAGTACGAGGAGACGCTGTCGTAGCGGCTGTCGTCGGGGATGGACACCGCCGTCGAGCCAACCTGGTCCCTGCGAATCGACGAGCCGAGCTTGTGCTGCGAATCGCTCGCCGTCGAGTTGTGGGGCAGCCCGTCGCCGCCCCCAGCCCCAGGCCGGTATGCCACGCTCCCGATGTCGCGGGCCTTCCAGCCGGAGGTGCCCGGCTTCGAAGGGCTGCAACGAACGGCGCATCCGTTAATTCGCTCGCCGCGAAGCGCCCGACTGCCTCGACAAGTGCGTTCTCGGGCGGACGCTCACGGACTAGCGGTAGCACTTACGGATCGGCCAGGGGGCTGAGCTTCAGGCTGCAGGGCAGCGCGCTGACGAGTATCTTGAAGCCCCTGGCGGTGCGCGCGTCGCCGGAACGGAAACGCAGGATAAGGGTGTTGTTGCTGCCCGTGAACTTGCGCAGTCCGGCAGTGTTGCCGCAATAGAGATGGCGGTCCCCCACCTGCAGAGAGTCACGCCGGCAGCCCTCGGAAGCTCGCAGGTTGAAGTCCAGAAATTGCAAGTGGAACTGCTGCTCGCACTTGGTCGTCGCCTCGCCCTGCAACCTGTAGACGCATTGCGCGCGAGCGGGGTAGTCGCCGGGATAATTGGGACTGGTGATGGTGTACTGGAAGCCTTGATAGGTGCCTCCGCAGGCGTCCTCGGCGCGCGCGGCCAGGCTGCACGCCAGCAAGGCCACGAGCGGTAACTTCATCGTGCGACGGAGGCGGCTGCTCTCGCGGCCCGTGGATACTGCGAGCTACGGGCTACCGTGCGGCCCGCTCGGGCATCTTTCGCTTGCAGTCGCGACGAGTGAACTGGCCCGAGGAGCGCTCCACTGCCGACTCTTAAGCCAGCCTGCGAGCTGTTTGGCTTGCTCAAATATCTCCAGTTTTCACTCGGCCGGCAAGATTTGTTTAGCGAGTGACGAATGCCTCCGCCATGAGAGCCGTAGGAAACGGGGCGCGGCGTGTCCATAGAAATCGATCGTTAACCAGGCGTACTTTCGGCTAGCCGGGATAATCCCTGCAGCTCGGGGCTCGGCAGGCTTACAGTCGGCGCGACTAGTCTTATCGCGGGCGCGCATCCTTTCACATTTCGCTTATTTGCTCGAGACTGCTATTGCTCAAATTACACTTTGCTGGAGTTGCGTTCGTGCAAGGCGTCTCTTCTCTTGCTTCCTTTTACAAATTGTACAAAAGTCATTCTTACGAACGCCTTACAAGTAATAATAATAATAATTCCAATTATTGTTATTGGCGATGTTGACAAATGAATAACAATTGATATTCAACACAAAAAGTTGGTTTTGAATCTACGAAATCAGATAATCAAATAATTGGAACAGGATCTAAAGTAGACGAGCGGCGACCGGAAACATGAAAGTTTCGAAGCGACGTCTTTCCGGTCGGGCTGCGCGTAAATAATGTCAGAAGGCTTGTTCATAAGCAGATACGCTTCCTTCTTATCAGTCGACACCAATCTGGAGAACTTGCTGAAGTCGATGTCAAAGTAGTGCTCGTTGGGCATTTCCATGTCAATGCTGAAGATCCGCGGGCAAGCAAGAGGCAATAGGAGTGGAGCGTTTCTGGGCGAGGCCAATTGAGATGCAAATGACCGTTCTGATCGACTTTCGCGAGGACGCACTTCTCGGCAAGGTAGAACGCGTTCTGCACGCTTGGCGAGTAGACGCCCGTGTCCGGCGGCTCGGCGGGATTCTCTAGGATGCAGTCCTTGACGGCCGGCCTTGCTCGTGGAGAAGTCCCAGCAGACGGTGACGCTGATGCTGAAGATGCGATCGTTGGCGTCGGGCAACGGGTAGTCGTCCTGAACGAAGTCGGTGAAGGAGCTCTGCGCGTGCTCAAGTATTTTTATTTGCAACGATAATTGCACATCCAAAGTGCGAGATTTGATTTGACGAGTTGAATTGCACGAAATACAATTAATCAGTTGGTGGCAATTTTTTTCTTTTTCATTGCAAGTACTCTATCAGCAATTGATATTATACAATACGAAGCTGTAGCTTGAATGTAGATAAAATAATAACGCGTCAGGCTAGATGCACATGCGTTACGTTAGCTGGATTGAAGTGAACGAAGGGTACAGCAGGGTTGCTAGCAAGTGCGTTTCGAGGTAAAGTGGCCGCGGTCACGTATCTGTCAGCAGGCCACCTGCGAGCATGACAGTTTCAAATAGCATGCACGTTCAACGCCTGACAAAATTATCTATAAAATGTTTTCTCACGAGTGGTCGTCTAATGTTGTCAATTGCTATAGGTATACTAGTCCGGCGCACTTACTGGCGTTGTCACTTGCTTCGACGATTGGTCAATTAACTAAGTTACGCTCGCTTGGGAACAATCGAACATATAAGCCCATCACGTAGTAAGACTGTTGCTGTTTACAGTTAGAGTTTGATGATTGGTGACGTAGTACCTGTTTATCGTAACTAAGCCATTGTTTAGCTAAGTTGGATATTTTCAAAGATTGCGATCGAAAAAAGCTGATGCGTATCCTGGGCAATTCAGCACTAGTTTCCCGTTTTTAATCGTACAAAGCAAAAATTTTACCGATCACACTCAGTAATGGCTTGAATATTATGGTCAATTTATTTTAGACATTATTGATAAAAACTATATAAAGTAATATAATTACTCTAGACTAGTACTATGTTTATCAGTTTTCTAATCAAATGTCGTAATATAGCGCAACGACGACGAAAAATGTAACGCGATAAAAAAATATCGATCCACTAATCTCGAGTGCGATCCTCACTGTTATTTCAGTCAAAATGCATTCAGTTTCAAGATATACGTGTTATAGATAACGTGAGCATGAAACACAGAATCACCTACAGAACAAATTTAACATTTGAATGACATGGCACAAACTATGAGTATTGATGTCATTTCTAAGTAGGTCGTATCGAAAAAAGATGTACGTGAAATTCACCGATCAAGTAATATGTCCTTTTTCGTGGCTTAATCGAGCATCGGAAATCGTTCAGCTATATAGTATATCACGAGAATCTACTAAAGCAAGTGATAATGATGAAAGTTCACACAGCTAGGTCAAACCCCACGCAGAGTTGGTGAAAAATTGTTGCTTTCTAATAGCTGTTTCTTGCGAAATATTTCGCAAATATGCATCGACTTGGTCTTTGATGAGATACCTTTTTAAATGCAATACTGGTACAAGTGTTATAAATAAATAGTTGCCATTCTTATTGACAGCCGAGCTTGTTACTAGGCACACGCATAGATGCTCGTCGACGAAATGTTAAAATTTCACTTGAATAAAAATTGGAATGCGTATTATTTGAATACGTCTTAATGACTTCTGTGACTAAAATACATGCTATATCGTTGATTGTACAGATTATGTCGTAATAATATTTATTCCGAATTTCCAATTAAGGAAACAAACCTCCAGAACTGTTCTTCGATAAAATCTAGTTCAGATAATTACTAAGGTGGATATTAGTTCTGGGAAATCCTTATCTCGAGAGCATTGAATAATATTTATGACTTGCGTTCGAGGTAAGGTTAGAAACAATCATCAAATAATAACAACAGCATAGGCATAGGCAGTGACAACGGTAGCAGTAGCAACGTTTTAAAGTTGGCGCGAATCGTCCATATTGAAATGACGTCAGAGCGACCTGAAGTCATTGCCGCGTGTAATTCTTATGGAATCAGGATTGGGAATGGGAGGCAAAACATAGACAGAGCGCGGAACCAAGCCAAGCTAGTAATAGTGCCAGTACTGTACTATCGTGTACGGTATGCATGTGGGACAAGTATAACTGCATTATTATATTTATATACGTAAAAAAAAGACGAAATGCAATAGTGTAGTGTGATCATTGATTTATATCAACGAAATATGGCTTCACTTTCAAGGTAATGATGTTTTTCATTTATTTTTATGGATCGATTCTAGAAATCGTACCCTTCTTCATCATTCCCTCCAATTGATTGTCACTGGCATGTCCTGGCTCTCTGCAGCACTTTAAGACTGTATAGTTCCATTACTTGGATACCAAAACAATACACCTACTTTATTCCAATATTTGCAAATTTTTTATCTTTCTCCTTGCATATTTGTTAGTTAATAATTAAAAATGATCATTACTTATATGAAATCAGATATTCAATTCTCAGCAATTGTGGAGTACATGTTTTGTTGAAACAACAATTTTTGTACCGTCGATAATTCTATAGGTTAAGTTCAGCTTTGTTCTCAGATGGTACATTCATAACTATTTTGCAATTTTCAATTCGATTTGGCACTTTTAACAATACATTATACAATGATTGGTAGTTCAAATGTCTTTTGAAAGTGTCTACGTCAATTTGTTCATAACTATAAGCTTTAATGTTTTTTTTTCAACTGACTGAAAATCATTTTTCTATTGATTCTATATCTTAACGCTACTTATGCTTACAGACCTACAATGAATAAAGTTTGTTGTTATGCACATCCAGAAGCTCCATTAGTAGAAGACTATAGAGCTGGAGATCAAATCTGCTCTGAATGTGGATTAGTTGTAGGAGACAGGTAAAAATAATTTCTAAGTGTAATTTCTAATGTACAAATTATATTGTAACTAATTCAAAGTCTCATTATCATTGCAGAGTTATAGATGTAGGATCAGAATGGAGGACATTTAGCAATGAAAAAGGAGGAACTGATCCATCTCGTGTTGGTGGACCAGAAAATCCACTACTCAATGGATCTGACTTATCCACAATAATAGGTCCTGGTACAGGAGCAGCATCCTTCAATGAATTTGGTGTGTCAAAGTACCAAAATAGGCGAACGGTAAGATCTGAATAAAAAGAATTTTGGAATCATGATTGAGTGGTTTTATTAATTAATTTTAATTATTGCAGATGAGCAGTTCAGATAGAACACTAATTAATGCAATGAAGGAGATTAGCGCAATGGCTGATAGAATCAATCTGCCTAAAACCATAAATGACAGAGCAGCTGGCTTATTCAAACAAGTGCATGATGGCAAAAATTTGAAAGGCCGTGCTAATGATGCCATTGCTTCTGCATGTTTGTACATTGCTTGCCGTCAGGAAGGAGTACCACGTACTTTTAAAGAAATTTGTGCAGTTAGTAAAATAAGTAAAAAAGAAATTGGTCGCTGCTTCAAACTTATTCTCAAAGCCCTTGAAACTAGTGTGGATCTCATCACTACAGGAGACTTCATGTCTCGATTTTGCTGTAACCTGGGTTTACCTAATTCAGTACAAAGAGCAGCAACATACATTGCAAAAAAAGCAGTAGAAATGGACATTGTACCAGGCAGATCACCTATTTCAGTAACTGCAGCAGCAATCTACATGGCATCACAAGTAAGAAAAGTCACAACAATCCTTAGAAAAATATTTATATATTAGTATTATGTGATAAAATGTATAAATTATATGTTAATAATTTTTTTTTAGGCTTCGGAAGACAAGAAATCACAAAAAGAAATTGGTGATATTGCTGGAGTTGCTGATGTCACAATAAGACAATCTTACAAGCTTATGTTTCCACATGCAGCGAGTTTGTTCCCAACTGACTTTAAATTTACTACTCCTATTGACCAATTGCCACAAATGTAAAAAGGACATTGGTATTTTTGTGTTGTGGCACACTTTTTCCTATATTTTTAATTATTTTCTGCCAAGTACCAAAATGTAGGAATGAGAACTGATACTTTAACTATTATCAAAGTACTATTCTTACAATTTATTAAGTGACCTTGCTAGAATAGCCATAGTTTTTTTATACTTCAAAGTGATCAATCATAATATCATATTGTCAGACTACTGCAATCAGCTGACATTCCTAAATTCATTGATTCCTTATATATCCTTAGTAAGGGCAGAAAATTTGTTTTTCTTTGTTTAGTCGCAATTATATAGATTTTTTTATTTTGCACTTACCATTTATTTTTCTTTTTTTGTTGGAAATCTATACGATTTTCAGTAAGAGTTTTTATGTTCTTCAATATTATTAATTATAGCAGTGACTAAACTTTTACTGAGTTGATGTAAACGAATTTGCGAATCTTTTACAAAAATTAATTAATGTGGTAAGACATTAATATAATAAGCCTGCCAATAGATGCAGTATTTATACCAAACAGAAGTAAAATTACGTAAAATTATTTTATGAAATATTTCATCACAATTATGTACAAAGCGTGTTATTGTAGTAGAGGTTTGTAAAAATGAAAAATGCAATAAAAAGCATATATGACTGTTTTGAATTATTTACTACTTTATCAACATTACGGTTCATAATCCTGATGTTAAAAAACAAATTGTACTAGTACTGTATTAGCAAAATTATATGAAAAAACAGTCATAATAATCTGTCATTACGGAAAATAATATAATAGCATGTACAATGTACATTGTAAAATTTAATAATTAATTAATCTTTGAAAATTCAAAAACATAATTTGTACTTATTTTACATATGTAAAGTGAATATAGTTGTTAAGAAAATATAGGAAAAAAAATTGAAAAATCATTACAGTGGAAACTATTATTGGTCAACATTTAATAGTCGATATGGTTAAATTTTTTTGTCAAAATGAGATAAGACTATTACGAGCCAGAGGCGAGCACTGCAACTAGTTCCGTCAAAAAGGCTTTATAAACAAGTACCGAAGATGTGATTTTGAGGTTATAACGCGAAAATGTACTATTTCCGAACATTTTATATATATATACACAGTATCTAAACATAAGTAGGAACCTGGTTTTTTTAAACGTGTGCAGAGCACAAATTTAAAGCTTCTCCCGGCCCCTACATAGTATACAAACCTATATCCGTTAATGGGCACTCTTTTGCTTCATGAATTTTTCTCGGGGAAGCAACGTAGGAACTCGCAAAAATTATCATATACAGATTTTACAGCACAGTTTGCGCTAAAGCAAGTGGGATGATTCTATGCAGCCGTTTGTTCAGAAAAATGTTTTTACAATGAATACGAGAGTCAGCTTTAATCGATGTAAATAAAACAAAAGAGTGCGTTCGTAATTTCTTTTATTTATATCGATGACACCTGGATTTAATGTTGATTTTCAAGAAATTTTTAACAAAAAGGCTGCATAGAATCATCCCAAATTAGCTCTAGCGCAAACTGCGCCGTAAAATCTGTATATGATAATTTTTTCAATTCCCTACGTTATTTACCGAGAAAAATTCATGTAGCAAAGAAAAGCCCATTAACGGATATAAATTTATAAAACACATTAATATAAATAATATATTAACAATATATTTTTCTAAGTATCTTTGATTAAGTAAAAAAGAATCTTTATAAATAAATATATAAATGATATTCACCGGAATATCGTTGCAATAAATTGCAAACAAAAGCCTTTCGATACCATACACTGTGACTTTTGTAGTATGTAAAATCCACTAGCGAAGCGATAAGCAAGCAAAATTGAAAAGAAAGGAAGAGAGAGGGAGCCAGCACTGCGTCATCAGGAGCAGTCGCAGTTCGAGGCTTGTGGCTGGCGGAGCTTTTACGCTCTCAGGCAATTTTTCCAACTTTTGCGTCGCACCCTGAGAGCGATTTGGTGCAATATCGTGCGATTTCTGCGACTGTGCGTTGTTGATCGGTTTGTAAAACTCAGAAGTAAGGAAAAGCGAAAGCGAGGCTGTGTCAGTTGACGCTGAAAGTCGAGTGGCAGCAGCAGCAAGTGCGCGGTGGCCATATTGTTTGTGCTAGCAGCTAGGCTGTAAAGTGAGCGAGCATAGTCGTGCGTGTGTGTTTGTTTTGGTGAGCACAGTTAACCTGGGCGACGTGTCCTTGACGTCCTCAAGTGCGTTATCATCTACGGCCAGTAACAGTATTGCAAAGAACTAGTTGCGATACAGCAACGAGGAGCGCCAGAAGAAAGACGGAAGAAAAGGGCAGCTTAGGCAAAGAGAGTTAAGATGGCCTGCGCCACCCTCAAACGCTCGCTGGAATTCGATCCGGTGCACAGCCACGGCAGACCGAACAAACGAAGACGATGCATCCCTGTGAATGTGTCGCCAACCGCTACAAGCAGCAAACCGCCGAGTAGCTTTGGCGATATCGCCAACAAGCTTACGCCTGGTGAGTTACCACTTCCCGGTCCCACCGTTCGCCATCTTTCTCTCGCTGTCCGCATTCTTTTCTTTTTATTCACTGCTATAGCTTTCCCCCTCGTGTTCTTTCTCTCTCTACAGCAAGAAAAATCGACACGGGAGCACCTCTTGCTCTCTTCCAATCGTCATCCGCGATTTAAAGGGCCTTAAAAGCCAAAAGAGCGAGAGAGAATAGGGGAGGGCTGTGACGCGCATTCAATCATATGGTAATGCCGTAACGGATGAAAATACCAAAAAGACATGGCCGACTATTCGAAGAAATTCACTCGCTGCTTTGTTACTATTTGGAGATGCGAGTGTCAAAATGTAACTCTTTATGGACGAGCTTCTCCTCTGTTTCGCGCATTGATGTATATAACGATGAACGATTTTTATTGTCTCGAGGGATTACTTGCGTACAGCGATCACTCCTTGTCTGTTCATGTGTGATTATCGGCTATGGGCGATTTTTACTTTTCAAAAGAGCGTACGGACTTGTAATATCTGCGCGTTGCCTAACCACAGTTAATACAGATTATATAGGTTTTTTTTTCATTATTCATAGCGCTTTTTATAATAGAGATTCTTTTGTTGGTTGTGGGGAGCGATTAATGACTGTTATGAAACATTATGAATCGATATGTGCCGGCTAAGCAACAAATATTATCTCGCTCAACCAAATTAATTGATGAATCATGAAAATAAATAGTTTATTAAAAGCCTAGCGGGAAACTTGAATTATTTAACCTAAAAGTTCCATAAAATCCAATGCATGCTGATTTCTTCTCCAGCTCATTCAGATTTTTATGATGTATATAGAAAAAATGGCAGCAAACATCAGAGAAGAAATCCGTAGATTACAACGGCGTAGACAATTACATTTCATCTCGCAAAGCGACTCTTCTGACATGGAAGGACCAGTCAGTCCATCTAGCCCATCTTGTTCAAATGCTCACAATAGCAGTAGTAAAGATAAGCCACTTTTTACTTTCAAACAGGTAGGGTCAATTAATATAGCATATTTGTTATTTAGATGACAACTAATTTATTGATATACTAATCGGCCTTGATGTGTTCTAGGTTAATTTGATTTGCGAACGAATGCTGAAGGAGCAGGAAACACAAATTCGCGAGGAATATGATCAGATATTAACTATGAAGTTATCGGAGCAATATGATGCTTTTGTCAAATTTACTTACGATCAGATACAGAAACGATTCGAATCGGCAGCTGCTCCAAGCTGTAAATACCAAAATTTTTACTTTTTTAGTAATAAATGTCTTCAAATATACATTATGCATGATCATTTTTTCTGTTGCAGACTTGTCCTAAAGGCGAAAACGTTACAATAAAAAAGAGAGTGTCTATTGAGGTGATTAGGTAAAATGTTCGTCATTGATATACAAAAGCATTACAATAAAATCGATGTAATATTCAGAACTGGTTTTCATTATTATAGATTTCTATACAACGTAAGTGAATAACATTTTCGAGCAGAGTAAGCAGCGCCACCTCGCTGATCAGATAAGTAAGGCAAAAGAAGCAATGTATCACACACATCAAAAACAGAAAAAAATCTTCGGTAGTAAAAAAGAACATGGCGAGAAAAAAAACGATTTAGTAATGTAAGTTTAGTAAGTTTGCAATGAAAAAGCGATCGCACTACGAGTAAAAAAAGCAACAAATCCACAATGTTTGCTAGTTAAACTAACAATGTTTTTACCGTTTAGTAATAGAAGCGCGCTGGTATCAGGGAACTACATATAGAGTCTATAACTAATGCAAAATCAAGTGTAGATACTAATTTGTTTTTCAACGAAGAGACAGCGCCACCGAGCAATACATGCAACGCGGAGAGTACATTATATTTTGTAATCTCTTGTTATGAAGGAATGGAGTTGATATTTACACCCTAAAAGTAAAACTAGCGTGTTTTTTTGTAGCATAAACCGAATGCAATGATGACGTTGCCTTGATGTAATTATATTAAAATGTAAGACACGCCCACGCACATACACATACTGACTGCCTTTGTTGATAACTCCTTGTCAAAGTTTAAAATTGACAGTGTTAACGGTTTTTGAACATCATTATTATCTTGTTTGAATGAAAAAGAGACGGCTAGAACTTGAACGTGCAAGTTTTTCGCGTACTCGACTTTGATAATATACCAAACATCTAAACTCACGACGTATCGCTAATAAACAGTACCTGTTGTGACGAAAAGAATCTCTGCAGAACCGAGATCATTTTTTCACTATATATTTTTCAGTACCAAATATTTCGTACGTTATGTAAACTTTTTATTTAGAGACTTCCCGCGCGATGTCAAGTGCTTAAGTACAATTCAGAGTAATACATTAAGCAGACACACATTCTCTTTATTATCACCTAAACATTCAACTGTATCTGTAAATTAGACGCATCATTGAGAATTAAGACTTTTAATTTTGTATAACTTATATAGTTATTGAAATTACAAAATCGTAAGCTCATTGAGAATGTAGATAAAGGTTTGTATGACGCATCTTTCTGTAACTACTCGACATACTTTTAAAAAGGAAAAAAACGTCAAAAGTTTCTAGCTTCTCGTTATGATAAATGTGCCATTTCATAGATAAAATTCACTGCCTTTTTCAAAATTTTCATATAGTCTTGGTCTTCCGATTATAATGTCGTAAATTTTGCACATTTCTAAGTCATCATCAGAATGAATAGAAAACTTCATGTACTATATAATATTAAAGAAACGGCATTATTGTCAAAAGACTATGGACAAATCTAGAAACAGACCGAGATATATTCTTGTAGAGTCATTAGAAGATGGCAAGTTTCTCGATTTGAAATATACATCTGGTTGCAGAAATTTATCTCTTTTCATTTTAATTATAATAATACATTATTTGACTCTTGATATACTCAAATGCCTGAAAAACATTCGTTTATTTAAAAAAGAAAATCACAATAATTAAAAACTTGTACGGGCAAACTGTAAGTAATAAACTTTCGATTAAGAATTTTGCGAAATTTTTCTTTCTTGTTTTAAAATTCCGTTCCCTGGTAGCAACGGCTTGAAAATAGTGTTTATTGTGCCTATTTTTAGTAATATTTAGTATTTAATCGTTGCGCAATCATTTATTATTGCTATTATTGTTATGGCTTGTAAAATTTTGTTTGCGAATTTTGCATCGTTATGAACATTTAGCTAATTCATACTTTCTTGCGTGAACATTTTTGTAAACTTTTTTCTATAAAAGTTGTATAAGAAAAAATTTGAAACGGCGTCAACTCGATTGTCGAGTTAATCGAATTAACTTCAAAATAATCTTCAATTATTAAAATTCTAGGTATATTTATTCTACTTCCGAGTATCTCATCTTTAGAGAATTTGTTTTCGAGGTAAATAACACTGAAACTGTGAAAATAACTGTGAAAATTTAAAGCGCAAGTTTATTTATAATGGCTTTTAATCGTAGGCTTAAGTTTCAGTTACCGACTTGTTTATTTGGTAATTTAACTTGAAAATTCGTATGAATTTAACGACTGTACAAGTAGTAGTATTACGATGTTGTAATACTTGTTTCGTTTTGCGATAGTTTTGATAAACTGAAGTGAGCAGTCCTGATGTAATACACTGAAGAAAAATGTACGTCGTGCTGATTTCTTCTCTGTTAATAAACACGTAGGCAAGTTTTTATTTATTGGTGTATTGAGCTGCCCACAGGAAAGCGTACTTCTTTTTTTATCTTGAATAGTGGCTGGAGAATCGTACTAATATACGTTATCTTGTCATTGACTGCATTCAGCAGTAATAAGAACACAAGCCAACGTGCTTTAGATGGAGGAATATAAGAAAAAAACCTATATATTGTAAATGTAAACGAATGTAACAGTCGAGCAAGGAGAGGATCATAGGTTTGGCTCGGCAAATTGCAAGCAAATCGGCGAGTCAAGCGTACGGTACTCTGCTTGAAAGTGTAAAAAATCTAGCATTATTCCGCTGCGTTATAATTGTGGAAGGATGTATTATATAATATAAAGAATGAGCGTGAGAGAACGAGAGAACGAGAGCGAGAGTGAGCGAGAGAGTTGCAGAGCAATGCAAGTTTGAATTAGCCGTTAAGTTGGACACATGATGTAAAAAGTGAAGACACTTGCAACACAGGCACGAGGAACGTGCGTTTCTTTTCTTTGAGATACGGTCGATGTGGCGTTCGCAGTTGCGAGCGGCTGCGAGACGATGTCGACGCTACTCGAAGCTCATCGATTAAAATACCTCCATACTCTGTAAGCATATTATTAATAAAAATAAAGATAAATTTTAAGACTGAGTTGTGCTTTGCCTTGGCGCCGCCGGGGACAGGGTGATTGGATGGGGGCGCGACAAAGCGAGCGGGCCAACGACTGAACGTGGACGGCTGGCTGTTCCGTCCGAGTGCAGTTTAATGAGATTGCTGCAATGGGTAATTGAATGATCCGGTTAAGCAAGCTCGGGGGCTTCGAAGAGCTTTGAAGCCCCTGGCGAGTCTATATGAGGAGGCGAGCCGCGACAAGCGAGCCCGTCACTTCTGGGCAGGCCAATCGGGAACAGTATCGTGCACCATCGCGCACCCCTTCTTTCTCACTCACACACACACATTCTCTCTCTCTCTCTCACTCTCTCTTTCTCTCATCTTCTTTTTCGTCTCTCACCGATTGCTCTCTGATATCATCCGTGCCGTGAGCTGAATCGGCCTTCCAGATGCTCGGTTTCTTCTTCCTGGCCTACGTGGTGGCCGTAAAGGTCTTCAAAAAAGTCACCCCCAATGGTGAGTAGTGCAGCTGCGGTTGACGCCGAGGCCCGGGGCTCGCGTGTGCTTGACGGCCGGGCTTGTTGCAGGCAAGGTCACGGTCTACCTGGGCAAGCGAGACTTCATCGACCACCTGGACTACGTGGACCCCATCGATGGAGTCGTGGTCATCGAGAATGACTACCTGCAGGGTCGCAAAGTCTACGGACAGGTAGGTGCGGCGCGGCGATCGACCAACGGGCCAGGCTGTGAAGGGCGCGTGCAAATCGACAGGTGATCACCACCTACCGTTACGGTCGCGAGGAAGACGAGGTGATGGGCGTCAAGTTCAGTCGGGAGATGGTGCTGTGCAAGGAGCAGATTTTCCCCAACAAGAAGGAGAAGCCGGAGACCACGCCGATCCAGGATCGCTTGCTGCGCAAGCTCGGGCCTAACGCCTACCCGTTCTTCTTCCAATTTCCCAGCAATTCGCCCAGCTCGGTGACTCTGCAACCCGGCGACGACGATCAGGGCAAGCCGCTGGGTGTCGAATACACCGTCAAGATCTACGTAGCCGAAAGCGAAGACGACAAGGTATCTGTTTTCGCGACGCACGTGTAACCCGATTTGATCGTCAGTGTCACGGCAATTTGCGTAATTTGAGCGAGCGCTTTTCCACTAGTCGCTCGCTCTTCCGCTCGGCTCGATCTTAGTCTGACGTTTCTTGCCTGTCGTCAAGGGACACAAACGATCGTCAGTCGCCCTGGCCATCAAGAAGCTGCAGTACGCTCCGCCCACCCGTGGACGGAGACTTCCCAGCTCGTTGGTCTCCAAGGGATTCACCTTCTCACAGGGCAAGCTCAACCTGGAGGTAACCCTCGACAAGGAGATCTATTACCACGGCGAGAAGGTGTCGGCCAATGTCATCGTCACCAACAACTCTCGCAAGGCCGTGAAGAACATCAAGGTACGCTTCGGCTCGCGGCCTCTTCATTCGCCTGCAACGAGTTGTAATGTTGCGAATTGCGAAAATCTTCTCGCAGCTGTTCGTCGTGCAACACTGCGAAGTGACCATGGTCAACGCCCAGTTCTCTCGACACGTCGCCAGCCTGGAGACCCGCGAGGGCTGCCCCATCACGCCCGGGGCCTCCTTCAGCAAGCAGTTCTACATGGTGCCATTGGCCAGCAGTAACAAGGATCGCCGCGGTATCGCCCTCGACGGCCATCTCAAGGCACGCTTATCTATTCGCGTTTCAACCGCAATTAGTCCGCAGTCCCGTCCGATGTCGCGCTCGCTGAGTGTCCACTGAAATGCTTTTAGGACGACGACGTGAACCTCGCATCCTCGACGATGGTCGCCGAGGGCAAAGCCCCCAACGACAACATGGGTATCGTCATCTCCTATTCTGTCCGCGTTAAGCTCAACTGCGGCACTCTTGGTGGCGAACTGGTCACCGACGTTCCCTTTAAACTCATGCACCCGGCCCAAGGTATTCGCTCGCGTGAATTCGAATTCGACGCTTCGACGTGGCCGATTGCTCTCACCTTATTGCTTTTCAGGAGCTGGAAGTGGCGAGGAGCGCAAGGAAAAGAGCATGAAGAAGACCAAGAGCGTCGACAAGAACCGCTACGATGGCTACGCGAACGATGACGATGACAACATCGTCTTCGAGGATTTCGCCCGTCTTCGTCTCAACGAACCCGAATAATTCCCGCTCGACATTGTCGGCGAGTGTTCCTGCTCTGGCATGATCAAGCGCTTCTCTCTATATATCGTTTTCCCTTGCAGCATTGATAAAAAATCTTAAAAAAAATATATATAAAAACTGATTAAAAAATTTCATTTGTTTGTCGACTAGCTTCTAGATCATACCTAGGAGAAAACGTACTTTAAATACTGATACTTCATAGCTATGAATAATGCGTTAATTTTCTTGTTCATACTGATGTATACAACGAAAATAATTTAATATATAATCTTAAAGAAACAGAAAAAAAAGCTTTGTAAAAAAAATTTGATACGTTTCAAAGCAAAAAAAGAGGAAAAAAGTCTAAAAAATATCGTTAACATCGTCTCGAGGATTTCCATTCGATTGTGGTGGTCGAATGGAAATTCGGTGGGGGGCGAACAAAAAAATGTTCAAGTAAGTTGTGCGTTAACATTTAACTTTACAACATACACATTTCCTGACTAACCAGAAGTGACATATTATCTTATTAATTATTATCATATATTTATCTTAGCTTTAAGAATATATAACTTGGAAAGCCTTTTGATTCCCGATACTGTTGAATTTTTGCTGTACATTACTTCAATGAAAGATATTATCTATATTTTTCTGGATTCACATCTTTGACAGTTTAATGTTGTTGAACTGCAATTTTATTAATATATTGTTGTAACTTGATAATAAAATAATGTTCATCAAAGGTATATAAAGAAAAGTTCTTTTCTTGTTTTCTTATAAAACGCATGCTTTTATTATACAAAATATTACACAATTTCTCATTCACATTTATTCATCTTCACAGTATTCTTGATAAGCTCGACTATATTCGATTCTTTCTGCTGCAGTCATTGCTTCAGCAAGTGCGGGATTCGTTAAAACATCTGTTATTGGTACAGATTTGCCATTCACTTTAACGGATGGAACGTCATCGTCATCTTCAGAGACCATTTTTTCGACATCCTCTGCAACAAGAAATTATTTTCACACCAGTTAATCAAATTCATGTCACCATAATACTGTTTTAAATTTTTTAAATATATACCCTGCTCGATCTGGTGCCTATCGCCGTTATCTTCCATATCACTACTATCACTAGACTCTTGACCAAGTACAGTCTTTACAGCAGTCGCGTTAACTCCTTTCTTTTCATGAGCTAAAAGTACTGACATTATATCTTCACCTTGTTTGTTATTTGTGGCATTCGAGTTTGCAGCTGCGGCTGCTTCATCTAATATACTGTCTTGAGTATTTGTTAGGTCATTCTGTAGAAAAGAAATATCATAAGTTTGGAAAACTCAAAAATTGAAACATTACTTTAAAATAATTACAAATACCTGCAAAGAATCAGAAGTTATTGTACTCTCCAGCATCCAGATTGGTCTTTCTTTCTTCTTATTAACACTGTCATCTTGTATATCATCTCCTATCAAAACATCAACTCTTGTATCTTCGACAGCAAATCCTGATGACCTTGTAGCTTCTCCAGACCATTGATCATTAGAACCGCGCATATTATTTGATTTCTTTGAGTCAATACTGTAAAGAAACATTTTATTTGCAACCCATTTGTATGAAACAAAGTATTAATATAATTTATAGCATACCCTCTGATTGTGTTTATATCTACAGGTTCAGGCTCCAAAATTTCTGGAGCCAATTTGATTCCTTCAACTTCTCGCAACAAAATGTACAATGGCTCTAACTGATCGTTAAATTTGGCTAGTAATAATCTTGAATCCTTTTTTGGAATAGCAGACTCATCTTCAGTAACTATTTCTCTACAATATGTACATCTAAAATCTCCAGTTTCCATATCACAAAGTTGATCTGCCTTTAAAGAAATTCAAGAGGATTTGTTGCAGTAACCTTGACACCAATATTGCAATTGAAATTATTAAAATCTAAATACTTACTTCCAAATCTGTAAAAGTCTTTAAACAACTATTACATTTAAAACTAGCTCTGCTAGTAGCATCTCGTTCTTCAGTTTCCATTCTTTTTCTCATAAGATCCAATTTATATTTGACTACATTTACAAATGTTTTATAGTTTATAAAATAATAATTAACTTTTTGTGCTTTCCCATCTGATCCAGTTTCCATTTTCAATCTCACTTGAATAAATTTGTCGTTGCGCAAAGCTGTGATTCTAGCTCTTAACATTTTTCTATCAAATTTAAGCAAATCACATATATCATCTTCCTTCATACCTAAAAATTTAACAAAAAGGTTTATATTTTAACTATTCTATCAATTAAATATAATAATTATTGTTACTTACAGGGATTTCGGACAAGCATATCAACGATAAGAGCATCTTCTATTGTATAAAAACCTCTTACTACAAGCCTAGCCAATTGTTTTAAACTACTGGGAACTTCTGTTATCAATCTTTCTTCAGAAGTCATTATGTTACAGCTGATATAAAAGAATAATTAATTATTAAAATTGAGCAAATAAGATTCCAAAGGTCGAGATATGTCATTTAATATACAATGATCAATAAATTGCATGATGATAGGAATTAAATTTTAACTTAATAGCAACTACTGAAAGTTCAAATTTGATTGTTAAATTATTAAATAACAAACTAATATGTTTTTTATCAGCCTATTGTTAATTACTTAAAAAAGTTCATTAAAAAAGAATATATAGAACAATCTAATTTACTGGTTCATTAATTCTACAAATGTTATTGCTTCGATTTTTGAAAATCCATAGTAATTAATAATTTTACTTACTATTTTAATCGTTAGTAACGATAATTTATTTGACGCTCATTGGTAAACTAATGGTGCTCACTGACGCGGCGTTCTACACTCGAAGAGCATCATTTACAGACTGACATCGAAAATGAGGTTACAGTCAATATATTTGTAAACTCAAGTCCCAATCGCAACGCGTGTATGCTTGTGTGCGTGTTTACATGGTGGCGGTGGTCAAGTGCATTAGTCGTTAAATATTTTATTTTGTTCACCAACCATTAATACTAACTAAATGATAAAATAACGATAGCTGTAATTATTATCAATGGCTTCCATTGATAAAGTAAAAATTATTGTCGTTGGTGATTCAGGTAAGATATGAAATAAGATATCACAAATTAATAGTTTTTTCAACGACTTTTATGATGATCTCGTAAATGATGAATGTCCAATGCAATTTTAAAGCAAGGTTATTATGGACCTACTATGTTTACGCAGTATAAAAGATATACTTGAGATATACTTATTTAATGTTTTGTTAATTTAAATTTACATTGGTTGACGTTTGCAGATTTTTAATTACTCTGTAAGTTCACAATAATATTTTGTTTTTTAGGCGTTGGAAAATCTTCTTTGACCTATTTAATATGTCAACAACAACCAATAAGTAATCCATCTTGGACCATTGGGTGTTCAGTAGAAGTGAAATTGCACGAATACAAAGAAGGTACACCAAACCAACGGAGATATTTTATAGAATTGTGGGATGTTGGAGGAAGTCAAAGTCATAAAAACACAAGGAGTGTGTTTTACAATCCAACAAATGGTAACATATAAAATTTACTAATGATAAATTAAATACTAAATTGTATATTGTATTGTTATTGCATGACATTGCACTTTGTATTTAGGTATAATTCTTGTCCATGACTTAACTAATAGAAAGTCACAGCAAAATTTACAGAAATGGTTAGAAGAAGTATTGAATAGAGACAGCAGCCAATTTAAAGTAAAATCATTTGACGATTTTGATCCAGAAAAGTTTGTAGGGTCAACGCAGGTTTGCTGCATTTAAAAAATAATACAAGTTCCTTTGCAAGGAAAAAGATATGAATCATGATATTTTTTCAGATTCCTATTTTAGTAGTAGGTACCAAGTCAGATTTGATAGCAGAAGTTAGATCTAGTATTCCGGTATATAGAAGATCATCTACTATTGCTGAAGAATGTGGAGCAGATGAAATATTCTTGGTGAATAATAATATTTACAAATTGCAACTATTATAGTCTAGACTTTGTCATTGATGACATTTTTAATTTTGATAACAGGATTGTCGTCAAGCAAAATCTCTAGCGGCAGGTACCAGTTCCTCTGTAAAATTAAGTAGATTTTTTGATAAAGTGATCGAGAAGCGCTATTATTCACGAGAAGGATTAAATTCTGATCCACGACGCATTCCTGTATATTCTCCGCAATATAGTCCAAAACTTCATCACAATGATTAAAGAAATATAAGACTAAATAAAATTTGTATATAAGTTTACATAGCAATATTTACAATTTTACTTGGAGAAATTACTCCACTACAGTTGATTAGACAAATAAAATATTTGCAACAAATATTTAAGTCACAATTGTATTATTTAGTATTTTTGCATAGACCTCCGGAGTTTCAAATTTCATTTTTAAACGAAATTATAATTTTTGTAGCATTGCTATTTCTACTATGTACGTAAGAGTTCATCATCCGTATCCGTCCGCATCCGTACGTACCTATGGGACCGGGGCCTAATCAAATTATTATCAATTCCACATTGAATGATATTCACTCGTTTTATTTGCAGTTAATTTTGTTTTTTGTGCCAATTAGACACAAAGTAATTAGATATTTAATCATACAAATGAGAATCAAACGAACAAGATTAGCTGTTATTAGGAAAAGTTTTTTGCTTCCATTCCATGCACGTTTATTATATGGAAAAATATCCCAATATGTTGATGATGACAGGTTCTGCTTACTGACAACTGGTAAAATTGGACCTACATATATTTAAATATATATATATATATATATATGTATGTGTGTTCATTTTATTTCCCTTGAAAATTTTCAACATCAAATATACATTGTTTATAAAAGTTCGGCTGCCACACTTTCAGATCTTGTTACAAGAGAAGAAGTTATTTTTTTTATGCTAAAGCAACAAATTAACGAGCTTAGATAATGTAAAAAGGTAAATTTCATTATCAAATAATTACTTCGCAAATCAATTTTCTTTCTTTGTAAATATGCATGACGTATACATAATTTAAAATTATTATGTCCAAATTTAATTTATAAATATATATATATATATATATATATAAATTTTATATATATATATATATATAAATCATAATCATCGTTTTAGATATAATGAAATTAAAAAGTCGATATATAAAAGAAAATTAAGAAAAAAGAAATTCAACAAAAGCAAATTTAACGTCGGTAACGTGAAAAGTTAGAAATTGCGCTTTAGACATTTTACATAAGATTCATCGCGGCTATCGGCCAACAGACGTTTACTATGATGAAAAAAGATAAGTCAAATGGTATATTATTATACTAATAACGTTAATATAGTAGGTCTATATTTTTTATCATTGCTGGTATCGTGTGCAAGAATCCATGAATATCTCAAATGTTAAATAAACAGATTATTTTTTAACTTGATAATCTCAGTACACTCGATGTCCATTGTCCAACGTCCGATATCTCTTATTTATATATATAGAAGACCCCTATAATTTTTTTAAATTTATAAAAAACAGCGTTACAAAAGTAATTATAGAATTAATAAAAGGCATTATATTTATATATACTATGATTTTTTGTAGGCAATTTTCAAGAACAATTACCAGCGCTGATAATTACGCTTTTTTTTTAAATCGTTGATTTTAGCTTCGATTTATATATGTGCATGTGCGCGCGTATGTGCGTATGTGTGTAATATTAAGTATATATATGACCGACAAATAAGGAAATTAATATAAAAAATAAAACAATAAAAATCTATATAAAAATAATATCATAAAATCAATGTATATATTACGTCAAAAAATTAACCAAATGTTTAAAGAGACATCGCATACCGCACGAATAAATAGTCTCAAGCTTATATATATTTTCACATACAGTTAGTGAAATTGCAATAGCAATCTTATAGAAAATATACAGACTTGCAAATTTACATATGTTGAAGATATACAGTTGATATTAATGTTGAAGTCTGTAGCATTAAGTATTGGTTTTCATGCTAGCACGTTATACGTACATACATATGTATACGTATATGTTATATGTATAGTCAGTGTCGTATGTGAAAATATATAAGTGTTAAACACGAAGATTCACATATTTGTATGTAATATAGCAATGACATACGTAATTAATTAACTCAAATTAATTTAAATAATACGTCTGATCAAATATTTGCTCGAATATAGATAGACATTTTAGGAATAAGTAATGTTACATGATGGCAACCAATTGTGCAAATTTCGAAACAAACTCTAAATTTTTGTTAGAACAACTAATTACAGCACGTAAAGAAATAAATAATTTAAGGTATGCATTTTTCAAACGTCTTACTTACTTATTCTTTTGATATTTTTATGAATAATGATCGACATTGTTGATTTGGATTGCATAACCTAAATATTTATAAATTCTTCTGCTACAATTTATTTTTAATGTAAATTTATTGGCACTTTCAGACAACAAATAAAAAGCCTGCGATATGTTCACGAGAGAGATGTCAGTAGTATTAAAAGACTTTTAGGATTAAGTACTAGTGGTCTGAACTCTTTCTCAGATGAAGCTGCACAATTGCAAGCTCCAACCAATTCTAGAAGTAATGAACCAAGCAGTATGGCCAATGGTAATGTCTTGACTTGTCGACCTATTGGTGTTGTGTCAACTTGGTTTCCTAAAAAAAGAGGAACCCCAAGACAACCCACTGTTTGTAGCGAAACACCTGGTAAGATAACACTTTTCAAAAGTATCTTCACCAATCCTGAACATGCACTTCAAGGACTAGAAGAATTTTCTCATATGTGGTTAGTATGTAACAAGTTTTTCTAATTAAGACCAATTTCACATCAAGCTATTCACAATTTCAGGATATTGTTCTATTTCCATAAAAATGATATAGTGCATGTAAGAGCAAAAGTTGCACCTCCAAGACTAAATGGCATAAGAACTGGAGTATTTTCAACAAGATCCCCACATAGACCATCTCCTATTGGATTAAGTTTAGTAAAAATAATCAAGATTGAAGATTGTACCATCTACTTTGAAGGTGTTGATATGATTGATCAAACACCAGTTTTAGACATTAAACCATATATTCCACATTATGATAATCCAGTGCATATAGAAAATATTTTACAAAGTGTTCATTCTAAGGAATTAAGACAAAATAATACATCACCTACATCTATTGATAACCCAGACGGTTGGTTTACCACAGACATTGATGAGGTACCTCAAGATTCTCATGACCATCATTCAAATTTACCTCAACAAAGAGGAAATCAACCTTTATTGTATACATCTCCAATTTCTTCAAATTCTACCTCAAACTCATCTGCTGATGTGTCAAGAGATGAAGAACTTGCCATGAGACTACAAGCTGAGGAATTTCAAGAGACTTTATATTTTGACATAGACAATGATAATTCAAGTTTTTTAGAGGACAATGAACTTGCTGCTATTATTGCTGATAGAGATAACTTGAATCGTATTGGTTTTAATTCAGTTGTTCCAGAAAATAGCGATGAACAAAACTTAGGAACTTCAAGACTATTAGAAGGAGCAGATGGCCCCAATGCAATTTGTGGGACTGACTTAAATTTGATCAGTAGACGTACTCTTAACCTGAGGCTTGATGATTCATCATCATCTTCTTCTCCTATTAGGATGGGAGTTAGGGAAGCACCTGACGGCGAAGAAGGTTTTGATTTGTTACAGCCTAATGTTTCTCAGGCACAAAATTTAGCCAATAATAGTAATAATTCGGACTTAAATTTTCAATCAATAATAAGGCAAACAAGTGACAATAGTACAGATGGAGCAGTAAGAGTTCCTGATTGGATATCAAAACCAAAAACGTCTACTTTATCAGTTGTCTTTAATGAGCGTTCCTTACTGCAATTGCAAGAAATATTACATGAAAAAGCAGAGGAAAAACGACAAGCTGTGGAAAATATTTTGAAGGAGGATCCAAGATCTGTTTATTTAAGACAACGTTATGGCAATCAATTTTACACATTTCTAATTCATGATCTTCACATAACTTGTAAGTTTGATGATGACAAAAAAATTGTTACAGTTTTTCAAATTCGTCATGCAGGACGTACTTGCGAATGTGGTCAGCCAGAATGGCAATGTATAGGCCATAATCATAGCTCATCTTCAACTTTTAATCAAGATTAGAATTCGGTGTATTTAGATTGTACCTTTGTAAAGAAAAATGTGATTTCAAGTTGTATAATTTGTTAAGTGAATCAAAACGCATTTAATAGTTTTCTATTAGTTCCTATATTTTATTGAGTCAAAAGTTAAGACAATTTTATAAAAAAATGACTTTTATAATTGATTTTTTTTGTGAAAATAGCTTTTTTAAGTATCAAAACTTAAATTAACAATCATATTTTTATGAATATCGTAAACACAATCAAGATTAAAATAATAACATTTAACCACTAAAAGACTTTTATACATGGATATTCTAATAGATTCCAAGCGAAAACTTAACGTTCAAAAATAAAAAGCTCAATAAATAAGCGTTCACCTTTCTGTTATTATATGATTATAAATTATACAATAATACTTAATAAAATATACACAACTAAATGTACATCAAAAACAAAATGTTTATTATAACAAAAGTACTTTTAGAGCAATGTTTCACAATTTGTAAAAATTATTTATTTCTTATTTTTAATAAAACTATTTATAGAAATACAAATTTCCTTAAGTGTACAATCTTATAGTTGAGTCTGCTCCTGCTGAAAGTATCCATGGTTGTATAGGATGAAATAATACATCCAATATTCCAAAGTCTTCGAATGGTTCGTGATTGCATAATCTTTTCAGTGGTACTATCAAAGGATTTTGAAGTAAATCACTACAATAATATACAATTGATATGAATTAATACCTTGAATTATTTTTAGGCTAAAAAACATTATTTTATTACATACCTATATACCATTCCGTGGCATACAATAAGACCTCTGTCATCAGCACCTGATGCAAATAATGGATACCTTTTGTGGTAAGCGACACCGCGTATTCCTGTACCATGAAGACGAAGCGTTTGGTAAGGTTTTGTGCTCAAATCTAAATCAAACCACAATAACTTTTTATCATACGTTCCCACCAGCAGATTATCTCCACCTGTAAATAATTAATTAATTGAGTACTTAATTTCTCATAGGCTTGGCTTGATGAATAAACATAATATGTACCTGGATGTATTGCCATCGTAGATATCCATTGTGAATTTGTTAATAATTTTTTTATCATTTCCTGTTTTGCTAAGTCATATATTCTTACATTCCTTTGTGTCTAGATAACAAAGAGAGTTGAAAAATTAGCTGTTTAAGTATTTTAACAATGTCACCAAAAATTTTGTATTCGAATACTCACTGCTACAAATAGAAATGGTCTGATAGGGTGAAATAAAACGCATTGAACTTGTCCTTTAGGTCGTCCAATAGGTAAATGCGATCTTCTCTTGGATAACTGATGAATTAAAACAGCTCTATTCTGGCCATCTGGCATAACTGTTGCAAAATAGTCACCTTTGCCATGCCAGGTTACTTGTGTAACAGTTTTGAAGTGATTTAAAATAACTCTAATTCCCATTTTCCATTGCTCTGGGTTACCAGCTTCTGTTATATGTTCCCACTGTACTACAGCTTTGACTCTTTCAGGCACTATATTAAAAATAAATGACAAATGATATAGTTTGATATGAAGTAACGAATGTCTGCAAAATAAAGTAATATTTACCTATTAAGTCACTCTGTGGAATAATTTCTAAAAGTTCATCAGCTTTCTTTGTAATAACGTGATCGCCAACTTTAGAATGGACTAAAAGTACTTTCTGATCAGCTGCTACAGCAATCAGTGGTAAATTTTGATTTGGACACCAAGCAATTTTTCTGACTACTCCTTCACATTGCACGACTTTAACACATCTACCAGTTGCAATTTCCCATACTAAAGAAAAATTTCAATTAACAATTTTGACAACTGCAAACATATTAAAATCAAATTAAATAACTCACTCCTTAACGTTGAATCGTCTCCACCACTTGCTAAATATTGGCCTGTTGGCTCAATAGCTATACTTCTAACCATGTTTGTATGACCTTTATAAATCATTGATTGAATAGTGGGGAATGGTTGCAAATCTCTTGGACTTGGTAACTGTGGTACCAATGATTCTGGTTCAATAATCAATTTCATTTTTATAGCTCTTGGGCATAAATAAAGATCCAAACATCTCTGAAATCTTTCTTTGATGAACTTAGAATAAGCAGGAACTTCTCTAAGTGAATTATACTTTTGAGGAATAAAATGTAACTTTCTTTTCCATGGTGAATGTTTCAGTTTATTCCACTCTTTCATTTCCTTCTTATCAAACAAATATTCTGGAGGTGGGTTATAACTTTCAGCATGACCAGGTAAAAATCTTTTTGGGGCTTGAATGTGCTTATGAATTCTCCTCATTTCCTCTGCTTGATCATCAGTCTCCCAAAGCATGTAAAATTGTGGTTCATTTGATTTTTCTTCTCTTTCTTTTTTCATTTCTGCTGTTGATTTAATCCATCCCATTTTCAAAGCATGAACCATCTTCGAAACCTTTCTAGCTTCTGGTTTTGAAGGTAGGAAGGAGCGTTTGTGTTCCGGAAAACCTCTCAGAGGCATTTTCTCAACTTCTGAAGTAAACCATTCAATCCATGGCTAAAAAATAAACAAAAATCATAAATATTAACCTTTTTTATCATGGCTAATCAAGTTTTGAAATTTTAAAATTAACTTACACTGTACTCATCGAATTTAGCATCTGGTAGTCTCTGCTTTTGAATTCTTGTGATAAGGTCAATGTCTGCTTCACTTAAGACAACATCTTGTCCTGTTTGATAATCTTTTATTGTTCTCCAAAAGTCAGGATCTTCCATTCTCTTCAAAAAATTATCTAGCTGATCACCTTTTTCAGGTTTTAATATTTTTTTACCATCCCAATTGTATCCAAGATGTTCTACATCATTGTACCATTTCATTGGTACATTTCCTACTGTGTTCCTAATATCCTCTTCATCAGAAGTATCACTCTCATATTCATTGATGTTGGTGTGAATCATTTTAGAAATATTTTTAGAATGAGAAGGTAAATTTCTATCTTTGTTGGACTTCAAATCTTTTCTATTTTGTTCTGTATTAATTTTTTTTTGAAATTTTGTTTTATTTATTTCTTTATTATTTTTCAAATCAATATCTTTTTGGTTATTGGAATCTTCCTCTGATTCTAATAAACCATCATCTTCACTTTCTTCATTTGTACTTGTTTCATCATAAATTTCTTTTTCTTCTTCTTCTTCTTCCTGACTTGTCTCTTCATCATTTTCAGTTTCATCTTCAGAAACAAATATAGGTTTATCTTCATCTTCATCTGATTCAGCATCCTCATTATTTATATCAACCTCCTCATCTGTTGAATCACTGTCACCACTTATTTCTCCAACTAATAAATCTTCTGTTCCAGAATCCTAAATATAAAAGAAATGATGTTTAAATGATTAAACAGTCTCTTTGTATAAGGGCTATTTGATATCAATCATCAAACCAAACTGACTGGCTTGATTGATAAATTAACTGAAATTTGATATGAAACATAAAAGAGAATTCCATGTGTTATGTTATTGCGAAGTTTAATAATAAATTTTGAAAATTATTTATTTAAGAAAGTAGTATACTCCATGAAAAATGAGAGCTATAATAATTTAGTGCACTCAAAAATAAAAAATGTTACCTCAGCCTCTTTTTTGGCACTGTGCTCACTTTCCTTATCATTTTCAATAATGTTAACAATATTTTTCGCCTGTCGTTTTCTTTTCAGTTGCGTTTTATGAATCTTCATTTTTATAAAATCATATAACGAAAATATATGAATTTTACAATAATAACAAAAACTCAATCTAACGCGCACATGGGTTAGCGAGGTTAGGAAAACATGAACACTAATACGGCGTGAGAGCAGCCACGAATTTATAGTCTGAAGTGAACCCGCTCACCACTTTTCTGCTACAAATATGTCAACTGAAATATGCCACTAAACACTTCTTGCACACTTTAATTTACTAAATTAACTTTTTTCATTATTATCGTTATTTTGTGTAGTTTTATAAATTAACATTATTTTTATATATTTTTTCTTTTAATAAATACACTGCTCATCAATCACTTTTGTCATATACCTACACCAAAATCAGGCAAACTTGAAAGTTTTGTATCTCAGTCGGAAATTCTCGTATAAAAAATAGAAATGCATTTTGAAGACTGTTGTAATAACTTCCATTTACACGTGAAGAAGGTTAAAAAAACCTGTTTTTTACGATAAAAAAACATTAAAAATTTTTCGATTTTTTTACCTCGATTCAAATCAATGTCAGTTTAGAACTAGTAATATAGGAGGAAAAATATATACCAACAGCTAGAGATAAAAAGCTAGTCCCTTCCCCTTTACGAAAACCATTCTCGGATTTTCGTGCGACCTTTTTTACCGGAGTTACAGTCATTTTTGTAAAAAAACAGTCTTTTTTTAAATCTATCATTATCTCGAGTTCTACTGGTTTTAGAAAAAAATGTCATTAAGAAAAAAGTTTTGTTTTATTCCTCAAAATATAAAAATAAAGTTAAAATAAAAAAATGGAAATTTTTTTTTATTTTGTTAAACTAACCGAAGGGATTTAATTTAAAATAAAAGTATTTTTGTAAGGTTCAATTACAAATACATAGATAAGAATTTTTTATAAACATAATTGCATAAAGGTTCCGATTGGTCATACAAAACTTTTCTCAGTTTGTACAGCGAGCGTTGGAAGTAGTTTGCGCTTGAGGAACTGGGCGGTATCGTGTATCTTATTAATTAACTATGTTTTTCACCTGTTACTCAAAGAAAAATACCATTTTTCAATATCTACGAATGATTCAATTAAAAATAGCGAGAGTTCAATTTTTCAAAGCCAATGGAATTTCGCTAAATGTAAAATTTACCGAGAAATAGCGATTCTTATATTGCACATATGATGTAGTTATTTTATAATTTTTTTAAAACAAGCTAGAGGGGTTCAATTCGTAAAAATAGCATTTTCACGAGGTTCAATTGCAAATACATCGATTAGAATTTTTTCTATATACGTAAATTTTGCGGGCTAAGGTTAGGCGGTCGTTTATCGTCTTACTTCATGACATTGCCATGCAAAATGTTATTCTCATATCGAAATATTGAATCGAATCGGAGCTTTACTAAACTGTCTACAGTTTCAGAGAAATTGAGAAGCCTGGCAAACTTGATTATTATTATTATTATTATTATTATATACTTGAGCTTTTAGTTTTTTAAAATAGATTATAAACTGAAGAGTCGACGAGATAACAAAAAATGGAGAATTTAAAGAGATACATGTAATAGGTAAGATCGACATTTACAAATAGGTAACGTGTTATTATACTCGAAAACCGTTATACTTCAAATATACAATTGATTTGATTTAATCCGTAATAACAAAATTGTGTTTTCACAACATTAGATTGAGGTCTATTTTGAATAAAGGTACCTCAATGCGACCCTAATCTTGAATAAAGTATTATTACGGTGCGATATGATAACAACATTGCTCTCGAGAGAAACTATCACAGCGAGCCAGTTTACGGTGACTCGACGAAAAAGAACGACGTGCGTTTGCGATGCACTAACTCACTTATTAACATGTAAGTCGTAATTAATAACAGAATATCATTACACTGGAACTCTCATAAACTGTCTCATTGAACATTTATTATACAGAACTAAATTCAAGAATGGGTTGTGTCAATAGTCGAATAGATAACGATCTACAGTCAAATGTCTTTCGAGTTATGAATGTTGATGATTTTGGAAATTTAGTTACACCAGGCAAGTTAGAAGTTACACAGTCAGAAATAATTTTGCACCAAAAAAGAAAATCACCAGTCAGGTGGCCATTGCGATGCATTCGTCGTTATGGGTATGATGCTGGAATTTTTAGTTTTGAGTGTGGAAGGCGTTGTCCTACTGGTCCAGGGATATATGCCTTCCAATGCCGTAAAGCAACTCAACTATTCAACCTTGTACAAACCAACATCCAGGTAAAATATTTCTTTCAATCCATCATTCAGAAGAAAATACAGTGACATTTACTAACGTACAATGAATATGCACCAGGTCTGTACAATTGGTGATGATGCTATTTCAAGAGATATGCCTAATAGTCAGTCGGGACCTAATTTAACACGGGGGACAATATCAACGGAACCTCATTCTCTAGATCCAACACCAGCACGACCTAATTCTGGAGTTTTATCATTATTTTCTCATATTCAGCAGAATGGAGTAGAACGATTGAGTAGCATTGAAAGCAGCAGCGGTCCAATGTCACCTCAAGGCACAATGGGCTCATCTTCACCTCCAGTAGTACCACTATTATTGCCACCACCCCCTATCCCTGATGACCCTCCTCATTCTTATCCGTCCTCACTTAATGTCAATGATGAAGTTCGGTCTAACATTGCTGTGGACACTGATCTCAATATCAGTAAAAGCCTGGCAAGAAGGTCAATTCAGAGGTACACCTTTTAATTTACATAACAATTGGTCTAGGGCATTAACTTTTTGTTGTCCATTGACAATAAGCAGAGCCTGACATTAATACAACACATTTTAATTGCAGATCGCATACAGTAAGCAGTTCCAATTCGAGCAGTGGTTTTCTATCGTTCGAGCAAATGTCAAGTCAAGTGATCAGCAGCGAAAGATGTTCGTCTCATTCGTCGACAACTCGTCGGGTATTACTGCTACCCTCGGCGCCATCCTACATAAATGTGGACCTCAGCAGTGATATCAGTCCCCTGTCTCGGTCTCTGACCGGTGGGTATTCTTCCACGCCTCCAAGAGAAGACACAGCCGACTCGACAGACGCTGCTGGTCATGCTTATATGAACATCAGTCCCGGTCAAGAAAAGCTAGAACCTGTAACCACGGCTGTTTTAGATCGATCATCTGCTCAGGCGAATATTCAGCAACAGCAGCACGAACCAGATGACGGGCCAAGACACTGCTACGCGAATTTGGAGGCGACTGAGATCGAGGGTTTGAAGAAACGATTTTCTACAACATCCTTTGCTGAAAAATTGTCACTGCACGCACAAACTCCTCCGCCGATTACCAACAATAGCGTGGCTATTCGCGAGGTGAGTTACGCCGTCCTCGATTTGGATACGAAAGAAGCGACGAGTGGAGCGATAATGACATCGACGGTAGCCACCGCGATAACAACGACGACGACGACGACGATGATGACAGCGACAGAGACATGTACGACAACGGCAATGACGATGACGACAGAAACGACATGTATAGCGGCAACGACGACGGAAGAACCAGCTGAAAATAGTCAACGGATGTCGACACCTCCGGACTCGCCGAACAAGAGCCACCAAATTGGCTATGTTACCATTGACTTTAACAAAACAGCCGCTCTGTCCCAGTCGGTGAATTCGAGTTTGGTAAATGACATTGACGAAGGTTTGAGGAAGACTCGTCATAACTCAACGATTAGCGAGCTCATCGCGCCTTCGTCAACCAGGCATAACTCGTTCATGAGTGAGTGATTAACGGCATCGTTTAATTTTTATTTTCCGCCCTTCTCTTATCTCGGTACAATTTCGTCGTTGCAGTGATGAGACTAATACCTGACTCTGTTTCTCATTAATGCTTTATTTTTCATCGATATAGACGCGAGAATCGATTATTTTTTACGATTTGATTGTCTGATAAGGTGTCAGGGTCATAAATGTTGACCTGCTACTGTTTCAAATGTTACCCTATCGTTCAATTTCATTCTGCCGATTACAAAGAAATATCAATATTCATGATGAAATGCCAATGCTGACGAATCACTATTTTGATAAGCTGTAATACGTTGGCGCTAACATTTCAAGCCCAGATTAGATATCGTCATTAATTTGAATTGATCTCGACTGGAATACCAATGAGGAACCGCGCATTAATCATAATATTTAATGAAAAGTGCAAGGTTACCTTTTTTTATGAGGTTTACAGGCTTTTACGCTGAAAAATAACGATTGACATTGCGCGTGGGTATTTATTAACATCATGATGCAAGTCATGGAAAAGTTCGAACTGTCTTTATTACCAAATGTTCAGTTCATCACATACGTTCTAGATAATGTCAAATAAAAGATATCTGATAAGCAAAGAAGGCGCGTTTAACAGGAGGCATTATTGAATTAAAAGAGAGATAAATATTTATAATATATATTAGCACGAATCGATAAATTGGTCATAAGCAAGAAACAATAACGAAAAAAAAAACTTCATTACATCCATTAACGTAACGGAGTCATCAACTTATAAATGGCCTCTTAAAAACATAGTACATTGCCTAACTAGTGCGGAAAAGTAAATTCTTATCAACATTAATTTACGTTCCCACACTAGTTAGGCAATATACTAATAAGGACAAAATAGAAACTAAGAGAAGTTTTGCTACAAGATTATTTTGTAAAAAATCTATAGATGCTAAAGTTTTGTAAAACGACGGGATATTGATAAGAAAAAAAACTTTTATAAAACAAAGAAACAGGTGATGCTCATTTTGTGTACAATCTATGTGATAATAGCAAGGCGAACCTTTTAGTATTAAGGATCGCACATAATTATGAGGAAAAAAAACGAATTTTGTGTCAAAGTAGTTGCCTATATGAATTGTATACGCCAAGGAAACATTTTTTAACATGCGACGTGTTACATATACAGTAGCCAAAGAACATAAAGTAGTAATAGTACGTATTAGAGCTGTGTAGAATATACCTCTGTTAAAGATTTTTACTTTATGTTGACCTCATAAAGTTTTAAAGATTCGCCAAGTCACAACATTATAGAATAATGAACGGTCTTGCATTATACCAAAATCCTATATCGTTATACAGCAACAAAACTGTAAATTGTTCGTCATGTGCCATCAGTACGGTGAACAAATGTGATGATTATTTTTGAATTTATTGAGGCATTTGTGAAAACTTTTTGTAACTGAGTTTTACGAATATCTTTTGACAACTTCTTTTAGTATGCGTATTTTTAACTATCTTTTTAATGCGAAACGTACATCGAAATCGAATCCTAAAAAGACAAGCTTTTTAATTCTGATGAAATAATAAAGAGCCTAAAAAGTTAGACTGTGAAATATAGACTGGATGTTTAAAAAAATTGAAAGAAAAATACTAAGATTGAGCGAATGTACATAAAATATTTTATCAACCGTGACAGTATTACTTGTGCATGCGCTATTGCAATATAAAAATTGAAATTGTATCTTTTATTACTTAATGGATAAAATTTATCATCTTGTTTGTGAAAAATGATATGTAGATAAAACTTTACAACGAAAGAAAATGGAAATGTTATTTAAATAACAAAAATAATGGATTCTTTCCGAACAAGTATGATGAACAAATTATTTTACAGGTACACAGTACAGTCTCACAATCTTATATTATTGAATACTAATTTTTATTGAAACTACAGATTGATTTGATCAATAAATATTAATTATAATTATAAATTTAAAAAAAATGTAACAAGTGCAATGGTAGAAATTTTATTTTTATATGAAAATGAATGCTAATCAAAGGTATTGTAAGGTGTTCAGAAAGTGTAGAGAAGTAAAACTATAAATTGCATGTACACGTTGTGAATGTACAAACAATTTGTACTAAGATAAAGCATTTTAATTTATAAAACTGTTGCCATCAATTTGATGGTTTAAATGCAAAATATATACGCATTCTTAAGCCATGTTATACAATTTAAGATGAAAAAGAAATATCATTCAAAATCATTTTGTAATAATTGTATATTTATATAAATAACCAAAGAAAAAGATGCAATTTCATACGTTTGTACCTCATTTTGAATGATGCAGAGATGTGAGCCTACTTGTGTAAAAAAATATCTGAAGAACAAAAAATTTATTGTAAAATATTGAATGGAAATTGAATTATGTAAATTAATTCATATGTAATTGATATGTACATGAAACGAGTAGATAAGAAAAATATAAATCTTAAGTATATTGAAACTTATGTATTTATTATTTAATCAATGCCACAACCATACTCAGTTATTAATGTTCTTTACAATTATCAAGAACTACAGTAATTAAGAATACATTGCTAACTTCCTATTGAAAATGAAGTAAATTTGTATGTAGACATTAATTTACTAAAAAGATATTACATTTAGACTTATATTTAAGAATTTGTCATAAATAAGTTTTAAGGTGTGTTAAGATTCAAACTTATTGTACTGTCAATACAACATATTTTTTTATATATCTTTATCTGTTATGTTTATGAAAAAATTTGACATGTTTTATTTGAAAAATCAGCTATTTAAAATTGACTTACAAGTGCATTAAAAGTGCTACATCAATTCAATCAATGACTTTTTTTAATATCCAATTATTATGTTTGTCAATTTTATTACTCCTCTTCAAAATAACGTCATTGTTCCCTGGTCATCGCATCTGAAATAATAAAATGAATATAAAAGTACAAAATTTTTAATTCACAAAAATTCACAAAAATTGAAGTAGACCTTACCACGTCTGTTCCAACTACTTAACGAGGAGAGCCGGACTTGGACCTACGATCTCTGGATGGCGATCTGCTCTTATCACGGCCGTTCTTGCTGCGGCTAGGTGACCGACTACGTGAGTAGGAACGCGAATAACTGCGTCTACCGCGCTGCCTCGAGCGTGAGCGAGACCTTGAGCGCGATCTCGAGTAAGACCTAGCGAAAACAAAAATTACGTTTATTTGAAAGTGTTTGATTTAAAAATTATGCCTATCGTAATTTTATCTTATCAATGTTTCCGTCAGCTGTGACATTGAAATTTGCTATATCAATTTTATTGAAAAAGAAAAAAAGCCTAGCTCTCATTCAAGCGAGAGACATTGATTGTAACGATTGATCAATAATTCTTGGTAATTTTCTTTCATAATACAATTGAACGCCTGTGACTGTAACATATTACTAGACAAATCAACGTTAATGCTTTCCAGATTAATCGTCATCAGTCAATTTCGGCTAGTTACTGTGAAAATTGATAAAAAACAATAATAAAAAAATAAAACAAATGAGAAAACTGAAAAGCAACAAAAAACATAACTTAAATCTTCTTACAGCTATAATGGAAGATTTTTGATAATTACATAAATAATTAACATCAAAAGCAATGAACGTCTTGACAGATTTGTTACTAATATTATTTGATTGAAGTCTCGCGCAAGTGCATATATAGATATGTTTAATATGTATCTCGATGATTGAAGACTTAAAGAATCTCGCAGTTGATTTTGCATATGTATACCTATAATATGGGGTCGAAGGTCAGCAAGGTGAATGCGCGCGGAAGTAAGGGGTAGTAGGTAGGCATTGCAGAGCAGATTTGGTCGGCAGTAAAATTCGCGCGGAGTTATTGGGCGGAGATATTGGCGAAGGCGAAGACGAAGACGAAGGCGAAGACGAAGGTGAAGAGAGTGTGTGAAGAGAGAGCGGCGCAGAGGAGTTGTCTCGGTCGGCGACGGAAGTCTCGAAGTTTTGTATATTGCGACGCTGTGTGTGAGATTGAGAGCGAAGAGTCGTATCACGAAGAGAAGATAAGCGCAGCGAAGTGCCGTCGACTAGAAGAACCCGAAGTGGACATATTCACTCTCTCTCTCTCTCTCTTTCTTTCTTTTTTCTTATTATCTGCTCTGCAGTGTGTCTGTTCTCGTAGAGTGCAGTAGGTAATAAGCCCATGAGACACTGAGAGTAGGTAGGTGCTCTACACGCTGTAACTACGCAGAGTGCAGATCGCAATGTGAAGCCAAGTCGATTATCGCGAGTGTGTAACCTCTGTGTGAGCGACATGGTCACGATGCGAGTGCCGCTTCAGCCGCACCTCCTACAAATAATGGGCAGGATTACGTCGCCGTTCTAGCCTCTATCAAGATACAATCCATTTTCTTTTTACTCAAGAATATTGCCGCTTTTTGGCAAACACTATCAATACACTCACACACCAAATAGCTGTATGCAGCACAAAGGTTCCCAACCACAATAAGACCGATTAATTCTAATTAACCAAATTTCAGAGTCAAAAATACAGGATCATACTGCTATAGGTATATTTATCTTATTTTCCTATTGAATAGCCAACCAATTGAAACAAACAATTAGTCGGCTATCAGCAAATTGATTGGAACTAATGGACATTTATTGTTGTCAACGCATGTTTTCATTGACTCAATAGCTTGTTGTCTGAGAGCAAGAGTTTGGCGAATTGTCAAACAGCATGATTCTGTTATTCCAATCAGAACATTATTTTTACTCTGTTACTCGATAATTTTGACCTTAACCACTTACAAACTTTCTTGGTTTATAGCTTTAAAGAGTCAACTAATTGGATAATTAATTTAAACAAAACATCAAGTAAATTAAGCAATTGCCAAAATTAATGTAGCAAATAGTACTTCATTTGATTACAATGGAATTAATAACCATGAGATTTTAGTTGTAAAATCTTTGTGCTACTTCAACTCATTGGAGAAAAAATAAAAGCATGGCATTAGATATAGACTATTCTAGTAAAAAAATTTAAGACTGTCCCTTGTCGTAGTCTTGTGTATACAGTTGCACATATAAAAAACGAAAGAATATCATCTGGAATATATATTGATGTTGATATCGTCATGCAAAAAGACCATTAGACAAACCTCTTTTTCTTCTGTCTGGAGCAATCACGGGCATAGTGACCGCGTTCACCACAATCATAGCATCTATCCTCGGAATTGTACCTGCTGGCAGGACCACCTCGGCCACCACCACCGCCGCCACTGCCGCTCCTGCTGGGTGGTCCGCGGTCTCTGGAACGTTTTCCATTGCTCAGCTCGACGCGCGCACGGCGCCCACAAACGGTTCGGCCGTCAAGGCCCTTGATGGCGTCCTCGGCATCTCTTGGATCATCGAACTCGACAAATGCGAAACCAGGCGGGTTTCTGGCCACCCATACGTTTTTCAAAGGTCCATAGTAGGAAAAGGCATCTTCAATTTCTTGCTTGGTGGCGTTGCTACCCAAATCGCCCACGTAGACTTTGCAATCGGACGGGTAACGTGACATCTGGACAAACAAACAGAGCAATAAAGAATTGCGTGCACCAGAGAAAATTGAACAATAACGTGCACATAACCAAACAGGGCAAAGCGTCGCTTGCCTTCGCGCGGACGCTCGCAAGAACAGGAAGTGGTGTTGGTATACTTTTGCCGTGACTAAGCTACGCGTACGGAAGTGAAAGATAGCAAAGCTTACCTTGTTCATAACAGCGGCACAGCCTGAGCAGCTGTGGGCGTGCGGAAAACAGTATTTGCTCGTGAACGTGAAATTCGCAGTGCGACTTGACGCTCCCCAGCAACTATAGTACTACACAGCTATCTGCTTGGTATACGCTCAATACGGCAGCTAGCGGGCTAGGCAGATGGCAATCAATAAAATGGCTGCCTGCTATGCGGACTTGCTTGGCCGATGAGCAAGCACACTGCTGCCACCTAGCTTGCGAGGCGGACCTTTTTCGTAGCCGACTGGCTGTTCATCTGCTAGAGCAAGAGGGGAGAAAAATGATTGGAGGAAGGAGGGAGTGACGGCAGGAAAGAGAAGGAGGGCATCGGAGTAGCGAAGACGAAAAAGAGAGGGAGAGAGGAGAATGTGCAGACTGCTGCGTGTTGTATGCAGTGTAACGACTCTCGACGTGGTCAATAAGCCGTTGTTTTTGTTTAGCTGTTAAGGTACAAGCGCAAGCACACAACTCACGCCCACACGTGCGTCACGCGCGCGCGAGAGAAAGACAGAGAGAGAGAGAGAGAGTGAGAGAGAGAGTGAGAGAGAGAGAGAGTGAGAGAGAGAGAGGGAGAGAGAGAGGGAGAGAGAGAGAGAGAGAGAGAGAGAGAGAGAGGGAGAGAGAGAGAGAGAGACAGCAGACAGACAGACAGACAGACAGAGAAAGACAGTAGTTGATAACCTCAGCACTCTCTCCGCTAGCCCTCTCGCGCGTTTGTCACGGTTCGTGTGTAGGTGTCTCGCTATTGCGTATATAGGTATGCGCACAGATACACGTGCGGCACGTGTGTGGCCGTCAGCGAAATTTAAATAGATTCGAGTTGAATTGAGGCCTCGTCCCGAAAACGGGTGCGTGACGAGACGAGAGTCGTTGCGCTAGTAGTTTTCCAGGCGATCTTTCCCTCTCCCTCTCTTACTCTTTCTCTTGCCGACGCCGTGTCAGCGTGCTCATTCACAAGTTGCGCACGTTCAGCAACAGCAACAACACAAGCAGCAGCAGCAGCAGCAGCAGTAGCAGCAGCCGCGAGCAACAGCAGCAGTAGCACTGGCGGCGGGGCCCCTACTCTCTTGCTCGCTATCCCCGGGCCAGTGCCTCCGTTGCCTGCACGAACGAGCGGAACGAGTTCAGTTAGTTGCGCCTCGCATTCTGTGCAAGCAGCAACAATAGCTCTTTAAATCAGTGCGGCGACAACAACGGCAACAACAGCAGCATTGGCAGGCAGACAGTGTGTGCGTGAGTGCGACTGGAGGGCTCATCACAGAAGACGATAAAGATACAGAAGGAAAGATAGACGACAGATAGACAGCCGAGAGGAAGTGTATTGGCGCGCGAGATATTGTAAAGCACATATGACGTCAAAACAGAAAGTGACAGCAGAGCAGCAGCAGCAGCAGCAACAGCAACAGCACCAGCCGCAGCGTGCCAGTGCAGTAGAAACATCAGCAGCAGTGGTAGCAGCGATGATAGTATTATTTTGACAGCGCGCCAGCAGTGAGCAGCGATGAGCTTGGGCTGTAGCAACGAGGCCCTGCTGCAGGAGCTCGCAGACCTGCCCTGTTCCTCCGTTCAGCAAAAGCTCAACCGATACGTGAGTGCTCACAGACTCGTCTCTCTTTCGCTCTCTCCTCTCTCCCTCTTTCTCTCTCTCTCTCTCTCTCTCTGTCTCTCTCTCTGTCTCTCTCCCGTGTCTCTTTACACAAACGTTATGTAACCCCCTGTTTGCGTCGTCTCTCGCCAATGTTTTCCTCGCTTTGCAACGCATCAGTGTTATGTGTTTCAGTTTCAAGATGCGACCGGGGCGAGGGTGTCATTCCTGCTGCCGGTTCGGCGAGAAACCGAGGAGATGGTTGTGTACGTCGTCGGCGAGAAGGTCCTCGAGCAAGAGATCAGATTCCCGGTAAGTTTTGCTTTCGCAACGAAGCTCCGCGAGACTTTTATTGCAGGACGGGGGGGAAATTGAAAAAACATGCGAAACGGAAAAAAAGCTAGGAAGAAGCGAAGTCGATCGTAAATCATATGCGTGTCTCCGCGCGCGGAACGAGCTAGCGTAAAAAAGCGTGACAAACGATCGAATTTCGAGAAGAGGAGCCAGTCAAAGCAGCGCGATAAGAATTATAAATTCGCGGGCCGCCTGCAAGCGAGAGAAGAAGCCGCGTGACTCACGCGACGCAGCAGCAGATAACGTTTATCTGGCGTCGATCAATATTGAACGGGATGCGGTGTCATCGCACGCCACGTACGTGTACGCGCGTTTAAAAAGCGGACGCCCGCGAATCAGCTGGCCGCGCGACGATTGCCCGCGGGCAGTTTTTCCGCGTTCGTGGAATTTTTCGCCGGCGAGAAGCGGCTGCGGCGGCGCCGCCTCGAGACGCGCATCGACGGCAATCGCGCAATCTGCGCGCCAGGCGGCAACAATTAGCCGAGGCGGCCTCCCCGCGACGGCGGCAATGTCGGCGTCACGCCGCCAGACGCCCGCGTCGAGGGGCACGTCGCGCTGTGGGCTCACGACTATGACGAGACCGATGACGCAGATGGCAACGTGCGGCGAGGGCCTGCGCAACGCCGTACTCAGCGGCGAGTCGTGCAAGCAGCGCGTCCAGGAGCTGGACGCCGACCTGCTGGCGACGCTGAGGCAGGTGGCCGAGCCGCTGCCCGAGGTCTACCTGTGCGTGCCGGTGCAGCACCCGATCAAGAAGCAAGTGGCACTGGTGGTGTGCCTGCTGGGCTTGGTGGAGGACGAGGCCAGCGCCGAGGTGCAGGAGTGCTTCAGGTGAGTGCGCCTGCATGCGCGCGGCTGTTCGCCGCGTTTATCTCTCGCTCGCTGTCCGCGCGCGCGCCAGTTGACGAGCGCGACCTTAATCTCGAACGACCGATTGGAGCCGAGCGCGCGCCGATGCGGCGCGACGGCGACGCTCGCTCGCCAAGGCCGGCGCCGGCGCCGCCAGTCCGGATCGTCGGGCGGCGGCGGCGGCGGCGGCGGTCTCGGGAGGGCGCTCGTCGCTCGCGACCACGCCGGTGGAACCAGTCTGCGGATTAGCGGGAAGAGACTGCGTGCGTAGCCAGGCCGAGCAAACTCGGCGCGCGCGGCCTTCCTCTCCCGCGCGAGCTTTTCACAGCGATTCGCTGAAAACTGCATTTCAAGTGTAAACAAGCGCGATAACGAACCTGTTTTGTTTCCTCTCTCTCTCTCTCTCTTTCTCTGTCTCCCTCCCTCCCTCCCCCTCTCTCTCTCTTTCTCACTTGCGACTCTTGTCGCCGATAAAAACAATGGCAAAGTGCCTCGATAACGAGCTGTTGCGGAGAATTGACCAGATAATCAGGCGGATAATGCGGCTCGCTGTCAGAGAGAGAGAGAGAGAGAGAGAGAGAGAGAGAGAGAGAGAAAGTCGGTCGTTGCCGATCGCGATACGAGCTCGATGATGCGGCGAAGCGGACGGAATTCCGTGGAAATGAGCATAGACGCGGCGCCGGCCGATTGTCATGCGAAGCTCGCGCGCGCGGTCGGCCGACTCATCAAAGCGGCCGCAGCGGCGAGAGGCGACCGCAAGCTCCCGTGCTGACGGCGATGAGACGGTCCTTTGCAGATACTGCCTGAGCCTGCTGCTGAGCACGCTACGTTGCCAGGAGGAGACCAGGCTGAAGGTGCAGTGCCAGGACCTGCTCGACGTCTCGAAGAAGCTGTTCACGCGACTGGGTAATCGCCGAGCCGGCCGAGAGTCGCGCGCCCGTCAGGCTAACCGCTTTGCGCTCCGGGCTCTGTTGCAGGCGACCTCACCGACCTGCTGCGCGAGATCATGACCGAGGCGAGGAAGCTGACCAAGGCCGAGAAGTGTTCGCTGTTCCTGTTGGAGGCGGAACAGCAGGAGCTCGTGGCCAAGGTGTTCGACGGGCTGCCGACCGAGGAGGTAGGCCGTGGCGGCCGCGCCGTCGCCTCGACGACGCTCACGCCCTGTTCTTTCTGTTCGCCGGCAGACCGCGCAGGAGATGCGCATCTCGCTGGGTCAAGGGATCGCCGGCCACGTGGCCACCACGGGCAAGCTGCTCAACATTCGTAACGCCTACGAGCACCCGCTGTTCTACCGGGGCATCGACGAGGTGACCGGCTTCCGGACCAGGAACATCCTCTGCTTCCCCATCCGCGACGAGAACGGCATCATCGGTGAGTAACCACGCTACCCGTCGTCGCTCGCGCCTCTGCCGAAAGTAAACGGGCGGCGAACGCGCCGCGCGCTCCCGCTTGCAGGTGTGGCCCAGCTGTGCAACAAGATCAACGGGCTCTACTTCGACGTGTACGACGAGGAGGTGGCGATGGCTTTCAGTATTTACTGCGGCATCTCGATAATGCACAGTATTGTTTACAAGAAAATACAGGATGCCCAGGCGAGGAGCAAGCTCAGCAACGAGCTCATGATGTATCACATGCAGGTAAGATTGGCCGTATCCGCCTCGTTGGCGTGCGTCGCTCGCCAACGGCACTGAGTCATCTTAAAGAGGCCCATTATCGTCCATAAGGCGACTGATGCCTGAGCTTTTTTGGCCGCCTGACGTGCGCTCGCTGACGCTATCGATTGTCCTTTCGCCAAGCTTTAATCTGACTCAGCGCATTTGCATCTCCCCTCAACTTTCTGCTTTGTATTTTAATCTGCGCCCATAATCTTTCATGCTAAAACGGATTTAAATAAAATTATAGCAGGTAACATTTACATACTCTCAACTTGCCGTAGAAGTAGTCGAGTAGCGAGCGTGCGGAATGCAAACAACTCCTGCTCCTCTCTCGTTTCATCGTTTCAGGTAGAGGAGGAAGACGTACGAGCTTTTTTAAATTGCGGCGACGACCACAATGTCAAAGACTTTGATACCTTTCAATTTTGTCCGCGCACGGTACCGTACAGGCACATGCCCTGCTACGTGCTGAAAATGTTCGCCGATTTGAATTTCATACGACGCTGGAAAATTCGGAAAACCGTTCTTGCCAGGTGAGTCGCCATCGCGAACCGAACGATTGCGGCGGCAGCGGCTTCCTTCAGCAACCGACTCTCTTTTCAGGTTCATTCTGTATGTTAAGAAAGGTTATCGCGACGCGCCTTATCACAACTGGATGCACGCCTTTTCGGTGGCGCACTTCGCCTACTTGCTCATGAAGAATCTTCATCTGGTGAGGGACGGCTACATGACTTCGCTGCAGGCGCTTGTGTTTCTAGTCTCGTGCCTCTGCCACGACATTGACCATCGAGGAACGAACAATTCCTTCCAAACCAAGTGCGGCACAATTTTAGCCAGTCTCTACAGCTCCGAAGGCTCCGTCATGGAGGTGAGCGCCGATCTATAAAATTCTTTCGAGCGTGCCGCTCGCTCGTAATCGACCTGCTTCTTCGTCACTTGCAGCGACACCATTTGGCACAGTCCATGTGCATTATCAACACCGAGGGCTGCAACATTTTCGAGAACCTCACTAGCGAAGAATACAGTGAAGCGCTCGACTTGCTGAGGAATAATATTCTCGCTACGGATCTCGCTTCTCACTTCAGAAGTTCAACCGAGCAAAAAATGTTAACGAGGGAAGGTTACGACAAAGGCAATCCCAAGCATCAGAAAATTTTGCACGCCATGTTTATGACGAGCTGTGATCTAAACGACCAAACCAAAAATTGGCGAGTATCGAAGCAGACAGCGGTAAGTTTCGATTATTACAGCTTGTTTGATACGATTGCAAAGGAATCTTCTCGATCTCACTTCAGGAACAAATCTACGACGAATTTTTCTCGCAAGGTGATTTAGAGAAAAGCATGGGAACCGCGCCAATCGAAATGATGGACAGGGAAAAAGCGTCAATACCGGATCTTCAAGTACAATTCATAAACAATCTAGTTTACCCACTTTTTACGTAAGCTTTTGATTGTTGCTCAAAGCATGCCAAGAATATTAGATTTTTTTGGAATTAAAAATGTAATTTTATTGTTTTTTTTTTCTTTTTTTTCAGAAATTTAGCAACGTTGTTTCCGGCTTTGCAGCCACTTGTACGTATTATTGAGCGAAATCGTGAAATTTGGAGGATCGCTACGGCCGTTTTTCAAAAGTATAGCGAAAGAGGAATGACTGGAATGGATATTTTGTTGAATGCTCGGTTGGAAGAAGAAGTTCTTTTGCAATGTAACAATGCTGACGAAACGTCCATGAGTCAGACCCCTAATAGTAGCAGCAGTAGTAAGGTAGACTTTAATTTCGAAAGTGTAACTTTTGGCGTTTGAAGAGTTGTTATAGTTTAGAGAATTGATTTTGCATTTTTTATCATTCACTTGTATGAAATTTATCATTACGACATTTTATCGAAAATGCACGATCGCGCGAGTGGGGTACTGTGTACGAGCTTTGCCCACAGGGTTTACGTTATATTCTATTTTATGCTCTGTGCAGAATTCATTGAAAACGCAGTAATCACTGTAATGGATACAAACTTGATAGTTTATCGATTCAATTAAGTGTGGCATTCAAAAAAATGCTATGTGCAATAGTAACATCGAATTATTTTGTTACTGCTCAAGTAAAGTCTTTATTCAAGCGCCTGAATCGCCTTCTTTCACCTTCCGGAAACTTAAAATTATGCAAGTTAGATGCAATTTAATTTAAGTTGAATACATAGAGAATGCTGGCGTTCTCAGACGAATGCAACTATTGTTGCGGAAGGCAATTGCGAAAAGTATAGCGGGAAAAAATTCCTATAACTTTCATACAAACGAAGACTAGTTTTGGAGATAAACTTTTACCGGGGATTAGTTGGGATTCTCGAGGCGATGGATATTACACATGTCAGTATTCCAAAGCCAAATTAAATAAATTATAATGTTCCTCTTTAAAGTTTAAAGCCACTTAGCCGTAAAAGAAAAGATATATGAAACAAAAGTCGTTTGATTCAGATTGCAATGCTCAAAGCGTTTTACAATAATATTCAAGAAATTATTTTTTTTCGTACCTGATAAGAAATAGTGGAATAAAGTGACAATAGAGACTGGAAACACAATTAAAGAAACCATGTCTCAAAAAGCTTACATCTACATGACTTGCATAATGCCAATGTTTATTTCAAAGTCGCACAATCTTTTTCATTGATAAAGCGTTTTATTAGCAAACGCAACTCAAAACATTCCACTAAAACAGAAGCCTAACTTTTCATTCTGTTCGAACAATCAAGTTATTGACAATTCAATCAATCTGAAGCCAAATCCATCAGAAAAGTACTCATAATCTATTGAATTTCAGCTATTCCTTCACTAAGGTGATCATCCATTTTATGTGCTTTATATTATCGTAGATATATATACTAGCTTTAAAACTGTATAAAAGATCAACTGAAAAGATAAAAAATAATAGTAATTGTCACGCAAGTTTCAGCTTGTAGCTTAATACTCTAGCAATTTGTTGTTGTACTACATCTATACTATCATCGTTTCAATAATTTCTGAGCAAACCGCTCTGACAAATGATCGAATTGTCAAATTTACAGATGTCCCAATAATTTCTCAACTTAAAGACTAAGAAAACAAAAGCTTTATATGTGTAGTCAGCATCAAGTTACTGTTCAAGTTGAAAAACGCCGTAGATGTTTAAAATTTCAATAGTCTAAAACATCGAAATAAAGGGGAAAAAGAACCTAGTTTGATAATGTATAACCAGTTTGTTACGCTAAAGTCAATGAAAAAAAACATTATTTTTTTTACAAAAATCAAGTTACAATAAATGATCAAGCGGTACATCTAGTCAAAGTATCGGAAAAGTGTAAATCCGTTGTTGGAAAAATTTGCACTAATAATTTGTTGGCAATAATATCTAAGTTAAAAATTTTTTATACGTAAATCCATCCATTTCTGTAGAGTCGGAAATTACCAGGCATTTTTCTCGTTGCAATATGACGAAAAATACAATTTTATAGATACAATTAAGCATTGTGAACAGTTTCACGTTATAAATTAATTTAGTTTTCTATTGCGTTAATTTGTAGATAAGAATGTTTGTGTTTTAATTACAACAAGATTTTAATGTTTTAATAAAAAAATATGTTGTAACCGTTATATTTATACTTATGTGGATCGCAAGAAAGAATTGAAAATTTATAGTCAAAATCGAATTGTATAACACGATTTAATATATAGCGTTTGTAAAACAAACCTATAAGAGACTTTGTACATAAGGAGACCAACGTCAGACATTGGCCATTGGACAAAAGATAATCAAATAACATTATTATACTAATAATGTTAATATGATAGATTCACATTTTTTTATCATTTCTCGCATTCTACGTAATTACAAAATATACCCAGATTTTAAACAAATTCGTCTTATACCTCGATACACATCCAATGTTCATTGTCCGACAGACTATGTTTCCTTATGGAGAAAGCCCCTATATGCGGTTCAGAATTCGATACAAAATAAAATTGTAAATATGTAATAATTTATACGCAGAAATTTTTTAAATTTATCATAAAATTATATCAATATTACTTGAAATAAATATAGTTTGTATTAATAATAAGTAAAACTATGACAAATTTAGAAATTGGTACTAATATTCAGTCATATTTATTAAAATTATTGTAATTGATCGCAATAATAAAACGACACCATTTTAAGGTAGCACACCTTTTGTTATTTTTAATATCCACTTTCACTTAATAATAAGAAAACATGGTTTATATTAAAATATTATGCGCAAAATTGAAATTCGACGCGCTGCTGCGTAATGGCTAATTAAACAATCAAATTATCAAAGTAGTCTTCGCCAGAGCTTCACTATTTCGCCATGGTGATGCGCTGATGCCGTGAATTCAAAAAATAACGTTGGATTGAAGTCGGTAGGCTGATCCTCCAATAGACATGAAAATTGTACGCAACTAATTGCTGCCAACTTACGAATTCAAAATATCTCAACTTTGCAATTTCATGCAACATAATCTCAATAATGATAACAAAATTACCCCAATTTACAAACCATTTTTTATAATATTATATTTAATCTGAGTAATATTTTAGTGGTAACTATTGGTTAATAATTTGAATATTTTTTTCACTTTTATTAAAATATACTTGTTATATTTAAATTTGTCTAATCATTTTGAGGCTATGTTAAGCATTTGTCAATTCAAGTTGGCAACAGCAGAAAATCCACTAGAAATTACTTGTCGCGTACGATTTTCATGTCTGTTGGAGAATCAGCCGTAGAAAGATCGCTGCAAGCAAGAGTGCGAAGTCGTTGTTTAGTATACATATATATAAGTAAACGCGGGCTCGAGGATCGTCAGAGGGAAAAGTTGAAAAACGCGGTAAAATTGGCAGACGGTTCAATAGCGTTATTAGGGTTAGTCATACACAATCAAAAAATGCGAAAGACAATTGTTTTATTTTCGGGTTAACTATTATCTACGTTTTTTTGTTGATGATTGTTCAGCGCGAGCGTTTGGATTTGTCCGTTATTCCAGCAGCGAGTTACTGCAATTTTATACATTCGTTTAACATAGTAGACTCCTTTGCTTATTTTTCGTCTTGTGCCTGTTGATTAACATTGTAGGTAATGGCAAAAATCTTAAAAAAGTAATTTAGTGTGCAATAGAAGAATATCGTGTCATAGCCAACATAACGCTGTAATTTTGTGAATTGATTGTATGTATGAAAGATTTGTTTTTTGTCCATCTAGATTTAGATTTCATCATCACCATGGATAAAAAGAACGTGATTCAAATGCTTCAAACAGATTTTGATCGCTTTCATAAAGAGTCGAAAAACATTGCAAAGACTGTTCATGATTTTAAGCAAGATGTAAGGACTTACATGGATGCTTTGATCTCTCAAATAAGTTCATCAGGTTCTGGTCCGTTACTTGCCAAAACGCCCAAGCTCCCAAAAAAACGAGGCACTAGGATCAAAGCCATTCCAGAATATAATGAAATGGATGGGAATGACAGTAGCATTCTTAATATCAAAAGTAGTAGATCTTCTAGGGCAGATGTAGCAGTCATGGAGACAACGGAAATCCGTGTAGGAAGATCAAAGAGGGGAGCATCTGTCAAGGCTGCTGATATTATTAAAAAACAGCAGTCTATGACCTTGACTGCTAAGCTGCGAAGACCATCTATAGATGACAGTGATGTACCATTGGCAAGTCGAGTATGGATTGTTAATTACTTATGTGATTTAAAAAATTGAATTTGAAAAAATTAGTTTATACAATGTTATGTATTGTAATTTTTCAGCAACCGACAATGGAAAGTCGTTTAAAAAGGCCAAAGGAATCTTTGGCAAGTTCAGAAGAAGATGAAGATGTGAGACCATCAAAGCAAAGTAAATTAGAAAAGAAGAAAACACAGTCCAAAAAATTGAAAGAAGAAACCTTTGACTTGAGTATTGATGCAACATTACTTTCGGATCAAAATAAAACTATAGAAGCAGAGAAGTCAAAACGAATATCTGTAAAGCGCAAGCTGGAAGAGGATTCTGATAATATTTTGAATATTGAATGCCCAACTCACATTTCTTCTACTGGTGAACCTATTGCTAAGAAAGCCAATGTATCTAAGCTTTCTCCACAAAAAGGTGACACAAAGTACATGAACACTTTAGAAAGAATCTCAGAGAAAACAACAGAATCTCCAACAAATAAAAAGTCTTCAGGTCGCATGACAAGGTCTTCGTCTTCTGTAATCAATTCTCATTGTGTTAAAAAATATAAGATGAATAATATTGTCAATGAAACAATGGATACAACCAATGCTAATGAAACTATAGCTTCAATATATGAAGACGCAAATGGAAAACCTTATCCAATAATGAATTCAACCATGAATCCCAATACAACAGTAACCTTAGACAAAATGATGAATGCCACAGTTGTGATTGAACCATTAACTATCAAAAAGGTATTCAATGAGACAATCACCATACAAAAAAACGTTTTCAAAGAGCCTTTGTCTCACAGCACAATCAAAGAAATAGAAGAACACATTACTTCAACAACAAAAAGTACAGCAAAAAAAAATTTAAAAACGAGAAGTAAAGAAGATTTTAAAGTGCCTAAAATGGATGAACTTATGACAGATGATGAATCATCACCCGAAAGGAAAGGATACAAAGTACAGGAAGAAAAGTCATACCAACTAAAACGTATCACGAGATCATCTCAAAATTCATCTCAAAGTGAAGACGAAGTTAATCGCACACCACTATTAGGCCTTAAAAATGTAAAGAACAAGAAAGGGTCACCGTTCAAATCTAATTATAAACCAACAGCTTTGTTCAGTCCTTATGCCAAGGATTCGGTTAAAAAACGAGTTGAAGCCTTTGAGCAGGTTGCTGGAAGTCCAAAGCAAAATGAACAAGAGACAGGTGGAAGAGTCACAAGAACAAAAACGCGAGCTTTGGCTGCAGCAAGCTTTTCTGAAGCTTCTGCTCCAACTGTAGCTCAAAAATTAGCTAGAAAATCTTTAGCCAAAGCAAAAAAGATTTCTCTTGCCAAACATGCCAGGGAAATTGATGAAACTGGAGAGGTGATTTATTTTTATAACTCCAATATTTTATTTATAATGGCAAATTAAATCTATTTTTCAAATTCCAGAATGATGAGACTTGTATTGCTAAAAAGAGTTCCATTGAACAATCGGCTCAGAAATTAAGCGCAAAAACTACGCCATTGGGTAAGAACCGTTTGCAGATACCCAGCTCTGTAAGCAAATCTCAGTTTACAACGCCATCAAACTCCCATAGCCACAATGCGGTTAGTATATCAAAAGCAGACCGTGCGTTATCAAACTTGTTCAGCGCCCATTACAATTTGAATATTTTATTGTTTTCTTTATTTCAGCATTCCAAAGCTATGACAGGTTCGCGAGGTAATATCGTGACAAATGTTGATTCTTTCATTCAAACAAATATATCGTCTGCCTCGAAAAAAATAGATAGAGGAACCGAAGAAAAAAGACGTAAAGCACACGAAGAAGACGCCCGGCGAAAGCGCGAAGAATTACTGAGAGCTCAAGCAGAAGAAAAGAGGAGGTGTGTATCTTTTTATATAGACAATTCTGTTAGTCCCAAGAGGTAATGAGTATTTTTTTCATAGAAAACGGGAAGAGAAAGAATTAAAAAACAGATTAGCGAGAGAAGCCAAAGAAAAGTTGGAATATGAGAAGAGACTGAAAACCGAAAAGGAGAAGGAGGAAAAAGCTAAATTGGCCCTGCAGATGCAAGAGAAGCAGAAGGAAGAAATGGAACGGAAGCGTATTGCACAATTGCAACGGGCAATGGTATGGTCGGCGAATAAATCACTCTTCATAATAAGTTACTTAAGGTTGATTTTACGTAATGTTGGTCTTTTAGGAAAAGGAGGAAAGACGAAAAGCAGAGGAAGCTCAACGTTTAAAGCGGTTGCAAGAGCAAGAAGAGCAAGAGAAGCTACTTGCCGAACAAAGGCGTCGCGAGCAGGAGATGGAAAAACGTAAGCAGGCTGAGCAAAGGCATTTGGCTGAGCTTAAACAGAAGAAATTGATGGAGCATGCATTGCAAGCCAAGTTAAAAGCAGCGGCGCAGAAGCAGGTCCCTAGCAGTTATAAAATCGACAGCGATCCTGACGAGGAAGATTCTGATGATGAAAACAAACCTAAACATGAAATTCCAACTTGGGCATCAAGTACGTTGAATGTTAAATAATAATTGAATTGAATTTTTGATTTTTGGTATTACAATAATATATTTATCATTTGTAGAAAATGTACGGCAACACCAATTGGCAATGCAGCAATACGTTCCAATGAAAGTCGTCCTGAAATTCTTCGACGCCAAGCAATGTACGCCGGATCTCAAAGAATTGTTTCAAGGCATTGATCCGAAGAAACTGAAACGATCTTCCAGTGCCAATTGGAAAACTCCACCCCGATATTCCATGATGAATTGCTCCATTATCAAGGACTAAAGCAAATTATCCATTATTTGATCGATTATATAATTTAAACACAATTTTCCTTAAGTACTCTTTTGCAAATTTAGCGGCAATTTCTTTAAGAAGATAGCACGTAAGCGGCATAAATTTTAAGCAATCGTGAATATTGCTATTTATTATTCAAATTGATGCATTGTACAGGTTTGTTGTTTTATACATGTAATCAAGTTTTACAGTAGTATTTTATAATTAGACGAATATAATAGTTATACGAACAGGTAAAATTTTATTAGTCAGTAAATACAAGGAAAGCGAGTAGAGTGATGAGTTTTACACCAAGTACATACATACATTGCTTATTCTTTATAATGTATTTGTTGATAGCGATTTGCAAAGTGAAATAAATGTAACGCTGTTGCAACCGTATAATCAAATTTGATTGAACATTCAAAGACAAAAGGAAACTATGCAGGTAGCATTACAGTTTTCCTTTTATTTACGGAATTCGCTCACTTTATTTGCTTGCTCAAGATATATAGTGATTGCGCTAGCCGGTCAGCTACCGCGGATACATACGTCTCTTTCAATTAAGTAGTGGCAACGTGCGCACGTGGAAGAGAGAGTGAGAGAGAGAGAGAGAGAGAGAGACAGAAAGAGAGAGAGACAGAGACAGAGACAGACAGACATACAGATAGACAGACAGACAGAGAGCAAGAGCTGCGAGGACATATTCGTGTAGGCGGCTATGCGTTTTCTGGGTGACGAAAAAATATGTCAACGAGAGCAAAATATTAGGCGCTACAGCATGAATGTGTACATGCGTCACAACAAGAATAATGATAATGTACGTCTGTCCACAAAAAATTTTGTCTTTCTTTACTCGAGTAAATCTTATTCATTATTTTATACGTTATGATTATCTTACATCTCTTTGAATCTGGAGGTTTTTTTATTGTTTCTATTAATGTTTAATAGCGTGAACTCGATGAAATAAATGAATTTTGAAAGCTTCTTACTGCATATGAAATGTAATTCAAGTTTTTTCAGCGTTAATACTACTTCGTTGCGTGCATTACAATCAAAAAGTAAAACGTGTACATCCATTGATTAATCATCGAATCGCGCAATTGATTAGCAAAAGTGTTAAGAAAGTGTTATTTCTTATGTGGTCTGATTCTTACATCTCTCGATGTATGCCGAAAGTGCCTATAATAATAATTGAATAAACAATCCTATAAGATTTCCAATTTCGAGTCTCTTTTCAATTTAACTTAGATAAAACGGCAGCAACGCGCATGTGCGGCAGGGGAAAAAAGGGCCTGTGCCGGCAATCGAGTGCAAACAAATGTGACGTTATAAGGGCGCACGTCTCTATTTTTCACGCGAGTGAATCGGAACGGGCCGATGATTTTTCGACATCAATTCCGCGACGCTGGCGTGCAGCGGCCGCCGCGTAATTGCACAGCCGTTTAGCTGCGGTCCAATTTGGCGCGCGGCGGCAGCTCGTAGTCTCTCTGCAGCGCGACACGTCTCTCTTATTGCCTCACGGCAGACTACCCTACGGAAAATACAAAAACAATTAGCGGACAGAGCTTGGCCAATCGACGCTTTAAGCGCGCCGTACCGACAGTCATTTTGTCACCCTGTATTACTTCTCGTCGCGCCCTTTCGGTTGCGCGCGTTGAAAGTCGAAATTGTAAGTCGCCGAGTGAATCGTTCGGCGTGTATTCGTTTATACTTGACAGGAGAGAAAGACGCCCGCGTCGTCACGAGACGACAAAGTGAAAAGTCGGCAAATAAGCCGTTAACGAGGTGCGATTTGCGACATTGCGTCAGATGCAGGCCTGTGTATGACAGAGTGGCGAACGCGTTATAATATCGACGAGAAGAGAAAGGGTAGAGAGAGAGAGAGTGGAGTGATGTATCCCCTTGGGCAGCCAGTCTCCGGTAACACGATAGTAAGTACTGGCTGGGCATAATTAGTGGAGCATAATTAAAGCGGAACAAAAGATGAACGATATCGTCTGTCGCTCGTTAGCGGACAGTTTTGTCGTCTACGCCTCCGTCCGGCCCTATCTCAGCTCGTCTCCGCTTATACGAAAAACCTTTCCTTGCCCAGCCTTCCTGCCTCTCTCTCTCTCTCTCTCTCTCTCTCTCTCAGCGCGATAACATTGCAAAATTCTCTTGTCATCGGGCAGTAATGAGCAGCTTGATCTGAGCCAAACACAATTGGCTGTGGTAAGTCGAGAGCATTCGATGAAACAGAGAGCGGAAGAGAAATTCAGGGAGAAGTTTGGCTAAGAAAAGAGAAGAAAGCGCGTAAAGTCACTTATCGGCGCAGCTCTAGCAAAGTCAGCTCTCGGGCTCGGCTAAAGTATTCCGCCTCTTTACCGCGGAAAAGCTCATGGACTCGCGCGGATTACAATCGCAGTAAAGGCGGAAAAGCCCAAAAAGCTCGCGCAGGAAGCGATAAAATCGCTCTCGCCAATTCCCCCAACTATTTTTATTCGTAGAGATCCCGAGGGGAATAGAGAGAGAGAGAGAGAGAGAGAGAGAGAAGCGTACGTGGCGGTGGGCAGGTCCGATCGCCGGCTCCAGGAGACGAACACGGGACAGGCGTGGCGTAGCGCATCACGATCTCTCACTGCTGCTCTGCCTGCTGCTCTCGCGCAAAAAGCCAACTCCGTGTATCAGCTCTCTCTCTCTCTCTCTCTCTCTCTCTCTCTCTCTCTCTCTCTCTCTCTCTCTCTCTCTCTCTCTCTCTCTCTCTCTCTCCTCTCTCCTCTCTCTCTCTCTCACTCTCTCTCTCACTCTCTCTCACTCTCTCTCTCTCTCTCTCCATGATAATTGACGAGCAAGCGGAGATTGGATTAATTCTCTTTTTTTTTTACGTCGAAAGATTAACGACAAGCACGCTTACGCGGAGGATCAGGCGAAAAAATAGCCACGCGGACCTGCTGACACGCGCGAATACGTTAAGATGTCGATCTACGCCAAATGGCTTTCTAAGTCCGACAGTCGATTCTCCCGTCCTGGAGTTGGAGGCTCCGATAGCTGTAATAGCTTAACTTTAGCCACACTATCGCTATGGACTAGACACACCAAGTTGTCTATCGCTTATATTTATGCTGTGGCCGCTCCAAGTTTTTTCAGCGCTGTATTTTTTCTATCGCTCGGACCCCCCGCATTTCCGCTTTGTTTTTAGAAATCTGCATTTTTTCCCGATGGCTCTCCGTGTGCCGAGACTATATTGATGACGAATAAACAAGCCGTAAGAAAAGCAAACTGTCTAAAAAAAACTTGGAGCGCCAATCCGAGGCTAATTTACGAGAGGCGGCAGGGTAATTTATAACCAGCGCTACATTTCCTACTAAATAAGGGCTGGCTCGCTCACGAATTGTTTGCAGGTCTCTGGCATCGTTATCGAGTAGTATAGTTCACTCAGAGATAGAGGGGGGTGGGGGGTTGAGAGAGAGGAGAGAGAGAGGGAGCGAGACGGAGGAAAACGATGATGACATCCGCGCCCGCCGAGTAGGTAATGCTATTCAGGACTCGGATTAAACCGTGTACTTCGCTTGCGCATTTGCAATCGGACCTCCTACTCTTCCTAGCTCCCACTTCCGTGCTGCGCATCCCTTCACCCCCTTCTCTCTCTCTCTCTCTCTCTCTCTCTCTCTCTCTCTCTCTCTCTCTCTCTCTCTCTCTCTCTCTCTCTCTCTCGTTTTCGTTATCACTTTCCGATTTTTCTTCTCTTTTCTCCGCGCAGCGCACCGAGACGTGATTCGATCAGCTCGCCAAGTTGCTGATACTTTTTTTCAAGTAAAGCAAAGTTTCCCTCTTTTTATTTTCATTGGATGCGGTTCACGCTGTTCTGCCCGTCTGCAGTACTGCCTTGCAGAACCTTGCAAACTTTCAACAAGACAAGAATCGAGGTAGAATGGAGGAGATTCAAATTCAACTTCCTAGTGGTGGCAGCACTGACGATTCCTTCTCCAAAATACATACTGCACTTTGATTTGCCACACATTGATCAGCTGACTGCTGCTGACTGTGTTGGATCTAACAGTTTTCAAGGTAAAAACCGAAAATGATACTCAAACAGCAGCAAAACGGTTCTTTATTTGCCACTGAAATTGGTGGGCCAATGATATTTACATTCTACAAAGTGTCGAATATCGAGAAAGAGAAATTGAGCCACGATATTCAGGTAAATCTAAGGTTTTTCACGAATACTTGTTAAGTGGTTTATTCATTTTATCATTAATTAATTAACAGACCAATGGTGGTAAAGTCATTCAATACAACGAGAGGAACACATATACAATTGTATTAACGAAAAAGAATGAATTTTTGAGTGATATAATTCAATTTGATTTGCAATACATTATAGACTGTATAAAAGTGAATAAAATTCTACCACTAGAAAATTATAGGTAATTACTGTTTTTTAACTTGAATGTATAATCAGTAACAATTCTATACTTTTCACAGACTTGGCAAAAAAGTTCATGTTAGTTGCTGTTATAGCCAACCATTTAATTCTAAACGTTGCATCTTGTAAGTAGTATATGTAAATATATTAACAAAATGTATGGGAAACTCTTGAATATATTAAGTAAATTAATAAGAAAATGAAAATTCTGTATCTATTGGACACTATCGGCTTTGTCTTTCATATCTTTCCTTTGATTAGCTCTAAATATAAAAATTGATTTACTATATGTTTTTAAATTTATAAAGTGATTAGCATTGATGCATTTAATCAACAAGATAATTGAGAAAATTTAGAATAAATTTTCAACTAACTAATTGATATTTAAATGTGCATGCTGTTATGAAAAAAAAACAATAAATTTGATATTGTAATATCTATAAATTAATTGTTGTACGTACAAATGTATCATTATTACAAAAAAGAATTTATTAAACTGTATTATATCATAATTTATATAGTTTTACAAATACTACTTTCAGCTTTGATCTGATTCAGAAAGGCAAATGTAAAAGACATGACCATTGTATTTCAACAAAGCGATGTGCTGATGTGAATTCAGATGTTGAAATGAAGACTCAACAAAAAATAGATACCATAAAAAATTTGTGAGTATAAATATGATTAAGTGTACTTGTTAAGATGAGATTAATTGGTTGAACATTAAAATCTGTTGGTGGTATTTGCTTTGTCATGAATAAGAGTAATAAATTGTATTAAAAAATCAATACATTCATGAGAAGGGGATAAAAAAAAAGCAGAAAAAAATAAAAATAAAAAAGCGTTGCGGCGCAATACGCAGTACGTCGATGGGAAAAATCAGAGTGAATGTGTATTCCGCTCGGCTGATCCGTAAAAACAATCGTCGAAAAATTGGTCATGGGCGCGCGCTTTTCACAATCGTCGCTGCCGAGGGAAAATAGCAGCAGCTAGCGTAGGTGCAGGCGAGCGTAGGAGAATACGCGTAGGTGTGCGCTCGTCGGCGAAATGGCGGTAATAAGGGGTGTCAGGAAAATGGCTGCCCTGATGAACCCTGAATCGTGGCATTACGGGAACTGATTGCGCTGCGCGGCGGTCACGTAAAGGGACGGGAATGTCGGCGGCGGTGGCAGCGGCGGCGACGGGGGAGGCTGTTCGCAACTCCGACCCCCTCTTCCCGGCCGCTTCGAACCAGCGAACCAGGCAACGAACGAACGAACGAACGAACGAACGGGTTGCAGAGTTAGTTAGTGTTGGCATGATGTGTGATGTTGCGCGCGGAGAAGATCAGAGCTAAAGAGCTGACTGATTTGATTTTTTGTTGCAGGATTTACGAGGTTAGAGAAACGCAGGTGAAGGTCGAGCTATCTGCGATGGAGAATGACATTAGCGACCTATCGTCCGACGAGTCTGAAAGCTTATTAAAGAAACTACGGAAGTAAGCGGCGCGAGAAATATCCGGCCACTTGATCGTTCAAGCCCCTGGAAGATCACAAGCCAACCTCCTCCTCCTCCTCCTCTCTCCTCTCCTCTCCTACCCTTACGCTCGGCCGATCAAGTGGCCGGATGCTCCGGATGCGCGCCCTTTTTTCCTTCACCTTTCACTTGAACCTTCTCGCTCGTTGATCGCTCGCCGACCGTTCTTTTCTTACCTGCTCGTTACGATATTTATCGAGGGCGTGGAGAGCCGAAATAAATAAATAAGCAATTTATTATCACTAGATTTTCATTTATTTAACCTCTCTGTGACAATATCGGCGTAAAAATCACAAGAAAAGCTTCAGCGGGTAAGTAGCGCGAAACAACTCGGTACAAATGTGTGAGCACGCCTCGTACATTGAGTAACTAGCTCGCGTACAATTTTCTCGGCGGCCCAGCGATCTGCCCGTGCGAAAGCCAGAATGAAATTCGTTGCTTGAAAATGTCCCTCGACCACCACCGCCGCGCCGTCCGCTGGCGACGCGTTGCCACCACTGCCGAATTTTCTCTCTCGCTCGCCTTCACAGGTTAGCTTCGCAGCGTCCCCTTTCCGTCTCTCGACCTAGAAAACCCGGAAGCCGTACTTCCACGAGACGTATAACCTCCAAGAGTAAACCCTTGGATCTAAGGTGGCTTCGTGGCCACGAGAAAGCTATTGTGATCGTGTGCGTGCCGAGCCTAAAGCACGGAGACGTGATTAAGTCGTTTAATTTCGCGCAAACCGGCCATTTTCGCGTTGGAAATGCTCTGTTCGCTTTTAATGCTATTAATTACTAATCGCGCTTAACAGCGAACCTATCTCGACCCAGTCGAGATAACAGCACAGCCGCATGTCTAGACGTACATGTATACTTGATGTCTGATGTCTGATGTCTGATGGGCGCTAGGGAACGGATCGACCTACCTGAATCCGAGACTTTTTACGAGAAAAACGTCCTTTGAGCGACCCTAACCGGCGTCAATGAATCGACCTACCTGCCGGGTAGCGCTGCGCGGTACGACATAGCCAACACGTGCGAGGGAAGCCCCAAAGTTGTCCTCGTGCTTTCTACAACGTTTCGTTTCTCTTCATTCGCGGCACGCGCGTACTACCTACGTTTCCAACAATATCGCTGTCGCCGATCTCGCCTAACTACGCCGCGACACGCGAGCCACTCGGATTTGCCAATCGACGCATTCTTTCGACATTATCCGCTTTCGCAAACCACTGGCAATAGAGTAACCAAACAGGAAATATCAGTTTGCAGCGGCGCAGATTTAAAGAAACGAGAAGTTTGATTAAGCGCCAGACGCGGCAGCGGCGTCGGCGGCGGCGGCGAAGGGCTGAAAAAGAAGCAAGAGAGGACAAAGCGAAAGAGACTCGCGACCTCGACGACTGCGGGTGCGCCATTAACGAGGAGGTATATAAGCGCCCCCGTCGGCTGCTTGCAAGCGCCCCTTATTTAACGTTATTTCATTAATTAGGCACAAAGCGAACTTGCCGAGGCATTGTCTCACCTCAATGCTTACTCATTAGTAAACCGAGCGAGCACGAGCGGAAGGAAGGAAGGAAGGAACGAGAAAGGGGGAGAGAGAGAGAGAGAGAGAGAGCGCGCGCAGCGAGGAGAGGCAGAACGGATGATCGAAGTTGGACAAACCAGTTTCTCGCTGGCTTTTTCCAACAGAGCCCGAGCACCGCGCTCTCACTTATTGAATTAGGTTTTCGCGCGCAATTAGCGCGGCTCGCCACCGGAAATTTGCTCCCCCCTGCTCCCGTCCTTCTCTCTTCTCACCAGTGTGTGTGTGTGTGTTCGCGCGCGCGCGAGCGACTACCCGGACTCCTCTTTTAAACGTCCGTCGAATGATTGTTGAAAAACTAATAATGCAATTTCATCTGGTCGGGGCCAACGGCCTTCGGTCGACTTCGCTCCTCGGCATTTAACGTCGGACAAAACTCCAACGTGCCACCGCTGCCCGGCAGCCAGGGATTTTTAAGCTGTTTATCTCGCTGGATTTGTCGCGCGGGTGACGTCACGTGTAAACGCATATGTATACAGATGAAGACCCATGCTTCCGATAAGTGTCCACCGTTCCGTAAGCGATAGTAAAGTTCCCGTGAGAAAAAACAAAGCGATGAATTTCTTAGGCACAAGCGTCACAAAAGCGCGCTCTTCCCTTATCCGAGGAAGCCACTACAGGGGTGGAAATAAAGCGCGTGAGTGCACGAGCTGCGACGCCAGAGATATAGTTGGCAGTTATGTAAAAATGATTCTCTCTCGCAGCACGTTTACGACTGTATAAACGTGAGCCTCTGTCGGAGCAGTATTTTTTTGCGATCGCGCAGGTCGATCGCTTTTCACGGCTCGTCAATGCTCCGTGTCAAGCTCGCTCGTTCGCCGGCCATTGTCGCGCAGGCCAAACCTAAGTCTCGTATTGACTCTGAACGAGCGATTGGACATGGAATAAAAAAAAAAAAAAAAAAAAAGAGGAAACCAGGGGGTACATGGCGCATAGGAAGCAAAATTGAAATCGCGAGCGTGTGTACACTGGCAAAGTCAAATTCGAATCTCATAAGTTGACACAGGCACTGCAAAAAAAAAAAATAAATAAATAAAAATCAGGAATTTGGAGAAATTTAATTAACGGTCAAGAGTGACACCGTGCGAAAATTCTTTAGTCCGGCGATGGCAAAAACTTTCGATTAGCGCCTGACGATTTTTTTTTCTTTTTTTGTGTTTGCTCAATTCCGCCGAGCCGGTCTAGCGACGAGGAGAAAAAGGATAGGTGAAAAGTAGGAGAGCGGCCGTGCGCGCAAGAGAAGCCGATTAATTAAGTATGGACAGTCTGTAATTAAAAAATCACGTGGCTGCCTTTATCGGCTCTTTATCGTGCAGGCAGGCGGGCTGGAGGGGCGTGTAACGGCTACTATGTGGACCTACTTTAAGCTTACACACTCTGCAAGTCTATGCCCTGAGACTTTTTTAATTAAACTCTCCGTTTTCAACTACGTCGCGGCAGTCCTCCCCTCCATCTCTTTCTCTCTCTCTCTCTCTCTCTCTCTCTCTCTCTCTCTCTCTCTTGCTGTCGAGCAGGCAAAAACTATGCAGCGTATCGGGAGAATATTTATGCACATTTTTACTCGCATACGGACACGTTATCAGTGTAATTATAGGGCTCGGCACGCAAGAAGCTTGGCAACAAAAAGATCTCGCAAGTTATTGAGAAAATTTTCATGGCTCTTTTTTGCGGCCAGAGCGGGTATTTTTATTCTTGGGATCAAGAAGAGGGAGAGAGTGAACTTGCCAGCTACGCTGCTAATGTTAAGTATTAGAGAACTATCTGTCTGTCTCTCTTTTCTTTTTTTTTCTTTTTTGATGAAAGAATTTGATTAATTGGAATTTTGCAGCAAATTCGACGAAGAATCAAGGCGCAAGCCGATATAAGCGAAAAAAAAATTGTAGTCGCTCCAATTGCTGCACCAATTGACGATGCATTGATTGCCATTAAAATCTATAGTCGAATGGTATTTGCGTCATCGCATGCTTGTCTTGAGCTTGCGTTCGAACAGGCTTGCTGCGCGATCGGGCATCTCAATTATATTGCGTGCCGCGTGCTTTTTTGGGCCGTCGCTTGCGTCATTCGCTTATTTAAATTAATAACGGGATATTTTCCTTTCGCAACTTTTGCTATTCCGCTGGGTAGCGGCTCGTGTGTAATTTTGAAATCCGAATATAAGGGAGTTCTCGTCCCATTGTTTCTCCAACTGTTGCGCAATGGTCGGCGCGTTGATAGGTTCTCTGTATTTGGTGTCTGCCGGCAAACGCCTTTTGATGGATAAGTAGCACGTGGAAAATATACGAAGCTATGACGCGTAACATGTAACGTGCTATGCCCATAGCTAATGATAGCGAAGCCTCTTGGGAAGGAAAAATTTGATAGGAGCTTTGACGTACGACGTGAAACGTGTGCCCTACATGGCAAGCAGTCCAGCTTCTTTTACAATCGATTTGTCATTGCGCAGTGCTTTGTAAGCGGACGCGTACTTCGATTGGCCTTTCGCGTCTTGACTTGTTTGCGTCCAATGACAGTACAAGAAATACTTTGACGGACTGAAATCGCGAGGAACGGTGACCAGTTATGCAGAGGATCAATAATTTTAAAACCATGGATATCGACAGCTGCCCATTGCTTCGGGTAAGTATAGCCTGTCTTTCATTGAACATTCATTGGGCACTCGAGGACTGACCATTCCGAGCGTCCGTCAATTCAGGCTTAATCCCGAGGCTCTACAAAGATAAATCTAAACGTTCTACAGGGACATCGATGAAAATACATCATCCTATCGAGCAGACGACTCGCAAGTGGTTAGTAGACACGCGATAGCAAAAATGATCAGACATGAGTTCTACGATGTAGCCGACAATGACATTGCTCTCTAGTCAAGGTATTTGTAATAAGCCAATTCACGATCGAGTACGCTTCGCGAAAGCCGATAATAATGCGTTGCAGTTGGCGTATCCGTCAAAGTTTAACGAGAAGCGGGCTTGTATCGCGATCGTAACGACGCGTCCGCGAGAACCATCGGTTAGGTTCTTGATTGCGGGCTTTGGAGAAACGACCAGTTGTTTTTCACCGACTGCTTTTCAAACTCACCGATGTCATTTATCGCGCCTTCGTTTCAGCGACGCACTGTTCGGACTCGTCGCGGACATTTGGAAGAGAGCTGTCAATTACGCAGTCGAGCATAACTCCCGTCGGGTAAATTACGGCAACCGTGTGTTTTGTGCGGCTGATCGAGACATCCAATACGGCTACTATGCGCAAAGATAACTGGTCTAAAACTTGCCTCGAGCAGTCTGTGAGTCGTCGACAGCTATGAGAAAAATAATTAAAATCGAATAGGTATCGCTGAGAGTGTATTTTATTATAGAGGTAATGACTTGGGTTGAATATCAGTTCATTGCGCGATACAAAACTTGACTGGCGTGCGTAGAATACGAAGGTAATTGTATTCTAGAATCAAGTCTGAATAAAAGTTTACTAACGATACGACACGTCTATGATTTCCTCTCATCTCGTCTTTCATGTATTGTTGATGTGACAATTTGGTTGTGTTCAAGTCACTGACGACTTCTTTACCTTTATAACGAGACGTTGAAAACTAACGTTTCTGTTGCTTTCCGTGGCTGGTGTAAGCTGTCAGGATGGATGACGTGCGCATACTTGAATGAGCAATATTCGAAGCCTCTTCGCGGGTATCTTTAAAAGA